GGGCCATCGTAAAGAGATTACGGTCCGGGACAGGCCATGCCCAGGCAGGACCCTACCATCTGACACCCACCCACGGGGGGGGACTCGCAGAGACCACAGCGACGGGACACAGAAGGGTTTGGGGACTGTGATTAAACGTGGGCACACCGATCCTCGGGTGTAACGTTCCACATGTTGACACGTGCACACGAAGAAGAGTTTCTTTGCAGTGACGCGCTGTGTCCGCTGAAGGGAGGGGACAGCAGGGGACAGCAGGTGGGTGGGTGAGGAGGAGGAGGTTGTAGAGGCGGGGGTGGCGGGGGGGAGCGTTAGTGTCTGCAGATGTTGCCAGTCTGGATTTTGGACCTGCACAGGAATGTATGGGAGAGGTCTGCAGGGGTAAATAAGGTGGCAGACAGATGAGCAGGAGTCTGCGGGACAAAGGGAGGAGCGACACAGACGGGCCGACAAGGGGAGAAGAAGCAGAGAGAGGGGACAGCGGCCGACCATGGCTTTGGCTTGTCTCGGTCTGGGCTGCGTCCCTGAGCGAACCAAAGGTACTGTCCTCAGTGTCTTCCTTAAAGCTGCCATTTGCCTGTTTAGTTCCTGGCATTAGACTTTTGATGCATTGGGCTAAACTTAGTGACCACAGACGATACATTTTGATTTGGCCATGAAGGCGATGAGGAATGTCTCCAGATTCAATATCTCACTGACAGCTTTGGTTCTATTTCACAGTATAAAAAGAAGCAAGCTTAAATAATCACTCAATTAATTAATACATTTTGAAACTTGAATCTGTCACGATATTTGACTTTACTAATAAATTGTTCTGTGAATGAACAACAAAAACATGTACAGAGAATATGTTTTCTACATTTTACATTTTACTGGTTGATTATATTAAATAAAAGCTCAATATTGAAGTGATATTTAGCTGAGGTGCACAGCATGCGGCACATGGAACTGTCGAACAGTGTGCAACAATAGGCTCTCGTTAAACGGGAGCGTTGTGCGTTAAATCAAAGACATTAAGCTTTAATTATGTGTTACGCATACCAAAATAAATAAAGGGCTGTTTTACAAAATCCAACCCCTTTGGCAGAAACCAAAGTCCGACATCAATGTCATGTTACCGTCGATGAAGAAGTGAAGGAGTTGCTGAGCCGTTGCGGGCCGACTAACAGCGCACCGTTTTTCCTCTGCAGAACTGGCCGGCTATGTGTTTCTTATATAACAGCTGTCTACTATGACAAGATTCTGCAGCTACTGCCATAGGGAGTGTGCAGCCTGACCCAGATACACCCTAATACGTTCTCCACTAATGACTTACATTCACTCACATCTGGACCAGAGAGAGGGAGAGCGAGAGCATAAGAGCGACACAAATCATACAGCAGTGCCAGAAAAAAGAAAGAGCATCGTGTAAAGCAGTGAGCATGTGAAGACTCTGTGTTCTCCTTTTCGTAACGTTTGCGGATGTCGGAGAGCACAGAAGCCCACGACGGCCCAAGGCGGCTAGAAAACACCTCATACGCTAATCAGGTGATAAAAAAATCCGGCCCATTAGCCAGATGAGGCCGAAGTGGTGCCATAAAAAAACAAACAATAACTCACCTACTGTGCGTTGCTCACTTCAAACCTTTGTGTTGCCAGTTGAGACAGACCTGCTCAGACACACTACATGGGCTCTTCCCACCTGTCAACCCGTCCCTCCATTAACAAGAAGAGCGGGCAGAGCGGCCCACACAGGCTTTTTCCATAGAAGCCTGGCCTGGTTAAATACTTTTCATGGTAGAAGTCTTGCAAAGGCTGAGTAGTGTGACTCATTGACCGTTTGAAAGCAGCTCCGTGCCGTTGTACTCGGGTTATGCTCCTAGACTGTATTAAATAGTCTTTGTGTTTGTTGAGTTGAACAAAGAGGTAAAAAGAGTTAAGTGAGCGTAAATGTTGGGTTCAACGGTCTCCTACGTGTCTGCAGCACACTGGTGCCTTCAGAGACCTCTCCACAAGCATCAATGTTGTTTGGCACTTTTGTTGCTCTCACTCTTTATTTTGACTTTCTGAAGAGCGATACAGACGTTTGTCAGTCTTTTCTCCTGTTTGATCCTTAATCAAACATTTCCCTAAACGAACAAAATTGCTCACACGGACCTTTACTCTTTTGCATGTCTTTGGTCCGATTGCTGCATAACTGTGATTTGCACTGCATTTTTATTACATGCATTTCTCTTTTTTTTTTCTTTTACTCTCCTCCCGTCTCTTGGTGCTGTTGGCATGCAAGTCCTGATGATGACACTGCGAGCTGCTGACACTGCACCCGCAGATTTCAGCATGAGGGGAAGCAGTGATGGAGGGATGCAGGGAAGAGGGATGACGGGTAAAAGACAGAAAGAGAGCGAGGCAGACAGGGTGCGTTAGATGGACTGTGCGTACGTGAGCTCAGCAATGTCTGGTCCCGGACGATAGCGATGGGTAACTCCCAGCATAAGCTCCGTTACAATCGGTTGCAGATGAGGAGGAAGAGGTGCAGGACGGCAGGAGCGCGGCGGGACAATGCAGGTGGGGAGGAGAGGTGAAACTCACACGCTGAATACAAACATCTAGGATTTGTCGTTCCATGCTTACTGATCATCTAAAGGTTGGTATTCCTCGTGGCAGTTCTTCGTCCATGTTTTGCTGAGGGGATCTCTTTAGGGATCCGCCAGTCGCCGCCCAGAGGGAAGGTTGTCGAGGTGCTGGGCCGAGTGGTCAAGAGGGAAACGGATTTTCATTTACACGTCTGTTTAGTAGAGGTGTTGTGGTTTTGGACTGTAAAACCTGACGTCACGGTGCTTTGCTGATGTTTTGTTGGAGATTTATTGTTCGCTGCTCAATGTCTGTACACCACACGGGCTGTTTTCACATGGGACTGACGGGGGAACGTTTCACATGGGCTCACTTTATATCTGAATATATAGACCTGCAGCCAACAGTGTTCCACTTAAACAAGAGGGGTGTGGAAACGTGTGACCCGCAGCAAACACACTGAGAAGGGACTTTTCTAAACGGGTTCAACGTGTCTAGAAGAAAGAAATCTGCTTTGTGAACACCTTTTATTTTTTCTATTGATGACATAGAGAATAAAGGCGGATTGAACATTTAGCTGAGTAATGCAGTTTTAGCTCTGCAACTTGACTATAATGAGGAGGAGACGCCTTCATAGCAGCAGCCAGAGAGGAAAAGAAGCCATAGAAAAGATGAGGGGAAAAAGTGGGCTGGCAGGCAGAAAAGCCACAGTAACAAATCCACCAATTGAACTGTGTCACAACAACTAGGTCAGCACCTTGTGCAGAGAAACACCTTACAACATTACAATATTCTACTCCCCCTCTTTGGTTAACTCTACTGACGGTAACTACCACTCGCAACCGGTAATAGGTATCAAGGTATTTTTGGAAGATCTTGTAGATCTGTCAGTTTAATGAGCACCAGCTCTGCAACGAGCACAAGTGTCTCCCAGAATTTCCCCTTTACATTGAGCAGGCGAAGAAAACGCCCAACGCTTCATCTCAAATGTATTTCAATTTTTATGTAAAACGTGTGTTGGTGCTGCTGCAGTCTAAGGAGTCTTTTAGTTGAATATTATAAACATTGTCCTCTTGATCTTGAAGACACAAAGAGCGATGTGCATAACTTTGTCTGTGTGCGACTGTCTTTGAGGCAGCTGTAATGGTTTATCTAGTGTGAATAAGCTGGTCTCCTGCGCTTCTCTAACCTTGTAGTTTAAATCGGCCAGATGCTGCTGATGTGAGCTCGCTGATTTAATTGCAGGCAAATACGAGCCTTGATGAGCAATGAAAGGTTGCCTGGCTACTGATGTTCAGTGTGGCTTTCAAGGGCACGGTCGCATTTCGAATTCAGAGTTAAAAGAAGGGAAGTAGATTTCATAATAAAAGCTAAAGGGCCTCTGAGAGCAGATAAGAGAGATGGATAATCACAGTCTCTCTCTGGTCTGTGAATCAACCATTTTAATCTTTGTAAATGAAGCAGAGAGATTCTACGGCGCACGTCATTCATGGGTTTGTTTTGTGTTGTCTGATAAAAACAAAATCGTGGTGACGATAAACACGTGTGCTGGTGCAGGCGGGTTGCAGTGGAGAGGGCTGTTTAGCCGCCACCTGCTGGCGTGCCTCGGCCCAGCCGCGTGTTTAATGGCTCGATGTCGAAGGAGTGTTGCGGCGAGTCCCACATCAACACTTTCCCAGGGCCGTTTTGTGTATCATCTTATAACTCCATCGTCCTTGTTTTCAGGAAAGGACTCAAGTGTGAGGCCTCTGGCTGTAGGTGGTAGACGGTGAAGCCTGGCCTGGATCTCAGCTTAATGCTGCGTTTCTTATGCCGGTGGATCAGACGCGATGATGAAAGACGACACTGTCCTTTTTATAAGAACCATGTCTTTAAACTACAATAATCGTTTTGGTTTCTTCTTTCCAGAACTACAAGAATACTATTTTAATATTTGGGTTAAGATTGAGACCTAGACTGGGCTGGATTACCAAATTGGACAACGTGGAAACGGCAACCTCAGATTAAAAACATATAATACGAGAGGTGAATTCTTTGAGAATATGCTCCTTTGTCATGTAGAGGAGCCGTGGGTCAAAACCTAGTTTTAAGACCGTTGATATTTTTTATGACGTAATCATATTGTGCACATTCTACAAATAAATGTGTTTTAAAACCAATTTATAATCTGAACCATGTACAGTTTGTGTGGCGGCGGGCAACATTTTTGAGGGGAGAACAGAACTGGGTTGGTAAAGGAAAACAAGGAGAGCCGAAAGAAAGGGGCTTCAGCCTGCTGGGGGTTCAAATGGCCACGGGTCAATAAAGTGAAAAGATGTGTTCTTATATTCCTTGGATTGGACAGAATTTTTGGATATAATTCTAACTGTGAAGTTAGCCTAATTGACCTCACTCATTCTAGAGGTTCCTTTGAACATGCTCCGTCTCTCTCTCTCTCTCCTCTCTCATCTCAGCCGTGTCAAACCTGGATATCGAGAGCAAGCTGTCGCTTCACTATCAGGCTCCATGGCACCAGCAGCACAACGTGTTTCATCCTTGTACCCGACCGCCGTGTCTGGAGGAGCTGCACAGGAGCGCTCAGCTCAGCCTCAGAGCCCTGCACCGAGGTGAGCGGGAGGGAGAGAGAGACTAATCTGGTGTGAGGAGCAGCATTTTGCTTTGTTGAAAAAAAAAATTGCATGTCTTTGTGTGTGTGTGTGTGCGTTTGGGGTTAACAGACGAACAACAGCACCACCGCTCCACGAGTCGGGAGAGAAGCAGGGTGACCATCTCCATCTCAGTGGCCCCCCCTATGCCCACCTTCCCCTCGCCACACAGCATCCGCCGGCAGCAGAGGAGTCGCCTGGCGCGAGCGGTAAGGATGTGATTTATTATGAAACAATAAGCCAATGACGAGTCTCAGTACAGTTGCAAAAATCTCAAACACGCGACCAAACCGCTAAACAGTTTTCCCTTGTGCGTGTTGAGTGAGGTGGGGGAAAGAGGAATCAAGCTCACTCATGTTGATGTGCATGTTGTGATTCTTATTCAATATATGTTCCAACAATCTGACACATTATCTCCTCCTGATGTTCTCATGCAGCAAGAGAGAGCAGAGAGGGAGCGAGAGTTAGACTATCAGCCCAGGAAGGTAAAAGTGAAATGTGTCTGTGCGTTCGTGTCCATTATTGTCCAACACGTCTGCTGTAATATTTGTGTTATATGCACCTGTGCTGTGTGTACGGTCACTAATGTGTGTCTGGGGTTTCATGAAACATCGCTCTACAGCAGTAGGTTTGGGTTCTTTTATATTAGGGGGGTGGTTTGGGGATTCTTTTGTAGCGCTGACTTTACATTTGTTTCTTAAAGGAGAGAGCGGTGAGAGAAACAGAGATTCAGACCGTACAGAGAAAAGTAAGAACATTCAATGACACATCTGTCATTTCATTAGGGAACGACTTTACTTGCAGACTCAGCAATATTCTTTTCTGTGTGTGTGTGTGTGTGTGTGTGTGTGTGTGTGTGTATTCCTGCGCCCACAGGAGAGGCCAGGGAGAGAGGCAGATACAAAGACGATCCAAAGAAAGGTAAGAACGATGCTTGAAAACTATTACATATAAATACTAACTGAACCAGCCCTGTAGTAGTTCATAGTAATTGAAAGACATAGACAATTTTCTTAGACTGGAAAACTGGAAACTGGAAAAACACAAATATAAATATATTTTCTGTCTGATGTATCATTTACCCTTTAACATTCCTTTTAACATTTTTATTTGAGATGATTTAATCTTTTTGATAACTCATGTCATGTTGCATGTTGGATGTTTTTCTTTTGTCTTTTCTTTGTTCTGTGTGAAAATAGTTTGAGTGCTTTTACTCACTTCACCCTATTGAAGGTTGCATCTTCATTCCTTGGAATAGAAAGGTATCAAGCATTTGTGCTATTATAACGTTCTGTTTAACCTCAAATCCAAAACACATTTTCAGATGTTAGAGAAATTGTACAAATCTGTCAACACATCAGCAGTATAAATAATTCCCTCTCGTCTTTCCGACAGTAACTGACACGTGTTAAAACTGCATCAGCACCTACCGTGTATATAATGTCACTGCCGTCCGTCTGTTCCCTCCAGACTGTCCCCACGGGGGAAGGTGAAAATGGCGAAGTGGTAGGAGGCCACAGAGCCAAGGCCTCAGCTTCCATTGCCCCCTCGACCCAGGACAAGCAGACTAACTGGTCCAAGGAAAACCTCCCCCCATCAAATCAGAAGTCAACCAGCGATTCTAACTCCATCTCCTCCTGCATTATCCCCATCAACGTCACAGGTAAGACAAAGAAGAGCAATAGGAAAGGTAAGAAAGAGCCAGGTTGGCCCTAGTGAGGATCAATCAGGCCATTTGGTATTGTGAGACAGCAGTGCTAACACGTGACCAAACAGAAACTGTCCCTAAATCAGGAATCAAACCCAGACTGCCTGCATGAAAACCAGGAATCTAATTGAGTATATTAAACACTAGCTTTTCATATGGCTTATGGCTTCTGTGTTGTTATTGCAGGAGTTGGGTTTGACAGGGAAGCAAGTGCTCGTTGCTCTCTAGTCCATTCCCAGTCGGTTCTTCAGAGGAGAAGGAAGCTGAGGAGGAGGAAGACTATCACAGGGATACCCAAAAGAGTACAACAGGACATGGGTATGTTATAGAGCACACCTGGAAAATTTAGGATTCTCATTCTGTATGGATCCTAATCTTTCAGGTTTGGATAAAATTGCTATTGGTTTTTATTAATACTAAAAATATTTTCCAATTAAATTGCTGAAATCTGGGAATGAGGTGACCTTGCTAAAACAGCCAAGAGTTCATGAGGGCAAGCTAAGTGAGCAGCAACAATCACATGCAAACAAAAATACAAGGCAGTCCATTAAAACCCAGTTTACTAGCTCCTTGTGAGCTACTTCCTGGTTCAGCTTTGACCCGTTTACCCGTGGTTGCAAATGCACGCATGAACAATTGTTATATACATTCCAGACACTTCCACCCTGGTATTCTTTTATCCCCAAAATATGGTTTTAGGATATTGGCTTAACTGCGGATGAATAGCCTAAAGGAGGTCCTGATTCTCGGCATTACAGCTGTGTAAATTGTTACTATTGCCCTCTAGGACTGAAACTTCACATGCTTTGTCTCTTTGCTTTCAGATTCAGATGAATCACCCGTAGCAAGAGAGCGCACAGTGATTGTCCATGCCAACCCACACCAGCTCTCTCTCTGTCAGGAAGACCTCTTAATCAGTGGTCGTCTCCATCACACTCGTGACTCTGGCTGCCAAACAGATGATTTCCTTATAGCATGTAAGTTTCTGAAAACGGACAAGTATATTTGGTTCTTCAATCTGGCCGTGATTTCCCACTCACCGGCAGTCTTTGATCAGAAGTAAATCTGCATTGGTTTGGCGCTTGTAAATGGCGCTTAGGGAATCTGTTTCAAGACACTAGCCAAAAGGCTAGCAGCTGCATCGCAGGACACATTACAGATATCTAGCTTGCTAAATATCTGGACCTGTCTCAGAGTCTATTAGAACATTACAGGCAGTGACAGTGTGAGACACTGGTTGAGGAGAAACCTGGCGGAGGGGGGTTGCCTATGACATTAGGAACTGGATATATACTGTGTATGTGTGTAAACTATGTACAGGCATTGCGCGTGCATCACCAAGGCTAATGTTGCTAAGAATAAAGCCACTCACGCAATACAAGAGGTGACACAACAACAATATAATAATGTAAATAGATTTTTACAATTCAAAAAAGGAACCCAGCTGGCAAGGTTTTCAAAGAAAACGAAAACGAAAAAAAAAGAGTTAATAATCAGAAGATAATCGCAATAACGTTGCACACACCAAGCATCTTGAATTACACACTCCTTTCATCTTTAAACTAAGTCCATCAAACTGCATTGAATTCAATTCATGTATATTAACAGTGCGACCAATAAATTAAGGTAGGGCACCTTGTTTCGCCCCGATGGGCATAAAGTTACAAACCCACCATTGGACAGAGAGCGTGCGTAAGAAAACAATCCCCCCGCCCCTTCACCGCGGTCGGTTGGCCGATTTGCCGACACCAAGCTGTAAACCTACGGCAAACACTGAACTGGGTAAATGGTCCACATCCAAGACATTGAGAAATACGTCCGTCCTTCTCTTTTATCTTCCCCCCTATAGGTACAGCTGCTCCCTCTAGAAGGCGCATCAGAGCCCAACGTGGCCATCAGGGGATCCCCGCCTCCCTCTCCCATTCAACGGGCAACATTTCTTCCCTGGGTGACCAGTCAGATTCCACGTACAAGAGTGCTGCAGCCCACTGCGGACGCTTGCGCTCTCGAAGCCTTCCTCGAGAAGGGGGACGTCTGATGGACAGTGATGAGGACGATGATGACAACTACGATGATGACGACGAAGACGAGGACATGTCACCATATGAAGCAGAAGACTTTATTCCACCTGGCCCAAGTCCGAGAATGAAGATGATGATGATGAAGGATGAAGAAGAGAGCACAGATGACCAGGCAGCTCCCGAGCCACTGCAACTTGGAAGTCTAAAGAGGTTGCAGCGGTCTGGGGAGAGAGACAGAGGGTGTGGAGGAGGGAGCCCAGAGCACAGCTGGATGGAGAGGGGCCGTTCTCGCTTACCCCGCAAGGCTGACATGGGTAGTTGCGAGATTTCGTCAAGTTCAGATACTTTCAGCAGCCCCATTCACTCTGTGTCCACAACAGGAGCCTTAGGCAGCCATGTGGATCACAAGGAGGACCACCAGTCGTCAAGCGGGAACTGGAGTGGTTCCAGCTCCACCTGCCCCTCGCAGACATCTGAAACCATCCCCCCGCCTTCTTCTCCACCACTTACAGGCTCATCCCACTGCGACTCAGAGCTATCGCTTAACACTGTGCCCAACGCCATTGATGAAGGATTCTCCCTGGATACCTCATACCACTCAGACCTCAGACCCCAGGGCCAGGGCCACAGGTCAAGCTCGTTCACATCGTCAGCCACAGACCAACTGGATGATGCTGGGGTTAGCACAGCCAGTGAAGGGGAGTGGACATACCCTCCAGACCAAGACCAGATGGATCCGGACCAAGACCCTGACCAAGCCCAGAATATGAGCCGGAGACATGGGTTAGTGCAAGAGTACAGCTCCAAACAAGGCCTACAAGACCAAACCTGTTTTAGTGACAAAACCAGCAACACCGAAAAAGAGTCTGTCTCTCACTACCCATCTGATACAGAGGGTTTCTACTCCTCTTCTCTGCATTATGGGGAGTGTAGTCAGAGTTACAGAGGATACATGTATAACTATGCAGACCCAGGGCCGGACTGTGGCCAATCAAACACTGTGGCAGCACCACAATTCAATGGAGTTTATCCCCAGCCATTAACTGTCTTCAGAGCTGGTACTATGACTCTGGGGAGGACATGTCGTCCACTGAGAAAACAAAAAGTCAAACCTCCCCCACCTAAACGGACCTCCTCGCTGAAGGATGCCTGCAGCGGTATTGATGTTGGAACGGACACACACGCAGATCTGGATCGACCAAAGATGGTTAGTGAACAAGACCGTTCCTTGTCTTCCACAGATATGAAGCTGGAACTAGAGCTTGAACTTGGAGGTGCCCCAGAACCATTACAGACATCTTGTCTAGTGGCAGAGCCGATAGGAACGTGGGGAAGGGGACTGGGTGAAACTGTGGACATAGTAGAGCCCATGTCCTTCAGCTCTGCGGATACACACTCATTTAAGGATGAAGGTGCTGTGCAATCTGACTATGCAGACCTGTGGCTTCACAACACTGAGCTAAAGTCCAACAATGGTGAGTACACAACCATGTCCAACTCAAGCACAGCCACAGGCACTACTGTCATGGAGTGTATCAAGTCACCAGACAGCTCGTCCTCTTCCACAGAAGCCCAAACCCAGGCAAATGCTCAGGCTGCAGAGACCAGGGCAACTAGTCCCCCCCTTCCACCTGGAGACTTCAAACTTGGGTCACCTGAGAAGCTGGCCGGCCTGGCCTCCCCATCAAGTGGCTACTCCAGCCAATCAGAGACTCCAACGTCAACTTTGCCCTCATCGTCGGCAGCCTTCTTCCCAGGACCAGTGTCTCCCTCAACTGGCAAGAGAAAGCCCAAAGTGCCCGAGAGGAAGTCGTCTCTCTCTTCCCTTCAGCACTTCCCCAGGGATGTACCTTGTATTTCGTCTGGCTATAAGAGAGACCCAGACTTCCCACCTCCACCTTCTCAACTTGATCTCAATGTTCTTCATGGTGGTTATGTCCGACACACGTTATCCCACCGAACGCACCACATGCACACGCTCCACCACAGCAAACACAGAGTTGGAAATGTTATAGCTACTGGAACCAAGCTGTCGGTCCCTGAGTCATCAAATACCCACCCACCGCCAAGTACACACTCTGCCCTGACAATTCCCAGCCCCAATCTATTGGTAATAACTCCATCTGCTCTTCGTTCAGTGCAGCTCCATCCTATTAGCAAATCAAGAAATAGTGCTACCAAGGCAGAGCATGAAACTGCAAGTGGAACAGAGACCACAACAAGACCCAAATGTCCTCCTAGTGGTGCCACGTTGGCTCCGCCACCGATCAACACAAGGCCTCTTCCTCCGCGCAGACCACCACCCAGACCCCCAGCACATGACCACATGGCCTCCCCTGAACACTCGCAACCACCTCCGCCTGGCCGCCATCCTGATGGGCCTCCATCCTATGAAAGCCTCCTACTCAGAAAGGACCGCTATGGACCTGGAACCTTCTGGGCTATGACGGCCTTCAGAACACGGATGGATCCATCATCAGAAATCTCTGAGGACGTCTCACCCCTGCATCGGCCAGTGCCACGTGCTCCCCATCCTTCGCCTGTGGATCTACACACACATATCCACTCGCACACAGAATTCAGAGGGCTCACGCACTCATCTCATGCACACCCTGAGTTTAGGGTTTTGGGGGAGCGTTCGTTCTCCCAGGACGATGACGATGATGATGAAGACGATGAGGAGGAAGAGGACGAGCAGGTGAAAGAGTCCACAAGGGCTGCATGTTCCAGAGGAGGCTTACGGTCCAACCATCCTCCGCCCCCAGCGTATGAATATGCTGGAATATCCCACTCAGACTCAGGGCCCTGGGCTAGTCCAGTCAAAGTGCCTGGTACTAAAATAAGGACATCGCATCCTTACCTAATCAGCGATGCACGGAGAGGAGGATATAACGAACAGGAAGAGGAGGAAGTGACATCAGGTGCTACCAGAAGTGCCCATCAGCAGCAGCCACAAGAGAGCAAAGATGATTCCACCACTCCTGATACTGAAGATTACTTCAGTAAAGGTAAGATACTTTATTCTGGCAGAAGTGCTGAAAGATTACAGTAGTTCAACAGACCCACTTATGGGCGGGGAGTGGGGGAGGTGTGCTGCTAACCGCTGAGTAAAGAATAGATATTTATTTATTAATATTTCTTGACATAAAAACTCCATTGATTTGTCTCCTTGTTTACAATAGCCTTTCAATGTTCAGGAATTTTTCAAAACTGTATTGAGCCATTTCAAATTATTAAATGCCCTTTTTTTTCAATTTTGTAAGAAACGTTATTATTGTAAAAATACAACCATTTAATTGACTTTACAGCTCAAAGAAATTTGTTTAAGTGTGCAGTTACTCTTTAATTGTGAAATAACCTGTAATGGTAAACAGAGCAGAATGTTTAAAGGATGGAGCCTCTATTAGTCTTGCCAATTTTGGCAATCCCAAAGTCCCAAATCAAGTTGTTGGGTCGATGGTAGCTTGTAACAAGATTGTAACACATGGCCTCACCTTGGCGTATACTAAATGATCAACCAACCAGATGACATGTGATAGGAATGTCTTGTACTACAGATTCCACTCCCAGTGATAATTCACTCTCCCCTCTGATGGATGACACCAAAGTGGACGATGACATCATAATCACATCACCCAACAAGACCCGTACAACAGAAGACCTGTTTGCCATGATACACAGGTGCTTTGAATTTAGCATTGGTAGTCTGTCCACGCTGTCTGTGTACTGCATCCATTTGTCAAATTTGTGTGGCGATCCAGCTACAGGTGTTTATGTTTTCCCTGTACCAACTCTAAACATCGAACTGTTCTGTCACTTCCTTACTCAGATCAAAAAGAAAGGTCCTGGGCCGTAAAGATTCAGGGGACTTAAACGCAAAGTCTCGTCTCTGCGCCGCAGTACCAGTGACTCCTGTGTCCGCCGTCATTATCCCACCAGCCCCCCCTCTCAACATCCCAGCCCCCATAGTCCCTGCTGCCGCGACACAGCGAGCTCCTGTGCCAATCTACCGCAGCGCCAAGAAATCCAGCACGTCTAACGAGGAGTTTAAACTCCTGTTGCTGAAGAAAGGTAGCAGGTCCGATTCCAGCTACCGCATGTCAGCCACAGAGATTCTGAAGAGCCCCATTGCCCCTAAAACCCCTGGGGATCCCCTTCAGGAGGGGGCCATTAGACAGGCTGAGGAGATACCATTTACACTCCAAGAGCCACCGATTTCTGGCTTTGACCCAATCCAGATACCGGGCCTTTTTCCCAGAGCCAACTCGGAGAGTTTCAGCGCCAAAACCATGCCTATGTCTGCTGCATCTCGACAGGGACGTTCTCGGATCCCCCCTGTAGCTAACAGCAGTCGCTATAGTACAAGGAGCCGCCTCTACACGGCCCCCATGCAAGCCATTTCTGAAGGGGAGACAGAGAACTCGGATGGGAGCCCCCATGATGACAGATCATCCTAAAACCACCTGATGAGAGATGTCTTCTATTCTCAGCTGAGTCCTCTCTTGGATTGGCATGTCATCATGGCCAATAGTGTAATTCTTCTGACACACAAAATCTGACTGTTATTAAAATGCACCCGGTTTTGGATCTAGTGTTGTATTTAAGGCTGTCGAACATTGTTACAGAGGATATACTTTAATACTGTCGTGTCGAATGAGTATCTCCCACATAGTTAAAAGAGACGGACTTAAGACCTATTTTGATTGAACTGTTTAAAAAAATGTAGGAAAAAAAGATGTCCCAAATATTTGGTAAATTATAAGAAAATCAATTTTGTTGAGTATGGACAACGTGTGTGTGCATGAACGAGCACATGCAGCATCCACTGATGATTTCTAATTCTTGTGTTTTGACCGGCGTGGGTGTGAGTGTGTTACCGCAGAACTGCTTTCTTTTTTAAATGAAAAATTATTGTGAAATTTAATATTATTGTGGTGCCGAAATTAATGGTCAGACTTTTCAGAGTCCATCCTCAATATTCCTGCCAACCAGCAAGGTTTGTTTCCTTGTGGAAGTTACTAACAACAGAGCACCAACCCATCTATTATATTTCCATCTGCAGACCTGGCATAGAGTATATCATACAGAGCCAATCATATATTTCTTCACATTAATTATATCCAAAAAGATGACATGATGCATGTATTTTTGTAAAACTGCGCCTCAGAACATGATGATAAAGTTTCACCATGTTGCATGACCCTATATGGAAACATCCCCTCAATCCTGGCTTCTGTCCACATTTCTGCGTTTCCTTTGTATTATAAGCATAATTAATCTTTCACTGTGAAAGGTTTTAGAGACATTTGTATTACATTGCCAGTGATCTAGATTGATTTGTCTTGGATTTGAGTGTCTAACAAGAAGGAAAAAGGGCTTGCACCTAGATGGGGCCTATTGGTCAGCTAGATACAGGCTCATTTTGGACAATCGCACAGTGGCCTTTCTGTACTAGTTGTGAGCAGGGCATTTATAAGTCCCTGCACATGTACGTGGGCACACGCCATGTTCCACCGTGATTCAATCACATACTTATCTAAACCCAACCTTGAAATCAAGTATGTTTAGACTGATTAAAGCTTTTCCAGCTGCTGGCCAGTGTTGCTGTGCTGACTTGGCGGGGGAAGAGGTGCATTTCAAAGCAGACACCATTGAGTGCAGACGGTGAAAATGCTTTAGATGGTCCTCAATCGGGTTTGACAAGAGGTTCAGTTGGACACTTCTCCAAGAACCAACCTCGCTTTTGCACTTCATGACTCTTAAAGAATATTCCTTGAAAAGAAGATATATCTTATAAATCAAATTGCATATGTATATTTGTACTGGATATTAAAAAAAAGTCATATCTATATAAAAACAACATGACGGAATTTTATAGGGAATTAACCTGAGTGTAGCATAGAAGAACAGGTCTCACTGACAACATCAAACATGACTCTCAACATTGCACACTTTTCTCCTCTCCTTGTTGCCTCTCCTTCATTTGCACTGACCCAGTAGCATTAGACAGGCGAAAAAGCTCAACCATATCATATCACTAACTGTGAAAGAGAGGAAACAAGAGGAGGAAAGGACCTCATACCGCCAACATGTCAAAGCCAGCAATGCATCCGATGCAATGCTGCTGCCTTTTCCCTCCAACACCAGGGTTTGATTATAGAAATCTTTCCCGTTCATCCAATAAATGTATCCCACTTAAAACATCCAGCTGTGTGACGGAAGCAAACTGTCATCTGAGGAAAGTTTCAACTCTCACCGGTTTATCAAAGCAAACACATAACGTCTTACATTCAGAGGCCGTACTTCAGTAGAAACCATTTACTGTATTCTGTGAATACCTCAGCAAGCATATTACTGTTTTATTGTAAATGCTACGGACATAGATAGAAAGAGATGGAGATAGATGGATAGATAGATAGATAGATAGATCAATAAATATATAGTATGGGTTGACTGCTAGATAGATAGATAGATAGATAGATAGATAGATAGATAGATAGATAGATAGATAGATAGATAGATAGATAGAAAAAACCCACAACTGTTTGATACTCAGCGAAACTGACTAGCAGAACTGACACTGTGTAAGATGGAGAGGGTAAAAAGCTGTGAAACGATTACTAGCATTTTACATCCTTCATACCCGTACTGCTTAAGCGCACTCGTTCCTGTTCATTGTTTTATTTGTTGTGTTTTCTATCGCATGCAATAAGTGAAGAAAAAAAAGAAGAAGAAAAGAAAAAGGACACCATCATATCATTATTTTTATCTGAGGGATGTCTCCATACCACAAGAAAAGATTTTGTATTTTCCGTTCAAATGTTGAAGTTCAATAGTGTGTTCTCTAGATGTACAAACTGTCTGGCTAATTCTGTTCTGTATAGTCGTGATCACAAACAGGGGTTTATCTTGTACTGTATATCTACTCACTGGACAATCATAGGTATAAGAGACTGTAAAGAAAATAATGATACAGAATCTGTCGGGATGGAGAATCTGAACACTTGGTGCTGGGTTCTAGTCTTGCTGGAGCTGAGGAAGTTGGGAGTGAGAGAAATATCTTCCAGGAGAAACTGCTGATATCAGTTATAAGGTGCATCTCAACAAACCGCTTTAGAAACAAGATGTACATGTTAAAAAAAAATGGTAATGGGGGAAAAAAACGATCCATTCATAGCCCCAAAAACGTTTGATCCAATCAGGAAGTCATAGCTGAATTTTAGATTCCCGCAAAACATCCTAACCGAATTGTTATAAATAAGGAATGAGTATGGTTGATACTCATAGCAGCATTTTATGCCAAATGCAATGTGGCTGTGAAATGCTAATCAAAAGTTTAAAAACTAAAGTAGCCGACTTGTTTAGCGTGATTTTTCCATACTGTACTCGGTACTGATGCTATAGAAGTATTTTAACACTGTTTCCTATATTTGTAACAGCAGTGGAGAGATAATTTATTGACACAATTTGGCTAGAAAGACAAACTAAGAGGTTGCCACGCAGTCCCATTAACATTCATTCACTGTCTCAAACCTCAGTCCTCAATAGCTTGGGAACAATACAAGAATCCATAAATTGTATAGATTCTAAGTCCCAACTTGTTTTCAAATGTCTACTTGCAATTTTGCGCTGAAAGAGCAGTGTGACAGCAACCACTAGGTGTTTTTTCTCAGAAGTGTACAGTGTAGAATAACACTAAAGCAGACTTCAAAATATGTGACAGAGAACTGAAAAAATGACATAGTGCAACTATATCTATTTAAAAGAGGCTCCATGTTTGAAACTAGCTAGGACTTAACAGATTTGAATCACTTTTGTATTTTTGTATAAACCTGTAAATACGTTTTTAAAGAAAAAAAATGTTTCCAATTTTTTCTTTTGTAAAATAAATCAACAAAATAATAAAAAGTAAAAAGTTTTTTTTTTTTCAAAGTTTACATCATTATTTCCAAGCCTTTGTATATTTTGGAGCTACAACAGCTTCAGTCTTGTATTAATTTATTTTTTGGGGGTGGGGTTACAACATGTGAAAATTCCATTCTTCTATATCTAATTCATTTTAACAGCTCATCAGGCTGCTTAGTAACTGTGCATAGAAAAAAAGCCAATAAATGTGATTGCGTTGAAACAGAATGCCTTTTGTGTGACACTTCATTTCCTCCCCATCAGACACATCAGTGTTTTGACAGGATCTCTCCACTAGATGTCACTGCTTTACTCTTGTTTAGTTTAAGGCTCGACTACAAACTTTATCAGTGAGCTGAAGCTTCCGGTCTACAAACTCCATTCACAAAAACTGCCACAATCCACTCTTATTGAATTGACAAATACTGTCAAAAGGAAGAAAAAGCAAATATGATCACTCCAACTTCCCTGAGATGTTACTTATTTGGGATTCTACTTTAAAACTACCCGGCCATCCAAACAATGAAATTCAAAGAGAGTTTTACAGTATTTGGTGGTTTATCAATAACTACATACCTTTTTTTAAATTGGTTATACTTTAGATTTAATTGGTATAAGTCTCAAGTGCAAAGAATAAAAAAAAACGTCTTTGAAGCGTCTCTTCTGGTGACGCGCTAAACGTGGCGCTAGGCTAGCTGTTAGCCTGCCGTACGCTAACGTTAGCTCATCGGTGCACCTCAATAACTATTTACACAATATTGAAAGTTAACTAACGTTACATTTAGGCTACTCAATTAGTGTCTGTAATGTTAAATATAACTCTAGGGTATTTGTATTTTGCTTGAGGAACAATACTTTCATTTTCAGACAATGTAAGATTTGTTGATCCGTGGGAGATATTCGCTAACTACCCGGAGGTAGGCTACGCAAAGTTATTTAATTTAGTAAAATTTAACAACTGCAATAATTAATAATAATAATAACTAATTAAACCGAATTAATTCTGCATAATTAGTACTGTGACCTCAAACAACTTCAGGAGGCAATATTTTGGTACTACTTTGTAGTTTTTTGTCAAACGTTTAATGCCTGACTTATACACTATGCCGTTGCCACGTATAACTAAATCAAGATGAAATTACTTATCCCACTGCTGGATATCAGCTATATATAATCTCTGTAATCAGGAGAAAATAACTCCAAGGATAATATTTTTACAGAGTTCACATTTAATTGAACCGACATATGACCAGATCCAACTAAAACAATAAGGTAGAAAAAAGCATGTCACTCAAAGATACTCACTTACGAGGACATAGTCCACAAAGTTCTCATTACATATATTTATTTTTCAGCAAAGTCACTCTTGAGCGATTATTATTATTCCATTTCTGCGGGTTGGTCCCGATGCTCATGGCAGAGAGCGAGTTTCCTTGTAGTTAAACATCGTAATGGATGTTGTTTCAGATACATAATTGTAAGCATGTAGAGGGGTGTAGCGTTTGCTGTGATTGTAGCGTTCTTCACAACCAGCAAACAGCATAGATCCGTCCCAAAGACTTTGAGGGATGAGTCCTAATTACCCTGTTCCTTCTGAGTGCTGCTGATCAGCTATTTGAACTGGCTGATCTTTCGAACAATGATTCTATTGGACTGTCACTTTCCTTAAGTAAGACAGCCATGACCCTTTGACCCCCCCACCCCCATACCCTCCGGACAGAAACACCCACAAACACAAAAAAAAACAAATGTAAAAGGAAATGGACGTCTACCAGTGCTGTGGAATATTGTGTTTCTCTTAGCCGCTTATGACCCTATATCTATCATTCTAAACACAATTATGTGGCCACTTTGGGAAAAAAGATCAAATAATACTTTTATGCTACACAGAATTCTGTTATTGTGAACAGTATGAATTTGGAAATAAAGCCTCCTGTGTTGATTTGGTCAGAACTCTTAACCATGTGAAACTAATGTTGATGGGTTACAAGTAGACATTGCTTTGTGGCCCTGTGCTTGGGTATCAAACGGTTATAGGATGTAAACAAATGTTTAATTGTGTGAATGCATATCAAACATATTAACCAACCATTTTTTTGTTACAGTAAAAAGTTGCATATTTACACGTGAAAGGCTACAGACAGAGCGATGACAAGCCATAGAAAATATACATAGTTGTTATTGTGCAGTCCATCTATGTCGTAGCAATGAACACAACATGCCAGAGATGTAAAACATCGACAAAACAACCTCTACTAAAACCTGAGTTTCACATTAAGTATCAGCTTGTCACCACTAAAACTGAGCAACAGTGTGAAATGCAGCTACAACACACATGATTTGGTTTGAAAAGGGTTCTGAAATGTTCAGAAAATATGTATTAAAAGAGTTTAATACTTTGAAACGTGTGATTACTTACTCAGACATGGCATTATCCTGCATGTAGTTATGTGTTGGTGCATACAAAAAAATATTTCAGGCAAAAAAAAATTTGATTACACTTACGCTTGATACAATTTGTCACAGTACGAAATTATATTTTTAAAAAACCCTTTTGGCTTGACTTCATACGAAACAGTTTACCCATCATGTACTCTCTCTTCATGTTCTGTACATGTGACTGTACAAGCGTATTACAATCATGTAGCCACAACAGCGCACAAGTTGAAATGTTTCACAGCACCACAAACTGACTCAAAATAAAATCAATTGTCAAGGTTTTCGTCCTAGTAAGATCATTTAGGTGTTGTCCACTATTTGATGATCAAAAAAAAGTGTTAGAGGACAGAAGTCATTCCCAAAGATAATCCCAGACCTTGGAAATTAAACCTTTCAAACTTCTTATTCATATAACCAGGGCACTCCTGTTGGTAATTATGCTCATGGATGAACTCATCTAATGACAGCTTGTAAAAGATGAAGTCATTCAGACCCATAATTACGTTGTTGGAAATGATGCAGCCAAACAAACTAACTTTTCCAATCACGAGCGGAGAACATTTATCCTGAAATTCTGACAGGGAAAACATTTTGTAGACAGCTGGATATCTGAGAAGACAAAGCGGCCGAGCGTACGGCCTGTCTGCTAAGTTGGATCAATTGTGTCCTCTGGCTGTTGACGATAAGGCAACAGAAACAAATGCTGGGATGTCTGTTACTAGTGAATCTCATTTGTGTCCATTTTAAATATGAAATATTTAAACAAATTTAAACAAATGTCCCACGGACCGGTAGCGGTCCGCGGCCCAGTGGTTGGGGACCACTGCCGTACACCACCCGCAAATCTAGATGAAGATGTCACATGTTTTTGACAACATGGGTTTTTCATGTAATATTTACTCACTTGACTGCGTAACTATACTTTCCGGTCTAATCTGTGTTGATTTATTTATTCGTTAGCCTGAAAGCTTGTATAAGTTAATGTATAAGTTTGTAATATACCCGATGGGCACTTGACCTCAGTGTCCGCGGCGGAGGCTCCGGCTCTGGTTCGGCTGGATTCACACTGCCAACATCCCTGTACAGTAGAACGTGTTGTTGTGTGTTTGGTGGCCTTCATCCGCTATTGCTTGGTCTGCTTCAGCCTCTCGATGTGATGACAGAGTTTGAGCGCCGGGCCCAGCTTCAGTCCCATGTACTTCATAATGACATCACTGCGCAGCAGCATCAGAGCTCTGCCGTCGATCTCCTGCAGAGAGAGGAGCACGCCGCCGTTACGGACACTTCCTGCCCCGACCGGGCCGTCAAAATGACTTTTACGTAGTGGAAGCTTGATTCGCCTCCGATGAGTAGCCGCGTGCTCTGTTTGAATGAAATACTCACGTGTCTTCTGAACAGTTCGACGTGCGGCCCGAGTGTTTGGGGGTCGGCCTCTTGGACGAACCGCATGACATCGTCGACTGACCAGGAAGAGGCGTCGTTCCCTGAAGCCTCCTTGTCCGGTTTCAGGTGGTCTGAGCCTGTTGTTGAGCTGGCTGCTGTAGAGGGTGAGAGACGACAACCAAATCAAACAAACGCCGTTAGCAAATACTGCTCCTTCTGTGTGTGTGTGTGTGTGTGTGTGTGTGTGTGTGTGTGTGTGTGTGTGTGTGTGTATTTCCCTACCCTCCACTCGTCTGGGTGGACACATCTGGCCCAGTTCGGTGGGGTTGGAGCTGACGCGGCGCAGAGGCGGCGGCGGCGTGTGTGTGTGTCCGGGGTAATATGGCCGCTCCTTCTTCGTTGCTCTGTAGTCGGATGCGGCGTGGAGGGGGCGGGCGCCGGGAGAGGCATCCTTGGAGGAGTTGTCGTTCGACAGGCCGTTCTCCGGCTGGGACAGCGGTTCTGTTTCAAGCGGGGTTGAGAGATGTTTTTGTTGGGTGCTGTGTGAATATCTGAACGCATCTATACCCCACGGAGGGTCACTATACAAATGTACATTAGTGCAAAAGCTAGTTGAATAGAGCCCGGTTTTACAATGAAAATCATTTTGCCACCATAAACTTCATTCAATCCGTTTTGCTGGCAAACCTCCCCTCTTTCTCCATGTCTTTGGCCTTCACCTTCTGCCGCTACAGTAGCTGCGTCCGCACATTTGCCCACCTGACTTGGTCCTGTTGTAGAAGCGTGTGTTGTTGCTGAAGGGGCTGAATGGCTGCGAGCTGAACAGGCTGTCGCTCTCCAGATGTAGGCACATGTTCTCCAGGAAGCGCAGCACCGAAGACGTGCTGGAGGCGGAGGGCAGCTTCACATAGCGGATACCGTGCTCTGACCGCACTGGGGTGTACAACACAGACCGGTTTTAGTCTTAATGCTTACAGCACACACACACACACACACACACACACACACACACACACACACTGTATGCATTCAAAGCTTAAGAAAGACAGCAGATGGTTTAGGGCTACCACCCTCCCTTTAGAAGCAAAACCCCACATTTTTTGTCCCATCCCACTGCACCCCCACCCCTCTCACATAACCCAAGCCAAGCCTGCACAAATCCACAAATTAAACCCCCACACCAAGCCCCCCCGCCCCCTTACCCACAGCCTTCCCAATCCGGCCCCCCAAGGGAGAACCAATCCCAGCATCCCAAACCAGGTTAGACTCACATGTCATTTCTGATTACTGACACAGTGCTCACATCAGCTGCAGCCACAGGCACAGTCTTTTATTCCTCCTCTCTTTCCTCTGTCACACACACACATGAACGCACACGCACACATACACACACGCGCGCGGCATGCGAGACCCATGAGTGTGTGCTTAAACCAATTTCACCTGGCTGATTGCCTATCCAGGCTGTATGAATTAGAATTTATCCAGCACCCCTTTCCCAACAAGTCATTTTGAAGGAATAGTTCAATGTTCGCGTCCTCGCCAACAGTTAGATGAGGAGATGAACTCTGCTGGCAGCAGCTAGTTAGCTTAGCATAAAAACTTGGAAACTGATGGAAACCTAAAGACAACAATAACCTACCTACCAGCACCTCTGAAGCTCTCTATTGAACACAATATTTGTCTGTATTTTTTGATTGTTGAGTTTCTTTTTCACATGGTGCTGCGTCCGCTGAGTCTACCTCGGATGACCTCTCCTCCGGTGTGGGACTGGCTCTGTAGGAAGGACAGCATCACGGAGGGCTGGTACGTGCAGTCCACGCACGCCTGGACGGCCTGCTGTAGCACGGCGTTGACGGGAGCCGGGCCAAAGTGGTCCGGGAGCTGCTGCACCAGCTTCCTGTCCAGGTGCGGCCCGTAGTTGCCGTGCTTGTTCACATAGACGCACACTGCAATGACACAAAGAGACGGAAGAAGACATGAACCAACCTAAACATCGTTGAGTCCTTTCTATTGACTGATGAAATCAAGATTAGACCCCCACAGCCACTTCTATCTGTTATCCCGTTTACCTGTGCAAACCACATTGGAGCCGTTGCTGTGGTTGTTGTCTGCCGGGACGTTTCCGGAGCTCAGTCTGGTCTCCGGAGGTGCAACCGCAACCGCTGGCGCCCCCATAGATTGCACCACTTGGGGCTTCTTCTGGAGCAAAAGGATAAACAAACCCTCTCTCATTAACTCTGCGTAACCTACAAAGGCTGTTTGGTTAATGATTCGTTAAAGGGCGTCTTTTAACCCTTTCACCGCTCCACGTGAACCGCACTGCTCTCCTCTTTCACCGTGAGTGAACGCGCGAAAACTCCTCCCTCCCCTCAGCGCTCCACCTCTGCCCTCTTCCCCGCTCCATCAAAATCATTTCTGCCACAACACTTCTAAACACAGAGCGACGGCGGCTCCCGTGGCAGCTCACCTTGATCTTAGGCTTGGGCCCTCTCTTCTTGTGTGGTCTGGGGGCCAGTTGAGCCTGGGAGCTCTGCGATGCTCCATTAACGGCCGCCGCCGCCGCCGCCGCCTCGGCCGCCGCCTTCAGCAGGGCGATAGTCTGGGATTTGGGTCGACGACCCCGGACGCCCTTGCGCACAGGCAGGGGCGGCAAGGGGTTGGGCAGTCGGTATGAGGTCTGCATGGAGGAGGAGGAGGAGATGGAGCGGCGTGCAGCGAGGGAGGCCGAGGCGGAGGAAATGGGGGCGAGGAGCGCGCCAGGGAGGGTAACTGGATAAGATAGAGGGATATGAGAGGGAGGAAGAGAAGGGCGAGATGAAAAAATATATTATTCTTTTGGCGATGCACACATTAGATTGCATCACACTAAATTGACCTGCAGGGGAGATTTGTTTTGATTTCTTTTTTGATTGGCAGGTCCTTTGTATTTAGCCCCTCCTTACAATGAAACCAGAGTCACAAGTCACAAACCCCCCAGAGACGCGCCTGCTAGACGATTCCTCGCCGGCCCTCTGCTTCCCGCAGCACAACAAGAACGGTGACTATGGTGATAAGACTTTAAATCCTTTCAATGTAAAAGACGAAAGCTATGAGAGTCCAGTGTCAATGGGGAGTAGAGAAAAATCGTATGACAATATATCAACTGATGATTGAGGGATGAGAATATAAATACATTTTAATCAGTAGATCTTAGAAAGTAGAAAAAGAAGAAAATACAATATTTTAAAAGTTGAGATATAATGGAGCCAATAAAACACTACAACAAGGAATCATTTCTGCTGCTGGAAAGTGTTTTCTACCATGAATCATGTCAACAGAAGGACTTTTCAAAACGCCTTCTCAAAAGCTGACTTTGCCACTGTACGGCCATTTGTTACATTGGCACAATTAAGAGAGAAATATTACAAATGGATTATTAGAAATACTATACTGGTGAATTCATTAATTGTATTTTTTATGTTTAAAGTCCTAAGAAGGTCTTTGTTTGGCCACGTTTCTTTGCATGGAAATTTAAAATATGTCAAAAATCCAATGGTGGATAATTACTTTTTTTATTATTACTGTATATGCCAATCAGCTTTGGTGTTGAAATAGAAGGAAAGTGGTAATAAAGTGAAAATATATATATAAATATATATTCAGAAAGAAGAAAAAATCTGTGGGCCCACCGTTGTCTTCATTGGCTCTGAGCGTGACTTTGTGATATGATCACATGATCATCGTAATAAATGTTTGAAAGAAGGAGAGCACAGATGAGAGAGAGGGATGACCATCTCCTATTTCCAAACAGACATATTGCCTGAGTGCAGCGGGGGGGCCTGAAAGTGCACAAGGAGGCTCTCATGGGGCCGGGGCTTTCATTAGAGCCTCCTTGGCTGACGATATGGAGACACGGTGCAAGGTTCACCGTATCCTCCGAGGGGCCGGCCGGGGCACCCAGAAAGCTGCTTAATTGGGAAATGGGTGGACGTGGGCATGGAATCGAGCCGTGTGTTGTTTCAGCGGGAGTGCTCTCGCAGAAAGCGTGCACGCGGGGAATCACAAGCTTCACAAAGACACATCAAACATGTGTTTGCGGGGGGGCCAATCAGTATCAGCAGGTTTTAATTCACCATGGGAAATCAGGGTTGGAGGGGGGGCTTCTCTGATCTTTCCCTCTTGTAAAAAAGAATATCTAATCCAATCAGGTTGTGACACCTAAGCAACATGTGCCATTTCCACACTGACGATTAATGTCACACCAGAGTTTAGTTCATCCTGACTTTAAAGACGCCTAATCACCTTCACGTTTTCTGCTTCAACTTTCAAGGAAAATCAGCTTAGGGATGCGTTTCATTCCACACTGGCTGACAGCATCATGCATATTCTGTACCCGCTCGTTCAAGCGCTTCAGAGAAAAGAGGAAGTGATATTTACACTGAGAGAAATACTTCTGTGTTTTTCACCGCTGCACTATTGATATATTTCTAAATGTCATTCTACACACATAGATCCCCATAATCCCGCGGGACATATCCGCTGTTTATGCAAACGTGTTCTGCTGCACAGAGGAAAGAGTTGAGCACGACGTGTGTTTTACAGTAAAGTCTCAAATCCTTTCATTTAAGAAGCTGGGTACAGCGAATGTATGTTTTATTGGAACTAGCAAACTAACACTTCAGCTTCATGTGCTGTACGTTTTCATATTTTTTGTACAACAATAACCATTTTCTGCCCGATGAGGTGGAAGCGCTGGCGTTGGATGCAGCGCTATGGTTTGCTCAATGGTTAGATGTGATGTAATACGTGATCCGTAGCATGGCTAAAATATACAAAGCCACTAGCAAGTGTATTCTATTGTACCAACCTAAACCTGCAACGTTCAGACCAACCACAACCAAGTTAAAAAATTAGAACACTTATTGGTGTGAGTTCTTTGTTTTTTGCATGGCATACCGAGCACGCCAACGTGCAACTAAACGGACATATGGTACTGATCATGACTATATAATTCCAACTCGACCCGCTGACCCGTGAGAGCCACAGCTCGAGGAAACGTGCGAGTGTGTGCGAGTGTGTGTGAGCGTACAAACACGGATGAGAACGGGGTCGCTGAGAAGTGTGTCTGCTGTGCGGGGGGGGGGGGGGTTGGGGGAGGGGCTCCACAGAGTTGCTGCTCATCTAATTGCGACCCCCCCGTCACAGCAAACAGGCCAGTCAGCCACATGCACGCACACACACACACACACAGGTTGTTCATGTGAATCTGAAGCCGTATCAAACTCACGGAGAGCGGATTCAGGTTACTGCGCGTTACTGCGTGCCAGCTAGGGGGAAGTAACTTAAATGGCCTCCAGGTCACAAAGTATAAACAACACTGTGTTTTCCTGCACAAAGTCTTCAGCGCCGGCAGAACATCACTCACACAGGACTTGTGTGGAGGATCACTGCTGAACTGCTTGTTTAGGTTCACGTAGTAAAAAAGAAGACTGCATGAAATGAGTCCACTAATCCTTGGATGAGAGTTTTTCTTTTTCGCTAACTAATTCCTGATGCTTTGCACACACACGCACTGAAGAAACGCATGATCAAAAACACATGGAGCGCCACACATAATAAGAGCCCAAAATACTGTTTGATCTGCACACTCTGCATCTCTCTGATTAACAAAAGCCACCAGTCTCTTCCAATATATCTGACCGAGTGCATTCTAAAACGTCTTCATGCTAAACAAAGAACACAGTGTCAAACTGCAGCTTTAATCAGTAACACCAGAGTACGAAGCGGCTGCATGCGTGAGATGACGTGCAGCTTTCAGAAGATTACGCCTTTACTTTCATTTTTGTTGTTATGCCAATAATATATGGCCAGAAGGCGACAACGAGTTATTTTAGTAAATGATCCTTTTAGCTGTTTGAGGGCAAAATTAAATGAGTTTGAAGATACATCTTCCTTCAGTGGTTTTATATGTGTGCAGTATTCATTGATATTGATTTGTTACATTCTAAGTAGAAACAAAAGCATATGATTTATAAAAAGGAACCGAAATACTTAATAATGATTTTTAAAAAAGTGCCTGCACTTATATATATATATATATATATATATATATATATATATATATACACACATGATTATTACACATTAACACATTAAACACAATCCTAAAACATCATAAATATGAACACATAAACATCATGAAACACAATCAAGGCGCAAATAACCTGTTTTGTCATTTCAGTTTTGAAAAGAAGACTTAAGAAACAACTTGGTAAACATACCAAACTCACCAGGAAATCCCCTCCGATAATGAAGAACTTCCCTGCTACAGTTGTGGCTTTTGTAGTAGCAGTAGCAGCAGTAGTAGTAGTAGTAGTAGTAGTAGTAGTAGTAGTAGTAGCAGTAGCAGTAGTAGTAGTAGTAACAGTAGCAGTAGTAGTGTTGTAGGTAATGGTAGTGATAGTGGTAGTAATGTCCGTAACAATAAGTCCCTCCGTACAGTCGCTTCCTTGTTCCCCCTCTGAAAAAACTCTTGTTTAGCTGGTGCTGGCGTTTCCTCTCAGGCCGATTCTTTCCTCTCCCTAACTTCCTCTAAAATACTTCCCTCATCTGCACTTGGGTGTCTTCTCTCTGGCTCTCTATCAGTTGGTGAGTCTCTCTCCTCTCTTTTCTCCCGGCAGTCGTCTACAACAAAGCCCACACGGCTGCTGCCTCTGCTGCCCGGAGCCGCTGCAAAGCTTCCCTCCCAATGAATGAGCAGGAGAAGGGGAGGGGACAGGAGGGGCGGGGGTCGATATTTGCATAAGGGCTGGGGAGGGGTAGAGCGAGGGCAGGAAAAGTGGGTGGGTGTGTGGCGTGGAAAGAGGGGTGGGGTGGTTGGGGGGGGGGGGGGGGGGGGTTGAGCCCTTTATTCATGTTATCTTTAGGCCGTATCGACAGTCTACATCAGTCACCTGCTTCTCAGCAAGCCCAGGGGGGGAGGGGGAGAGGACGGGGGAGAGGACGGGGGAGAGGGGTTCACGGCGGGGCTCCGAGAGGGGATTGGGGATGGGGGATGGGGGGGAAGTAAGAGGTTGGACCGGATCAGAAGTCCTGATTGAAACGGGTGAAAAGGGGCAAAGTACTGGACTCGAAGCACATGTGAGCAAGCTTTCCCTCAACACACACACACACACACACACACACACACACACACACACACACACAGAGACACAGAGACACACACACAGGCTCTTGGCCCAGAAGGAGTGTAACCCAAGACTATTCAGACATTCCCTGCTGAAGGATGGCCAGGTCCTGCTCCAGGAAACAGTTGCCCAGTCAGACATCACCGAAGCTCTGGAACAATGTGGAGCAGAGCAGTCAGAGGAAGCCGGCATGGGAAAAGTCCCTCCACTCCAAAATGTCCTAAACAATGTCACAAACGGACAGGCGCTGTCAAGGGAGACACTGTTGTGCATCTGAATTAGATATGGCTGACAGATGTGGAATTGTTTGACACCATTCTTAGGTTCAGAAAGCCTCCTAAGATCTAGTCTTCTGGAGGAAGCAACAGAGAATTTGATCCGGTGAGTTTGAGAAGGCCAGAGCAAACTGAGGGTGGTGAATTCAAAATAAAAGAGCTAGAAAGTTCATCTGAAAGGGAACAGCGAATATAGACAATGTACTGATATTGTTTTTTTGGTATTTAAATACTAATACCTGAATGAATTGTGTTAAATTCCTCACTAACCAGTCAACATTATTTAATAAATACAATTCGGTGTCTATAGGGTAATTATTTCCCAAAATATAGAATACAAAGATATCTAAAAATAATTTCTTCTTAAATAGAAAAACACTATTATGTGTCTGCTGAAATACAGACATGCTCTATTATTCTATGTATTATTCAGAAGATCCTATTCTGCATGCTGACCCAGTTTAATATCAACAAGCAAGACAAAGGCCATTCACATAAAAAACATTTTTGTGAGAAAGTCATGTTCAAAAAAGGGAAAATAATTAGACATCCTCTGTTACCTCTAAGTGAAACGTGTTGCAGGGGTACGGCAGGACAATTCTGATGAAAGCCAATTAGAAATTTAAAATTGTAATTACAGTCTTTCACTTCTTCTCTCGCCTGTGCGGCTAATTATCAGCTCATTAACACCTCAACCGAGTCCTACTTACTTACTTACTCCCAGGCAAACAAAGCTGTCTGCTGATTAACATTACACATTGTTGTTGTTGTTGTTTTTTTTACCTACAAACTCCACACACACAAAGCACACACACAAACGGGTCCTAATAGGTAAGTAAGTCTCTCTGCAAGCACACACCAGACCAGACACATGCATTGATTGATGCATTGATCACGTGGCTCAAACTCCTGCTCCAACTCCGGAGAGACGAATCTGTTCACCTGCTGCACAAAGTTAAACATTTACATCCACAGTTATCTACAGTAAGCAAACATTGTAAAACAATACGTGCACACGTCTTCTAGTCATCTAAACCTGTAGCGGAGCGGAGACGCTGATGCAACACTTCTGTTGACTCATATGTTAGATTCAGGTTAGTTACTAGAAACACGCTACTTGAGCTCTCTAAATAGTGTTATAGTAGTAGATAATAGTAGATTTAGTTTAAAACCTAGATGCAGGCAGCCAAGTCATTCTTTATTCCCATTAAACAGTCATTCATAAAATTGAGACTCGCCTTACAACTCCACATTAATGTAATATGGTGGGGAAACTTGGTAAGCTGTGGAGGCGGATATGAGAATGTCACAACATGACGGCTCCCTTCACGCACACGCACACACACACACACACACACACACACACACACACAGGTTAGTATCTCGTCGCCAGGCCGCCTTGTGTGGAGCAGATATCGACGTCGATACATAAACACGGAATGGTGGATGTAAATCCGACTGCCTCGAGAACATGTGACTGCTGCCATCAATCAAACACCAACAACCACCACACACACACACACACACACACACACACACACACACATGGACTCACACTTCCCGTCAATCAAGTCGGTTGTTGGTCTGTGTTATTCAAAGGCCCGTTGGCGTGCTGACCAGAGGACGGGAGGCAACGTAACTGCAGGCGAGAGGACGGTGGATCGCGACGGATGAGAAACGTGAGAGAAACCAAAGAGGCTTTGAACAAAATGAAGCTCCAGTGCTTTAGTGCACATCACACCTTGATGCTCTCCTGTAACCGCCGAGCGTAATTACCACATAATTGCACCCTGATTGATAATTAATAGTTCAGCTCTGCCTTCACACTTTAATAATATCTATCGAGGCTGTAATTTGACACATAGAGGGAATGTTTTGTCTATGTGAGGATAAGAAATCCTGCAAGGCACCCACGGAAAAAATGAACAGAAGCAAGTTCTTTTACAAAAACAGGTTAAGTTCTTTTACAAAAACCACGGAAAATACAAATTTTCTGTAATTTTGTCAATGTTTTGTGTTTCTGCAATATAATCGTAAAACGTGCTTCTCTTTTAGTGTATGATTAACACTCTTATAATAGACATTTATTCAAGAAGCCTTTAAGATATACATCTATTTTTTGATTTTGATTATTTTTTGATGAACAGAACCAAGCAGCACATCATTATTGATAATGGTTCATTTATTTGAATGATCTGTGCTCACATAAGTTTGCAGATAAGTGATAAAAGACAAATTGTTAATCTGAGTTTGAAGCTGTTTTTCACTCTACAATTACAATCCCTCATAAACGGCTCGCCGCCCAAATAAGCAAAGAGGCAACATCAATGATTAATAACTACACAACAACAGACGGTTGTTCAGAAAAAAATCTATAATTACATTAAACGAAAACACCCTTTTTTACTTCTTTTTCAATCTCTGAAAAAGGCAAAACAGCCCAGACAATCACACATGAAGAAAGCTGCCAGTGGTTAAGTAGAGCAGCGGATTGAGGGACCAGAAATTGTAATCTATTCAAGCAGACTCCCTAAATCTTCAGAGAACCGCAGCCTCAATGTGGAGGTCACAACCCCACCAACAAAGACAAGCAGCTCAGACCAACGCACACAGAGGGAAACTAAACATACAGAGGAGATTCACAAACGACCATCGGACCTCAACATTTACACACTGACTTGGGTTTTCCTTAAAAATAATTTCAGTGCAAACCGGCTCCAAAACGAAGACGAAGGCTTTAAGTGAGCTCTGTGATCTGTGAAACGTCAACTGCGTTATTGTGTCACATCACTGAAGTGATTACTGCATGACTACAAGACGTCATCATCATCTTCCATCCATCCTGTTACAAAGAACTAACACTTCACCAGACAAGCCGACTGCCATCAAATAATGCACCCAAAAATGTATCCGGGAAATTAACCAAAACATTCTCCTTCTGTGAAAGATATTAAAATACGTTTTAATAATATTATCGATTCCAATTATCAATCTCAGTGTCTATGAAATACTTTTCATCTACTTGGTTTCCTACCGCCGAAGTTTGCCTATTAAGGCAAACCTTTATGTTTATGTTCTACAGACTGAGCGCTGTAACAACGCACGGACGATGCTTCTCTGTAGTCCGTCTTTGGAGGAATTGTAGTTTCAGGGCTGCAGACCGACGTCACTAACATGCGTCTCCCGTCACATCGTAACTACGTAGCTTGGTGACAGTGGAGTCGGTTTCTTTTCCTAAATCCTCATGAGTTCTACTAAGCATCTTTCCTTCACCCTGTGACCGGTGTTTTCCACAGAGGTCAAGGAATAGTGGTTAGGAAAGGATGTTAGGAGGTAATTGTTTTGAAAGTTCGAATCCAGCCACGGAGATGTTCTCTTGAAGCATGGAATGATGAAGAAGGATGAATCTGTGCTCTGCTGCCCTCTAGGGGTGAGACTTATATCATTTAATTTAAAGATCTGAGATAAAACACCTGTTCAAAGCAAAGCAAGAACCACCAACCACAGCCAGTGCCTGGATGTCCTACAAGAGCAGCTTCTGACTGTTATGGTGATAACAATACTTCTAATGGAAATATGTGGTATCAGTGCAAATTCATGAATCCATTGTTATTAAAGCGCATTGTCAGCACTATGCGACAATAAAACATAACAATCAGAGCAGCACTTACAGAAATTTCCCGGGGGCTGCAAGCTGTGTTTTGTCAGAGCACACCAGCCGACGGGGAAGACGTCTCTGGAGTCGAAGGGGCACCAATAGTCAAAGGCACCTCGCCAGCCGTCAAACATGACGAAGATCTCCTGACCTCTGACCTCTCCAACTGTGGCGGGACAAATCAGGTAAGGGTTCTTTCTGTCCACCGCTTCCAGCTTCATACCAGGCAGGAAGTAATTTTTGGCAGGGCAGGCTGGTTCCTGAACATACACACACACACACGTACACATAGTCAAGAAAATGTGTAGGTTGCAGGTCTTTGAAGACGCTTACTAATGAACATACAGATTTTTAACCATATTTTATTGAAACAAAACAGAACTTTCTTGAATTTGTGCAGTAACACAACTATGCATGCCGCTGTGTCTGATCCAGAGTGAATGACATGTGAGTGGGTAAAGAAAAAATACCTTTACGTGATGTTGTCATTTTCTAATATGATCCCAACAATGAAGACAAGAATATTATGGTTGGTATAAATGTCTGACATGATGTGTATTTTAATCACGTTGAAGCTGCAGTCCTTAACAGAGATTACTGTAATATTACTAATTCTTACACAGTGGTAATTACCTTTTTGAAAGCAGAGGCAGGTGCCATCTCTGCTCCACTCAGCGTCCTCAGGAGGAACATAGGCCACGACGAAGCATTCATCCTGAAACCTAAACACACGGTCAGATTCATTCAATCTCAGAGCCAGGCTGGGTCAATAAGCAGGATTTTCTTAGGTCAATTGTGGCTTTACATATGATTTTGGCACCCATGTGACTCGACTTCTTTGGTATTTGCTGATCATATTGTCTTACAAAGCTGCATGTTTAGCCACACCATCATTTCAATACTTAAAGACAGTCCCAGACTGTGCGGTTGATGTTTCCCAACAATCCCGCTACACATCTGGATATTCATTGAGACAATTATTTACATATTTAAACTCTCTAACCAACTTGAGATGTGTTAAAGTAGTGAAACATCTGCTGGCTCACCGAGCGGTGGCTGCAGCATGTCCCCGTTCCTCTCGCAGCTCCCGATTGGTTGGATGTCTAACGAGTCGACCAGTCTCCAGAAGTCGTTGGTGTTGTCACTTCCGTCCAGGCGCAGGCGGAGACGAGTACCCATCATGCCCATCACCGTCGCAATGCACACAGAGTGCGAGTTGCGAGGGTCCCGCGCCTCAAGTTTCATTCCTGCTTTAAAGTCATTGGAGGGGGGGACTCTGGACTGAGGAGGGACACACGGGGGTCTCCAGTCACTGTCATGCATTGTAAGGACACTCAGGAAGATTCATGACAAGCTTTAGAAAAATGGGTCCTAAATATAATTGTTCAATTTGAAAAAGTGAAAAAAGTATTTTTTGAATCAAGCTGGTCACGGAACAGTGCGTACGTGCGTACAAGCTGAGTTTCTTCTTTTTATAAGAAGTATGGCAGTTATTTTACGATTACAGTTCTGCCAGTATGTAGACTTTGTTTGGGAATATTTTCAGCACGAGCTTGTTTGACTATATTAAAACATAAAGTCCCATAGCCATGTTCACCGTAGGGATGATTACTCACTAACAACAGCTCATTGGTGGCGTTTTAGTTTTCAGACTACAACGCACTGTAGCTGTGTGGAAAAGAGCAATAACAGGCTTCATCTCCACAGACATTTCTTGGGATTGATTTATTGTTGAATTTGGTCATTGTTGAAAGTATGCAAATTGTTGAATATCACCTGACTTTATCTGTAAATTAACATTTAACCTTAAGTTATTTACTTGGTAATATTAAGACTGTATATCACAAAAACCAAACATTTTCTTTGAAATGAATATGAATACTGAATAACAAAGGACTAGGGGTGTAACGATTCATTCACTGAATTGATTAATCGATTTATATTCCTGCGATCCAACTGAATTGATCTGTGCTCCGCAAATCGGCATTCCAGACGACATATATCGATTACGATTAAACGTTACTCGATTCAGTCTGCGTGTCTGCGACGTCATCAGTACGCAGCGGCAGCCGCGCGAAACTCGGAACAACAACAAAACACAGCGTGGAGGAGACGACTGCGAGCGAGACATTTACAAACTAACTTATCGATCCAGCATGTTTTGCAAACACGGAGGTGTTCTAAATAAGTCGGTTGCTGTTTGTAGAATATGTAGAAGCCAAATAAAAAACCACGGAAACACGACAAATCTTTCCGGCCATCTACTAAGGCGCCGTGGGATTAAACAACGCCGACAGTCAGGACCTCTAGCAGCGTCACCGCTGCAGCAGCAGCAGGTAACTCCAGCTCTGCAGACACCTCAGGCCTCGCCAGCCCGAAACTCAACATCACAGTAACAATTGGCAAGTTTATCTGTAATCACATGCGACACTACAATGTGGTTGAAAATCCAGGGTTCTGTGAATTGATCCAAACATTGTGTAATTATTGTGTAATGTTCACATTGAAAATGGCACTTGATTCAAATAAAAGGTTAATACATTTGCCATTAATTGTTGTTTGCTTGTTTATAATATCCATAATTAATTTAAACCTGTTGTCCTTACAGGAAACAACAGGGATCTCAGAAGCCTGCACTGTCCAGTGAAGTTACAGAATCGATTTCAAGTCACTGAATCGAATCGTTCTAAATTAACCCAGATTGTCCATGAATCGAATCGGCAACCATGAATCGCGATCGTTGTTAAAATGAATTGTTACACCCCTACAAAGGACCCTAACAAGCAGCACAATAATCCATACCTGTTTGAATGAAGTGGGCGAAGCTGCAGTGGAGGATGTTTCTCTCAGATAATCTTCCCACCTGAACGGTTCTAACAATAAAAAACAGACTGATTGATTAAATATTGTTGTAAAGACGTGTGATAGAAAATGCCTCTAAGCATTTTAGAAGGAATGTTGTTGACCATTTAGGATTTAAAACAGGTCTAATTTGACAGGGCAGGGCAAACTCACTGTGAATACAAGGCTGACATTAAGCCAACGTTAGCTGTGAAGTTCATGTGGCTAACTTGCTAGCTAGCTTAGCTAACTGGAGCAACATTAGCATTCATTTGGCCTCACGTTTCGGCACCTGGCGAACTTAAGAGTTGAGTCGAATACTCACTCTTAACTCTTTTAAGTTTTTCTACTGTGGTCCACTGAATATTTGTCTCTGAAACTGTCGAAGCTAAATGTTCCGCTAACCTTATTTAGCTATATAGACGCTAGCTACTGCGTCTTCTTTTGTTCCCCTGGGGTTGACAACTTACCCATGTTTGTTTCAATACCTTATTGAGATTTACATGAAATCCAATTTATCATCTTTGAAGAAATAACTGCAATGAGTTCAATAGCTTCAGTATGTTGTGATTTTGTTACTCCAAAAAATACTCCTTTACAAATAAAAGTTCTAAATTTAAAATGTTACAAAAGTGAGAAGTAATATTTGCCAAATATACTTTGTCAAAAAGTACTCAAAAGTACTTATGGTACTTATTTTAACACTAACAAATACATGTAAGAGCATGTTTTTTGTTGAAGATAGAAACACATTTAAAGATACTTTGTAGATTAGCTGATAGTACTTTACTGCATGTGTTTTTCATAGTAGAGAGTACTTAGTAACTACAAATATCAAATAAATGTAGTGGAGTAGGCTACGAAGTACAGTACGTTGATAAATGTACTGAATCCTGAAAGTATAGATTTTATGCTGGTTTTATTTTATAAAGAATAATTGCAGATCGCGGGTTACAGATAGAGAGAAGTCCCATTCTATGCTAATTTATACCAAAGCTGCTAAATATGGAAAGTTCAGGAAGTTAAAAAGATGTATGCAATTAAATGATTATGAGGTGAGGGGAATCTTGTTTTAATCTGCACGGGGGAACTAATCATCAAGAAATTGCTAAATTCTTCTGAAAACGCAGCTTAATGTAATGAGTGCTTTTTCTAACCCCTTCCAGAAATGATGGAAAAAAAGACAAAACTGACTACTGATCACTGTTAAAGTGCTGACACAGAAGGGGCTGGATTTTCTTTTTTTGAAGCTACTAACTCAAACATTTTTAGAATGTTAATGGAAGGATCAACAATGAAGAGAAAAGAAGCCAGTGAGAGATGCCAACCAGTTGATTTGTCGAGGGGAGATCCTGCTGGGATGCTGCTTTGTCTCTCTTTCTCCTCTTTTTGATCTGAAATCAAAAGATGATTGAACTGCTCATCAGAATGTGGGAGCTCCCGAAATACAGACTGCAATTAATGTGAGAACTAAGGCATAAAACCTGCTATTGGAATCTCTTTGAGCAAATTCAAATAGTTTGTTGCGAAGCGTCAGTGAGAATTTTCTGTGTTTGTTTCATGATCAAACTGTCTTTGAGGCGTGTTAGTACATTTAAGAATCACCCTGAGCTCGACGGGTACGACGGTACTGTGAGGCCTACCTCTGTGTGGTGTTCGGCCCATGGTGACCGAAGCCAAGCGTGCGGCAAAGGACCTGGAGTCAGACAGAACGTTACCTACACGGAGACTGGAGAGGAGACAGAAACAGTCCAAAAACATCAGAATAACACAGCTGTTGGTTTATAAAGCACAATGTTTTATGTCTAAAATGGGTACATGATCTACTGCTTCATTATGATTATGCAGACGTTTCATATAACAGCACATCTAACACAGCTCATATCGGAGCTGCTTTAAGGACGCATGCAACATGCAGGTCACAGGAGGCGCAGTACATGTTAAAGCCAATACATATTAAAAAATAATATTCTCATTTAGTTTCGTTGTAATGCAGAAATATCCCGTATTATACAAACCTCAGAGTTTAGTAGAAATCATAACAAAAGAAATCACACTATGATGTTCAATAATATGAGAATAATGCTGCAAACATTACTATTCTATTCATTAACGTCAATACACTTACAACTACAATATCAGTCAAATTAATCAGCCTTCTTTTTTTATATTTGAAAGATTTTCTAAATTGGTCAGCCCTATTCTTTTTTTCCAACAGGGAACACAAGATTTCCCCAAATTCTCAGGTCTTGCAGATCAAAGCAGGACTTTTTGGATTCATTTATTCAGTTATTGTATTGTTATGTAACTATAATGGAGTTTATATTCTCCTGTTTAGTATTATTCTATTGACCCTTTTTTGTATATTTTATTTCATGGTACTCTTTTGAAAAGTGTTTTAATATTGTTTTGTGACTCTTGTCAAATCCCATTGTTAATCCTTAAAGCACTCTTTTATTGCCTGGTTGTTGAAAGGTGCTTTACAAATAAACACACTACCTATTTATACAGCGATATTGAACAGTGGCTTAAAAATGACATGTCTGGTGATATTTTTCTTATCATCAACAATTACATTGAAAATACATCAATAATGAATTGATGGCCAAAGCCATCGTCGTTGTCCACAGATGATTAATGAGCGACACCACGTGCTGCACCCTAAATAATCATTACACCAGCAAACGTGTAACAATCCACAGCTGGAAATAATCTGCAACAATTCACCATTTGAGTAACAGTGTAGCTGTGAAAATAATTTAAAAGCCAATACTTCCCTCCAAATACTCTGTTTTGCTACAGATTGCATCGGGTGCTTGTGAAAGGAAACAGTAACTTATTATTTTCTGTAATCCTTCCTGTGGTATCTACTCTGATACTCACAACTTACTATTACTGTTCTATAATTCATGGCAACCCTGCACATGAAACATATGCCATGAGGGAGCCATTGAATGTCAATACAGACATCTTATCCTATTGATGAATCACATGGATAAATAATCATTCCAGGGAATAAACACAAACAACATGCTGATTAAGTGGATTTGAATGAAGTGGTTCCAAGTCCATGATAGTTTACTCCCGATGCAGTGTACAAATTATTATTAAAATAAAGTTGTTAGCACACAGTTTACGCTGAAAATCTGGCCTGAACATTCAGGTTTACAATCCCTCCGAGCAAAGCCCCACTCACTGCACATAGTGATAGCTCAAAAACGCTGCAGAAAAATGAGCCAAAGTACCAGAACATCAAAAAAGGTGACGTCCTCCGAGGTAAATCCAGAAATTCAAAGATTAAAATCCATGCAGAAGCCAGCCCTCGTCTGCCTCTCCGTGCGTTTGAACACACAGCATCTGCGATGCATTGTGGCCGACCCTCCCTGTGAAGACCCCTCTCTGTCTCTGCGCTGAATCCCATTGAGTGAGAAGGAGCCATAAAGATTCCAAGCTGCCATAAAAAGCCATTAAGACGTGTGGATGCGGGACGTCTGCTGGCCGACATGAAAAGGATTCCAGCTCAGCTCTTTGCTCGGCTTCAGACTGGTTCAGTGTTTGCACTGGTCGGCCTGTCTGGCTAGAGAGGGTCAGACAAAAAGAAAAAATCGCCCAGCAGGCCAGGAAGCACTTAGGTTTTACAACCCCCATTTGCCACTGAGGCGCTCACTTATCTGGGATCAGTGTAATGTTAAAGTCAACGCTCTCTGTCAAAGTCTTACTGATGGTAGTTTTTCTCCTGGTTGGTTGAGACTCTACTCAAAGATGTTTTGTGATGATGATGTCAAATTTGAATAACTGATGTATCCACTCTCCATGAAGTATTTTACTTTTTCATATTTGATGTTCATTTATAGTATGTGTTACTTCACCAGTTTCTATATTTCTACAAGGGGTGTAGTTAATGTTTTGTTGCATTTTTAGAATAAGTAACAATTACATTTATTAACCCAAGTAAATAGAATGGGTGAAAATGTGTTTAAAAGTGGCAGAAGTAAGCCCACGGTGAAGGAACCCTTGTCTCCTAGCCCAAACTAGAAAAAAAACATATACATATCTGAAAATTATTATTGTTATTATTATATATTAGACCTCAGTCTATGGTAACAATTCACAATTCTCCAAATAAATGTCTTGCCTTGTTTTAGATGTTTCCAAATGCCTCTTTTTGTATGATGAACAAGTTTAAAATATATATATATTTAAAAACAATCATACAAAGACAACTTGCACATATTAATCAGTTGATTAACTTATTGACAGAAAATGACAACTATGTTGTCACACATATATACACACACATCTTTTCTTGTGCTGCATTTCTTTACTTGACTCTACACTGGATATATTTGGGTTTTAGGGAATCGTGAAGGCATTTTTTAGACAAAAATAAATCAATTAATTAAGAAAAGAATTGTGAGATTAATGAATAACAAGTGAGAACGAAAGTCACTCATATGTGACCTATTTACTCTAAAATATCAAACGTTAATAACAATCATACCAACAGATGTTCAATGATATAGAACAGAGGAGAGAGCATGCTGACACGACAGAGAGAGTCGACAAAGTGTGTCTGCGCGGGTTTACACTGTAAACCTATGTGGCCGGAGTGAAAAGCCCCCTCTCCGCATGGCCCGTGTCTCCCCTCTCCGGCGGCTCAGCACGGAGACACGAGGGGAAAAGGATCGCGTTACACCGGGAGGGCTGAGGAGAGTGAGCCGCTGCAGGGCGTCACCTCCAGGGTGTTCACGCAGACCCCCCAACCACCCCAGCAAAAAAAAAAACTTTCAACGCATAGTATTTTTCGATGAGACAGCTGTTGATGCAGACGTTCAAGTTACATCACACCTCTCGGCGGCACCAGGTTGCACGTGTGCGTTGATTGATTGACTGAATTAAACGTGTCCCTCTCGCTCTTTTTCCTCTGCACGACTCGGGCTCGTATGGGGAAACGCTGTCTACGCAGAAACGATATTTCAAAAGAAACGCCTGTGACGCATTATGTTTTCGCGTTATGTCCACACGGCGTGCGGGGCGGCACGGTGGTCGCCGTGCGCGGCTAAACCACCGGAACAACCCGGGCCGCTAACGTCCCGGTGCATCCGCGGCTGCTTAAACGCCAGGCTGCTGGATCAAAACCGAGTGGTTATAGCTGAGGTGTGACCTTCTGCAGGAATCCAGTCAACAGAACGGCGGGGTGGGGGGGGGTTTAAGGGGAGGGGGGGGGGGTCAATGTAGCTACTGTACGCACCAAGCTCTCCGGCTGCACACAATCCAGTAGAAACGCGCTGTGCAGATGCGCCACCGCGGCGAGCGGCGCTGCTTTTTTTTTTGTCGCAAAGGAGAGCGGAAGCCCGTCGCCGGCAGCACACGAGAGCGATAACGAGACGCGAGTCGTAGATACCAACCGTTTGGACCGGGTGTTTTGATGGGAGACTCCTCACTTTCTATCGGATGCGAGCCGCCATATTCGCTGCAGCACCGCGCATGTCCACCACGCAGTGCTGTAATTCATATTTTGCACCGGAGGTTGAAAAAAAAAGCTCAGTCAGAGGAGTGGGAAATTATTAATTAATCGGGTTTTTTGAGGCAGATATAGTCTTATGTTGGGTTGTGATAATAAACTGCATGGGGCGTGGAAACGAAAAGAGAAAATGCTCACTGTTGTTTGGCGTTCTTCGTGCAGGAGGCGGTGATGAGAGAGAGTGAGGAGAGGAATAACTGCAGAAACTAGAAGGTCAGGTTCATGTGAAGTGGCTGCTGATGTAGAGGGGAAATGGTTATCATTTCCAAAACATATTAATGCTAAGTAGGAGTAAAGAAAGAAACCCAATTCTAAAAAATGTCTTTATTGTATGGAAATTATTCTGTTAAAATGTCCATATTTTTCTTTGAAAAACAAGTATTATCTGTAAATTTGACTGAATTATCAAAATCATTCATAAATGACTCTACTGTAAAAAACACATCGATACATGTTCATGGAAGCTAATTAAGTTTAATTACTTTATATGTGCACATTGCAATATCAAATTACTTTTCATTGAATAAATATTTTACCAGAAATCCCAGTTCATTGTGCTAACCCTGGCTCATTCGATTTATCAGGTCATCAGTGACACTACATAAATAATAGATGACAATAAATAATATACAGCCAATTTCACATGGATCAATAAAGTTGAATTTATGTTAAACTGATATTTAAAAAAACTTGATTTACAGTAATCTGACATTTGAGTAAAGAAAGCAGGTTTAACAAATAACGACATGTCCATGTTGCATTCCTGAAACTGTCACTGACTAGATCTATAAAATATGGTTATGTCACTGCCCAATCTACCACTTCCGAAAACGGACCTGAATGCAACTGTCTACATTTAAAATGCCGTTTTATCTCACCATTTTAGAAAAAATGATAATTAATGATGGATTCTAAAAGCTATAAGAGCTCTAGATTTCAACCAACATGCATGGAAAACAATATGATTTCCAGAAAGGGGTCAGAATGTACAATGACAAGTTTTTTTTAAACAACATTTTTCTCATAAAGATAATGCTTTTAATTTGCCGTAATCGAGGCATCTCTGGTCCTCCACCTCTGACTCGCGGACAGAGGAAACCAGTGTGGAGGTCAAACGCAGAACGTGGTCTTTAGAAAGAAGAAGAGGAATACGGTGTTTTCACAGCATCTCTTGCGCAAAACACCCCAAACGCCGTCTGGTTCTAAAACAGACAAACCCTGGATTGTGAATCCAGTGAATTTACGCCAGTTAGTGCAGCAGTCATGGAGGGGAGGTGTAGGTGGCGGAGAGCGGAGACGCGCTGCAGAGACATTCTGAATCAGTGACACAACATGCATTTGATGCAGTGGCAATGCCACGAGCATAACGCGGTTGCACATTTAACAAAACGATGAGCCGGGTGGCATTTCTCCACGCCAAAGTTGTCTCTCATCCCCGGCGGTGGACGCTGAACGGCTGCTGGACGCCCGCGCTTCTATTGGCTGCGCGCTGCGTCGCTCAGAGGAACGACGACTTTTTCCTTTTTTTTTCTTTTACTGCTATAAGCAGCTGATGCTGAGGCAATGAACACGGAGCTTCTGGAGAACTGTTGACGGTACACGGAGACCCCGTCATAGGCGCTATGCCTGCGGATTCGGTCTCGTCTCCTTCCAGGGATTGAGTGAGTAGGACATTTGATCGTGTCACGACGCATAGGCCCGTGGCTCTTTTTTTTTTTCGTTTCTTTTTTTAACCCTCTCTCTGTCACGCCACATGATCTTTCTTCGTCTTCCCACATCATCATTTTCATGGGCATGATTGTGTGTGCTGCACGGATCCAGCATTCTCCCCTCTCGCAGGCGACATCCCACCCGCAGGTAAAAAAAAGGGGGTTTGCCATGGAATGTTTTGAGGGTTTTCCTTCTGCCTGCTTATCACGATGTGTAATTGTGGGTTTATGGGGGGGTGATTGGGGGGGGGGGAGACGCTGTTTGCTGGTCTGGTTGCGCAACGCCGTGGTGAACATGGTCGGTGATCCACGCTGCGGTGTGCGCACTGGCCGCTGTGTAGGCTGAGAAACGCGTGGACAGCGACGGAATGGTGGTGCGCTCCTGCAGCGTTGAGAGAGGCGCAGTTTCGATGCAGAGAGAGCAGCATTACTCTCCTTTCTCCCCCCCCCCTCCCCCCCCTCTCTCTCACTCTCGCACACCTTGCATACACACGCACACACGTAGTCTCGTGCACGGAGACGCATGCACCCGCCTGTAAAAAAAAAAATCACTCTCAAAAACTTGCAATTATGCATGCGAGACACCAACAGGCGTGTGTTGTAGGATTAATGCTCCAGTCCATTCTGTTAGTGTTCTCTGGACGTCTCCACCTTTTGTCCTGTCAGCTGTCTGCCTGACAGCTCACACTGAAAAAAGCGTAACAAAGCTGTTGTTCATTTAATGTGTTTTTTTTCATTCCAATGAATAAAAAAAATTACTTTGCTCTATTAAACTAAACTTTTTTATTTATGGGTTAGGGTTTAATCGAATTTTTTACTTTACTACAATGTAAACTGATAGCAAGGCACCAAACTGATTTTTTTTATTTTAATCAAAGCATTTTTATTAGATTGAGTGATTCGCGCATGCGCATTTTTTAAAAAAGTTCTGGCGGAAACTTATTTCCACCTCAATCTTCCCTTGCAGAAGACGTTGTGAAAAATATCAGACCCCACGGCATTTTGGTAACGTTAAGGTAAGTCATTACGATTTTTAAAGATGACTGGGCGAAAATGTTAGCCCGCAGACAAAGTGTCTGTCTTAAGTGTCTTCAGTGTTTGCTTTTGTGGGCAATTAATCGTTCGGCTAGGGTTGGCGCTGGGGGGATGTTCGCCGATCAGGAGGGAGGCGAGTGAGGTGGGAACAGATGGCGGCAGAATACCAGTGTTCCAGTCGACGTTTACATTCTGAAAAGCGTATATACAGCGTTAGCGCGTAGCTAACTACCTAGCTAAACCTATATACGGCGTTAGCACGTGGCTAACTAGCTAGCTAACACTATACACGGCGTTAGCATCGTAGCTAACTATCTAGCTAACACTATACATGGCGTTAGCACGTGGCTAACTAGCTAGCTAACACTATACACGGCGTTAGCACGTAGCTAACGGGCTGGCGTTAGCACGTAGCTAACGGGCTAACGTTAGTTAAAACTCCCGGTGTAAAAATAAAAAAAATGTTCTTGTGACTTTTGGATAGTGGAATAAATATTACTGGTACTGTGGTGTTTACTGTGCTATTGTGCTGTGTGTTATTGCTTACTGTGCTGTATTTTCTCGTTTTGGTAAAGCTAAACTGACCTGTGTAATAATGAAGCAATTTAAATAATGTTTTGTCAGGTATTTTATTTCATAGGCATAGTAAATCCGATTTAAAAAGAACAGAAGGCATAATAATGTTTTGTCATTTTTAAACTGTATTAAGATGTAGTTCATGTAACATTGAGAATATCCATCATTAAAACGTTTTTTTCTCTTAATTTAAGGAGAGCTGCCACAAGATCCACTGTGTTCCTGCTGTGCAACCACCAGTTTGGAAGTCCCTCATCTTATTGTAGTAAGTTCTGAGTACAATATCATGAGTGTATTTGTGATAATTAGATCACTCTCCTAAAACCGTCCTTTCCTCTGTCTTTTTATTTTTCCTCAGTTATCCATGTATGTGGAAATGTAAACTACAGAAAAACAACAACCGTCAAACAATAAAAGAAAAGATGGCAAAGACGTTTGGATACCGTAGACAAGAAAGTGCATAAGCAGCCGAGCATTGAAGACATGTTGACAAGATGGCCAGCACTTTTTCAGATGGAAGAGGTATGTTTTCAGATGCAAGGCACTGTAAGCCTATTTTTGAGAGGAGAGGGACTTAATATATTTGTTAATGCCAATGGTGTTCAGCATTCATGAAAGATGATTTTTTTTTAACCTTAAAAACTTAGGTCTTTTCAGAGGAGAATTTATTTAATACACTTTTTAAAAGTTCTTTCTGCGTGCTCTGTTATTGTTTCTCCAGATTAATGCTGAGTTCATGCGGGTGACAACAGTACCCTTGGAGACAAAGTTCTTAGCGCAGTTGGACAAGCACACGTCAAAACTGCTGGAGGTCATCAGGAGCAAGGGAGGGCGTGTGAAAGAGCTGACCAAGGCAACTTTGCAGGTTTTAGATGAGGTATCTATTTATGAATTGGTTCTTAATGCGATCCATAGTTGTATAGTTGGTGTGTATGTGCTTTTATTAATACCTATATTTCCTCAGACCGTGGACATCACAATTAGAAGAGAGTGCATCTTCAAATCTTTGATCTACCTGGGTGAACCTGTTCATCATCTCATTAAAGACTGCCAGGTAAGGGCATCTCCCTCACTAACACAAACAATATCTATATACCAACTTTGCTTCAACAATGATGTTCAGCATTGGCATGCATTGTCTTCAGGAAATGTTCTTTCCAATTGTCCTCATTTCTTGTTTTTTTGTGTGTGCAGGAAAATGAAGCAGCCATGGTAATCGTCAGTGGAAACGAGGACATTAAAATCGTCATTGACCTCAGAGAGGTGCCCACAATAGCAACGGCTGTTGCTATGTTCTTCGGGCTCACCTATGTTCTCAACATAAAATATCCCAAAAATCTGCACTATACCCTTGAGTTTGTGCAAAAGGTCCTGATGAAGCTTGGTGGAAAAAAGATGTCCCCAAAAATTCATAGGCTGAGTACCCAGCTTGGCAGCCAAGAGTAGGCACAGTAGAGTTCCACTGTTAGGCCTGATTTAATGGCATTTCTACAACCAAGACTTTGTACCGTTTTATCTGGGGTTGGTGTTTGAAACACTTGCACAACTACATTTCTGCTACAGTATGGACAAAAGAATCTGCCTAAGGTTTCACAGGCACAAGTGGGTATTGTGCTGGAGAGCACTAATTTGTTTATTGCAGCATTTTCTGACCAAGAGGATCAGGAGCTACCTCACTCGTTTGCAAGTTATGGAACTGAGGACGTTCACACACATCACTTTTGATTTTAAGGAATAATTCCTCTCTGACTGTATTACATTGCATTTTCAAATGGTCACTGTTCAGTGAGAAAAATGTTCCCAAATGCTGTTGGTTTACTTGAAAATGCATGTCTTCATTACTGTTTGTGTTTGAGATGTGATGGTTGAGAAGCACTGGTTTATGTTAATACAATGAGATGTTGCTGTTGTATTTGAGGGGAAAAGACATAATTGAGAAGGACTGTTTTTAAGGTGGGACTATGTTGAAAAAAATGTTCATTCAACAATAAATGTGTTGAAAAGGAATGGCTTCTGAGTTTAAATCAAAATGTATTAAAATATCTTTTTTTAATTCAGGTCTATAAATATTAAAGTATCACTTTAAATTTTTATTTGAGACAACTTAAAAAAATAGTTTTCTCCGATATTCAAAAGTTGTTTAAATGAATTTAAAATATTCAGGTTTAACAAAGTAGATTATTTACATTAAGCAATAAAACCAATGTATTTATTTTTATTTAGGAAAATCTGAAATAATTGCTTTGGTTCAACCTTCAGAAATGGGTTTACACGAAGTTAAATATTTCAGGTCAAATCAAATGAATTATTTATATTGTATAACACTAGAATATTAGTTGTGATCGATTACCTCAATTTTTCTAATTTGAGCCAATGTTAGATTTTTTTCAGTGCACCTTCTCCGTCCTTAACTTCATTTTTGGGAACATTTTTCCTCGAGTACTCGGCCAGAATGCATAGGCTGCTTTAGGTGCGGGGTCTATTTAGACACAATCTGATCACCCCAGTGGCAGAAACGTATCCCTGAAATGACCATGGCCTCAACATGCACCTCATCACTTCCCCCGGAAAGACTTTGCTGTGTGGAGTGGACACTGCATGGGAAAACGCCCACACATGCACATGAGCCAAATCAACATTAAAGTGCTTTTGCAATGCTGAATAAATCAAGTGGTAAACAAGTGAAGTTGGACGGATGCTGTGAGAAGCTTCGACGGTTTCAGTCCAACAGCACCCGCATTACAAAAGAGGCTTTTAATAATCGTGGTCAGTTTTTGGATGTGTGACAGGAGGAGATGTAAGACTTGATATATAGCTGTTCTGTAATATTTGTTTGTCTTCCTCAAACAAAACACTTTAATCAATGAGAATATCAAAATGTAGAACATGACTTGTTAAATGGGGGAAATGAAATTACAGAATGGAGTTTTACCCCAGTGGAAGAATCACGAGGATGTTTGATCATCGCACATTTCAAACCATCCAGCTCAACATCTTGAATGTGCCAGCAACAGCAGCCGTAATCATGCACTGGCTTGAATACAAAGTGCTGCTGAGGCTAATAGGAATGCCCTTAGCTTGCAGATATTTGTTCACAAACCACATGTTGGATGAGATTTTCGCCTGATGATGGCAATTAAAAATCAGAGGATTACCAAAGTGAAAGGAACATGAGTGTTTGTGGCAGTCCATCCAATAGTTGTTGCCATGTTAGCAGCTCTGTGAGGCTGCAGCTGCTTGGAGCTAAATGCTAAAGCATCAGCACGCAAACATGCCCACGTGAACATGTGGATGCAGAGCATGTGTATGTTAACTATTTTGTCCATCAACATGCTTGCGTTTGCGTATATATTGTCTTTAAGGAATTGACGTGGCATTTTTCGCTCTTCCTGTTCCCTCAACTATCAGTCAACCGGTTTGCCTGCATGAAATATATCAGTGGCTCACATGACAACGAGGTTCCTTAACATTTTGTTGAACGATATAAAATACACAATAAAATCGCCCCTCCCCCCTCGTAGCTTTTTCTTGTTTTAAAAAGGGTGGTTGCTAAAAAATGCCCATATGACACCAACAAACATGATCACGCCAACTAGTCCGCCTTCACAGCCCTCACAGCCCTCACAGCCCTCACAGCCTGGTGTACACGTAACGTTTTGTACTACTGCCTGCATTCACACTTCAGAAACCGTTGTGTTCATTTGGGGAAGACTATCTTGTTGAACAAAACGTGCATCATAAAGTTTGTTGCGTCTGGAGCTTATGTTTTGCAGCAATTCAAAATACACGGGAAAAAATCCTATTGGCTTTTTGACGAGGGAGCCATTGTGATGCCAACATTTGGGGTTGGCTTACAGAAAGTCACCCCTGCAGCACGTTACTAGCACAAAACCCATCACATCTGAGGGTGATGGGCGATTGACATTCAATTGTGTGGGAATTTTGAATGTTTGAACCAAATGTCATGGAAATCCATCCTGTGGTTAATGAGACTTTTTCCAAATAACCTCAATCGTCAACCTGCTTGTTGTGCAAGAGGAATGTAGAGAATCGCCAAAACCAGTAGGATTCATTAAATGATTATTACAGAATTCCTTATGATTCATCCTCTTGGCACTGTAGTTAACTCTACAGAATTGGACCAAAGTGGTGGTCTAACTGACCGACAGAGAACTACTAACTGAGCTGGCTCTTAAAAAGGCAAAGCTTAGTAGCACTGCATTAGACATCCACCTCGGACTCTCAGCCTCTCAGCCTCCTACAGATTCAATGTGTGGAAGTCATGCTTTAGTCATCCATGATTTAAATGTGCCCTCAAAGAAAAGCTGCCTCTCTGGCCTAGTTAGCCACCATCTGTGCCGGGAAAACCACCAGCATGCCAGTGTGGGAAGTTAGCCCTTGGAGTGACCCTCTGACAGCATATTTGAAATCTTGCATCTCTGTTTTTTTGTGTCTCTGGTCCTGCAGGTATCCGGCCGCGTGGAGGTTCGTTTGCCGCAAGAAATGGAATAAAGGGGGCTCGGAAACAACTGAACCTACTTGAGTTCAGATCCATAAAAAGAAAAAAGAAAAGAAAACCGGCATAGAAAGCACGCAGGGCTGGAGGAGAGCCGTGGAGCGAGTTAAAAGCAGAAGAGGTTGTGAAGATGGAGAGCGGTCAGACGACGTCCCTTCTGGAATTTACAGTCCGGTCCGTCGGCCGCCGGTCGAAGCCCGAGTCTCCTCGCTAAAGCCCCGAGCAGCTCATTTCACCCGCTGGAGGAGGCCCCCGCCCTCGGTGATGTGATGAATAAGTTTGAAGTCCTTGGCATTGTGGGAGAAGGTGGGTGTTTTTTCTTTTTTTTACGCAGCGCACAGGGCTTCAACTCTGATTCAGGTGATCAAATGAGGTCACATGTCCTGTGTTTTTAAGGGATCTCAGGTGTTACAGCAGCGCGCGGTGCGGCTTGCATTGTGCACATGAAACCTGCACATCACAGTTGTCAGGTCTTGTTTCATTTAGTGACACAATACACAGGGAATTTTAAAGGGGTTTGTGAGCCTGAGAGCTTGCAGACGTTTCTCATCGAGGAGCGTGTAATCCTTTGAGACTGTCCAAAGAAAACGGCAGCATTAGTAATTTGTTTACCACATACACCATAGTTTCCCGGGCCTTTATTTACCTCAACTGCTGAGAGAACCAGACCTTCCTCTGAAACTGACTTATATCGGACGGGTCTTTTCTCCTATATTTCCCTGTCTTATGTCTTTGATATCTCAGATTTTGTCAAGCCTCTCTGTTTCCTCATGAATTTGCTATTTAACAGAAATACTGTCTTTATTCGCTAATTATTTCTAGTTTTCTCTTTTTTTGTTCACATCAATTTTGTTTCTCACAGCCAGATTAATCCACACATTGTCAATCTCCTAAAGAGTGCTGAAGAAATGCGTTTTTTTACGTACGTTTAAACAAATAACCTTAATTTGTTACAACGTTTATTTTGTGTTAAATCAAAGTAACGTCTAGGCTATGTCACTATAATATGTCATCCCTGCAGGACTTTAAGGGAATAAACCTTCTGGCTTATTTTTGTTTCGTTAAACGGATGCAGCTACATCAACCACGCAAAACAGATAGCAAACAGCCAGAATGTGCAAGTTTCCTTAACTAAGGAATTAACTAAACCACATTGTCAGACAACAGCAGAGGAGAAGCTAGTTAATAGTGGATTGACTTAAATTAAGTGTGGTTTAAAATGTAGTAGTAGTCATCGTGGTGCTGTTGGAAGTAGTGCACTGGACCTGCACAACATGAATTTACCATTTGATCCCAGTGCAGGTGAATCAGGCCCTGCAACTTGAGCGTCTGACTATTTAAATACCGCTTTGTTTGAGTTTAACGTAAAAGACAAAAACACAAAGTTTTTGGGCCTTGGGATTTACGATTCTGTTATTCTGCGATTTAGTGCTGCTGACCTCATAGGCAAAGAACTCCAGCTGGATGGTTAGATTAGAAAATAGCTAATTTGTGCATTTCCTATTTCAGTCAAACAGCCCATTTTGTTTTCTCTTAATCTCGACAAATATTCTTTTAAACAAAATGTTTTATTACGAGGACTTGTTGGATTTAAAAATAACTGACTTTTGTTTGGCTCATACCAATATTTGATCAAACTCTAGACGTATTTAGAATACTTTAAATCCATGGACAATTTAGCAATATCATAATGGATATTTCCTCGCCAGAGTTGTATTTTACTCACAGGGAAACCATTACTTGGTTGGTCATGAGCATCGGCCTTGAGTGTATCCATCAGTGTGTGCGGGAGCGTCAGCTCGTACTCTAGTGACAGCGGTAATGGCTGGTCATGAAATAAAATACACTTTTAGACAAGCTGTAGACACACACACACCCACACACACACACACACACACACACACAGACGCGGCCCTTCACACATCAGACTGAGTAGGAATGATTTCTATTTGTCGGCTTTGTCATTCGTAGCTCACTTCAGTGAGTTGGACTGCACGCATCCCTTTCTTCAATTTAACCAAGTAACCAAGTGGTTATTGTTCTGTAGGTAATTCTCTGTGATCGATGTTGCTGATTGTCAGGAGACATAAATCAAAAAAGTTAGACTCATGATAACCGCAATTCAGTGATGAGATATTCAAAGCCAAAGCACCAAAAAATAAAATAATTTTTGTTTTTTCTTCCAAACAACAATGTTAATGGTAATCATCGTTGTTAATATGCATTTTAATATATTAATTTACATTGCCAATGTTTCTCAACTCAATAGAAAATCAATGCAGCCTCCTGGACAGTTGAACTCTGCTTTATATTTATGTTATTGTTGTTTTATTCATGTGGTGGGACTAGTTTTAGTCTCTCGAATTAAACATTGCAACTGGAACAGGACCTCATTAGGAGCGTGTGATTTGAATGGCAACAATAGCAGTTTGTAAATTGACTAATTAAGTTCAAGTCTGTCCGATTTTCCTAAAGAGAAACAGACCATGGACGACCCGACATGTGAAATGTGGATGATCAACAGAGAACATAGTGTGCTTAGCAATGGCAAGAAGCTAAAGGGACACTGCCTGTGTGTGTGTATGTGTGCGCGTGGGTGTGTAGGTCTATGTGTGTGTATGTGTGTGTGTGTGTGAGGGGGGGGGGGGGCGAGTACATAAGCCTTCCCCTCACCTATTAACGGTGGTTTCTGGTGATTTCCACCTACTGTTTTTTATGGCCATGTTTGTTGGAGGTGTATGAAAACCAAAACAGTAATTAAGATGTTGAACCGTATTGATCTTTTGTGTCTTTCTCTGTACAGGAGCGTATGGAGTGGTGCTTAAGTGCAGGCACAAGGTAAGAAAGCATTTCTCCTATTTGCTCATGTAATATAAGGTAAAGTATTCATGGTCCATGGTGATATGAAGATTATGTGTTTAAATAATCAAATCAGACTATGATGCAGAATCAAAGATGAAAATCAATAACTAATACCACAGTTATCTTCCTTTACTAAAACACGCTGGGAGTTACAGCGACCTTTAGGATAGATGACATCTTGCATGCTTACGAGCAGCAACTGTGAAAATAAGTGACAATTGTTAATAATAATGACGATAACGATTACACACAGTCAGCAGATGTCCGGAGTCAGTTACACAGATATCCAACGTCAGCCACAAAGTCACTTCTAATGAAAGCGACACACCATGTTGCCTGATCCTGTCAATTAATGTTGTACTTAATTTTGTGGTTCCTCCACATAAACTAAAGTTACTACATTTTTCAATAACTTTCCCATCTGCTGTAATGAATCCAAAAAGGTTTCAACAGGTTCATTTTTAGATGGTTTGGTGTCACGAGTGGCACGTTGGTCAAACGCAGCTTACTAATATCCGGTTGCAAAGGGAACCATATCAGGCAAGTTGTGTAGTTTCCTCACTTCCCCCGTCTCAAATCACACCCATCTCCCAACAAGGAAACCTTCATTTCCATCTCAACAAGACAGCAAGTGGTAACCGCGCTGCTAATAATAGCAGCTAACACGCAAATTGCAGTTCCTCAAATAGCTACTTGATGCTGAATGAGACAACTAGTCAGTCTCTCATGGTCTTTACAGCAAAAAAAAAAACATTCATAGCCTGCAAATAAAAAACTCTCTGTATCTTTAGCTAATATGCATGTGGGCATAATGGAGGGTGTGGCCGCTTTGAGTGACACGTTGCTCGCTGTCAGTTGTCTCTTCTGCTGCGTCACTCCAGGGTCACCGACGTCCCACGTCTTTGCCCATTTTTATCGCAAGCTTCACAACAGCTTATCAGAAAAGCATGATGTCACAGAGACTATATTTATACTTTAGACAGTCTATGGTACTCCACCATTTGAGTATAACAGCTGCAACTAGCAGTTAGATTTCTTTAATTGAGATTGTTGCAATGAAAGTGAGCCATGGAGGCTCATTGACGCAGTCCGGGCCATGTTGTCCAACGTATGTGACGTTTTAAATAGAGCAGGAACCATCAACGTTATCATGAATAAAACCCCAAACTGAAGTGCTGGCCCGATCACACTGTAACTGGGTTAATGACAGATTGCTGCAACTATTGTTATGACCTGCAAAATTACTGTAACCAAAATGCCAAAGAACGAAGCAGTTACTGTACAGGTGTCCCATCCGCAACATGACATGACATTTCTGTATGACTCATACATGGATTTAAATTGTAATTCAAAGTATTTAAGCTTTTTATCCACTCATGTTGGCTCATCTGGCTTGGGAAGGGGCTGAACGATAAGAGATCAATTTTCCGAGATACTTTGTTAATAATCAACCCGTAACTGTAAAAGGGAACGGCTTCTTATTCTACAAATAGACGCGCACTTTATTTCTTTATACATTCTGCCTGTAAACCACAGATAGATTTCTCACGCGTGGAAATACGTTGACTCCTAAAATGAACTCAGCCGCTTTGAGTTGCGTGTATTAAAAAATGTTCCGTAGTCATGTTCTGCTTTGACTGAATAGAAGTGCATTTTACTGGTCTAATTTTGTATCATTCCTTCTGTCACCACATTTATGGACATAATATATTTGTGAAAAACACCTCACTCAAGAGAGAGAAAGAGAGAACTACTGTGGGAGGAGTGACAGTCGCAGCAGAGCAGACAAGAGATGAGAAGAGATGCAATCAGTGCGTTGTACAACGGATGAGGGAGAGATGAAACTGAATGCTGGGAGTACTGGGAGTACTGGGAGTGCTGGCGTCGGCCCTGTGGTCGCTTGTGACATTTGTGCGAGTTTCTTTCATTTCCGGCCCCACACTTGACCAAGTTTTCTCCGAGCTACACATAAATAGTTCAAATGAGCCATAAATTGTATAAATACGCAGTAAAAACTCTAAATATTCAAGCGCCTGTGTTCTGAGAATGTAAAATGATTTCATGGTGAGCATTACATGATGGTTAGAGTGCAAATAGACACCTCAGCAGAGGCGGATAAAAGGACGATCCGCACCACGAGGCGCGTTGAAGTGCAGGCGACTGTGAATTTATCCGCAATTTGCTGTCACATTCCAGTCGTCTTGCGAAGGTGTCTGTCTCCCTGTGTGCGCACGGATTAAGGATTAAGGACTTTGTTGGAAGTGAAAAGCTGCATTTGTGAGACAAACGCTCCCTGCGTCCGTTTTAGTTTAGAAGGCAACAAATATGCAAGTAAAAATGTCTTGGCTCGCTGGCGGTTATTTGCACGCAGCAGCGATCTCAGGTTGTTTTTGTTGAGCGTGAGTTTCTAGTTATTGATTGTGACTTCCATTCTGTGCAATGGAAGATGTGTCAGTTTGCTTGATGGTGTAAGTCTGGGAGAAAGAACCAACCAGCGGGACAACTCAATCAGTAAAGACATGACAAGGCGTGTGTATAATGTGGCCCAACGTTTTCAAGCTTGAGCCAAAGCCAATAAGAGGCATCCAGGACGAGGCCTCCGTCTCGTTCTCCTCCGGATTTTATTGGACCGTGAATTTTGTTGCCGGCGGATCTCCATTTCATAAAAATTGATATGCAAGCTGTCAAAGTGTTGAAACCTCTCTGCTGGCCTAACTTGCAAAGAGGTGACATGTTCCTTATATAACAAGTGTAGGGAATTCATTTTCACACGTAGAGACTTAAAAAAATCATTTAAAAAAAGGCAATAAAAGCGTTTTATCTTTGCAGTCAGAGAGCAGTTATTTTTACTTTTCTCCTCTGGAAGCAGGGCAGAAGAGAAAAGGGTGGCTGCGCGTGCGTGTGTGTGTGTGTCTGATGGAGAGGAGGAGGTGCAGAGGAAGGAGACTAGATGTAAATGGGTCACGCTGTAAGGAGTCAACAGCACACCTGTGTGAGGGAGTCTCAGGCACCAGGCGGAAGTTGACTCAGAGGAGAATAACGGCACTACCAAGAAAAGGAGTGCGTTATTAATGTGTGTCCCCGGATAAATTAAGCATACTTTACAGTACAGTATGTATTTGATGAAACATTTAATTAGCAGAGCCAATGCGTGCTGGCGTTTGTGCAATGTCCTGCCACTTTATGGAAGTGTTGTATTAGCGTATGTGGGTGTGTGTATGTGGAGGCTTATGTGTTATCTTGAATTTGTGTTGGGAGTGACAATAGCTCAACCTAAATGCTAGCCAGTGCTTGCCGGCTCCTACACGTTCGTTCGTGGCCCTTCGTTCGTGGGATCGTTCAAGCCGCTATTCAAGTAAAAACAAAGGTTTTGGGCTATTGGGGAAACCATGTAGGCAATATGAGGACATCTACGCGGGCTTTGAACGGCTCTAATGAGCATACGGTCAGCAGTGGGGTCGATTTTGGTCAAATTAAGGAACTCTTAATGGAAGAAAAAGGAAATGAAAATGTCTGATCCAGGTAGTAGGTACCAACATAAAGGTAAACAAAGTTTACTTGACAATATCCTTTACTGTGAAACCTTGGCGCACCATGTGTGCATAATAAAATACAGAAAAGCTTATGAGGAACAGTTGTACTGGAAGTTGAAGCACTTGACTGATTGAGAGTACCACTTTTCCCTTTTTAGAATACTAATGACCACCTCTAATTTATAGAAGTATGAATACGAAAAGATAAGTGCAGAGCAGCACCACTTCTGCTGTATAAAAGCCGGTTCTTTTTGCGTTTACCGTGTCATAGGGTAAAACATCATGGCGGATGTGGACTCTTTCATGGCAATCAGGGGCTGCGCGTGTCATCAACAGAAAAAAAGCCAGCTTGAGGTTATTTTTGAGATGTGCTGACTTGACAGGGGCTCAAAAAGGTAAATTAGTGGAGGTCCTCACACACGAGCACAAGCATCCTCAGCGCATTACAAGGTGCTGCCACAGAGCTTGAAATGTCTCCTCATACGAAATATCTCCTAACTTTATCCTCAGGATTAAGTTGATGTTGGGGGCTGTGAATCCTTTCATCTCTGAAAAGTCAACCAGTTGATGTGTTGTCAGTTAAACAATTGGCCTGTGTGAGCCGGAGCGCGCCGCTCCTCACCGCGTGGCCTCTTTGACACCGCGGCCGGCGCCGTCGCCTGACCCGCCGTACACAAAAGGACCATAGAGGAATGTGCAGTGGACAGTAATCCTATCTGGACCACGTCGGTGCACCCAGTCCATCCTCCACGTACAACGTTAAGATTAACCACAGTTTCTCCGTGCTGGGAAATGAGACATACAAACGTACATCACGGCTGTAGTTCAAACACTCCTTTGAAACATGTTACAGTTTGAATTACAAGTACAGACGCACCAGAACGCAGTTATAGATGAGCAGGGTCTTTGAAGAAGAAGAAGTATATATGTATATATATTTGGCGTGGAGTGCAGGAGGCGGGCAGGAAGGAAAGAAGGAATCCGTAGCAAAACTCCAAATAAATTATGTTACAGATAAAAATGTAAAAAGTGTAACGGCATTTGTAGCGACTGGCTGTTGAGCAGAGGCCTGGTGAATAGCTAACGGGCGACGTGTGAAGCTAATCGAGGAGGCGGGAAACACAGACGACTGATCCCTTCATTAACAAACAGGAAGTGAAGTGTACATTGCAGTGACTCTAGCACAGGCCAAAGCGTCGATGAGGCCACTCAATCACCCCGCTCAGCTTTAGAAGAATGTACAAAACTGCTTCGGTTTGCAGCAGAATGAGGCTGACTAGATCTATTGTGAAATGCTCCTGCTGTGTCATGGGATGCACGTGATGGATTCTCCATCCAAAGCCATTTGTCTGCGATCAAGCAGCCTCTCCCAATATTCATTAAAAAGTCTTACCTTAAATCAGGTGTTTCTTTCTAAGGTTCTGACTGCTGTATAGTACATGGCAGCATGTTGACCCCTCAGTTGCTTTAATTATTGATGTTGATGTTGATTTTGATTTATTCTACTGTGAAAAAGAAGTTGCGTTTTTGCCAGCTGAAACATCAGATGTAGATAGATATATATAAGAGTTTTTGAGGACATGAGTATTCTGTTCGCAAACACATGTATCTGATTTTCTTGACCCGTGAAATGCTGCAGGAAAACCTAAATCCTTTCATTGTTTCCCAGTTAAACCGTACACGATATACTTGATGTGTAAAGCTGCAGCACAGCCTTTGAAACAAAGCAAATCTCTACATCTACATCCACAGCAGCTCGCCACATTCAGCAAGGTCAACTAAGCAACCTGCAGGAAGCTGAAGGAGGCTTCTGATGCATATTAACTAAGCCAAGAGTTCAGGCTTTGTTGCGTGTGTGAAAGCTCTGTAGTAAAATAATTTAAATGAGAGCACACGCCACGGCTCTTGTGTTGCCACTGCCGGCAACCCAGTCACACATCTGCTTTTTTCATCTGGGCAGGAAATGAATTTAAATACCTGCACTCTTTCTCTTTAGTCTTTTTTCACCTTTCTTCCTACAAGCAATCTCCGTCTATTTAGAGTGATTGTAATGTTTGTTTATCTCTGGGCCGCTTTGTTGATCCAACAAATAGATTTCTCTCTTCTTAACACGACACGCGTCCTCTTGTCTTCGCAGGAAACCAACGAGCTGGTGGCCATTAAGAAGTTCAAAGACAGCGAAGGTGAGTGAGGGACGGAGACGAGGAGGGAGAGAAAGACCAGCAAGCGGCATCATCTCCGTCTCCTTCATTTCCGCACAGAAAATGAGGAGGTCAAGGAGACGACGCTTCGGGAGCTGAAGATGCTTCGGACGCTGAAGCAGGACAACATCGTGGAGCTGAAGGAGGCTTTTCGCAGGAGGGGGAAACTCTACCTCGTCTTCGAATACGTCGAAAGGGTCAGCATTATTATTTCCTGCTACATGCACACATGGATTCTCATCTCCACTCTGCTGTATCCAGCCTCCGGTTTCAGGATGCGGAGACTGCTCAGTTGAGCATAAGAAAAGCATCACCATGGCAACATATGAACTGGGCTGCTGGTGAATAATGGTATTCCCCACTGTGTCGCCAGGGTATCCAGCCAAGTGTTTGCTTCATGACAGGTTTATTTTAATACATGCTAGTCACCTTAGCACGGTGTTCCCTCTCGCTCTGCTGGTCAGGGTTTAAAAAGGGAAAGAGGGAAGGAGCAGAGAACCCCCCCCCCACAGTGAGCGTGTTCTCGGACAGTGTTCATATTTTTAAGCGCATTCTCGTATAATCAGTAGTTTAAGACTCTGTCTTGTGGTTTGCAGAACATGCTGGAGCTGTTGGAGGAACTGCCCAACGGCGCGCCGCCTGACAAAGTCCGCAGCTACATCTACCAGCTCATCAAAGCTATCAACTGGTGTCACACGAATGAGATCGTACACAGAGGTGAGCAGTCTACCTTCTGCTGCAAAAATATCAGCGTCGCTCATTCTGGGGTTTTAAAATGTGTCTTTTGTCTGTTTCTTTGTTCCAGACATCAAGCCAGAGAACCTCCTCATCAGCTCCGAGGACGTCCTCAAACTCTGTGACTTTGGTGAGATTTTGGTCTCAACTTTCTCCTCTATGCAGCAGTCACATTCGTCTCCTGAAGTTGTTGAGACGTATGTAAGCATAGCGGTTAAAAAAAGAAGCGTTCTTGCACGATTGGCCTCTTCAAACAATGGGAATTGCTTTTCAAATCAACGTGTTGGTTCACCACACTGAATCAGCTTTAACTGGCTTATTAGACAGGCTGCTGGATGTGCACATTTGTTGAGTTTATGTCCAATTTTTTTTTTTTTCTACAGTTAAATCTACGACTTTTGTTTTACCAGTTTGTTTTCCTGGGCTTAGTTCTCTGTGAAAAAAATCCCACTATTTTTCGTCACCATGTGGCTTATTCATTTTGCCACTGGGAGGAGGCCAATAGGCTTTATAAAACACACTTGTTCTGCCAAAGTTATACGACACGAAAATCAGGTTGATGTTGGGCACCTGCATCATATTCATACAGCGTATTTTTAACATATTTTAAAATATTTAAATATTCCTCCCAGGTACATTCTATATTTATTTTCAAAGCCGCCCGGTCAGTTAGCTTTGCGTAATTCTTTCTAATGCAATCCTACGGAGTCAGCCGGGTGTTTGTTATTTACTGCTGGAACTGACATTCTGCTCATTATGATTTGTCTTGCTTACAATTGACTCTCTGTGTGCACCAGTTATCTAAAGCGTGGCCTCAGTTCACCTCCAGTGGCTGATGGCCATGTTGTTACTGTAGCTGTCCAAACCGTTTGACTGTTTGTTGCACTTTCATCTTCTAATTAGCCATTTATATTTACCGACACAGAGCACTGGATGTCTAAAAAACTGTGTGAGTACGTTGTGTGTTCATTTCCATCTCCTTCTGGCTCAGGTTTCGCTCGCAACCTGTCTGAGGGAACAGACGCCAATTACACTGAGTATGTGGCTACAAGGTGGTACCGCTCGCCCGAGCTGCTGCTGGGGTGAGTCTGTGTGTGTGTGTGTGTGTGTGTGTGTGTGTGTGTGTGTGTGTAAGACACTACAAAGACAACCAGTGAGTGACCTCATTCAGTTGACCACCAGTGTTTGTATGAGATATGGACACACTGATGGATCGTTTTCCCTACTCGCAATATCTCAGATCAGTTTATCAGTGGGCCGATGCAATGCCGGTACTCTTTTTTTTTCCAATATAAAATCATTTCTGTTGGTTTAAAAAATAAAACTAGGTCCTATGACATGTTTTGCTTCACAGTAAATGTATTAATTCATTTGTAACGGTGCTGCACTCAGCAGCACTCTCACACACAAACAGATGATTTTCCAGCTTGCCGTTGAATAAGAATTCAGTGAAGTTTCAGCCCAGTGCACAGTGCATTCTACCGTTGCATGTGCAGCCCACACTACTGCCAACGCCACTGCACTGAGCCAAAGGACCAAATGCTTTCATGTGAGTTACATCCACTACAGCAATGGAACCAAAACTGCAAAAACTGCAAATTGCCAAAATAATAATAATAATAACAATAATCTATATATATATATATATATATCTTTTTTTTTCTCCAGTTAACCAGCAGTTATTAGCCTAAGGACAAGAACACTGTACAACGTCAACACCTTCTGCTCGTTTTTGCCAGCCAGCATTAAAGGCAACGTTGGTTAACTTGCTAGTTTGCTGACTGACCACATGGCGCATTGCACGTTGCATGGTAACTCCCATGACGTTGAGCTTTGTTTAATTATTGCAGATTAGTGCGACAGTGTGTAAATTGTTGACACACTAAAATATGCTACATGGAGATGTTATCTGGGAAAAAACAGTTACATCTAACATGCTGTCTCTGTCTAATGACATCTGGTGTCTTCAAAACATTAATTTCATTAAGTAAAATAAAAAACACTTATTTTTTTAGCATCATTTTTTAGATAATTTTTTAGATGATCTGCTAAACTAAAATATATGGTAGATATCACTTGTTACCACAAAACCTGCCGATGAAGATTTACCCGCTCAAACATTATGACACAAAACACTGTGCACCACATCACACGGTACCCCGAGACCCCATTTATGTTTTGTATTGTTTTTTAAGGATTTTAGTTACATCGAATGTCCGTTTTGGTTTAGAGACAGCTGAACGTCATCTACCCTCAGTGCTGTGTGCCTGATTTAGTAAATGCCCTGGAACATTTATTGAGACAGCGTTTGAATGCCGCCCACTCAAATACTCTCTCCCTCCAACACCACCGCTCCTCTGCTTCTCTGCTGCCAGGACTCTCGCCATTTCTCACCAGGCTCTCCAGCTCCCTTCTCGTTTAGAAATGACCATCTTCAAGAGCGTCTCCACCAACACAACACAGCATCCATCTTTCAGCTTCCCGTCCCCCCAAAACCCCCACAAGTTACATCACCCTGAACGCCGTCACTCTCATAACCGTCTTCCCTCCATCCCAGGGCGCCCTACGGAAAGGCGGTGGACATGTGGTCGGTGGGGTGCATCCTCGGGGAGCTGAGCGACGGACAGCCCTTGTTTCCAGGGGAGAGTGAGATAGATCAGGTCGGTGAAGAAAAGTGGGGTCCGTTGGTCCGTTCGTTGGTTCCATAGAAAACTGATCCGCGGAAACACATTTGTTGGTCCTCTCGTTCAGACAAAAGAAAAAACGATTCCTCTGCAACTGACAAAGAGCAAAGTTCGGCTTGAAGTATTTTTTGTAACGTCGCAATGATGACATTTTTAAAGGGAGGTTTGGACAGTGTTGGGAAACCGTGTGAGATGAGAATCACCGTTCTTTAGACCAAACACTGGAGAAGAATGGCATATGTATTCAGCCTGATAAGCAATCACAGGAGGGCATTACCGTTTGCTTTTTCAACGCTACAACTAGCTGGTGATGCCAGGGGAGCAGAAAGGACAGTTGTACTGCACTTATTTTAGGAGTTGGTGGAGAACAAAGCAGAGCTAAAAGGAGTTTGTATATTGTCAATTCAAAATGATAATGAATGTTATATCAACATAACTGTGATGCTGCACATTTTATTTACCTCCAGCTCTTCACCATCCAGAAGGTTCTGGGGCCACTTCCTGCAGAGCAGATGAAACTCTTCTACAACAACCCTCGCTTTCATGGAATCAGGGTAGGAAACGTTTCTCCTCATCCTCTTCCTCCCTGTTTTTACCTCCTTTGGTCCTCTCTCTCTCTCTCCCTCTCTCTCTCTCTCTCGGCAGTGTTCCCAGCACCATGACTGAGTGGATTGCTATGACTCATGAGATAGGTGGTTGGTGTACAGTTTAGCAGCAAGAGAAAAATGTCCCAGAAGGCCAAACAAGACTTTGTGTGTGTGTGATTCTTGTATTTTGTTTAGTGTGATCAAGTGATAGATTTCTGTGTGATTGAAACAGAATTCTTTTACTGGCAAGAACATCTACTGTCCAAATCCAGATATAACTGAAAGCACCTAAAGTTGTGATACAAATTTGATGCGTGTGTGCTTGTGTGCGTGTGTTTGTGCGTGTGTGTGCATGCGCATGATAGTTTCCCTCAGTTGCTCATCCTCAGACTTTGGAGAGAAGGTACCAAGCCATCCTGAGTAGTTTGATGCTGGATCTGATGAAGGTAAAATATCTCAATCTCAAAATGTATTTACATGGACCTGTCGCGCCGTCCATCCTCACTCTGTCCTCTTCTGTTCCGGTGAACCTTTGTCAATAATTAACGTCGGTATCCACACGCGTTTAACATCAGAGCCTGCTGCTGCTGAACCAGACCGAGCGTTTTCTGACGGAGCAGAGTTTGAACCATCCGGCCTTCCAGCCTCTGAGGCAGGCAGAGAGGCCTCCTCCTTCGTCTCCCAACCCACCGCGCTCCTCCAAGAGGAAAACGCACCATCATGGAGAGAACACCGTCCCCACGAGGTCTGACTCCTTTACTCAGTCTTCTTACAATTCTATTAGTTCCACCAAGTAAACATGGAGACCAGAGCTTAAGGGAATGGCTAAGTTGCCATCTTGTCACAGTGAGTATACGGTTGTACAGGCGTTGTTTTGTGAGCCAACTGTCAATCCAGGCCTGCCCAGACTCCTTTAACTCTGAACTAAACAGCCATGAAAAAAAAATATATATATATACATATATATATAGTATCACTGATCATAGTTTAGGAAGGAAAAAAGTTGCAAGGTTGTAGGCGTGCTCCAAATGACTTTTTCGCTTACTTTCACTGGCTTTAAGTTGTTTGTATATATATATATCTTTTTTTTTTTTTTTTTTTGCTTTACACGTTGTTACCCAGCTACTTGATCCTGTTCGAGGGACAGTCCTACAAATGTCACTCAAAAAACATGTAGAAAAGAAAACAATGCCAGAGAACCCGGAGAGAACCCACGCAGACACGTGGAGAACATGCAGACTCCACACAGAAAGGCCACTTGGGGGAGTCGAACCCAGGACTTATAAAGATTTATAAAGTGAATAAATCACAGAAATTTATTATATGGCTGAAGTCCTTTCTTTCCTAAAAGTAGATGTCACATCCAACAATAGGTTATATTCTTCCAAGCAGCTGTAGAAATAGAGCTCAGGTAAGAATGTTAAGTGCAGGTTTGTGTTCTTAAAGATTAAGACTTCAATACAAAGTGTCATCTATCCGTCTCTCTCCTCTACCAGGAGTCACACAAAGAGCACGAGCCGTCGCTCCAACAGCAAAGAATGTTCCAGCCTCCCTCGCCATGGCGATCTCCATCACCTCGGCAACAAGAGTTTCCTCAACGGTAACAAACCGGCTCCACCCACCTTAAGTCCTACGCTCCACCCTAAGGCCCAGTATATGTCCCAGACCCTCAATCGTTCTGCCTCATCCAACAAAGACCTGGTGAACAACAACCTGCCACACCTCCTCAGCCCCAAAGAACCCAAAGGCAAGACAGAGTTTGATTTCAACTTGGGACCATCCGCGAAGCTGGCGGACCAGGGACACGTGTCCAAGTACGGCCACAGCAAACCCAGCTCTACTCGCTCCCAGCAACAGCAGCAGCAGCTGCAGCAACAACAGCAGCAACAACAGCAGTTGCAGCAGCAACAGCTGCAACAACAGCAGCAGCAGCAACAGCTGCAGCAGCAACAGCAGGCCGGCCGCCACACCTTCTTGGAAGGCAAGACTAACACTCTGCAGTCTGCAGCAGATAAGCAACATGGCCGACACAGCCACAGCATGGCCGACTCTGCCCACGGATCCATGTCCTCCTCCTCGAAGAGTTCAGCCTCTTACCTCAGCCTGTCCAAGAGCCACAGCGCGCTGAGCGATGCCAAATCCGTGGGCAACCTCAGCGACGGCCGACTGCACCCAGAGGACCCCAACTCCAACGCCACAGCGGGGATGGGCCCCGGGGCCCGCTTCTTCCCTGCCAGCTGTTTAGACCTCAACACCCCATCAGTTCCCCAGGGGCCGCCCGGCAGCCCCTCCGCTCGCCACAGCGATCGGTCGGGCCACAGCCCCGCCTCTCGTAGCAGTGGAAATGTGCGCATGGAGAGCAGCACGCTGGACTCCTCGTCCAGACATAAATCCAGACATAAACCACTGGCCTCAGGTAGGTATGAGAGCATGACCTCTAGTGCACTTTGTTGTCCTGGAGTCAATTAGCCTTCAGTTTCGGGCTTCAACCACCCCATTCTTTTCTTTTTCTCTTTTTTGGTCTTTTAAATTATTTATATTCAGCAAAGAGTGAATCTCCACATGCACTTTGCACCCAATACAAAACAGTACAATTAAAAATATCTGAAATTCTAATTATTTATATATTAAATATTTCACATTCATAATCGTACAATACAGAAAAAGGTTATATACTTTTAGTTAAAGCCTCATGTCTTGAAATGGTCTACAGGTCTTGTTTAACTTCTGTACAATGAAAAGTTTCAGCAAAGCTGCATTATGATTGGTTCCCTGTATAGTGTCTCTATTTGGAACCGAATAGCGGACACGGAATCAATGGTTTGGATTTTAATCATTTCAATTACATGATCACACAAATTGACAACATTTGCTCCAACTCCTCAAATGTCTCCGCTTTTTTTGTTTTGTCTTATCTCTTTGTAAATCAAATGCTTTACATTTTGAAGAAATACAACAATCACTCCACAAAGTGATCGTGACTGGACGCTCTAATGACTCTGTTCCAGAGGAGGCCGGTGCTCCGGAGCTCTTGGATCCGGGAGGCGCGGGGATGCCCTCCACTCACACTCTGCCTTCCCCACACGAGTCGTACCACTACGGCCTGGGCTACACCTCCCCCTTCTCCTCCCAGCAACGGCCTCAGCGCCACTCCATGTACGTGAGGAGGGAGCGCCACCGGCCGCACGGGAACGAGGCCGCGATGGCCGGCTTGCCTCCCCCCGGGCAGGCGATACCGACGCGCGCCAGCAGCCTGCAGATGCTCTCCCCCCAACTGCAGCACCGGACCACCCTCACCGGACACTCAGTGAGCTCTTCCAGAGAGGACTGCACGGACACCATGACCAGGGTTAGTGGCAGACAGTCCTGTGAGTATGAGGGGAGCCAAAGGACACCCTACGCCCTAAATATACCTTTATTTTACGCTGTGGAAAGCAGCCGGTTACTACACATCCGTGCACTGGTGGAGTATTTTGAGTTCATTGTTTCCAAAACCATTGCTAGAAATACTTTTTTCTTATTTACTTTTTATCGTTTCCATGGTAACAGCAACATCTGTGGTCGGTAGAACTTATTATAATAAAGACAACGTCTAATGAGCACTTGATGCAATCTTTTGCCTAACATGAATCTATAGGTAAAACATTATATGGGATTGTTAAGACAAATCACTGAAATAAAAAGCTCAAACAGACACACAACTGATCAGTTAATAAATAAAGTTAGAGGTTATGAAACAAGATGAGCCAAGAGGCAATAGATATGCAAATGACAGTGTGTGCCGGTGATAATGTATTTTTACTGAAACGAGACATTTGAACAAAATTTCTCCACAAGCAGACAAGAGAGCATAATGTAATATTGCGTACGTTTTTAGTGCAACCTGTTGCTCCGTCACTGAAGCGCCTCAAGTTAAAAACACGAAATGTAGGGTTTGAAAGTTAAGCTGAAAAATTCTGGAAATGAATGAAGCGCAAGAATATTAAATAGTGAATCTTTCCTTTAACACATACGTATTGCAAATGTGTGTGTGTCCCAAATGGGCGTGTGTGTGTGTGCGTGTGTCTCACGTTGTCATTGCCTCACGCTGCTTCTCCACTCTGCTTTGACCTGCGCCTGTCCGTCTCCTCAACAGAGTGAGCAGTCCCCTAAAGACATGAGCCACCCTTGTGCCCCCATCAAAGACTCTACGAGGGACAACAGTGCCGCTTTTCATACACAACGCTCTAAAAACGAGGTCCGACCCCCTGACTCCCCTTCCCTCCCCCCCGTCCAGCTCAGCCAGCACAGACAGCAGCTCTGCTGACCGCTCTTCCCATAGCTTTCTCTGTTTCTACCCAACAGCTTCACCGCACGTTGTCGCTGGTGTAAATGTTACCTCGCCGACAAGCTCTAAGATTGTCCCGATTTGTCTCGTGAATGTGACAGCTAAACGGCTAAAAACATAAAGTGAGATGAAATGACGTTACCGATCACGCGTATGAAGATGCTGAGCAACTTTCTATGGTCCGTGTTTGTGCACTCGTGCGTTTTGTGTGTCCGCATGACGTGTGCGTCTCTCAGGTCAGCATGTATCACGACCCTCATATGGAGGATGGAGGATCCTCCAAGGAGAACCGGATGATCTTCACTGAGTCCATGCCTCGGAGAGTCGGCAGCTTCTACCGAGGTACGAGTCCTTGGAGTTGTTTGCGAAGAACCTGTACACAGAGGGGTTATTTAAAAAGAAGACAGAAAATAATGATAGAATTGAATTAAAAACCGATGCGATACAACAGTTACTATATATTCTAGCGCCTTTCAACAAGGGGATTCAAAAGACTGTCAGACAAGATGGAAGAAAAGGCGAGTTAAAAATAAACCATATCAATAAAATATGGTTCAAAGAGACCTCCTGTCCGTGGTCGGCTCCAGGGAGAGTAAGCCGGCCGCACCCGTTGTATCTAAAAAAACCTTAGTCTTTATAAAGAAAGGTGGTGAAAAACACTTTAACCTACTTTGATGTTTTCAAACGCGTGTTAACGCTTTCATTACTCTGTTTGTTTCAAAATGGATGACTTTTACAATCACATTCCGGTTTAATGCAAAAGTTTGAGGTTTCTGACTGAATCACATTATACACAGGGGGGGGGTCTATAATTAAACAGGCGGACATATAGCTCGGGCTTTAATAGACGCGCCAGACATGGGGGAGTTTGGCAAATGTGAGTCCAGCAAAGGGAAACATTGTGCAATAACTGCCAGAAGCCTTCAAACATCACAGACTGCTGACATCCAAAGCAGCAGGAACCTGCAGAGAATAATTGTCTCCTCCTTGCGTCTCCTCAGTCCCCTCCCCGAGACCAGACAACTCCTCCTCTTTCCATGACGGCGTCGGGCAGGGTCGGGGGCCCGTCGTGCCCGTCGTGCCCGGGGACCCCGTTGCCATGGTCAACCACTCCAAACGCCAGACGGCTTTTGACTGGTGATGATTCATTTTCTGAACAGCATGTGAATGTGCAGCGTAGTAGATCTACGTTCAAGGTTGTGTCGAGGAAACTGTGTAGACATTTATTGTTGTGAAGAAAGAAACTGATCTTCTATAATACGGCGCGCTTTAACCTCAGATGTAGACATCTATTGATAAATGAAAAAAAACTCACATATCCTCCTCGCTGTCACATGAAATTTGTCACAACAGTAATTAATCTAATGGATTTTTACAAGGTTACTACCAGTCGGTAAATTATTCAAACTAAATTAATGAAAACATATTTTCCCTCTATGGTTTGTGGTTGAAAAAGAAGCTATATTTACACTATTTCCTGTAAATATCGTTACGTTGAACCAAAAGGCAAAGCAATTTTATTTGTATAGCGCTTTTCATACACAAGGCAGACTCAAAGTGCTTCACATCATCAACATTTCATAGAATAAAGTGAAATAAAATGCAGGAATTAAAAGACAATTTAAAAACAGCAAATAAAATTATAAATTAAAATCTTATTTAAATTGTTTAATTAAAGGCAGAGGTTAAAAGTGCAATGTAGGTTAAATTTAACAGAAGGCGAAGCTGAACATAAAGATTTTCAGTCTTGTTTTAAACGTGGTCAGAGTTGGGGCAAGTCTTAAATCTTCAGGAAGTTTATTCCAGCTGTTTGTTGCGTGGTAACTAAATGATGCTTTCCCATGATTTGTATTTACTCTGGGAATCACAGATTGGTGTCAGAAGATCTCAGTGATCTTGAAGGCTTATGTAGTGGAAGCATATCAGTGATATACTTTGGCCCCAAACCATGTAGTGATTCATATGTGAGCAGTAGGATTTTGAAATTAATTCTCTGACATACTGGGAGCCAATGTAAGGATTTAAGAATTGGTGTAATAAATAAACAACAATCGTACCATAGCTGTTTTTAAAATGTCTGTTTGCCATTTTTCTTTTCTAAGAGGTAATGATTAAGTGTCTTGTATAACTGAATAGTTATTCTATTAAATGCATTGTATATTCAGGATGTGCCGCAGCATACGTGACAGAGAAAATATCCCTATTTTATCTGGCGCTTGTATATCTAACCATGAGTCGTAAAGTGTGAGCAATTTCCTTCCCATTTTCTACGTAGGTCTGCCGCAGAAAAAATGGTCATGAATCCTCCAGAGCCCCCCAAAGAGAAAGAGAAACAAGGCTTCTTCAGAGCCATTAAAAAGAAAAAGAAGAAGACACAAATAGTAAGATCACTTCAGTCATTCATCAACCACACATGGACACGGCTGCTAGAATCTGGGGACACAGCAGCATTGCTACAATGAGACAAAGTGTTACGGGTGAAGGACCATGAGAAGTCCCACTGTGGGACAGATTGTAGCAGCAAAAACAGCCCCAATTAGTCAAAGTCATCCGGAGTAAACAGCAATCATGATCTGTAACTGCGTTTATCACAGTTTACAGACAAACATTGATACTTAACATTGGCCTGCTGCACTCGACAAACATGTTCCGCTACACAAGTAAAGTTTTAAAGTCTTAAAGTTGTGTTGAGAGTTGTGGACGTGCGTCTCCTGCTCCACAGACGGACGTGGAGGACGGGAGGAACCCCGGCATCAGGAAAAGCCTTTTCCCGCGCTTCGGCTCTAAGAACAGCTTGAAGCTCAACTCAGCTGTGAAAGTCCTACCTGTGGTCGCCTCGCCGATGGCTCAACACCAGCCCACCGCGCCCTACCCGGCCTCGCCGGTAACCCAACCTCAACATACTACCGCTGCATGCCAACGCGCTCGGCCCTCACCAGACTCACACGCCTGCAACGCTTTTAGAGCAACGTCCCAATTTTGGGAAATATTTAGAGTCCACTTTGAGTCTTCATGGCGCGCAGTGTCTGTGCATCCATCATGTCTTTGCTACAACGGTTGTCAAATGCAGTCACTTCGTATTCACGTTGCATTTGTGAGACAGCAGTTATCCTTTTCTAAATACCCTACGAGGTCCATGAACATGTCCAACACGTGCAGGCAAACCCGTGCTGGACGTTGATGGACGGTGAGCTGCAAGAAGCAGTATGTAAATGTAGGACATTTACTTCTTTTTTTTAATGCTTTTTTGCTCATTTTTTATTAAATTAATATAATACCGTCATGTCTGCCTCATGGAACTTGAAGCAACACAGCAGTAGGTTAGCTTAGCATAGCGCAGGGACTGGAAACAGAAAGGCCGGCTCTGTCCTAAAGCAACTGAATCATTTCTCATCCAAAAGATTGATGATGGTTGAAGTCAATTATCAAGTAAAAATGCAAAATATTATAAATGATATTATGATGTATGATAATTTGTTAATAATAATAATATTTTATTAATTAATAAATAATTTATATATATATATATACATATATATATATATATATATATATATATATATATATATATATATATATATATATATATTCGCTATGTATGTATTTACTTTACCAGACGTTTTATAAATCACAATTAAATGAACATGTCATTTGCGTGACACAAGTTGTGTGATGAAGACGAACCTCGCTGCACAAAGGGAATGTTACATTTACACAAAGTGTTTTCTTGTTTGTGAAATGTCAGGTTTCCGGTAACGGACAAGAGCACCTGTCCCTGCAGAGGAGCTCCAAGTCGTCCTCCCACCACGGCAGCCGGCGGAAAAACCGCGAGCGATCCCGAGACCGAGACCGGGAGCGAGAGCAGAGCCGGGACCGGGAGAGAGAGAGAGAGAGGGAGAGAGAGCGGGAGAGAGAGCGAGAGCGGGAGAGGGAGAGAGAGAGGGAACGAGGGAGGGAGAGGGAGAGACTAAATGACTGGCCACAAGACAAACCGGTGGACTCGCACTCTCAGGTATGCAGCCTGATACGTTACATCGTGGAGACACTAAAATGACCTGAGTGCAGTAACTTGTTGTTCAGACCAAAACGAACCCTCAGCATCAGTCATTAAGACATCCATTAAATGTAAAGCATGTTACCTAAGTCACAGGATTCTAAAGGTCAATAAATCTAATATGCCTTTTCCAGACGAGTTAATTACAGCTGCTTGTGGACACCAGCTGGGATGAAAAAGAGAGAATTGGCCTTTGAGTAACACCAAGACTTTTTTGATTCCCGGCCTAACGAACAGGGACCGGCTGCATGGACCAACACACTCATCCACTGTTTCTCTTTCTCTCCTAACAGAGTCAACCCCTCAAGTCCCTCCGCAGGCTCCTGCACCTCTCCCCCTCCTCCTCAAATCAAGGACAGCCTCCTCCTCCTCCTCCTCCAGACATGCGCTTCCAAGCCCCCCTCCCCAACCCGCCGCAGCCCCCCTCCAAAGCCGGCTACTCCGAGGGTCGAGGGCACGCCGAGAGCAGGGGCCACGCGGGGGTGAGCAGCTCCGCCCAGGCCAAGAGCCGCAAGGCCAGCTACCCCCTCCCCGGACAGATCGAGTCCAGCTGGCACGTGTCCGCCCTGCAGCGGGCCGAGGGCGCCCAGTTCACCCCCGAACAGCTGGGCATCAAACCGGGGCAGAACGGACCCACCTTCACCCGGGCTTCCCGCAGCAGGATGCCGAACCTCAACGACCTGAAGGAGACGGCGCTGTGAGCCCCCCCCCCCCCCCCACCTCCCCCCGCCGCCCCGTTCACTCTGCTCCCAAACTAGGGCCTCCTCCGACACGTCTCCGTCCTGGAAGCGTCTGCCAGACGCAGGCGTCCCGCTGCCGTGGTAAAAGTTTACACGAAAGCCTATCGGACTGGATCGAACCGCCCGTCTTGTTGTGATGCTCGTGAAGACCAGTAACAGTTTTGTTGGACAGGACGGGGCCTCATCCCGTCCCGGGACGGCAGCGCCGTATCAGTTGTATGTTATTCTCTCTCTCTCTCTCTCTCTCTCTCCTTAACAAGGGTTAGGACGTTAAAATAAGCTGATCTTTCCTGTCAGAGGAGACTCGGCACACGCGGCCTCTTTGCTGCCATCTTCTGCTCACAGGACACAACAGGACGCGACAGACAGCCGCTGTCACAGTGGACAATGAACAAAGGTTTTTTTCAAGCTCTGATATTTGATAAGAAGAAAAAAAGAAGAAAAAAAAGGTTTATATCAACATAGTTTATTAAATATTTATTTGTTTTAAATTCAAGGATATAAGCTATAAATGACACAGTATGTAGGCTATATGGGAATATTATACGGTAATAGAATTCAATGTGTAATTGCAAGAGCTTTAGTTTCGACACAAAGAAATGCATAGATATTTATGTGTTGATAATACAGTGTCAAAAGGAATATTTATTAATGGTGAATGTCCTTCTTTTTGTTAAATTTGATATGTGATTAACAGATTTTCACCTGTTAATTTTCCCCTTTTTTCTGTATGTTTCATCAGAATGTAAAGAAATATTGAAAAATACTGCCCACGGTGGAGAAAAAGCCTCGGACATTACTCACAAATCTGCGGTCGCTCCAATAACATTCGCTTTGAAGTTTAGTGACACGTCGGACTATTTTTCAGCCGGCGGTTCACTTCATTTCCCACTTTAAGCCCCAGCTCTCGTCTATCGTCTCTCGGTACTCAAAAACAACATGGAAGTGTGCAAGATAGTACGAGAGCATTCAGCAAAAAAAGCCATTACCTCACCTGCAACCTTTAAGGTCCCAAATGACAAGTCTGGTGGAATTTTGCATTTTTCTTTTTGTGGACAAATGTAAAGACAAAAACAAACACCGATTGGTAGATCGCTTATAGCGTCGAACCGTTGTGTGGATAAGACTAACTTTCCAGGGTTGTAAAACCCCGTCTCAGAGTATTATAAACTATCGTAGAGTGTTTTGGCATCTAATAAGCACCTAAACACGCTGAGCCCTGAGTACTCGAACTGGGCTTCCTGCTTCCTATTCCCACTCTGACTGGCACAGGATGCCGCCACTAACGCGGCTACTCTCAAGCTCCTGTTGTTGCTTTAGTGTTTTTTCATGGGATTTGTTCACAATAATAAAGGTGTGGAATAACACCAGACTTATTCTTTGATGTGTGTGTTTACATTTTTCAGTTTGCATTTTAAAATTTTGCGTTTTAGTAGATGCTTTTTCTACATCTGATACCGGTTTTCCTACTATTGGTATTTACATTACAGCTTGTTTTTAATATTACTAGTCATGATCACGGATGACGTTACTCAGCTGGGTTATTCATAAAGTATTTACTTGTCTTACTGACCTGTGAAGGATGAAAAAAATATACTGAACTAAACACTCTCAGTGCTTTAGGCAAAAAACAATGCATTGTTTTCCTTCCAGTCTCATGTTCATCGTTTGTTCCCTCCTCTTCCTCTGTGGTGAAGAGGTGAAGAAAAAACGTTAATCTGTACCACAGAAGGAGGGAACGGGAAAGAAGGACGGAGCGATGTGTGCAGAATTTGAGTCATCTGTGGACTAAAGAACAAACTTTTGAGAATTTTGATTTGTTTCTTAAACCTTTGAATGGATGAAAATAAGCAAAAAAGGAAAGAGGACAACAAAACAGGAACAAACCAATTGATTAGATGTCTGATTGAAATCAATAACATTCAGACAGAGGCTCAGTCTGATGCTGATTGAACATAGTGCCAAGAAGGATTTCCACCAGGAGGCTGATTAGTATTTTCCACATGGAACATCACCTCCACAGCGCTCTGCAATACGTCTTTTTTAAATCTCCAAATGTCCTTGAACATGCCCTGCGTTGTGTATTACTGAAAATCCTGATTGCTAATGATTGTAAATGACTGCTGACGTGGGTTTGCTATTTCATTAATGGGACAGAGTAATGATAAAGCCTTATGTCAGCTTACTGACTCAACACTTCAGAAGGAAACGGAGGCTTCAAGTTAAATACGCTGACAACTGAGATGAGAAGAATCGTTTCTCCTCACTAATATGAATGTGCCCCCCCTTCATTAAGCTGTTTCCCACTTCTTACAGGGTGTAAATAGAAATAATAGCGTATCTATACTGACCGTTCTACTTGAGAAATGATAGAGTCTCATAATAAAAGCCAACTGTACATTTTTTAACGGCTCCTACGTTTGTTTTGTTACACAGAGAGACGCATCGTATTGGTTAGTATTCATTTAATTAGGGAAATGGTTTGACGATACAATAAAGAACACATCTTCAGAGTTGCAGTGTATTCTCAAAGTATCATGCAAAAGTGAATTGAAATGTTACAGACAAAAATTAGGAGTCAAGCACCAAACCAAACCGCATCTGAACAGCAGTGAATCGTCCGTCGCTCGACTCTTTTATAGCACCGGGGAGTGATGTCTGTAAAAAGAGAGTTTTTAGGAAAGACAGGAAGTGAGATCACAGGCGTATTTAAAGAAAAGGTCTGACATTGTTCCACATTTTTCTTATTATCAACAAATTCCATCCAAGAACCAAATTCGACGTGTTAGTTCATTCCTGCTTCTTTGTTCGGTCTCAGACACGAGAATGTGTGACACTGAACAAAGAGGAAAATCAAAAGGGGGTCAAATTTATATACTTACAGTGAACAAAGAGTGATTCCCAAAAAGCAGCTGACCACTTTAGTCTTGAGAAAGCTTTACTCAAACACGAGTGATTGGTGCATTTGTTGGAGACTTTCGTCAGCTGCGGATTACAGCAGGACGGTGTCTGTTATTGACTCAACACAAACTGCAGTGCCTGTGTTCTCTGTACTGAGGGCGCATGTCGCACATATGCAACAATGCGGTTCATCGATCTGTTTCTAAACGTTTTGGGGGATGATTGCAATAAATAAAAAGTACGCCTTTTGTTGTTGGGATGAAGTCGTTGTTGGTTTGGGTCTTTTTGTGGGATTGGCTGACAGTAGAGAGAACATGTAGACTATCACCATTCTTATCCTTCGGGGGAAATAAGCACAAAAGGTCTCTGTTTATTGTTCAATATTAAGCAGACAAAACTTCACAGGAGGACACAAATGTTTTGGAAGAGCTTGTTTAAGACCGTTGGATGCAACCTCCATGGCAACGCCGCCTCTCCCTCTGCACGCCTAATTACCGCTTTGAATGTATTCCATTTCATTGCAAAATTCATTGGAACAATCTGTTGAGAACCCAGCAAATAAAAGGCCCAGCATGAGGCCGATGGAGAGAGGACTGTATGAAAGCTCATTGAGCACTTCGAACAAACATTTATATCAGATCACATCAGTCAAACGTGTGGTTCTATACGTGCAGTCAGAGGGGGACTAATCTGCGGATATATTAACAGACCACGGAATCAACACGACGGGGGGGGATTTAGGTATTGATGAAGATTCGGGGGGGGGAGGGGATTCAGATGCATTTGTTCATGCAGAGCAACAGCTCCATGCGCAGAGCGATGCGTGTGTGCCATCCGAGGGGGAGGATGCGGATGTAGCGCGCCACGATGGGCGGCCGCAGCAGGTTCTGCACGGACGAGGAGCGGTCAGAGTTTCCATAGAACACCTGAGGGAAAGAGAGAAAAGTGAGACTACGGTTACAGTTACTACCGCTAACAATATCGGTCAAGATACTACAGATGCAAATCTGATGCAGTGCATCAAATGGTGACATCTAAAACAACCCCCGGCTGTTTCCCCCGCGTTCCACTGACCCTGTTGTTGCCAGTCGGGTCCTTGTAATAGATCCAGTTGAGTTTTTCGTCCGTGCGGTACTGAAGGCTGTACTTGGTGATCCACTCCTCGGCGTCACAGCGGCCCTGAGTGAGAATCCCCGACACCACCAGCTCCTCCATCAGGTCAATCTGCAACCACTGGCTGCTGTCCTGGAACTTAGACAGCCAGGCGCAGCTGGAGACGGAAAACAGATGAGACGCAGCTGCTTGAGCGGCTTCCAACAGGTGCACACATGGTTGAGCTCGACTTGCTGATTGATGCTCTCTCGGAGCGAGCAACGTGGAGGATGCAGAACTAGAGCTGGCTAGGTTCCTTTTCTCACAGCAGGCATCTTGACTTGGCTTGGTGGAGAAAGCACGGGTGTTACTGAAAACATTCAGTACGGCTCCCACTAAGGTGTCAAATCTAAGTCATGACAGTGTGACAGACTTTTCGTAGTATGTATTTACCGTTTTCAGAAGCAGAGGGTTAGAGGTATTCGTTTCCAAACGATGGTTTTGGTATTACAAGGCTTAAGTGTTCTGTAAATAGTACAGTTTAAAGAAATTGGATGCATGTATTTTTGTTTATTCATAAGCACTATGTGGAGGTTTAGTTTAGCACTTTTTTATCCTCCTTTTGGAAAAAAAATCTACTGAGTTCTCTTTATGCATTCATTGAGTTGTGCTGCCTTTTGTAGTTATAAAGTACTCAGTTGCACCTGTAACCTCATCATCATCCTCATCATCATCGGGTCAGACAGCTTCAACAGGTAAGAGGTAAGAAGCTAAGCAGAAGAACCGACTCTTTGCTGTCCTGGCCCATAAATGGTGGAACGAGCTCTCTGAAGACACCAGGACCACAGAGAGCCTTCACATCTTCCACCGCAAACTAAAGACACACACCTTCAGACTCTACTTCGACTAAACGACTAACAACTTGTAGCACTTAGATTGTACTTTCTTGTTTCTTTTTCTTCTGAGTTTGTACCCTATGGTTGAAATGCACTTATTGTAAGTCGCTTTGTATAAAAGCGTCAGCTAAATGACATGTGTATGATGATGATGATACATGATATGTGATGCAACCACTGGAGGTCAGCAAACACTCTGAGAAACCTAAATGGTTTTAAGAAACCGCATATTGGCACGTCAACCAACTTACACAACGAGAGGTCGGTTTCATGTCATGTTCCTCACAGGTGGCCCACATTTTTTTAGTAAAAAGTTTCTTTTGGCAAGCTTCTCAGGCGTGTACCCACCCGAAGCCCTGAGTGTTGAGCCGGGCCTTGCTCGGGAGCCACGAGGAGAACCAGCCGGTGTACTGGTCCTGGCTGGAGCAGGTGATCTGGTCTGGACTCACCGACCCCGCCTCAAAGCCCAGAGGCTTGTGGTACGGACACTCTGTGGGAGACCGAGTTACAAACGTGAATAAAACACAGAGGTGTGACCACCGAATGACCGTCACCATAAGCCTCTCTGGGTGCTTTTTCCTCCATCTCTCATCCTCACGCCCTCCGGCTTCCAGAGCCCCCCGTCGTTAGCAGACCCAGCGTGACCCATATCCCGTCCTTTAATTCCCCGCAGAGATCAGCGATGTCCATTAGGACGGCAGGCGAACAGATGGCCGCGTTCAACAGCTTTAGCTCCATTGTTTTGTTCTGTCAATCTGCCGCATCACTTCCCCTAAAAACACTCGAGAGCTGGTCCTTTGTGGGTAGATACACATTGTAAATGCATGAATGGGGGAGACGAGACGAGCTCTTCCTCCCTAAACTTTCAGAAATAATACCGGCCGTGTGAAGCACGGAGCTGCGCTTTTGTTTACTACTAGCTTAAGCCTATCTGGCACAGGGTCACATCCTATTTAATCCCCAGTATTACAACGCACACAGCAGCAGCAGCAGCAGCAGCACCGCCTGTGTGAGTCAGGAGATAAGTGTTTACATAACAGCCCTAATGCATTTCAAGAGTGGAGTCAAACACAGATGCCTTCGTTTTGGGAGAAAGCGAGTGGCGAGACACGACGGTTCGAGGTGTGATGAAGTCGGAGGCCGTGCAGTAAAGTTAGTCCGTTATCATCACAAGGTCTGTGTGGGGGCAATTGCTGTTTTCTCTGATTGTATGATGGGCAGGCTGCAGCAGGAGCTCAGCTATCTGTGCATCCGGATCGGAGATGAAGGATATCTGGTGAACTTCTGTCACCGGTTGCCATGTGACTTTGTGGCTCCGTTGACACACATTGACTCAGCCTTTCCCCTCCCATCGAGCCTGACACAATTCAAGTCTGATCTTCATCTCTGAGACCTCATCAAAATGCAATCAGGGCTTTGATTTTTTTGGCTTTGCGAGACATCTCAAAAGAAGGTGTGCAGGTTTCACAGAGATTTGGTGGAAAGTCAAACCACAGGACAAGTCTTAAAGCGATTTTGGAAAATGGAGCTCTCCATCTGATGATGAATGGGATGTCATCAGCTGCTAATGGATCATTTTGTCAGCTGCTGCTCGCAAGCTCAGAAACGAATAAAAAAAGAAAATCATCCAAATATTGCATGAAATGTGTATAAATTATGCAGCCCACATTTCTATTATTGACGTTGTAAATCTAGTGGACCGTGCAGACTTGGCAGAGGTGTTTTTGTTTCTTTCCATGGCTCCATCTGCATCATCTTCGCTCATGATGTCCAGCGGGGCGTGTCCACCCTGTGGCGTCAAATCTGGAGCCTAATGGACTCATGCATGCACACACAGAGATTCCCCGATTCGGTGTGTCGGTAGCTCACATTTTATCTCTCCGTCCATCTGCACTGTAGACCATTCATTATTATTCATTATTCCATCACTCAATCTACAGGAATGTAACCAGCAGCTGTTTTGACAGTCAATTATGAATTTGATTTGTAATTGAATGTGATTTTACAGCAAACTATCTTTGGATTTTTTTAAGCAAAACAAATATTACTGTATATTTACTGTATTGTTTAAAAATCAGCGACACAGCGCATGATTCTTGTCCTCGTCCAGTCTCTCTGTCAGCTTTGAATGTTCATTATCAGATTCACAATTACCTCCTTGTTTCCAGTACTATTATTAGTTAAATGGTTCAATTTCATCATCTTATCAACAACGGTCACTTAATTAGCAAAAGAACGGCCTAATTAGAAATGAAATGAATCTGTTTGCAGTAAAGTGCACATGCAATGTGCACTGCATCACCATCATCATCATCACCATGTACGGTTACAGGCTACTGGCACGAAGGCTCGATGCTTTCTACCTGGCATGCAGTCCACTCCTCGCACCACGGAAGATCCGCCCCCAATGGTCGAAAACTCGGTCGGGGATTCACCACAATCACATTTGCAAGATCTGCTGGTCCACGTCTCGGACACTCCCGCCTTGTACAAAGAAACGCAAACAACATTAAACTGATGAAGTCCAAAGCAGTGTCAAATTCAGCTGCTTTGCAAAGAATAAAGGAATAATTGCATGGGTGAGTAAAAATAACATTGATGCAGCAAACAGACTGAACCTCATGATGTCTCATCTCAGATTGCCAGTGGTCATTCATAATAAAAATCAATTAAACAAAGTGTTTAATAAAGAACAACTCTGAACTACATCTTTTTGAAAAAACTGCTGATTGTAACGCCGTCTAAGGGTTCAATCATCTCTGATATTAACCGGAGCTCTTTACGTACCTCTTGGGCGTGAATGCTGATGAACACTGCTCAGACAGATGGAAAGAAAGCAGAAGAAAATACCATGAGCACACAGAAGTCGCCCACTACAGCAGACAAAACGTGGACATGTGTTAGTCTGTCAATGCAACCACATTGCGAAGAGGCAAATAAACGAGAGACACAGATAATCGAGTGAAACCAGGGGAAACATGCAAGCGTTGTATATCCAGGATAAATGAGGAAAACTTATATTGTTTGAAGTGTTTGTCTAAATCTAAAAGTTTGTCTGCGCTCAGGGGTTCTCTTCGGCATATTGTCCAATTTGAAGTGATTTAACTCCTTCAAATACATCTAATGTCACAATTGTTAACCTCACATATGTTGGTTTCATAAGTCAACAGCAGCAAGGTGAAAAAGCGTCGTACCGTTAGCTCCCAGGAGCAGGGCCAGCAGGAAAGGATGCGCGCAGAGAGACATCGTCCAACCTGCTCCGAAACCAGAGGACACCGACTGCAGACTGAGCAGCCGAGCTAGCAGTGCTAGAGAGGCTGGATTACAATAATCCACGGGACACTAATGGTTTTACCTAATGCAATCCTCATCTGACAAAGCCCCTCCCACAGCTGTTCGCCCGCCACCATAAACCACCGCCGCCATACATTCTGGGAATCACAGAGGTCAAGTCCAAAAGCCTGCCGCAAAAAACAAAAGCAAGTGAGGTTAATGTGACAGATTTGGGTTGTGTGTGTGTGTGCGTGTGTGTGTGCGTGTGTGTGCGGGTGTGTGTGCTTGCCGTAGGGTGGTGATGGCTTATGCTGGGCCTTGTGATCCATATAATTGACCAGAAGGTCGACTTGAATGTCCTTGTAGGTTTGCTGCATTTTGTATCATCACGGCAATTATAATTTAAGAAAGAAAGAATTTTATATTATTAAGTGCCTCATTTTAATTTATTTTAAAATAAAAGTTTCAAAGTAGAGCCCAAATCATATTAGCTTTCACATATGAATTATATGACTCCCGATGTTTATTTACGGTAACAATATAATTGTGCTACAGGTAAAGAATATTTGTTAGAATGGTGTTAGAAACACCAACAAGTTTATTTTTCAAGATGAAGACTCCCACTCAGAGCACGTCTTGCAGATCTTTCATTGCCACATTGAAAAGTTACAAAATGCTTGTCTATAATTATTAATGTAAAAAAAGGTAATATTAACTGATGTCATCCGTTCTCTGTTAAATATCAAAATTACAGCTGCTGAAAAAGAATTGGGGAAATAACAAGAATCTTCAAATTTACAGCTTAAAGTTTCCAACTAAACTGTAAAAGAAGAAACAAGCAAGTAAACAATTTGGCAAGTGTATTTCTCTGGTGATAAAGATTGACACTAATAATGGCCTGAAAGTTTTTTACTCCAGGAATTCAAAATAAATGTATTTACAATATGCAATCCCAGTTGTGATTTTACGCATGGCATTCAAAAGCTATGAACAAGCTCTATATTATCTTAAGACGGTTCTATTCACTGTAGATACCTAATGAAAGGAGAGCTGACGCTGAGGGGTTCCACGCCTACTGGGTGGAAGCAATTAAGCCCAAACAAGCGAAGCTGTATTCAATTTGTGTTCATTAGAACATCCTTTCTTCACTCGGCTCGCACTTGATTCCCTCGGCCTCTCGTTCCTGGCGGCTTCTTGAACCCGCGGCGGTGAAGCTCGTCGGTTGTGTGCAGAATGAAGGCCGCTGTGCAAACAACGCGCAGGATTCCTCCACAAAGCAAGAGACGCACCCGAGGTCACGCCGCTGTCCTCTACAGAGCGCGTAAAGAGGTGAGGCGCCGCGACGTGCGTGACCGTGTGCTGTTTGAAAACCCAACACCACGTTGTGTTTCATGGGATGTTTTTGAATACGACCGAAGGCTGAAAAAAAATAATAAGATCCGGTGTTTCCAAGTGCACCGTGCTGGTTGCTGTGAGTAAGATTATGAAAAGCAACTCAATTGAGGGTGTTTTTTTGCATCTCTTCTGCAGGCCAGTCCGGCTTCGTTGAGGACCCCGGACTTCCTGGACAGTCGGCTCACTTTTCCCAAACCCGTCCTGCTCAGACTGGTGAGCTCGGAGGCGTCGCGGCTGTCCAAAACCAACCGGCTGAAAGTGATCACCCTGCATGAGATCAGCGCTGCTGTCACACTTCTACAGCAGCGGATTCATGCGAGAGCTGCTGGATGACGGGTTGGGGGGGGAAATGTTATTTTATCTGCTTTTATTATTAAAGAATTCTATTTTGTATTCTGTTGCTTATTTATGTGAAGTTTTTATGTGTCCTGTCAGTAAAATTGCATTATGTACCTACCAAGTTACTGGTGATCAATCATGGAATATTGTTAATGACAAATTGGTGGTTTAGTTGAGCCTTGAGATTTAACTGGGAGTAGGAATGGGTTTTTAAAGGCAGTTTTGGCTCACATAGTGGGACAATATTTTTTGGAATATGGCTATTCCTTTACTCTCCACGTCCGATACAGAACCCTGCATTCAAAACCTGCAACAGCATGACTTTTTAACCAGGAGGCTCATGATCATACTGTGAACGTCTGTTTGGTTGGAGATATCTGGTGGAAAACACTAGACTAACTTCTCCAAACCCTGCAGTCTTTGTAATGGCCGTCAGGGGGCGACTCTTGTTGCCTAACTAGTTGTGACAACTTCCTGTCGTCTCTTGATTTAAAGCCTTCACGAAACAAGGGCTTATGATCTCGCTAGTTTTGATTGTTTTTGAAACCCAAAGATCATTTAGTATGAACACTTTAGTAAACTGGCTGATAAGCGTTTACTAAAGTCAAAAGCATTTGCCCTGTTTGCAGACCCAAATTACCGTTTTGCGGATTTAATTTAATTTAGTTTTTCAGTTCAAGTACTGAACATTTATGAATTTATAACTAGCCTGCTTTATAATGACCTACAACTTCCATCATGGAGTAAACTGGAGCTGGAGACGGTGCTGACACGTGGTGTCACCGTGTGTTTACCTGAGGAGGAGGAGGAGGGGTTACCGGATGTGTGCACGAGCCACAGAAACCACCTGGGGAATGAGTCACGGTGGAAATGACTGAAGTGTGGCTGTTTTCAGGGGGAGCAGCTGACTGGCTGCCCCGTCCTGTGATGAGCGGCCGCGGGGCTTTAAAGCCTCCGCCTCTCTGTTGCCTCCTTCAGCCTCCAGCAGCAGCGCCTCCCCTCCGCTATCATCCGCTCTCCCGCGACGTGGACGACATGTAGCGCAGCATCGATGCAGGTCTTTGTGTGTGTGTGTGTGTGTGTGTGTGTGTGTGCGTCACATGGATTGCGCGGATAAGAACTGCAGGTAGGAACAAAAAACAAACACACTGATGCTTTACTGGCGCCGTATTTGTCAGATAAGGAGGTGATTTGATTTACATCATCTCCCTTTTTGATCTGTCCTCGCCTCTGCGTTATTACGTCTAGCTGGGGAAGTTTTTTTTTTTTTTTTTTAAGTCTAATGATGATAATTACTTTTAGGTGGCGACAGTCGCACAGCACCAGCCAGATGTGAACCACCTGTGGAGAGACGACTGATGTGACCCCCGCCTCCTCCAGAGACCTCCTTTTTGGACATCATGGGATGTGGCACCTCTGTTGCTACGGAGACACAAGGGAAACGAGTGGAGACCGGTAAGGATGCCTGGCAGGTGGCTGTCATTGTTCATGGCCGACGCACTTTTTCCTTTCCTGTCAGAGGGAACATTTGACATTTCTCTGTGTAGCCTGTGGAAAAGTGTGTGGAAATCCCAGTTGATATACCTGTGGACACACCAGCTGAGCACAAACACGCTGAACTGGAAAGCTTTGAAATAACTGTTTTCATGATGAATGATGGGATGAAGAGGTAACTCAGGTGAAACGTGTGTGTTGTGTGCTAACAGACTTTTAATGGCTTTCGTTTTTCGGACTTTACGAACCACTTTTGAAGCCTTGATGCGTTCTGACCTCCACAATATAATCTGTTTGCAGCTTCTCAGTTTTGCCAAACGATCGTGACAACAATCATTCGTTGCGGTGCTCTTTTTGTTTGTGTGTCTCCGTCCCGTCTGTGCAGCATTACGTAACGTTATTTCATTTTGTGCTGTTGGCATAGTGTATTAACAGCAGTTGCCATGGCAGTAGTGTTATGGTTCAGTTTTACGCATCTCAATGTCACATCGGGCAGAATGGATCTGATGGTAATTAATTTTTGTGGCAGTACATTTCCCTCAGACTTGTTGCGCACACACACACACACACACACACACACTCAGCAGATGTTTGACAGATGGTGCTTTGCTTTCTTCATAGTCTCTCTTTAATGAGTGCTGTTTCTCCTGGAAGCTCTTTTAATTTGCTCAGCTTTCCAGTCCCGCTGCTGCTCATGACCTCCCCCGTGTCTTGTTATCACTCTCCCCGTGTGCGTGTGCGTGCGTGCGTGTGTGTGTGTGTTTTCTCTTGCGCTTGATTGTAGTCAATAACCTGCTTCTTTTGCTGAATTGCAGCTTTTTTCTTTTCACAGATGACACAATTAAGAGTCCCAGCCCGGCTCTGAGTAAGTCCGTGCTCCTCTCTGAAGATCAGTCCGTGTCATACGTGACGTGTACATGCATGCATGCGTGCGTGTGTCTGTGTATATACCTGAGCATTTTTACATTTCGCTCTTGAAGTTTGTCACTTTGTAGTTAAATTGCTGTGCTCCATATGGATGCTCAATAAGAGTCCCACTGGTTGTATTCACGCTGTGTGTGCATCTCCAGACTCCAGATACAAATGAAACGTGGCGCTTTGTGTTTTTGTCGCAGCCATGAAGGCGGCTGTTTTGATCCAGCGGTGGTACCGGCGCTACATGGCCCGCCTGGAGATGAGGCGCAGGTACACCTGGAACATCTTTCAGTCCATTGAATATGCCGGAGAACAGGACCAGCTGCAGGTGACTCTCAGAATCGGCACTGCTTCCTGCTTAAAAGACGAGTACACCTGAGAACTCATTTACTAAAGTAACGTAAACATGTTTGTTTGTTTTTTCTGTCTTCAGCTCTCAGGTTTCTTCAGTTTCATGCTCGACAACTTCACTCAGCTGAATGGAAATGGACCAGGTCAGGAGCCGAAAGACTCTTTTTAACTGCAGAATATTTTGATACGATGGCATTATGTGTATGGACATCTCTGACTGTATTCATATAGTATATTATTTTGGAGATACAGGGGAGGTGAAAAACGTTTTCTAAGATCGCTCACATAGATATGAAGGCAGGACAACTCTATAATTTTTCACTGTGCATATAAAACATGAGTTGGGTTTTTACAGCTTTACATAAATTGCTCTTGGTTCATTTGATGATGTGCTATTATGTGAAATTGTATGATGAAACACAAAGGCGTCCAGATGATGCTTTATGACAATACAAATGGTGAGAGACAAAATTTGATTACAATATTTGTTTTGTTAGTCATGCCTTTGGTCGACATTAGAGGACGCATTGCGTATAACCTGTTGCTTAGCAACGACTGTGAATGCGGAGGCCAATGTGTTGGTTTGCTGCACAGACACAGCTGTGGCTTAAGTGTCTATTGACCATCTCATCCAACCAAAAGGCCCGATGCGCTGTTGACAAGTGAATCCTTAGGTCATCCCGTATTACCCAACATCTACGCTACATCCTCCGTGCGGGTTTTACATCGAATCGACATGAATGATGCAAAAATGCTCGACTCTCTCTTGTATTTATTTTGTGCTGCATCTGTGTTTGAGTGTGTGTGGCAGAATAGAAGACGTTTGAAGACACAAATGGGGTAAATAGACAAAAGAGAAATAGGCCTGCAGGTAGATGCCGTGTGTGTTTGCATAAATTGGAAGTTTATTAGCATATTGGAGGGGTCCTTCAATACAGCAGTGAGGTCACAAAGAGCAGGACGATGTGTAATGCTGTTTAGATCATTGTCACCATCCAATCGCGGTTCAGCAGTGGTGGAAAAATAACTTTTATTTTATCTAAAAATAAACATCCATTTTGCAGAATGTCCTGTTTCAGAGGAATGTATATTATGTTATTGGAGGATTTATACAATAATGTGTACATCACTTTAATGTTGCAGCTAATCAAGGAGGTGCTTCATTACTTTACATACTGCTTGGTAGCTTCAGATGTTATCTATCAATTACTCCTCATCTTAAACTATAACAATTCACTAAAATGCATTTGTGAACTATTTTTTTGTATAACTCACATAAATTCGTAGAGTAACATGAGTTATCCAATAAATATAGTGAAGTAAAAAGTAAAGATCTCCCTTTTGAAAATGTTTAAAATTGGCATGTTTGTTATATGGCATCATTGGATGGAATCATTCAGTTTGGGGCGAAACCAGCAAAATGACTATTGTCTACTTTTATTATTCAGCATTTTCTACAATTGTCCAACTTTTATAGCACAGAGGACACTGCACCCCATTTCTTCATTGTGTGTTTGTGGACCTGTGTCTTCCATGAGCCCGGGACGGTACGTTCACAGCTGCTCCCTCTGTGGTTTTCAGACTTGATCTCGCAGCTGCTGGAGCCGGTGGTGGACCCCTGGTTAGACAGAGAGATCTGTTACAACTTGATCCCCGTTCCGGAGTCGTACACGGGGCCCCGGCTCTCGTTTCCTCTCTCTGTCTCTGATACCAACGCTCTGCTCGCTGCGTTTAAGGACCAACAGGTACAGTAATACGGGTGTTTCTCGTTCTCTCGCTTTTGGAATGTCTTGGTCCAGATGTTTTGGCTGTTTTACGGACCTCACTGCTTCCTTTCATCCATCCAGATTCTACACGCCAGATATGTTCTGCAGCTTCTGTACGAGACCAAAAAGCTCCTCAAACAGATGCCAAACATTGTCCACTTGTCGACGTCCTACACCAATGAGATCACTATATGTGGTGGGTGACGCCGCTGCTTGTGCACCTGCCACACAGCGCGGCAGCGTGGGCAGCCGAGTACATGAATAACCTGCTTAAATGATTGCTGATGTCCGTAAATGCGTTGAATGAATACAGTTGACGCTATCTTAATGGCAGTGTTTCAAGAATGGAGGTCCTTTTTATTTGCACACTGATCAGGCACTTGACTCTCCTGCAGAGATGCATCTCATTCAACTGAAGAAGACGGCGGTTTGGGTGTTTTCCTTCTGTTGGGGAACATTACAGATATCCTCTGTAAATTAGAGGGATCAGTGATAAGATTCCCATTTCTGCACTGCTGTGAATTTCCTATTTTTGTGGCAGGTGATCTGCACGGGCGGCTTGATGACTTACTTCTCATTTTTTATAAGGTACTGTAAGGCTGTTTCTTCTACTCTACAGCCCATTTCTTCATGATCCCTGACTACTTATTTTACAGATAAAAAGTTGTTTCGGGCAGATGCATCTGATTTTATGTCCTGTAGAAACCGATGTGAACCAGTTGAAGCCTCAATGAAAGATAGCGGGAAGCGTGCAGTCAAGATCTGCTTTTAATTTGGCTGTTTTCACGACTCGCTGCTGCTCAGAATGGCCTTCCCTCGGCGGAGACCCCATACGTGTTCAACGGGGACTTTGTCGACCGTGGGAAAAAGTCCATCGAAGTGGTCTGCCTCCTCTTCGCCTACCTGCTGCTTTACCCCGACTACATGCACCTGAACCGAGGAAACCATGAAGACCACATAATGAACCTCAGGTTGTTTGGGCGAACAGGAGAAATGAAAGAAAACAAGCATCTTTTTCTATGTTTACCACAAAAACGTGGGTAGTAAAAGTAGGATATGTTTTTCAATCGTTGTTTCAGATATGGGTTCACAAAAGAAGTCATGCAGAAATACAAGGTACAGTGAAGTCAAGCAAATGGTTTTATTCTGACTCCATTTTGAATTGGATTGAACAATTAACTCTGTTCACCCTGTAGATTTTAGCATCGGATTAATGAAATGATGCGGCGGTCGCTTGATTAATTCCTTTGTCACTGCGCGCAGACTCACGGCCGGGAGATCCTCCAGCTGTTTCAGGACGTTTTCAGCCTCCTGCCCGTCGCAACGGTCATCGACGGAAAGATCCTGATCGTTCACGGGGGAATATCTGACCAGACCGACCTGGACTTCCTCAGCACCATAGAAAGGCACAAGGTCAGTGGGAACAAGAAGGCATCTTCTGATATCATCACTAATGCAACTGCAAAAACCTGACTTCAATCGCAATCAAGGCTTTGTTCACATCCGGCAGACGGCTTGCTCAGTGATCAACGTTTTTTTTTTATTGTGTTTTTCTTTATTCTTTTAAGTGATGGGCCGACAGAAATGCTCACTCTCCAGTCACGCGACTAAAATCTAATCATGGATTTCTTCATTAACTGAAGTTGTATCGTGTTCGATGTCATTTCTTAAGGTACTTGCTAAGACGAGAACTGCACTAATCAGAATTCGCCATCCTTCCTTATGCAGATGTGTTCTCTATTACAAAAACACAGTACATAAAAAAAAGGAATGTATAAAATAATATCTCTCAGAAAAGAGAATATATATAAGAATAAAAATGAAGAGAAGTATTTAACAACTATACAACACGTATGGAATGAAAGTCCAGATGTAATTCTGAGCGATTAATTGTTCTGATCAGAGAGACGGCCTGAGGGAAGAAGCTGCTCTTGTGTCTGGTGCTGTTGGGCTCGGTAGCGTCTACCAGAGGGGAGGAGTCTGACCAGGACGTGAGGGATATCAATCGTAATATGAAGGTTACGTATTGGACGTAGCCTTCATGAGACTCGACACACCTCAGTTTGACCTGCGATCCTAAATACCTTTTTGTCTTTACTTTATGTCTGTCCTTCAGGTGAAATCGGCCCTGAGGTTTCCCAGACGCAGTTTGGAGCAGCTGGACATCGGTCATTCCTGCAAAAGAATGAGATCGACGTCTGGCTCTCGTCCGGGCAGCCGCAGCAAGAACAAGAGGACGCCGAACCAGGGGTCTGAGTGCCGCCCACAGCCGCTTCCAGCTGGGTTACAAAGGGCACGAGAAGAGGCCTTTCTTAAAGTGACGGACGCTTCTGTTTCTTTTTTTGTAGAAGGCGGCGTTGCAGGAACAGCAGACAAGACAGCGCAGCCTCCACTTCTTCCTCCTCCTCCTCCTCCTCATCGTCCTCCTCTTCGTTCTGCTCTCCTCGGACTCCGTCGTGCCTCTCGCCTCGTCCGTGCCCGTCTTCCCCCAGCATGCCTTACGCTGTCAACGTCCTCCAAGTGCCTTACCTGGAACTCTCTGTGCTCCGTTCCCCCTCCGGCACCTCCGCAACACGATCGGGAATGGAAACAGGTCAGAGGAGCGGATCCAGCCCCCCCCCCCCCCCCCCCTAAGTGGCGGGGGCCTCCTTCAGCTCCCTTTCATCTGCTTTCCTCTCTCCGGGAGGTGGGGGATATATTGTGGAGCGACCCGAAAACCCATGAAGGGTGGAGTCCGAACACATTCAGGGGGAGAGGGTGCTACTTCGGCCCGGACGTCACCCGCCGACTGCTGCTGCAGCACGGACTCCAGCTGCTCATCAGGTCCCACGAGTGCAAACAGGAGGGATACGAGCTGTGTCACGGGGGACAGGTGGGTGGGAGGGCCTTCAGATTCCTCCCTATAAATGTTTTGAGTGCGCAGGTATGTTTGTGCGCGTTCGCCCCGCAGGTGATCACCATCTTCTCGGCGTCAAACTACTACGAGGAGGGAAGCAACCGCGGCGCGTACATCAAAGTGGGCCGCGAGCTGCTGCCGCGGTTCTACCAGTACCAAGTTAGCCGCGCAACACGCAAACTCACCCTGACACAGAGGTACAACAGGTGACCGCTGTCTCCGTGCACAGTTTGAATTGAAGCCTTTGCGTGTGTAAGCTGAGCGTGTGCGTGTGCGTAGAGTACGAGTTGCCGAAGGCTCCGCCCTCAAGGCCCTGAAGGAGAAGCTGTTCACCCACCGCTCCGAGCTGCTGTCGGGCCTCCAGCAGTACGACCTGAACAACACCGGTGAGCTCTTCTCTCTCTGTTGGCCCTGCTCGTATTTAACAGGGTGGACTTGTGCAGGAGTTAGTGTGGGGTTTTCTTTGCAGGTTGTGTGTCAGTCAGTGAATGGGCTCAGGTGTTTGAGTCCGTCCTGAGACTGGATCTTCCCTGGAGGACCCTCCGCCCGCACTTAGCCCGCCTGGCACCAGATGGCAGTGTGGATTATCCGTCCTGCTTTGAGGATATGGAGCCGAGGATCCCTCTGAGTCAGGTAAGAGAGCCGAGGGTCGTCCTCATTGGAGCAACCAAGTTCATTCACTCAAATACTACGATTAAAGGGTATTTTGAGATCCTCATTTTTCAGCTATTTACCGTTTAATGTAATAATTTAATCTACATAATCTGTTATATACAGATTTTCCCCTTCTTACATTCAGTACTTTGTTGATGAAGGAGAATCTTCCCTTAGTGGTACTTGTACTTTTAGGATCCTAGTAGGCTACTTGTTCTACCGCTGCTCAGTTACAGTTCTTCCTCCTTTCTAAATTTTAGGTGACTCCAAACTTGGCTGAAACCCTGTTCAGATACAGGACGGATATTGAGATAATATTCAACATTATTGACAAAGACCATTCAGGTAAGAAAAAAAAGGAAACAACAAAGTGTGTCACTAATTCCAAATGTATTTCTTCCGGTTCAGTAACTGGGTGTACTGAACGCGTGATGTCATGTTCAGGTCTGATCTCAATCGAGGAGTTTCGCCACACTTGGCGTCTCTTCAGCGCCCACCTGGGGGTCGACATCGACGACCGGGCCATAGACGACCTGGCCCGAAGCATCGATTTCAACAAGGACGGCAGCATAGACTTCACTGAGTTCCTGGAGGCCTTCAGAGTGGTACACAAACTGGACAACAAGGAGCAGCAGGTCAACGGGAAGACGGCAGGAGGGAAGGCTTTGTGAGGGGGTGAACCTCAATGGAAAAGATGAGACCTTTAGTTCTAAGTTAGCAGCGGTTTAAAAGGATTGGCGCATTTATGCGTTTATTGGTCAGTTTTAGCCTCCGGTGGATCTGGGGATGGCAATGTCAATCTGGAGGTTCCCTCCGCCTCTTTTGTTTAAAAATGAAACTACTGGGCGGAATGGACTCCTGAGAGACAATGATTTTCCCCAGATGATAATATCCTTAAATCTGCGGTCAGCCCCACATCTTTCATCGCGCAGCGCCAGCAGGCCAAAGATGTCGAATCAGTTTTGCCGCAGACTTTCATTGTTTCCAGATGTTGAATCCTAATTACTTTGGTGACTGTTTTTTCATCGAGTGCCACGAGCGAGACAACTTTTTTGAGCCTGCTGCGGGAAACAAGTGACGATGGAGTGTAATGAAATTTGGCAGAAATGGTGTAGTGTACAACAGATACAGCAGGAGAGCCAGCGTGATGCCACACTGTCGTATTACATGTACTGAGGACTCGAGGCTTCAGAAAACAGACACACTGCAGCTTCTGTGTGTTCAGCTGCAAGAAGGAATAAAATTGCTTTTGTAAACTTTATTGTTAAACGTGTGTGTGTGTGTGTCAGCTGGCAGCTAACAAGCTAACACAGATTATGGCTCGGAGGTATATATATAAATGTATATACGTATATGTATACATATATGTATACATATATATATACATATACGTATATGTATATGTATACATATACGTATACGTATATGTATACATATACATATATGTATATGTATATATATATATATATATATATGTATATATATATATGTATGTGTATATATATATATATATGTATATATATATATATGTATGTGTATATATATATATATATATACATATATGTATATATGTATATATATATGTATGTATATACGTATATGTATGTGTATATATATATATATATACATGTATATATATATGTATGTATATACGTATATGTATGTATATACGTATATGTATATACATACGTATATGTATATACGTATATGTTATATGTATATACGTATATGTATGTACATATATATATATGTATATATAGAATGATATATTGTATATGTATATATACGTGTGTGTTCCCTTCTTCACTCTGGCATCCTGCCAACTATAATTACCTAAACGTGGAAGGCAATAAAACGGGCCCAGGCATCCGGTCGGTCTGAGTAAATGATGGGTTCAGAGTTTACTGAACAACGTGCAGGGCATACACAATCACGCACACACACGCAAAGGTTCCAAGAGTGTGAGCGGTGTGGGGGCTTATTTTCTCAAGTGAATTTGAACATTTCTCTCCTTCTTCTTGGATTTTGTCCTATTTTTGTCTAACAGCTGATGCCTGGGAGTTTGTGAAAGCAAAAATAACTCCCCTTAAAACAGGTTTAAACAGCCTCCCCCTAATACCTCCTCTCCATCTGTCAGAGTGTTTTGCAGCCTCTTGCCCCTCCTTCCTCCCATATGGCCATCCCGTAGTAATCCCAGGCCACATTTCCCTTCCCCTCAATCTCCAACTTCCCACTTTCACCCTCCAAGTGCTTTCTGCCCTCCCGTCCCAAGTGCCAGTTCAGATGGGGGTCCTGGCGGCGCTGGTCGCTCTGCTCTGCGTGTGGGCCCCTCAAGGTAGTTGGTTTTCATACTTTGTTGAATGAGAGTGATCCAGTGTTTTTAGGCCACCGCTGACATTCACCCTGCAACTGTCCGACAGCGAGCGGAGCCGAGGGGTGCGGCGGTTTCAAACACCTGGAGAACGGCCAGACGTTTTTCCGTTACGGTGGACTGCTGGTGATCTTCCGCTGTCGTCCAGGCTACAAGCTCCATGGATACAAGACCAACAGCTGTGTGTCTGAGCACTGGTCTCGTGACACCCCAGTCTGTGTCGGTGAGGAGCTTCGGTCATGAGCATGTGCTGTTAAGCTTTTTATTTTACCACCGGCGTCTAGAAAATGGTGTCAGCTTCTTGTCTCAAACTTTCCGTTTTGGCTTCGATCGCGGTGCGAGTTGGAGAGTTCAGGGGAGTCTGCTACGAAGCAGCACGGGGTCCTTTTAATCACTTTAAATGATCCACCTTCTCCTTCAGGCTCCGGCTGCTCCAACCCGGGCCCGCTCAGCCACGGGACGAGCAGCACGAATGAGGACGGCTCCTGGGTGGTGTTCAGCTGCAATGCTGGCTTTCATCTGCATGGGCCGTCGATGTTGTACTGCAAGGGCCCTTCCTGGAACAGCACGACGCCTACATGCAAAGGTGAGCATAGAAACAACTCTCGATGTTTCGATGAAATGGGCTTGTTCTCTTTCATGCCAAACGTTAGATGGGCAGTTTGACACCGTCCTCCTTGTGTGTGTTTAACTATTCTTTTAAATGTGCTTCTTTGTGTCATCTTGATCCTTTCCGCACTGCACTACACGCAAGTAACTAACTATATTCATGTTCGAAAGGAGCTGTACGAACACACTTTGCTTGCCTCTTTGACCCTTAACGGTTTTCTCTGTTCTCCTTGTCAGAGTCCGACATGATGCGTTCAGTTTTACATGTCAATATGCAAGCTCCAAACTCAAGTCAGGCTGCCGTAGCTCTGAAAACCCAACAACAATCCCGTTACGACGCCCTCACGCATACCGCTTCCCAAGGAGAAAACCTCCAATTAGCCTTTTCTCAAACGCCGTCCCAAATGTCCGACAGGGAGAGGATTAAAGTGACCAACCCAAAAGTGCAACAGAATGTTCAGTTTCCCGATTTTAAAGTCAAAGATGGAGTCCGGACCAATCATGTTGAGGCTCAGCTTCAGGCTGCAGAGGAGCCTGCAGGCGGGACGCATGACTCGCAGGCAGGCGAGGAGGCAGAAAAGTTGGACGGTGGAGTCGACTCTAAATTACATCCGTCTGCCACAGACTCGTCTGACTTACTATCATCGCCTGCAACGGATGAATTGACGTCCTCTCCGCTGTCACGTTCTGCAGCCCAAACACCAGCTATCACTGCTGTCACCAAGACTGAGACATTGCCACGCCACCTCACAACATCTCCTGCTCCTGTCCCCGGCAGTCACATCGTGCTACATTTTGGAGAACCTGTCACGTCCCAGGCCGACGTGATTCCTTCTGAAGTAGCAACGGGCTCTTCACAAACTGCAGATGAGGAGCAACCGGCTGAAACTGGCTTCCACTATCCTCCTCAGGCTGGTCCTTCCTCCACTCCATCGCCTCCTTCCTACCTACCGGCCCCCATTCCGCCCATGTCTGCCTCGACGTCCTCAAGTCCCAGCGCCGCCCAGTCCAATGAGAAGACACATGTGACCACGGGGCCAGGATCTCACCAGGGCCGATCCTACGGCGCCGCCCTCAACTTGCCTCTGCCGTCTCAGAGAGCCGAGTGCAGGCACCCGCCCGCGCCCGCTCACGGGACCTTCTACTCCCATTCTGTGGTTGAACACGGCAGCAGAGAGCTCATGCAGTACATCCAGTATGTCTGTTACCCCGGTTACACGCTGGCTGATGGAGACACACACAGCTACTGCCAGCGGGGAGGCACCTGGAGCGGAATCACTCCGGTGTGTCTGGGTAGGTGTTTTTGTTGTTATTGTAAATATCAGTGGTCCTGTAAGCTACCGACGCACCTGGACTTTTAAGGTTTTACTCGCTATGATGTTTTGCACGATAAAAATCTGTAGATTTGGTTTTCTGCAGAACGTCTCCAGGCCTTTCTCCCTCTCTAATTGATGTTCTCACCGAGAGGCTCAGGTAAATTTCTGTTATTCCCTGTGGTGATGCATCCTCACCCTTTGTGTCCAGAGGCAGCACCTTGTTCAGTTGACCACGGAGGATGCTCCCAGCTGTGCTCGCACTCAGAACATCACAACCACAGCGCCAGCCGGGCCCGCGTCCGACCTCGGTGCCACTGCAGGGCTGGATTCACTCTGCAGCCCGACGGGCGAACTTGTCGAGGTGAACATTTAGTTTCTTTCCTTTCTTCTTCCCGAATGCTCCGCTGATCCCCGAGGCGCTTCCTAATAACGACACCGTGCACCGAGGCGTGTTACAGCACAACAGAGAATCTCCTCGTGTTTGATGTTTCACGGCGCTCGGACAAGTGTGCGAGTGAGCTGTGAGATTTATGACTGCGCGGTCAACTTGTTGCACTTTGTATATTGGCTGTTCGCTGACAACCAGTCATTTGAGAGCACAACCAGCTGAATTATAGTTTAGTTTCAGCTGAGAAATTCCACTGCAATGAATTCCTGTCAGTTTAAAATGAGCTCTAATTTCAGTCTGTATTCAAACAATGACTTTTGCATGACTTTTACGTGGTCATGTATGTACATATACACATACTGTGACAATGCACAGGTCAGGGGACTAATCTCTGTGGGAACAACAATATCGTAGGTTGGATGCACCCTGGCTTTAATTCTTGACCTGACCCTGTAGATTATATTTAGTTCCTTACCAAATACCTGTGTAACCAACCATATTCACCATCATTCTGTTAGTAAATATGAGAATATTTATTGTTTAATGCTATTCTTGCAAATTTAACATAGCTGTTTTGTATAAACATGTTAGCATTGTAATGCTAGTGAAAGCACTGCTGTCCTGTCCAACCTCAGAGGGCCGCAGGTTGACACGTGCAATTAGATTACTTACTATTGGACATTTTACATTTTAGAAAAATTGTCAGCACACAATCTACTTCAAAGGGAATTGACTAAAGAGAAGCATTGAGCATTGCCAACACAGTCATATTTTGCAACTGCAACTTTGTCCTTTAGATCCTTCTAGATTTATTTCTAGTAAAATTTGAAAGTATTTTTCTTCTTATGCAGATATCGACGAGTGTGCCGTTAATCGGGGGCTCGGGGCGTGTGCGGAGCGGTGCCTTAACTCCCCGGGATCCTACCAATGTGCCTGCTCGTACGGTTACATCTTAGCCGGAAACGGGCACAGCTGCGTGGCAGAGTGTCCACCCGGGTACAGGAAGCAACCCGCAGCAACAACGCCAGCAAATACAACCGCCCCGGCTCTCCGGGAGGAGTGTGTCGGTAGGAGGCGACGACGACGTAGAAGCGGAGTACGCCCCGATATATTTATTTTTAAGAAAATGCTCAACGTATTTCTGCGTGTCCACAGATATAAATGAGTGCCAGGAGGAAACGTGTGAGGGACAGTGCGTCAACCTCCCAGGCTCCCACCGCTGCATCTGTCCCAGAGGACATGCACTGCACACAGATGGCCGACGCTGCAAAGGTCAGCGGGGTCATGCACGAACTCTGAAAGTTTGTATACATTTACAATGATGACAAAGGTGTGTGTTGTGAACCCCCTCGCTCCATCTCCATTTCTCTCGCCCTCCTCCAGACATTAATGAGTGCAGCCGGAGGAATGGAGGGTGTTCCCACCTGTGTTTGAACCAAAAAGGTGGCTATAAATGTGCCTGCCCGGGCTCCCATCGGCTCTCCCCCTACAGCTGGAGGAAATGTTTACCAAGGACAACAGCGGCCTCTGCTGGCCGGGCAGTGTGAAGACACACTTTAACACAATGTCAAAATGCGTTTACTTATACAATGTCGCTGTGGAAGAAACAACAAATAAACTCTGAAATTGAAGCAAGTTACAGCAGCTTTCCACTGGATAAATGTCCTGTGTGTAAACGTGCTTCTTCCCACCAGCCTGATCTTCTTACTTTTCACTCCGATCACCACAGTGAAAACAGCAGCCCGATCTTGCATTTCTTATTATGAAATTACCTGCACGTTAGATTGTCAGATTCCATCTCTCTCTACCCACCACTTCAAAATGAAAGCCTTAATAGAGTGACCTGGTAAGAAGGAAGCTGTGGGGAAGCTTATTTTTCAAAACAGAAGCCCCAAACTCTGAATGTTAACTTGAAACTAGGCATTCAAATAAATGTGGGTTCTTCAATAGTATTGCAGACATCTGTACGTTCTGTGTTTGCTTGGATTCAAATCCAATATTGCATTGTGTCAGAGTCCACCCCAAAAAGCAACAGCTGGAGCTCCGATTGGCTAACTGCTGTTTCTCAGCAATCAGAGCTCCTCTTGCTGATGGTTAGAGAAAACGATATGTGCCGCCGTTAATAAACAAATGATTTTACCATCGTTAGTCAAATTATTTTAATTATTGCATGAACATGCATAATGTTCATGATTTTCGGGTTAGTAATAAAATACATTAACCGTTTCCTGCTCTTTCTTTCAAAATCAAAGCATTGGGATGAAAGTTATTGAAAACCTTTTTTTCCCCCTTTGTGCTTCTCAGACCTCGAATAAACCCAATTCAACATATTCTGGACCTCTCTTATACTTTATCAACATCTGGCTGCACCACCATTACTCTACCTATACATTATGAACTATACCATTATTGTCATGTACATAAATAACTATATATAATATATATATGAAACATGAACTAGCAGTATTAAAGCAGACTTCAAACCCAACATACCAGTAACATACTTTCTTACACTGTCCACAAATGTACAAACCATCAATATGTTGATGTACGTGCAAAATTTGACTCCAGATCAGTAGCATCGGACATGCAGACAACAGACGGATGGATTGATTTTCATTGATTTCACAGAAGACGAGCCGTACACAAGGACAAAAACCCCTTGGCATTGAGGGTAAACAATGATTATTGTTACAGGTTTATAATGCTACAAGTTATTAGATTTTTTTTTAAGGTGATAACTTACATATTGAAGGTCATCTCTTACAGTAGAACAATAAATTATTATATTACAAAATAAAATACTAAAAAGGGAACAGGGAAACAGTAAATAAAAATGAACGAGTTGAGGGAAATTATTTGCGTTAATAAACTACAGGAAATGATTACTGCAATAACTCCAGAGATAGAATTATGCCCATAAACTCATTTAATGGTTTACCTATTTTCTCACATACACCCAGAGCACAGAGATGTGCTAATTTGCAAATATTTAATTCACATATATAGTGCCTGTTTTTAAATCCTGTAAACACACATTTGAGCTGCATGTTTAAGAAATAAATAAAAAAGAATATACATTTTTGAAAAATGAAATCAGCTGCCGATGCCAGGATGTTACATATGAGAGCTACAGAGTTTATAAATACTCACAAGAACCACATGAATGGCACGAGCTGACAATGAAAAGCTTTGCAGCCTTTGGCCGGATGACTCCTCTCCGATGACACGCGTCTCTTCACGTGCTCAGTCTGCGTCTTCATTGCATCAGACAGCTGGAGCTCGGCAGAAAGTCCTGCACGTAAGTGATCGCCGCCTTGGACAGGTAGGTCATGGTGCCGAAGCTGCCACTGGGGGCACTGTCGTAGAAAAAGTTGCAGATCCCGGTCGCTGGGTCCTTCTCGAGGAAATAATCACTGGCACTGTGGGATTTCTGGGTAAGCAGAGGACGAACAGAGTTAACCCCGGTCAACACACATGAACAGCCCTTTCAGCCTGAAATGTGGCCCTCGCCATCAGCTATCTCTGTACCTGGTCACTGAGGAAGAGGTCATTGGCCAGATGCAGGATGCGGTCCACGTGTATAATGCCACCAATGCTGTCCACGTCCACGTCAGCTAACAGGCCCAGAACCATCACGGTCTCCACCAGCAGCTGCCGGTACTCTGGTTGAGGGACGTGGTTCAGGACAGACTCAACCTGCACTGCAAACTTGATCTCTCCCTCTGTCATCTACAGAGAAAACACAGCGTTAAATACACGTACACACATGCAAGGAAGTCCTGAATCCAGCTTTAGTCTGGGAGACGCTACTTCTCTCGTGGTAGATGAGGGCAACACGTAGCCATCGATGGACAGGCCGTGACACTTTTGCAGGATCTTCCAGACCTTCTGGTAGAAACCCACTGGTGCTCTGTTGATGGCTCCATCCAGCCTGCGTCTCCTCAGCCACTGGCCTTGCCTGTCCTCCCAGTGCAGCTGTCCATCCCCTAGACTGTGGCCCACTGGGGACAGGATGCCGCTGGGGGTGGAGGGGCTGCTGCAGCGCTGTGGAGAGAGAACAGAACTTCAGTGATTTAAACCTTATTTGCACTGGTTTTACACACGTTCCTTTTCATACAGCATTGCACTTGTCAGTAGTACCGCACTTTAACCGCAGGGTTAACACGCACGTTTTTTAACAATTGTTGATGGCATCTAGCTGCTGATTCTATGGATTGAGTTCACTGAACCATTGTGGACAAATATATTTGATCCAATGTCATGCCGCTCACTCTGCAGTGAATCAGCCGAGATCCCCTTAAGAGAATGATTACTATTTATTAGTTTGAAATCATTCCTCCCTCCTCCACCATCATTTCTTCTTTATATTTTCTTCTTTATATTTTCTTTCAAAGAAATAACTTACTGGCAAGCGAAATAGCATATGCAGGGGTTTCACACCATAACAAATACATGTAAACAAGGTTGCAATAAACAGTCACACAATGCAATTATTCATGCATATTAATACACTACAGCAAACACGTCAAAGGCCAAGGCTAGTGCTTTTACCAATACTGAATCTAATAAACATGCATGGAGACAGACGCAAAATCTCCTGGCGTCTACTCATAATATGAAAAACAGAACTGCGGCGAACCTACAGAGGACTAACCACGTTAACCGGAAGCGGATGAGGTGAAATGGTTTACCGTGGAGCGAGGAGATGTGACATTGCTACCCAAGGAATGGCCGCCGCTGAAGATCTTCACATGGAAAAAAGATGAGATGGTTGACGTGGTTCTCATACTGCAGACATGACGACGCTGCAGCCACACGCTGACTTGACACAACTTAACTTGTGCAACTAGTGAGAAAGATGACTTAACTAATGATCACAAGAGCGGCCGTTTCATAAATGATGCCGCTCTGTGCTGTGGCTGACGAAATGGTACGAGCCAGCGAGGTAAATGACGCGAGGCTGACGTTAGAAACATGCTACATGTAATCAAACCCAACCCACACTGAGAGGCCGAGAGTCATCCAGCTGAAACCCAAAGCAACAACAGTTATTTTATAGAGACAGACTGACAGACACAGAAGCAACTGAAGCCCTGGTCACAGTAGATTTAATCCAAGATTATCCTCCCGGTGTTTTGGTTTAATTTGTATTCCCACCTGTTTGATCTCACTCTTCAGCTTGTGTATCCCTGTGCGCTCCGTCTTGGTGGCTCCAGTGTGGCCGAGTTCATGGATGGAGATGGCAGGACTCGTGGCTGTGGACTGGAACGGGCGCACTGATAAAAGGAGACAAAAAATAAAATGGAAAAGTCCCTGGTTCATTGGTCACATACTGAAGCAAAACATTGATTCAACTTAACAAGTGTCTTGCAATCATTTGCAAGCTCTACTTCATTTTGACTCATTCTGACAGCTTTCGTTGCTTCATTCCTCTCTAAACAGAAAGGTGCACCGTGAACGACCCCTCTCGCGTACGTGGTAAAGAGGAAACCAGAGAAACTCACTGCTCCTCTCCACCCCAAACTCTTTTCCACTGAGGATGTGATGCAGCAGGTTTTTCATGCCGAACGGACTCAGGCTCATCAAACTCTCAGACGCCTCTTCCCCTACAGAGACGATACGAGGAACAGATTAGTTTTTTAACCACGCAGGGTTGTTTCTGTCCATGCAGAGGGTTTGGTGCTTGGTTCTCCTACCAGAGCAGTGCAGACTGCGAGCCAGCTCAGTGGCCATCACTTGCATGATGAGTCCTATCCTGAGGCGCAGCATGTCCCCGAACAGAGCGGGCTGGGAGCGCACGTACATGGCTAGATAGACCATGATTTCCTGAAGTGACAAAGACACACAGCTGCAGCGTCAGAGGAAGGTCCTGCGGAAGCCCAAACGTTTATAGAGTTACCTGCGTGAGTACAGCGATGCTGATGTCGTGGCCGCTGGCTTCATAGATGAGAGCGTTCAGCTCCTGCGGAGGGAGCGGACTGAAAAGGAAACAGGGAGGAGGAAGAGATGGTTTATAATGTTTTTTAACAAACCCTCAACGTGAGCGCAAAGCCACACATCCGCTTACACTGTGATGACTCGTTCCCTGGGCTCGGGGGGTAAGCCCACCGTCAGCTGCTTGTGGTGGGAAATCAGATCTGTGCAGGCCTGAGTAGCAGACAAATGCAGGTTTATTTATGTACAATATGAAAATGATCTCAGAATTTACTGATTCTGCAGAGGAGCCTCTTCTTGAACAAGTTATTCAGCAGGCGTGTTCCTCAAGAGTGACTTCATCATGGTAAGTACTGGAGTCCATCTTCATTTTAAAAACCAGATAGAGTTTGCCTATTTTTAAATAAAAGGAGAATAAAAACGATTGATTCTGATCAAATATGTTGTGTCGCTGTTTTGTAATGGCCAATGAATGGTGTGTTTAAACTTTTATTTATTTTCATACATAAAGAGGGACTTTTTTCCCCCCAGAGAACAGTTTGACAGAAAAGCAAATCCTTGAATTAAACATTTGATGTTAATTCACACGGTCGATGTTTGGATGTGGGAGGATTCTATGAAGACGATTTGGTTCTGAACGAATTCGGTCAGTTTGCTGATTTGTCAGATGGGGGGAAAACGAGACAGAAGGAAATACATGTTTCTTTATAGGACTTTTGAAAATCTCTTTCATGTATACCTTTTAATACACCATCATCAGCCAATTTAATTAATTTACAACAGCTCATCGAATGTGAAAAACCTGCTTAGCACCTATGAACACAGCATCTATAAACAAACTTCAGATTGATGAAAAAAGGAGACTAATAAATAAATAAAGCCCCCCATGGTTGCACACTTTAGGCTTATTTGTAGCCAACTATTAGTTGGTGGCAAAACCCTCTTTTCTAACTAAATAGCCGAGCTATCAGCTTCTCACTGACCTCAGCGAGGACCTCCACTCTCTTTCGTAATATTCCGGAGATGTATCGGATTAGTCCCCACTCATTGCAGGATCCGGCTTGAACATACAGCTCCTCCAGTAGGGAACGCACAGTGACACCGCCCTGCCCGGGGCCCGCCAACTCCACCGGCCAATCCGCTCCTCTGGTTATTGAGAACAAATACGGGTCATTACAAGAAGAACACCTTTACCTGTTGGTGTGTCGAAGCTGGAAATGAGCGGCGCGTCTGCGCAGCCGTCTGCGTGTCCGTACTTCATTGCGTAAAGGATGTAGAGTATGTCCGCCTGGTCCTGCAGAGTCGGACACTCTCTCAGCTGCCTCACCAACGCCGCAAAGTCCGTGTTGCCCTGGGGGTCTCGAGGCAGGTGCAAATCTGCGGCGCTGTGGGACTTGCGAGGGATGCCGGCGTTAAGACAAATGTACCGCAGAGCGACGGCGGCGTCACAAAGAGAAAACCAGCTCCTGCCGCTCCTACCTTGTGCTGCTTCGCATTGGGGCCGTGCGGAGGAGGAGGAGGAATGTCAAGCAGGTTGAGGGCTTTGCGGTGTTTGTTCTTGTAATGAGTCACGGGCAGATACATGGAAGACTCTGAAATAAATCAATTGAGACAATTTTGTAGTATTTAAGCCGGTTAACCACCTCAAACAACTTGACTTTTACCTTGTTTCATTCAGAATCAAATTCGGTTAAGAGTTGACCGGAGTGACCCAGTTCGGGAAGAGGTTTCTAATAATCAAATTGTTTCCCTAAAGCTTGTGGCTGCATTGAAATATGGGCTATCAGGATACTTGTCTGTCAATATGTATATTAATCTATTAAAGAGATTATGGATTGCATAAGATTGTTTTCTCTCATCTTTTCTCCATCGTTTTTGGCCCAAGCCAGTTTCTGCAAAGCCTGACTAAAGTCGAAACGTTGAACCTCAATCCGACCTCAACGACGGACTGCAGCATTACAGGAAACACTGTTCACCGGTGACACGGACCGGGATGCATGTCTGATTCCTAATAACTCACTGGGAACGTCCAGGCCCTGGACCTGGGCCATGAAAGACAGGATGTCTCTGGTGGTGTGTTCCGCACTGAAGACGTGGTGCTGCCCCCTCTGGATGGGAGGAAGGTGGCACTTGGTGGTGGTGCTACGAAGAAGCTGGGTGAGGTACTGGTCAAACATGTCTTTTGTGCCTTCTGGAGGTAAAAACAAAAACAAGGGCAACATACCATTGATTACGAATAGCTCAACGTGGAGGACTTCAGGGAACACACACTTCATCAGCAACTACCTGAGGGCCCACGGATGGTAGATTCCTGATCATAGTCGTCATCTTCCTCCTCATCCTCGAGTAAGCCGTCGTCGTCGTCTTCTTCGTCCAGGAAGCTGAGGTGAGTGTGGAACGAAGTGGTCTGGACACTGGAGAGGTCTGACATCTGCACCCTGCGATAACATCCACGCTGTCACGCGACAGACATTTCAACAGCAGTTTGACGTATCTGTGACACAGATGGAAACAAACCTGGCTCCAGCGAAGTAGCCGTCCTGTAGCTTCCTAAGGGTTGCTAGGATACACGGATCAATGGCATCTCCATCTTCAACTGGACATAAAAAGTAAACGTGGCTGTGTGAAGTGAAGTAAATTGCGAGATGGATTGAACCTTTTCGGCCAGATGAACTAACACCCCCACCCTCCAAAACATGTTTTCAAGAAGAATTCTACAAACTGCTCCAATGTAATAAAAAAATTAAAAGATCAAAATTTCGCAAAACATTGGAAATCTGAGAGACGTGTTTGTTTGGGGTTAAGAGCCTTATTACCCAGCATGCTATGGGTGATGGGGAAAGCTAGAGTGGGCCGTCCTGTCATCCTCCAGCAAGAGGAGAGGTAGGCCAGCTCCGTGCGTAACATCTCCACGATCATCTGGTTGTCCAGTGCCAGGTAGAAATGGTGCTGATCCAGAAACTGGAGCACATCGAAGAGGGGAAACCAGATATGAATCCTTCATATTCATCACTTTGATGGCTGTGATGCCCGGCTGTAGTTTTACCTGGGGGGTGAATATATAAGAGCGATTTCTGATCTCGTAGAATTTGGATGTTCCCAGAACTCCAATGTGTCTGTAGGGCCTCCCGCTCAAACTCAGCTTCTTGCAGTTCCCTGCAGCAAAGACACAACCGTGCTTTCATTATGGCACAAACAGGCGTCTGCACGCTGAGAAGAAGGTTGTGCTCGTTTACCCAGTTTGACATAGACGTGGCTCAGGATGCGAGCAGGCATGACTCTGATGGGCAGAACCTCTGACATGGTCTGGACCACGACCCCGTGATCACGCAGCAGCTCCTTGATCCCCTCTGACTCCGCTAGAACACAGACTGACACACACGTATGAAAAGAAAAACATTAGAACCTGCTTTTAAGAAGGGAATACGTATATAAAATGATACCGACATGAGTACAACACATAACGTGTGAGTCTTCATTCTTCTTTGCCCAATGAACACACAACGGAGGGACTTAGTGGACTGACATTTTTCTCGGGCTAATTACTCGATCACTGACCTTGGACCACAACATCTGGCTTGAAGTTTGTAGAGAATCTCCTGTTGAGGGGATCTATCTCTCCTGGTGCTAAAAAACCCTGCAAACATAAAGAAAAAGACACAAGTTACACAGACGATTAAATCTGCATTTTCCAGACAGCTGCAAAGTGTTTGAAGCCAACGTGAGCCGAGGTGTTGAAGTGGCCCAGCGAATACCTCGGCCAGTAGGCAGCCCAGGATGTAGAGCGACTGCCCCCACATGTGAGGCAGCTGCCCCATTGCCACCCTGTCCACCGAGTGAGGGTTGCTGTACTCCTCCTCCACCTGTCAGGACAGAACAAAAAAACAAAATATGAAATAGACCCAAAGAAAAGATGATTAGACAAAGTTGATGTTGGATCTAATGATGGCGCAAACAGGCGGTCAATGCAGGTGCATCTGCCATACTCGTCCTGCGGAAGTGGGATACCTTGTCATGAGGCACAGCATAAATTTCAGGCATCAGTTTGATGCCGTTCTTCCCTCTGATCAAGATGCCTTCCAGGGCCTCACGGTACTCCTGCACCTGTTCAGGGGCCACGGTCATTTGTTTACTGTTACATCTGCAGCAGAACTTATTCAAAGTGACTCTACGACTGTGTGAATACAGTACAAATAGGGCAAGTGGGTTTAGCTAGATTACCTGCACTTGATCTCCAGCAAAGACACCGTCCAGGATGAGATAAGTCCAGAACACGGGCCACTCGCACTCGATGTTCTCAAACAGCTTGAGCTCTGCGGGATCGTAGTGCAGCCGAGAAGGGTCCTTGAGAGGAAACAGAAAGGGATCCTTCATGCTCAAAATGCACATATGTAGATACAATGAGTCTGCTCAGCTGCATGACTTCTACAGCAGTTAAATACATTATGCACCCCAGCAATAAATCCTACCTCTTTAGGACAAAGATATCCATCCCGGATGAAGCGGCAGCAGCCATAGCGACCCTGAAATGAAACCAAAGAGTGGAAATGTCCCCACGCAAACTGACTTGCATGTACCAGGGGAAAGGAGCGTTTCTGTGCAGAGTGTGTCGTGTCTGTACCTGCAGTCTGCTTATGATCTCCGACTTAGTTATGGCCACCAGGTCGGGATCCTCAACAGCAAAGGCGGGGTAGGAAATGACGGACAGGAGGCCGGCGTCCATCTCCTTCGACGTGGAAGCTCTCGGCAGCATGGAGCACAGGATGGACTGAGGGGAAGCACATGTGACATGCTCAGTGGGACGAACAGGAGCAGAGACGATGGGGGGCAGAGAGGCGGAGCCAACGTTACCTGACAATGTTCCACTTCATCGGGCAAAACGTGGATGACTGACTTCGGCCCCCCGTGGGCACCAAAAAGATCCAGCTCGTCTATGGCCTCCAGGGCTGCCTGCAAATCCCCACGCGCATAAACAAACACACATTTCACGCACCACCGTCCTCCTGTGGTCTTTGTGTGTGTACAGTACATCAGAAATGCTGACGCACAATAACCTTTGTGATTACCTTGGCGATTCCTACTGAGCTGCCATTGAGCTCGGGAATGCCCTGGTTGGTCTTGTCCCCTCGCTCCCACATCCCGTAATCCTACAGTGGGGATGAACATAATCACATCACTAATTCTAAATCACAGTCTATGCAGCACAACCAAACCAAACTGTGCACCTACACTACCCAGAAATCAACAACGCAGATTCAGGTGTGTTACGCTTGTAGTATAGTGACATCACTCAAAAGGGATTTATTCTGGAGGAACTTTTCAAATGTGTGCTCTGATAAGTCTCTCTTTACAGCCCACTGCGCGTCAGCATCTACTCCTCGCTGTCGGCCGAACCCACGAAACCCTCTGAAAACGTTACTCACCGCCACCTTGTAGGCAGCCTCTATGTAGAACACCAGGTTTTGGATAAAAGCCACTTCGTCCAGGTTTGAGATGATGCAAAGACCTGCGTGATAAGGTTACACAATCAGCGAGAACCTCATAGTTACGTCCCGACACCTGCAGCGCTGTAGCTGGAAGGGAACCTGGCCGAGCAGGGAGGGAGCGCAAGAGTCAGACATTGTTCAAAGACCCTTAATGCCCTTTAACGGGCGATGGGAAACTGTACCTGATGCCGTCATCTGCGCAAGCGTCAGCAGGTACATAGAGGTGGCATCCACCTGGAGATGGCCCCACTGGTCGTCCCCGACGACCGTGGCACAGGTGGGAGTATGGTACTTGGCATGCAAGCAGTCCGTCGTACTCTGGGTGTGTTTGAACTTCTCCACCTTGGCCACCTGAAGACAAATGAACATAGAATATTCGAAAACACAGACAAATATCTGTGGTGTTAGTCTCGACCAGAAGATACTTAAAAGGGAAATTAGCATAAAAAGGTTAAGACTCCTGAATGGGGGTATTTTTCTGGTTGTTTAGTCATTGGAGAGTGGGGAAGAAAATAAGTGAAGAGCGATGAGGGATGACGTCGAAACAAAGGTGCACAAAAGACATACTTCTGCTTCGAAAATTAAAATCTTATAATAAAATAATATATAATAAATAATTAACAGTTAGATTTATATTTTTTAAAAGCGTGTAATGCGTTCAGTAGAATCCCACTGCACAGCGCCATTTCCTGGTATTGATGCGGGACAGAAAGCCCACGTGAAAAAGACTCCGTCCTGTTTACATCATAACAACATTATAGAGGCTTCCGACTAGTCTGCTGTTTGCCAATCAGTCATTTATTAGGCTGATTGGTGGCTATCACTGCTGCAGAGGATGAATCCTTTTTGTTTTATCGTTAAAACAAAAAGGATTCTACTCTTCATTCCAATAATGCAAAATGAGAGCAAAGAATGACACAGAATGGGACTGAACATTGTTACTAATCCGTTTGTCTATCTTTCTGCCTAACTGCCGATGTCAGCGCAGTCGGTTGTGCAGATAGCAGATTGCAGACTGTGGTCAGAAGGCTGCCGAGGCTGTTTACATAAAACAGCCTGTATAAATAGCACAGTGTTCCAGATAACGTGTGCTTCCTAAGAACCCGATCACATGTTCACCCGTATCAGACTTTCTACCACGAGGGGAGGATTCACATGTGCATGGAGCTGCGTGTTACCTGTCTCATCATGCACTGAAGAAGTCCCTGCATCAGTTTCACCACACTCTGCAGACAGACACACAGACAGCATCCGTGAGCAACGAAAAACCCCTCAACACATCCAAACAATCCCACACTGGTTTGTGTTTTCAGTGGAAAGGAAAGGAGACGTCACAAATGCCTGAGCTGATTCTAATCACTCAGTTCATTTTGGGTGAAAACTTTGTGCAAGCTCAGCGGTCGCATCCCCGCCAAATGCACTTCAGTGGGAATGTCAGTGAAGGAATGCTTTACCGCCTAAAAGATTATTCTTTTCCATTACGGAGGAATCGAGCATTGTACAAAATCTATTTAGTGCTCATCATTAAATCTACAAAATAACTAATAAGACCTGAAATAATTGTTTCCGAGATCACTTACTTCACTGACTTAATTATTTTACTACGTTAGAGCTCTAACAACTAAATCCACATTACACAACAGTTCAGAGTTTGCAACGGCAGTTTGAGAACAACACATCTTGTTTTAGATTAATACAATGTGGAAACTAATCAAATGTGATGCTGCTGTGAAACATTTAAGCCGCGGTGGCAGTCGGGGGCCCGTTGGCCCCCGGTTCACTCCGTCACCAACACACCTGCTCCAGCTCGTAGGCCTTGGCCTTGTCTTCGTCGCGGTCAGCGTTCTTGCGGTACGCCATGCCGAGCGCCCACACGGCCAGGACGCTGTACACATTATCCCTCACCCAGGCGTCCTTCTTCTGGGCGCTGGCAGGGAGAAGGCCTGTCACGGGGTTCTGAAGCACGCACACACACACACACACACACACACACACACACACACACACACACTGATGGTTTGCACAGGGTAAGGAGGACAAGCAGCAAGACTTCAGAGAAGCAGATGCTTTCCCAACAAAACTGCTAAAGTACGATTGGCAAATCATTTTTACACGTCAATCAATCACTTCATCTGTGATGAAATAAATGCCTCAAATGCTAGCGTTGAACATTAATGAAATACAAAGCAGGAAATACAGCATCCTCAAAGTATCACTTCTCTATCACTCCAGAGGCTGAACTTTGCTCACGCCTTGTTTATTTTTGTCCCTGTCAATCTCGTTTGAACCTCGGCACACACAAGCTGCTAACACCTGCATGCCTGACATATTTCCCCAGGCGATAGCAGAGGGCTCGTGCACTTCCTTCTACCAACGACATTACAGATCCATTACCAAGTGGGCCGAGTTGCGTAACAAGTGATTTCTAACCTCTACATTGGATGCAAACATGTGTACATTCATGTAACGCAGAACAAACAAAAACAACAACATGTCCTACTCTCCTCCTCCCCCCGGGACTCACCTGGTGACACAGGATCGTCTCTTGGACCAGCCGGGCGTAGCCGTCCAGCCTCACTCCCGAGTTACTGCGGCTCCGCATCCTCACCGCGCACACGACCAAGTTACGAGCGAGCGAGCGACTCCGGCACCAACGGTGACAACATGCGACGCGCAGCCGCGGAGGAAACTCGCCGCCCGGCAGTCAGTGACCCATCGGGTCGGATGGTCTCCTCCCCCCCGCTGCGCTGAACCTGCTGCTCGGCTACAGCTCGCTAGCCGCTAACGTTGACTTAGTAGCATCCGGCTGCCTGACGCGACGCGAACATGACGAGCGGGTGAGGAGGAACTCACGCGCACACGGCCCGGGGTCAGTCGGGGGTCAGTCGGGGGACTCCGGGGGACACTTGACGGGCCGCGCACCTGCAGAGTGCGTGCGCGAGCAGCTTCGCTGTGTAGCCGCTCAGGAGAGCAGCGGAAGGTACATGATGTTCTTGTTGTGCGGGTCTCTGGCGACAGGGGGCGCCACGTGAACTCCTCTTTCTTTCTGCTCCGGTGTCACAAAAACAGGCCGGGACTTTTCCAAAGAAACCCCCATTTCTACAGGAAAGCAAATGGGGAAGGGACAAACCTCAACAATCTACTTAAAATAAATATACTTATTTTAGGACGGCATTTTTATGTGTGTTATTTGAAGAAAAAAACTGGCATTTGTTTGTATGACCCGTTTGTACTAACTACTATTTTTAAGTTACCTGTAATGCATTTCAATGTAGTAGCTTGCTGTGACCCATTCAATCTATTTGACATTATGTCAAATTTTATTTTACGCTAAAGTGTGATCTTCCTTGTTTAATATATGTACATGCAAAGTATCCATCTGGTGAGTAATTTTGGTAAATGTAGTATATAGCAACTTTAATTTCAGATTCACTGAGACATTTTCATGTATTTACCGAAGAGAGGTTAGTATAACGGGGATGCGGGGAAGCCGTGGCCGAATAGCGTGACGACTAACGGGATATTTGAACCAATCAAATCCCACCGCTGCGCCTCTTTCCACCAATCACAGCGCGGCCGACTTCATCCTTGTCTCACCAGCAACGACCAGCCGCTAGCTAGTTTAGCATCAGTGCGGATGAGAAGCTAAGCTACGGAGACATCGGTCTACTGCCCTCTCTCTGGTTATGCGTTTATCCTGAACTCACATTAGTTAACGGTCGTTCAAGTCCCGGTGGAAGGTGAGAAGAACTCCTCGCTAACGTCACTAACTGCAGCTAGCTGGGCGTCGCGGGAGCGCGAGTGACACTTAACGGGTTAACGCCGTTAATGTGTGGCCGTTTAGCGCGGTTAGCACTGCTAACGAGAGCTAATGGAAGTTTGGGGCGAAGCATCCTGGACCTAAAATTGAGCAAATAGAAAAACCGCCTGAGCAGACTAGTGTGTCGCATCATCGGCCGCAACGACGCGTATATTTCCTGTTGCCAATTCATTCTTCTGTTGACGTCAGAGCCGCTGGTGTAACTTTTGTCGTTGTGTAAAAAAACCAATAACAACGTGTGTGTCGCTGATCTCGTACCAGCGACCGAGGCGTTGTCTCAATCATCTCAACCACGGTAAACTGTTGAGTTGAACTTCCTCCCTCAGATGCAGTTCATGCTGCTGTTCAGCCGGCAGGGAAAGCTGCGCTTACAGAAGTGGTACGTGCCCCTCTCCGACAAGGAGAGGAAGAAGATCTCCAGAGACCTGGTGCAGACCATCCTGGCCAGGAAGCCCAAGATGTGCAGCTTCTTGGAGTGGAGGGACCTCAAGATTGTGTACAAGAGGTAAGTGAGTAAGAAGCTTTTTTATTTTTTATTTTGACTGTAGGTAAAATATACCAAACACATGGAGGGGCAGAGATTGTCTCAATGTGGCTGCCACGGCAAACCTTGAATCTCCCTGGTTGTTTTCAGGGTTGTGGATCTCCCTTCTGGACCGCAGCAGGTTCCATTTAGAGGAAATCAGCTCAAACCAAATTGATCTTGAAAGCCGAGCGGTTGCTCATCATGAGATGTCGCAGCTGCCTTTTAACGCGATGAACCAACGTTCTCACTCCGGCTCCAGTTACTACCGTTTGCCAGAGCTTTCGTTTGCACCTCATGATGCCCAGTGGTTTAGTTGTTAAAATAATGCTCTTCAGGGACATGAGAACAGGTGGTGGTCTATGGGGGGGGGCACAGATAGGATTTCTCTGCTGATTGATGAAATCACTTCATCACTTTCCAGTAATGATTAAAATTACTGGGAAGAAAGATTGCAGGTGAACCGTTGAATTATTTTGTCTTATGTCAAAGGGTTGTCTTAGCAACAGCATGTGCTCATTTTGGGGTTGGCAGCATCAGCGGTGTGTGTTGTTAATGAAAACCAATGTTTCTGAGACGATTTTGTCAAGCACTGAGATTTGGCAATTAGATCTCACCTTCTGGGGTGTGATGATGAAAGCGACGCTCCCGCTCTAACAACAACAACTGCCAAAGAACGGAGGACCGATTCAAACACCGAAGGAGTGTGTGTTTGGTCCTCAAAGCATGACGGCAGAGTGTTATGTAAAATTATAATGGGATATTTAATTTTGCATTTATATCTTTGATTTTCAGATGTCCTGTATGGCGCAGCACCAACAACGCTTCAATTCAGATTGTCTTTAATATTTTGTCTGCGTAAACGAGCACACATGCATGTACACGCAAGTCTGGACGGTGGTTGCAGCTACATCATCACCAACTGAATTAAACACCGCGTGTCTTACTTTGCGTCGTAGATACGCCAGCCTCTATTTCTGCTGCGCGGTGGAGGATCAGGACAATGAGCTGATCACCCTGGAGATCATCCACAGATACGTGGAGCTGCTGGACAAATATTTTGGCAGTGTGAGTCTCTCGAGCACCACGTGTAACATGCCGATGGTCAATGCCGTGAGAATCCACAGTCAGGCGACCATCTCCTCTGATATGCTGCTGTTTGTGCTGCTGTAACCCCGCAGGTCTGTGAGTTGGACATCATCTTCAACTTTGAGAAGGCCTACTTCATCCTGGACGAGTTCCTGCTGGGCGGGGAGGCCCAGGAGACGTCCAAGAAGAACGTGCTGAAGGCCATCGAGCAGGCCGACCTGCTGCAGGAGGTACGGCCGCATCTCTGTCGGCGGATAGTTGAACCAACGAGGTGGACCAGCTTGCCGTCTGGCGACCAGTAAACTGTCAATTAATCTGCTGCGGTCACAAAAATGTCTGACAAAAGAGTTCCGGCGGGGGTGTCTTTCGAAACGGCTTGTGTGGTCATGTGACGCTAAATAATCACTTTGCTGTCATTTAAGACAAAGAAAATCAGCAAATCCTCGACATCTGAGGGGAACTAGTGAGCTTATGACTTCTCCGCTTGAAAAGATGACTTAGACTACATTTTCTGTCAATCAGGTAACCGCTGTTATCAGAAGGCTCAGAGGCTGCTGCACCCGATTCATACCTCTCACTCCCTTTTCAGTCAGTGCCGTCCCACGTGCTTGTTTTGCCGTTGTTGCCGTGCTCATTTGCAGTCGGCAGAATGAATCATTTATTTTCAGCGGAGCGTGCAGTGCTGTTGTCACAACATTTAATGCTGACTGTGCAGGCCCGTAAAAGGTTGAACGCTCCTGTCCCACGTTTGGTAACTCAGACGAGTCAATTAGGACTCTGCTGCTCTGCATTGGAATTTTGCCGGAGCACAAAACGTACCACAGCAAAGAACCTCTCTCTCTTCTTTCTTTTCCTCCCCCTGCAGGAGGCCGAGGCACCACGAAGCGTTTTAGAGGAAATTGGGCTGACATAAATCGTCCCGCTGCCGCCTCGCAGTTCTTCCCCCCTGGGCTGCAGATGTGGCAACCCTCCATGCCTTTATCCCGCTCTCCTGTTGTCTCCTGTGTCACCTTTGTGTGTAGTATAATCACCATCTATGTACTGTATTACTCTGTTGTGAACAATCGTTTTTTTTTTATGTGCCAAGCGTGGTTTGAATGTGCCTCCTATGTACAATCTCCATCGCTGTTTTCTGCAGCCCTATTAATGTAACTTCACACCCCGAACTTCTTACAACTCCACACAGTACAATGTAGCGACGACATGAGATCTGCAGCACCACATTAAGGTCGTCCATGTGTGTGCGTTTGGCTCACAGGGACTTTTTAAGGTGCTGTTGAAGCCACAGATGGTGCTTCTATGTTTAACCCTCACGGCTAAGCGTCCAAATGCATGAAGAAAAGCCCCCCAGCGAGGCTCCTTTAATACCATTCTAAAGGGGTTGGTATAGATCCAGCAAATAACCTTTCTGGACTGTTGGAATTTGGGAAATTAGTTATTAGTTATTTATCATGCAGCCGTAAGAATTTTTTAATCTAGTGTTCGACTCTAGAAATGTAACAAAACCACAGCAAGTGTTATTAAATGACCAGTTTTTGTTGGTTTTTCAAACGGTCATTGTGTACTTGTTCCTTGAAAGACGTCACGCTCCGTGGGGAGTCCGAACGGTAAACACGAGAAGCACCAGCAGGGGGGCGCGGCTGTTTGTGGGACTCACAGCGTGTTTACCATCGCTAGTGTCACACGGGTCCAGTCAACCCTCCACTCGCTCCAATTGATCAATGTCAGCGTATATGTTGTGTAGGTTTGCTTCCCCTCCAGAAATGAACCGTTTTGTTTCCTTTTCCGAACTCAAATGTTTACCTTTTGTTAAAAGTGACCTTTATTTGTGTAACTAGTTTAATGTTTGTTGGAATGTTCTGTGTCGTTCATTTTTCTGTCTAATTGACGTATTCTCCTGACCAAAACATTTAAGATCTTAATGGCTTCTGGAGTTAAACCTTCCTTAGGAAGAGTTTGATCAAAATCAAATAATCTCTATTATATGTGGTGTGATACTTTAGCTTAAACACGACCAAAGAACACGGTTTGACCGTCTCAATGGTGTCTAAAGAACGCCGACATGGCAGAAAAGGGATTTAGAGCTACAAGAAAAACATGCATGTGGGGATTATTTGGCCACAATATACCAGTATTATGTCATTATTCCTATCGATCAGTGGACAGCTCAGCTCCAGTTTCTTTATGGAGTCCGAAGGAAAGCACACGGACCGCACACACCAGGGTCGGTTCTACTCATCATGTGCTTGTTCACTCCTCAGTGTTCAGCTAAACAAGCAAACACGAATAGATGTTTATCCAAACTTTATCTGCATTCTTAAAACCACAAAGTGTTTTTTGTTCAACAGTAATTATGTAACAAGTTCATTGATTTGTGCTAAAGAGATCACTTTTTTTATTAAACACTGCCAACACATTTGACATTTTCTTTCTTTCATTTGAAGTTTATTAACAATAAATGTATAAAAAAAGAGAAACCCTGTTCTTTTGTTTTTATATAGCTCTTATTCAGCCACCAGCGATCAAGTATTAAAGACTAAATATTCACATATGTACACACTGACGGGCTCTACCTTACTGCACAGTCACACTGTCCAAAAGGAGAAAAGAACTAATTCACAGATTTTGAAATGTCGTAACCTCAAACACCAACTCGTGACACCTTTTCCAGCCGGCTCGCTACGTTTGTCTTTTCAAGACGGTTCGCTCTCCCCCTCAGCAGTAACCTCACTGCCGACACGCACACACTCCACGTCATTGTTTCCATGAATCTGGTTCTTCTCATCCGTCTGCTGACTGGGACTCGTTTCAGTGAGATGCGCCGACGACTCTTCCTCCTTTTCGGACTCCGCGGACGAGGCCGTCCCTTCAGGCGAACGGCTTTTCTTCTTATGCTTCTTCTTGCTCTTCTTCTTGCTTTTCTTGGATTGTTTGTGGCGCCGCCGCTTGCTGGAATCCTCGTGGACGGGTTTCTCCCTTTTCTCTGGTTTCTTTTCTCTACTTCCCTTCTTCCTTTCTCTGCTTGTGCTTCTCGACCCGTCCCTCGCGTCGGCATCTTTGTCTCTGCCGTCTCTCCCTTCACTTCCGTTCCTGACCTCCCTTCCTTTGTCTCTACTTCTACTCCTCGGCCTGTCTCTACTTCTACTCCTCGGCCTGTCCTGCTGCCGGTCTCTGCTTCTACTCCTCGGCCTGTCCCTACTTCTACTCCTCGGCCTGTCCCTACTTCTACTCCTCGGCCTGTCCCTACTTCTACTCCTCGGCCTGTCCCTACTTCTACTCCTCGGCCTGTCCCTACTTCTACTCCTCGGCTTGTCTCTGCTGCTGCTCGGGCGCCAGTCCTTCGTCCTGTCACTGTGTCTGAATGACCGCTGGGAGGCCCTCCTCTCTCTGCTCCCGCTCCTCCGCCGGTCGGCGCCTCGTCTGCTCTGGGACCTCTCGGAGCGCGGCGGGCTCCTGCTGCCCTGACGCTGCCTCCACGATCGCTCCCCGTGCCGCTCCGACGTCCAGCCGTCCCTGCGGCTCCCCCTGACGCTGCGGTCCGGCGACATGTGCAGGTCCCGGTCGGCCTCCCAGAACTCGTTGCCCGGGTTGCGGAACACGTGCAGGAAGTTGCAGTGCTTCCCTTTGGGACACTTCTGTCTGTCGAACAGCCCTGGGGGAGAGACACGGATCAGATGGAAGACGGACTGAGCCGTACGTCTCTGCTGTGCGAGTGAAAGTGCCACTCAGAAATCCGTACGAGTAACTCACCACATATCGCATTCTTCCAGCGGGTAACGGGACACATCTCACAATGGAGCTGGCGGCCTGCGTACCACCTCCCGTTGAACTTGATGATGGCCTCCTTACACTGCTCCTCCCTGGACAGACACAGAAGACGACGATGACGAAGAGTTCTCCAACCCAGCACAGTTTATTCATTTGGAAAGGTCACGCAGCGGTTGCGTGAAGACTTACGTGTCAAATTGAATGTAAACGTTTCCTCTCAGGTGCGGCTCATAATTGCAGCTAACCTAAGAAGAAAAATGTCAATGAAACATGTCAATGTAAGCATGTATTTGTAGAGAAGTTAATCATGCATTGACACATTATTTATAGAATTTTGTTTTTTAACAATAATTGACTTTCCTGATAAAAGCAAAAATAAATATGACTTTATATTGAATTAATTGAAACTGCATCTTAACTGACTTATTGGAGAATATTAGTTTAGCAAGAGGGATAAGTTCAAATTGCTGACTGCAACTCTGGTAATTCAGTGCATGTCCTACTGTCATCCTACCTTGAATTGCACAACCTTGCCGACACTCTTTAACTCTGGCAGGACGTCATGGTAGAACTCAAGGAAATACTCCTGCAGGTCCTCCTCGCTGTGTTCCAAACAGGCGTCGGCGTCATAATCATCGCGCCGCGACTGCTCCATGCCGTACGTGGTGAACATACCACGGATCATCAGAGTCGGGCTGGATGTGGGGTAAACGTGCTTACGGGAGCATCTGCATTCAAAAAGACAGAAGAGGGAAGAATATATGAGGAAAAACTTCCTTAAAGCGCCTTTGCAAAAATTAAGATCACCATTCAAATAAGATTTTTAGGTATTTAGCCTAAAAAGTCCCAGGAAAGGGGAGAGAAATGGTACCTGTCTCCGAATCGACATGCCCCGGTCTTGAGGAAGAACGGACAGTTGGCTACGTCGCGCTCTGTTCCAAAGTTCTCGCAGTTCTTCGCCGCAGGAGCCTCGGGATTCATCCACGGCTGTCCGTTCTCCAGCTGGAAGTGAGAACATGAACAGAAATGTATATTCTGTATCGTTTACCTTGAAACTAGAAGGAGATGTTACGACAATTATACATTTAAATGTACTGTTCCAAAAAAAATTCTAGAACATAAATAAACAATATCCCAGCTTTACAACACGTAAGAAAGCATTTTTGGCCAGGATCTATCTTTATCTATTGCTATAGCCATGATCTCTTTCTGCTGTTCTGCGTGTGACGTTTACCTAAACATTAAAGAAAAATAACTACAACTATATATTAAACTCACACTTTGAACTACATGTTGTACTTCAGTCACACAAATAAGAGAATTCCATATGTGTTTATACCTGATTTTCAGCTTCATCCAACATTTTCTGAACGGCCTCCTACAAATGGTGTAAAGACACGGCTGGTGAAAATGTGTAGCGGTCAACATGCTGCAGCAGATCTGTTACTGGGTGTTAAGATCACACTCAGAGGGAATGGCATTTCCACATTTCTGGAATTCTTAGAAAGCAATGTTGCACACGGTTTTCACACAAAGTAAAAGATACATCCTTGTGAGAGCTGAAGCTGATGTTAGGGTTTCTCTCTTTGTGTGTATCTTAGTTGAGGAGTTGGGACGGTTGCTTGTGCCACTCAGTCAAGGAATTTTTAAAAAGCACCATGTACAAAGCCAAAATACATTTTACAAAAGAAGCAGGGTTGCTAAAGGATTATCCGAATCCTCCTTTTTGGATGGATGACTCAAAGACTCCTGATTAAGTAGAAGAGGATATATTTCTTTTTGTGTCTATCCTCCTGGGGCCCGTTTCACCTCTCTGTCTCGCTTTTCCTGCTGCTTCTGCTCTTTTTCCTCCTGTTCCTTCTTCTGCTGGGTCTCCCATTCCTCCTTGATCAATCGCTGGGAACAAAAACAAAAAGACATTAAATATAGTATTCTAATTATATATAGAATGACAATCAGACTCACTTGCGGCAATCCATTTGGTAGTTAGTTTAATTAATTTGGCCTGAGATGACATGACTATTTGAGGGTTGAGCTATCGCGGGCAGCTCCATTCATGTCAGTTCTGGTAACTTCCTTAATACATAATTGAATAAATGCAGAATAAATGTGATTTAAAGTTTGCCCTAATGGTACACGAGGAATGAGGAATACAACGCTACCTCCTCCTCTTCTTTTCTCTTCCTCGCAGCCTCCTCCCTCTCGGCACGGAGCCGGAACTCTTCCTGGGCGAGCGTCTCTTTGGCCAACCACTGCTCGTGCAGCCGCAGTCTGAGCAAATAACCAAACAGAAGTCAGTCACACACCAACATAAATGATGTATTTTAAAAAGGTAAATAAAGTTTTCTGTGCTGCTTTGTATCATTGGATTTGATTGCAGTGTGGGAGCCAGTATTGACTCACCTTTCCTCCTCTGCAACATCCTCATCATCTCCATCCTCATGTATTGCTTCTTCTTCTTCTTCAAGTGCACAGCTTGGTCCATCTTTTAAACCAGTAACAAAGCAGATGTTGTGGTTAATCTGGATAACGGTGCACCAACAACTGTAGAAATATAAATAAAACATAACAGCTATCTTGTACCACATTCTCTAACTTGGGCGAGAGCCTGGCGCTTCCTTTTCCTTCTCTCTTTCCTCAGAGCAGCCCTGCGCTGCTTTTGACTGGAAACAGGAGGACATTGCGGAACAATAATCACATTAGATGTCTGTCCAGTACACGTTACTGGCATTAACAGCAGTAACAGCAGCGGTGGGGTTGATTTAGCTGTGAAGGGTAATATAATATCGCTATTACTACTAACGGCATAAACTAATGGTAAAAGGGTCTCGGAATGAACACATTGTTAGAACACCTTTCTAAATGTCTGACATCAGGCTTAACAAACGGACGTTAACGTGGTCGGACTGACGTTAATGCATTGACTTTTCAACATTAAATTGCCGCTTACATGGTTCTTTTTGGTGTCATTTTGTTCCACCACCCGAAAGTGTGTAGATGAATGTAAAGAGAGAAACCAACCTCAAAACAGGAGCAGAAATTAGAGGTGTTGGTGCTGCCATCACAGCTAGCAAAAGCTAATCGTAGCTAGTTATTTAGCATGTTAAGCTAACGTTAGACCGCGTTGTTTCCGATCTTTCGCGTAGTTTAAAAATAATATGAGACAACTGTTCACTGGCGGCACGGGTTTTACCCAACGCGGATTTGGGTTATCAAAAAACAGATTTGACTGGGCAATTTATTTTTATTTGTAATGTTTAGCTAGTTAGCTAGCTACATGCCGGGTTGTTTTGCCAACGAGTGGCAGCGGAAGAGTTTGCCGGACCCTAAAGTACTTCCGGTTTAAACGATCCTAATAAAATACTGCAGTTAGAAACACTTTGTTTATCAAATAACCTTGAATATCTGTGCACTTATACATGTATAAATTATACTATAGTATTAAAAGCACAGACACATGTGAATGATTTGTTTATTTGCCAACACACAAGCAAAAAGGCACTGCACGGAAAACCTCAGTGTCAAAAAGACCTTTTTTCTAACAAAAAATACGGGGAAAACATTGATTATTTACAAGCAGTTTGTATCCCATACACAAAATATAAGGTTAAAGGTGGAAGCCCCTCCTTCCAAAAGAGAAACTTCTAAAAACTGCAAACACAAAGCGTTCCTTTCATGTTCCCCGTGGCTCTCCCCGTCATTCAGTCTTCTTAACTGGCCTCGGCGTGAGGAAGAAGAGCGGCCTGCTGCAGCAGCGGTAACACAGAGCCTGAGGCACCACAGCGTACAGGATATTGACCAGTAAGAAGACAGGCTGGCCTCCAGCAGGCACTCTGTAGGAGAACGGCGTCCGCGTGTGAAGTGACGCACCAATGTGAGCGAACTGGGCCTGTGAAATGAAGCAGGGGGGCAGATGACAGTGATGACGGAAGGCTTCAGCCACTACAGTCACACTGAGGAACAGTGTTTACTTATATCAACTGCTTATAAAGAGTCAACATCTTTAAACAATTGCGTAAAGATGCCCCCCCCCCACCGCCCCTCCGAAAAAAATGTCATTCCTCCTTTATTCATTCTTTTATTTCTGTTTTTAGACATCAGTGCGAATGAAATCCTCTGATATCTTTACAAGACCTCACCTTGCCTTCATTCTACAGTTCATATGGAGGAACGAAAAAAGGTCAAATAATGAGATAAATTCAGGGCACACCTGTTTTTGGTGGATTCTTCATTTGATGGACCAATGAAATCAAACGCCAACACATTCTGGTACGGCCACCAGTTCTCAAAATGTATATATATATATATTTATATATATATATATATATATATTTTTTTTTTTTCCACTAGACAGCCTGTTACTTTTTCATAGAAAGTCACAGGAAAATAGACACGTGACACGTTGCATAGCAACCCCGGCAGCCAGGGCATCATCTTTCAAACAGCTGTCATTTAGGTGACATTTAGGTGAGCACCACCAGCCGCCCCCTTTATCCCTTCGATGAGTGACACGCCAGCCTGCAGCTCAAACATGAAAGCTACTTTGCCGAGTTCCAATGCGATTGGCACACAAGTTGCTCCCACAGCCAACCTCAACAATCTTTAGATGAGTGCATGTGGTGCTGATCATGCAGATCCACTCGTGTTCGACTGTGCGGTAGAATACCAGAGTGCAACCACTAGATAGAGATGGAAATTTAGAAAGTGCTTGGCCTTGGTATTGTGCATGCTGCCTCGCTGGAATGCCTGTGACACGTTGGAAAGATTGGGACCATGCGTTCTTGTGCAGGATCTTTAACTTTAAGTTAACTAGTCATTCTCATCTGCCAAGGGGCGAGAAATAACCTGCAAGGGCGTACCTGTGCCAGTGCTCCGGAGTGCACTAGGGTTAGATCCGTCATCCACTCACACCCTGGCACCATCAGCCCATACAGAGTAATGATGTAGTATGGACCAGAGTACAGCATGCTCACCAGCATCTGGTAAACATGGAGGCAGTTTTCTTTTCGAGGAACAAAGTCAAAGATAGTGTGAGGATGAGCATGTGGTGTTCATGGCGTTACTGAGTTACCTGTACTTTAGCATAGGCTGAAGGGTCTTTGAGGTAAGGCTCATACTGGCTTGTGTATGCGAGACACCATTCGCTGGAACAGTCCAGAACAATCTGACGGACACAGAAAGATTATTATTATTTTTCTACCTCTGTTTGTGAACGGTGGGGGATCATCTTATGGGTTCTTACCAGGCCTCTGAAGACGCAAAAAGCAAAAGCAGGAATGACATAGATGATGAACAGAAGGTCCAGAGGTCTGTGGAGTAAACTTTTTCTTTCAGCCTCTTGGACGCTCTGAGGGAAAACGACAACAGGATAGTTAAACAATGCCCTCTCTCACATGCATTCGGTCACACACACACACACAAAATAAATGTATACCTATGAACATAATGTTGTTTATTGTAATGACAGACAGTTTTGATATTGACATACTGCCAACTGAAGGTCGGGTGTTGAGGCCTTGCTGAAGATGCGGAAGCAGACCCAGACAGATACAGAGACATACAGCATGTGGAGGAGGAAGAGCGGGCTAACATGGGTCCCATATTTACCTGAGAAAGGACAGACCAAGATAATATCTCAGCATGGGAAAGACGGACCAAAACACTGAATGTACAGTAAGATGGCATCTTTTTCAACTGCATTGTAAACTTCTCAGAGGAGGCATGTGCAGAGATGTCACAGGTCACCCCACACTGGCCATCTAAAAGCATGTCATTATTTATAGTGCACTTACCCACAGCATTGCCAAGAATGTAGACTATGGCCCGCGTGAGAAAAGATCCCACCCAGTAGAGTCCTATGGCTCGGTAGCTGTCCCTGCATGTGCAAACCAGGTAACACCGCTATTGTCAAAGTAAAACGTTTACATCTTCCTTCCAAGAGACTTAGCTGGATAGATGCATAAACAGATACTCTTACCCCCAAGTAATCGCAGCAATCATGACCAGATACATGAGATAGTGCACACAGCCGTCCCAGTAGGAGATCATGTGCCCATGTGCTGTATTAATGTGTGGATCTGCCTGAAACACAGGGCGGCTCTATCAGTAGGTACAAACAGACCACTCACAAGCAGGACTCGCAGCCCAACACGTACCTCTCTGAGGTAAAATGTCACAAATCCATCAATGATGTTGTCCTGCTCCAGCCCGATGATCAGATTCACCACACTGAGGAACGCATACACTGAAAATACTGGGCAGACAGATGCAAACTTACTTACTTGCAGGATCCATATCCAATACCTCTACTTTCGTGCAAGTTATAGACTGAACCTTGAGATTGTTTTCACGTGATTTGGTGTTGAATGCATATTTATCTCCACAAACATTTTAAAATGTCTTGACATTGACAGAAAACATGCATTTTCATAAATCATACCATAGAAAAGGGGATCTGCTGGAGCCTTCTTTTTGAGCATAAAGCGGGCGGAAATGGAGAAGATGAGGACTGCTGAACATCCAGCGAAGAAGAAAGCTTCAGCACTGAATCCAATGTAGAAGTAACGTTATGTGAATCATTTTTAAACAGATACAACTAATCATTTTCAAATGATACCAATTAGTGTTGCACTGGTAACAGTTCTTTAATCAGCAAAGACAAAAGCAGTAACACATTAAAGAGCCCCCTCGCACTCACCTGTTGCTGTAAATCAGGGAATTAAATAAATAGCAGAAGGGGATGGACATCAAGGAGAGCACAAACGCTCCCGTCCCTGCCGACGCGCTCATTGCGAACCAGGGCGGAGCTGGTTGAGCTTTTATCGATTTATATCTCAAGGAATTGGGGAAAATTCACGATGTGAAACAACATAAACAACGCACAAACTTTCACTCCATCTCTTGCGAGCATGCTCTGCCATGTTTTTTTGGTCTCTCTCTCTCTCTCTTTCTCTCTCTCTCTCGCCCTGTAATGCTACAAACCCACGCACACAAAACGAGAGCGGGTGAGTCGAAAGTTGTCCCTCTACTGTCGAAAATGAATTTGCTGTATATAGCGAGCATGGGTTATTAGCACAATTACAATCATTTGTTTATTTTAATCATTATCATCAATTAGAATGCTATGAAGGCGTGTTGATTTGAAAAATCAAAAGCAGACTGACGTCTAGTGGCCGATTGGAATTATTTCTTTAAGTATAAAAATTGTTTAGAAATGTATGTATGTACATTTCTCAATCCAATTGATGTATATGTAAATATATGTTTTGCAACGCTTGCTATTTGATTAATAAAATTGTCATATTATTAAAAGAAACTCAGAATAAATAAATCCATTTTTCATTTGGGAAAAACGCTGGATTAACTAATTTGTTAATTTAGCTATTTTTCTTTAATAATCACATTTTCATACATTGCAAGATTAATTTAGTTTCATTCGTATTATGTTGTATTATATCGCCCCGTTTGTCCGTTTCTTGTCCCTTTCTTTTAACTATGTTTTGTTGCTGTTGAACTGAACAATAAAGTTGGATGAAAAAAGAAAAAAGCTGTTTTGAAGGCAGTGCGCGTCTGCGTCACTTCTGCAGGCACGCAAGCTAGCAGATAGCGTCAGATAGCTAAACATCAGAGAACGATGGCGTCCGCCGCGATGGACACCACGTAAAATAACACACCTACGACACTCCCGGTACGGTCGGCGTGTTCTCCCGTGACACTACCGGTGCTTTCTACACCTTGAATACGAATCTTAAACGTGTCGTTATGGCGACCGGGAACGGCGTCGGCGGCGGCTTAGCGTCAAACCACGACGGCCAGGAGGCTGCGTCCAACTCGGTTCAGTCCGGAGACGCAGCGGTGCCCTCCAACGCGCCAGCGACCGCTCCAGCCTCCGGCCCTGCCCGGTCCGCCTCTCCGCCCGTCCTCGGCCTTCACCGGGAGCCCATGTACAACTGGCAGGCGACGAAGAGCTCCCTGAAGGAGCGCTTCGCCTTCCTCTTCAACAACGAGCTGCTCAGCGACGTCCGCTTCGTCGTCGGGAAGGGCAGGCAGGCCCAGAGGATACCGGCCCACAGGTTCGTCCTGGCCGCCGGCAGCGCCGTCTTCGATGCCATGTTCAACGGCGGGATGGCCACGACCTCCGCGGAAATCGAGCTGCCCGACGTGGAGCCCGCAGCCTTCCTCGCGCTGCTCAGGTAGGAGACGCTGGTCGCCGGGCAGCAGGTTAAAGCCCAGGTAGTCGTTTATCTGTTCGCTCGGGCCACACCGAGCTTCGTGTTTAAAGGAGGGTTTAGGTCCCATGTTAGTTAGTTAGTTAGGGCGGTGCAGCCTGGGAAGAGCTACGTGGGAACACCGCCACAGGAGCAGTAGGTAACTCATGGATCAGTACACCAGGTGTAAGCACGTTGCCAGATGTACTATGCTGCAGACACAGCTCCATATGCCCACTATCTCCACTCCAGAAAGTGATGGGAACGTGTGGGTTTACTGGGCTCTCCCGAGGAGAAAAAAGCAGTGCGTCTTGTGATTCGGGTTACACTGAAGAAGTCACTTTCAAGCTTAAGTGATGAGTTCTTGTGGATGATTTGGAACAAGACACGTGGGCCGTGCTTTACAGAGGAGACGGCACTCTTTGTTTTCAGTGCAGTGCGGTTTCACGTCTGACAAATGCATCAGCGCTGCAGTGTTTTATGCGACTTCATGAATACCTGACCGTCAGCATTGTTCCGCTGCCTGCTTCCTCCGCACAGGTTCCTGTATTCTGACGAGGTCCACATTGGTCCCGAGACGGTGATGACGACTCTGTACACGGCGAAGAAGTACGCGGTCCCCGCTCTGGAGAGCCACTGTGTGGAGTTCCTCACCAAGCACCTCAGGGCCGACAACGCGTTCATGCTCCTCACTCAGGTTACTGTCACAGCCGCTCTATCGACCCCTAAACCCTCGGGCATTAACCTTTTTTTGGTTAGACATCTTGGATTTCCATCTTTCCAAATTCATCGTTTTAATAGCAGCGTGGTCTGATTAGGCCCAAATCTAACATCGTGTGATAGCTTAATTCCATCTGCCGGAAACTGTCAGACAGCGATTCTTCCAGTGGAGGGTGAAAATATTTTTTTTTATGTGTACGGCCCCCAAAGAACCATCTTGCAGCCATCAATAGTCAAGTTTTTACAGCATTAGTTTGTGCTATTTTGGGCTGACGTGTGTCTGGGTTCAGCATTTTTTATGATGCTGGATGCAACGCCATCAGGCTGCATGCTTCTTTCTAATCAAACACGGCTCCTTTTTTCAACACTGCAAAAAAAGCACTCCAGCACTGTGATTCTAATTATCAGGGTCATTGCGTGGTACTCACGTCAAGTTCAGTAACACTTTTTGAAGGTTGATTGAAGTTTTAGTTGTAATTTATCAGCTCTGAATATCGGATTTCCAAAAGTAGGTGGTGAATAGAATACAAGTTATGAAAAAATCTACTGACTGCTTTATTTCCCCCAAATCTTTTTGTAAAACTTGCACAACATTTATTAGCGCATGAAGGAGACAGTTTTCACAGCGTTGTAAAAGTCCTTTTTGTGCATGACAAGTAAGTACTAGTATCTACTAATACTATACTAATTTGTTGTATTTTGTGCTTTCATTACAGGCAAGGCTATTTGACGAGCCTCAACTAGCCAGCCTCTGCTTAGACACTATAGACAAAAGCACTGCGGACGCAATAAACGCAGAGGGTTTCACAGATATTGACCTTGGTATGTGACTCTTCCTGAGAAAATGTTCAACGTCTTATTGCTCTGGATGTTTACTGATGGCTGCCCTGTGCCTTTGTATGCGTAGACACCTTATGTGCAGTGCTGCAAAGGGACACGCTCAGCATCAGGGAGAACCGCTTGTTTGGGGCGGTGGTACGCTGGGCCGAGGCCGAGTGTTACAGACAACAGCTTCCCCCGACCTCGGAGAACAAACAGAACGTTCTGGGCAAAGCCCTCCCGCTCATCCGCTTCCCACTCATGACCGTTGAGGAGTTTGCGGCAGGTAAACGCCCCGCAGATGTAACCCATGTTCCCTTCCCTGCAATGGGACTTTTCTTTCTCTTCTCTTTTCCAAAACTGTACTGACCATTTCAGCCAAACGTATTCATCATGTGTCTTATGTGTCCATACAGCTGAAACAACAGAAACCAGCTTGATATTCTTTCTTGTGCAACAGGGCCTGCCCAGTCTGGAATATTGTTCGATCGGGAGGTGGTAAATCTGTTTTTACACTTTACAGTAAACCCCAAACCGCGGGTCGACTACATCGACAGACCCCGCTGCTGCCTCAGGGGGGAGGAGTGCAGCATTAATAGATTCCAGCAGGTTGAGAGTCGATGGGGGTACAGTGGTACCAGCGACAGAATCAGGTGAGATGGCCAACCTCGGCGGGCTGTTGTTGCCTGAAGTTGTTTTTTTGTTTTGTTTGTTGTGGTCTTAATTTTCTTTTTCTGTCTGCCTTTCTCCCTCTGCAGATTCAATGTTAACAAAAGAATATCCATAGTGGGGTTTGGCTTGTATGGTTCAATACATGGACCCACTGACTATCAGGTCAACATACAGGTAGGAGGCATAATCACGTCAATACATGTGTATTTGTTTTCCCATCAGTACTAATGTATTTCATCAATTTCACCAACAATAACTGTATTGTTTAAGAACAGAAGTGCAATAACGTGTTTAAAAAAAGCCAAATACTCCTTAGATCCGTTTCCCTCACTGCTGCTACTCGACAGCTCAGATACGTCGTGTTGAGATTCCCTTCGAGGCTTTACAGCCGACCGCCCGAGGAGTAAACCCACTGTCCCTCATCCCGTTTTCCAATCCAGTTAGAAGTTTTACTGCAATTCACACAGCTTATTTGTTCCACCGAGGAGAAGAAGAGCCCACAGTTGCGACGGAGCACGACTCTGTTGTCTTGTATCTGATCCTCTGATGGTGAAGTCCGTACGCGTGCCTCCTTCCCAGTTCACATGCTTCCCTGTGTCATGTTAAAACTCATTGTACATTTACAGATACAATTAAAAGCCTAAAATGTCACAGTACTTAGATTATTCTGGTCACATCCAGTGCAAAGTTACAGTTTACAACCTGAAAAATACACCAGCAATGAACCGATGAACCCAGAAACCGAGTGAGCTGCCAGCAGTGTTTTAACACTTCATGGCTGACATTACATTGATTATTTTCCCGTTGCACGTTATTGTTCAAGCGCTGAAGACATTGTGCCGTTCCGCAGATCTTAGAGAGCGACAAGCGCATTATACTGGGGCAGAACGACACCGGCTTCAACTGTGACGGCACGGCAAACACGTTCCGAGTGATGTTCAAAGAGCCGGTGGAAATCCTCCCCAATGTCAGCTACACTGCGTGTGCCACCTTAAAGGTCAGTTGAAACACGTGGTGTCTTGTTTTTTTTAAACCCACCTGATTAGAATTAACAAGTGATCTGCTTTCTCATTGGACCTTGCCTCAGGGCCCAGACTCCCATTATGGCACCAAGGGGTTGAAGAAAGTGACCAAGGAAACCACAACAGGGGCCAAGACGACCTTTTTGTTTTTTAGCTCACCGGGAAATAACAACGGTACGTCGGTGGAGGACGGTCAGATCCCGGAGATAATCTACTACACCTAGACTTAACCCGGCGTCACGCTGGTGCACTGAACCTGGGAGACCTCAGGCTGCTGGAGATAAATGTAGTGCCTCATAATCCCTTGGAATAAACAACGTGTGTGTTTGAGAGAAAGTGTGTGCGTGCGTGTGTGTGTGTGTGTGTACACAATAATGGCGTGTGGACATGATTTGCAGTGTTAAAACAAGCAGAGTTGTGTGGAGAGAGGAAAAAAAGCGTTGGTCACAGATTGTATCCGTTGTAAATGATGTTAATAGGGACGTCCTGTGCTGTCGTCAGTAATCTGTCACTGCTGGAGTTAATCCTGCACGAGGGAAACTTGAGAGACGAACTGTCGGTTGGCGCCATTTCTTTATAGTTCTCAGTTTAAGCTGACGCATTTACCAAAAGTATATAATATTTGCATATTTTTTATTGTGCACTGTTATCATTTATTCAGCAGGTGTCTTCAAGTACTTTGTCTTTGCATTGTATTAAGTATCCATGTGTGTTATGTAAGTGGTACATGCTGTAATTTATAACTTCCATGTCTGCCTAGCACTACATTAAAATGTAAAAAAAGAAAAAACTCCAGGAGTTTCATGGTGAAATAAATGAACAAAAGTCTATTTTTAGCTTTTTGCCATTAAACTGTTGTAAAGTTGTTTTCCTTCAATAGACTCATTAACTTTTCTTATTGTATCATTCCTCTTTCCGTCACTAGGTGATGCTGAGCGCTCAGCCAGCCATCAAACACCTAAACATGACTGGGAGTAGGAAGGGCTTAATCAAGAGGATAGGCATGTAAAAACCTATGCTAAACAAATATAGGACTTTAATTATTGAAATGTAAATTGAGGGAGTAAGGAAGCTGTTTAACTGTATGAGTCACAGACAGAAACACTGGGATGGAGGAAGTCTTTAGGTGCTTGTTTATCATCAGCCAAATGATTTTTAATATCAAAAGCACTGGTGGGAATATTTGCCTTTACTTACATATTGAAAATATAAACCATCTGACTAGAAGTGAATGGTTATTCATACCTCTATATATCTAAAACGTGACAATAGGACTCGATCATGCACTGATTTACGGGACCCACTGTCTTATTCAACAATGTATAATATTTCATTAGCTTATTTGTGGATTAAAAATGTAAATCTCCTTGGTAACTAAAGCTGGAAAATACATAAAGTGGAGTAAATGCTATAAGTACCTTAAAATTGTATTGAAATAAAAACTATTTTTACCACTGGAAATTCATAATGTGAAAACAAGCCGCGGGCGTTAAATGTGCTCTGACCTTGTGCTGCCTGTAAAAAGGAAATAAGTGCAGAACGCTGTGTCTACGGCCCAGAGATGCAGCGCTCTTGAATTTCATTGTGTGCACGTCCGTGTGAGCGCCGGTGGAAGCGCGTCCACTTTAGACGGCTGTGAGTGGGCTCTGATGAGGAGAGCGATCCACGGAGGCTGTCGGGTGAGTCACCGAGACCTGAGAGCTTCTCCCGGCATAGACGGCCTTCATTACAGGGAGAAAAGAGACCTAACAAGAAAATGGGTCTGAGACCAGACACAAAATGCTCATGAAACCAGGAGCACTAGTCAGTCCTCTCACACCTGTGTGATGTGGGAAAAGGGAAGATCCATGAGCCCTCCTTCCTCAGTGATGTGTGGTTTTCTGTGTGTGTGTGTGTGGGTGGGTGGGTGTAGACAGCAGCAGAATGGGCTCTCTTTGTCGGTGTGAGCCTTCTGCTTAGACACAGCAGGGGAGAGGATTTATGTGACTCATGACACATGTGTCTGTGTCTGTGCAGGACTGGAGTCGAGCACAGTCCGACTTACAGAGAGAGCTTAAACAGCAGAGAATATCAAAGAAAGAATATATATATATATATATATATATAAGGAAGTATGTATAAATATCTGACATATTACAGCAACGACTGAATCCAGAGCTCATTATTTCCCTTTTCACAATTCAATGAAGCTGTACAACTTATTCTGTCCACACAATGCATAAGAATGTAGCAATGTATATAAAACCCATTTTTTTATTTACAGGTATTCGTATACTCTGTCTATCCATACGGTGCCTGCAGAAGTTCTCCTCAAGACCTGTAAAAGGAATCAGTGAATTCCCCTTTTAAATTAAAATGAATGCAAGGCTTTGTTCAGTTCTTCACCTTAGGGAAGAACACATTTTGGAAGACGAACTGGGTCGGTCAAAGACGGCGCTCAGTCGGTCCTCCTGAAATTCGACTTCATCGTGCAGCCAATCCTGTTTCATTTATCCCTTTACTGTGTACACCGAGGAAGCGTGACACTTCACCACAGCATCCACCTGCACGGATGAGTGTGTGTGTGTGTGTGTGTGTGTGTGTCCATATTTGTCCAGCTGGTAGGAGTTATGCAATATATATTAAAATGGTGTGCGACTGTTTGGTAACTAATTAGTATTTACACAGTAATAACCCCTGAGAGCCGAGAGACATGAAACTGCTGATTTCCAGTCAGACGTTCGTTACAGAAAGTCTTTCTTGGTGCAGATGGAGGACACGTGGCACTACGACTACAGTGACAACTTAAATAACTGTTTGTTGCCTAAGAGGCTCTCAAACCTTTTCCTTGTGGCCTTTCCCGTTAATCGTCTCACAACCCCTCAGGTCTCTTCTGACCCTTCGGAGGCGCCTGAACCCCAGTTTGGTGACCTCTGGCCTTAACTCCCCGTAAATAAAGTAATTCAAATGATGACGGATCCTTTCATTTGTTATGCTTTCAAACAATAGGTTGAAAGTGGTTGTGGTTGTACTGCCACTTGTGCTCGAGCAAAAGGCCCCGAGCGCTTCCTTCCGTGCAGATCAGACTAACGAGCTTCCCTCAGCGTCCCCAGTCCACAGATGAGCAGCTGCATCATTCGCTAATAGAGCACGAGGTTGCATGAGCCGTGGACGTCAAACCCGAACGAAGGGTCGGACTGCACGTTGTCAGTGCTCACTCTCCATCTGCACGTGTGCGCTCATGTGGCGCGGTGCGAGAGCTGGACGGTGCAGAGCCGGGGGGTGGGGGGGGAGGCGTTCATTTCAACGGAGAGAGACTACTCCGCCGTTTACACGCGTCACGTGAACACTCCCCACTGTCTGCTGGGGGGTTGGCAGCCCCACGCACGCTCCAAGACAGATGTAGGTCGCCCAGTGCTGCAGGGGCCGGCGAGGGGGCGAGGAGGGGGGTGTGTGTTGGTGGGTGAGGTTGTGGTGTTTGCCGGCCACACGTGTATGTCTGAATGCACTTACAAAAAAAGGGGGGGGGTTAGATAGAGCGATGATCGCAGCGGATGAGTTCATCGTCAAGGACATGGCCCCCGGCCCCCGGCCCCGCGTCCCCACTGCTGTCACATTGCATCGTCACAAACAGGCCACATGAAGGCTGACAGCCCGGCGGACCCGACCGAGGAGACTCCGGTCCCTCGCCGTGCCGCTCTCTATTGTTTTGCATCTTGTGCGCTGGCCGAGCCTCACTTTGCATTAACGGTTTATTACTGTGATTAAAATGCACACATGTGGGAATGGCAAGTAGAAAGCAAGTAGTTGGACAAACCCTGAACAGAATAAACAATGCTGCAGCGCAATTTTTTTTCTTAATGTTGCAATAGTAACAAAATGGAATCCACCTCAAATCCAAATGCTTTATGAAGGAGGTGAGTCCAATGAATCTGTGATTCTCCTCTGGACTCGTTTCGGTGAACTTCACACCAGCTCCACAGGATCGGCAGTCAGCACTTCCCATAAAATGTCGTTGAGGCTGTGCGAGTTGTATTATTTCTGCAGGTATCTGGACATTAAACGAAGGGGATTCAGAACTATGGTGGCCGAGGTCAAAACACGCACGACACTACGCAGAGCCAGTGTTCAGTTTGTCCGCTCGGGGCTACTGTAGAAACATGGCGGTCTCCTTCTCCGGATGCAGATATGAACTGTTTATTCTTTGGTAAAGAAAACACTGTTCAGGTGAGTGACACACTAAAGAAAACATACTTAAACTTTTTTTATGTTTCAGAAAAGAAAATATTTTTACTGTACCAATTGAGAGATTTCCCAATGTAAATTCTGTATTTGTACAGAGAAAAAGGTCATGTCTGAATATCGAAAGTTTGATGAAAGCTATTTAATCAATAATTCCAGATAGTGACTCTTGCATGTGTGTTCAGGAAAAATGAAATAATTTTACTGTAACAATTATGAGAATTATGCAAAATAAAAGTCCTACATCTAAATGTTTAAATATAACTATGTATTTTTTGCTGGACTCTAACCTATTCATTTTCCGTGCCTCCAAAACACAATTACATTTAGATATTTCTTCACCAATAAAGCGGTTACATTTTTACTGTGTCCAGAAAGTCCCTGATTCGTGAAGATGCCTCAATCTGGGGTGAAGTATCTCTAATCTAAACTGATTACAGTGGTGATGGCAGACTTGCTCGCTGTGTGCCAGTTTTAGCACATCCCTCCCCCCTCCTCACACACACACTTTCTCCATAACCCCCTCCCGCCCTTATCATCACAGCTGATTGAACTGCTGAAGTCCAAATGAACTGTTAACCCCATCTCTGCCACGGCCATAAATAGAAACCCTGCAAGTGGCATTCGTGCAGCAATAAAACAATGCGTGTCTTGTGCTTCAGTGAATTGGACCAACGGAACGATGTTGGTTACTTCATTTGAGATGTGCTGGGAAAGGATTGCCAGCGTTGACATCTTTAGGGCAATGAGCTACATGTGCCATAGCCAATGATGCATGTAGCAATAATGTATTAATGATGCACATAAATATTTCAGTTGCTTTTCACGGTTTGAACTATTAGTCTGTGGCTTGTGCAGAGCCGTTCACACTGCGAATGCTGCTTTCCCTTTACACACGGTGCAGCTGTTCAGGCCACTTTGTTTAATGTGCCATCCATTAGTCGAAGATTTAAGCTTCATTTCTGAGCCTAAAGCGAGAGATTTTAAATCACTGTGAAAACATCTTCAAGGAAAGAATAGATTCAGCTTTAAATTACTTTTGCGTCTATTGCAGATTCTAGAATTGTCAGTACAGAAGGTGGTCTAAATGTGTTTCATAAATGAAAGTGAATGGACTTGAATGTTTGTATCATACGATTTCAACAGTGTTGTTTGGTCTACAGGGGACACAAACTCAAAATACTTAAATGACGCCGATGAGGTTATTCTCTCCACTTTGAAATCTGGAGTGCAAATCATAATTCTCACAACCAAGCCTGATAATGTGCAATTTTGTTAGACATTGAGCCAAATAAAATACTTTAGAAAATACATGTTTAATGAAAACAGTTCAGTTCATCCGTATCTTTACATAACGGGACACAGAAAAATAAAGCAGATTTTCTTTCTACTGAATTGTGATTCAGTCTGCAACAATACTGTACTGATTTGTAATACTGCAATATCAGAGCATATCTAGATGTAGCCACCAAACTATTGCTCCACAAAGCAACCTTTACACATAACAACCAAACATACACAAATCTGAAATGTTAAATAAGAAAATGTTTGTCAGAGAGTTCAGATTTAATGTGATTAAAGAAATAATTTGGGGAAGATCTGACCGCAAATTTGCGTGGCATTTTTTAACTTTAAGTATAATAGTTGACAGTCGACGTTGATGTACTGCTCAAACTTGCATACGAGACAGTGGAAAGACAGTCAAACAAATGATGGTAATGCAATGAGAGTTGAGACTGTAAATACTTTAAACACTGATAACACCTGAGCGATTAGAATCAGTAGCGGTCATATTGGGGTCTCTGATGAGTAGAGTTATGTCCATCGTTGTAGCTTGGGGGACCTGATCGATGACCACCACCATAACCAGAGTGCCTGTCCCCGTCTCTATCTCTGTCTCTGTCCCAGTCTCTATCTCTATCTCTATCTCTGGACCTGTCCCTGTCCCTGTCTCTATCCCTGTCTCGGTCGTGCCAGCTTTGCTGTCCATGCTGGCCCCCTCTCCAGCCCCGGTCCCGTTCCCCTCCCCAGCCTCGGCCTCCTCCCCAGCCTCGGCCTCGACGGTCCTGGTACCTAGATGGAGGCCAATAGAAACGAACAATTAAGTTAACGCAAATACCTTCATTGTATGGAACGACGCAGCAGGAAAACATATCTATCTGAGTAAATCCAGATGGTATCCCAGAGTTTCCCCTCATGTCTCATCAGGATTTAGAAGTGAAACTAGAGGATAGTTATGTTGGAGCAGAATTGTTTGGAATTGATTGAAAAGGCAACAACAACAATGTGACATTACCTGTCCCTGCCTCCGCCTCCACCTCCACCTCCACGACTCCTCCAGCCCTCCACAATGGGTGGAGGGTCAGCTGGACGGTTCACATACTGCTGGTATTCTTTATCGTCCGATGTAAATCTGTGGGAAAACATCTCCTCGTAGTTCCGCTGGCTTTCTGTGGTCTCGGCCATACTGCAACGACAGATGAGACGCTACAGACGCACCGACAGCGAATGCTAATGACACGGCTAGCATCACGTTAAGCTACTTTAACCGGCTGATATGTGTGAGCCCGCGCGCCACAATAATTTCATTTTTAATTTTAATTTAACGCTAGTTAAAGATGATGACAACACAAAATCATAATAAAATAAACATACCTTTACACAACTTGAGCGCTGCTTGCGTCGCTTGAATATAACAAACCCGGACGCGACTTCTTGTTCTGGTACGTCGCTGAAATCTGTCCCCTAAAAACAGACCAACACGTTCGAAACGTTCCGGTAGCGCGCGCACCTGCCACTGATGGATTGACAGCTATTACCTATCGGGCTGAAACAGGACGAAATGAGAGTACTGAGTATTTTGAATTGACATATTTTTTAGGAGAAAGGTGCCAACTGCTGAAACGCCACCGCTGTCAATTCGAACATGTAAGTGCAACTTAATTTAATTGAATTAAGCAAACCAAACATTGTTGTTGCAACATAACTATTTCGGTGGAAACGCGACCCCGTGGGAGGCGGGGGGAGATGTGGGGGACGAACATTTTAGCTTCACACGCGCCAATTGTTTCGACGGCAAAGAAAGAAATTCATTTCTGAGAGAAAGAGAGAGAGAGAGAGTCAGAGAGAGAGTGAGAGTCAGAGAGAGAGAGAGAGAGAGAGAGAGAGAGAGTGAGAGTCAGAGAGAGAGAGAGAGAGAGTCAGAGAGAGAGTGAGAGTCAGAGAGAGAGAGAGAGAGAGAGAGAGAGAGAGAGAGAGAGAGAGACTGGACGACCCGGTGAATCGAGTTTACGGAGAAGTGCTCTCGGTGTCTCTCTCGGTGTCCCTCGGCAGCAGGAGGACTTGTTCGAAGCTCGTGGACTCTTTGGACGCTAATCATCGGTGGACTTTGACTGCGCTACAAAAACCAAACCCGCGCAACCCACAGAGCCTGTAAATAAATAAATAAATACATATATATTTAAAAAAAGGAGTTGTTCCTCAAGTCCGCGGCGATGGGGTGAGTAAACCAGCGAGACCCGCGCGGACCGTCATGTCGTGTGTGTTGACATGTGTGTGCGTGTGCTTGTGAATACCCCGGGACGTGTCTCTCAGTACCTGTGTCAAAGATCTGAACACAAGACAACGCTCGTCCGAAGCGCAGTTCACCCAATTTACTCCCACAGACGTGAGCCCGATTATTAGGCAGTGCCGGTGATTCGGGAGGCGACTTCATGCGGTCTTCGCAGTCCGTGAGCTGGTCTGGATGCGCGTGAGCGGCTTTTTGACCGCTGTGCTTCGTGCGTCCAGCGGGTTCACTCCCACAGCTGTTTACGGGGTAAAGTGAGTTATTTTGCCTCCATGCCTCCGCTGTGGTGTGTGAATATTGACGCTGTGGCTCAACGCCATGGTTATGCAATCATTAGCTCCCTCCGTGTCTACATACAGTGCAGATTCATTTTATTATTGTTACATTATTACATGTCATTTAGCTGACGCGACTTGCAGTCACTTGATTGGGAAATCACAGTAGTCACAGCTCAGTGTAACTTTCTGAATGCTCCCGCTGAGAAGTAAAGATGTGAACAATAAGCAGCATTTATGTGCACTGATTGACACGCTCTTCAGTTCTTCAGTGCATGTTTTTTTTTTAAATTTATTTACTTTGTTTTAAGAAGCCGGTTGATGAGTGGTGACGTTTGTTGTACTCACCCAGCAGGTTTGAGCGTTGGAGGACTCGGAACCAGGCCCTGTGCCTTCAGTCTGATTCAGCATTTGGTGTTTGGCATTTTTGATTGAGAAATGACTTAAATAATAATTAATAAATTGTTGCCATTCGATGTTGTCAGTTTACTAAACAATCGACCAACGCGTCATTTCTACAACAGCTTTCTTTAAAGCTCGTCTCTCATACTGTGAGCAAAGGAAAGCAAGACATCCTCAATATTCAGAAACGGAAACCTTCTTCTTTAAAAAACGAGCTGTCAACCAGATATTTCACCCTGATTACGTACAGGTACAATTTGTGGGTCAACACAGTGTCTTTGGTCACAACTAGACATTCTTTGTCACATTTTCACAGGGTTTATGTGTCGTTTGGTCCCTGCTCTTTGGTCCTAAATGGAGTTAAAGATTAACTACAAATGGCGAGGTCCTTCATGTGATCGATCAATTAGTGACCTAGACAAACGTGTTATTGATCTCATGGTTTTGAATCACAATAGTAGCCCAAATTCTAATACGGTGCAGCGGGCCCAACAAATCAAATACATGTAGCTCAGGGTGGCTGAGCGTAAAGAGTTTGAGGAAATGCTGATAACAACAGTAGAGCATGAAGTCCAGCTCGAGTGCTGGACTCAGATCAGCAATCAGCATATTGCTATTTCAAATAAGCCATGCGCAGAGCGGCGCTCGCACACGGATATACGTGTTAATCCGCTGGCTGGCCGGGCAGCGGCCGCTGAAGGCTTAACGCTCATCGATAAGGCCGCGTGACGTGTGACGTGGCGCCGGGTCTCTGTCCCGGTTGTGGAGGTGTAGCAGGGCAGCAGAAAGCAGCTCTTTGCTGTTCAGGAATCCTGAGTAAATGAAAGTGGACATACTGACGGCGGGTTGGACGTCCCTCCACCAGATGGTTCGGGCCTCGGAGGCCATCTGCTGCCACGCTGTGCTTCTGTGGAGACTTCCTTTTTCCTCCGAGCTCTCAGATTATGTTGGGCTCTGCATCCCCTCGGCTCCGCGTGCTGGAGGTGGACCTGCTGCGGTTGCTGGTTTGAATCTGGCCCCCTGCCTTTGTGTGAACGGGCTTCTGTCTTTCAGTTTAATGAGGTGTACCAGCGTGAGGAGCAGTTGTGCCAAAACGCAGGAATAATGAAGGTCGCTTATAAACAGTGGAAACAAGTCTGTTTTAACACTATATAGACATCACACTAAATGGACTGGATCTTATGATTTGATGGATTCATTATTGATTAATCTAGCAACAGCAGTACAATAGAGAAGAAAACCCCCGTATCCCCCCGTTGCCGTGTGATTCACCGCCTCCTTCTAAAAGAAAACAACACTTTCCCGTTGAACTGCTCACAACTGTCAACAGGTTCCGTTTCCACGAGCTGACAGCATCTATGAAATAGCCCATCACCAAAAGAAAAAGACATGTCAAAGACATGTGACTTATCAATCGCTTCAGTGACTTATCAGCATCCAAAGTTGTTGTTGATCAATGTTTTGTCAGTAAACTTATAGATCTACTATGATGGTGGTATGAAGTCACGAGGAAGGATATTTACTAAAGTGACACCAAGTCACACGCGACGAGTTGCTGCTTGTCGTATTTTACCCGAGCTTGTTATTAATCAGTAATTATGGCAAAAGCCGTCATTTTAAGTAAAATAAAAATCAGTTACAAACTAAGAAAGGACACGAGGAAAGACATCAAACAAACAACAATTCTGTGCGTAGTTCCTCTCTACTACACCTTCAACTAACCTCCAGGTAGATGAAAACATCTACCATGAGTTTTTTCCTTTCTGTTTGTGTAAATGTCAGAAGAAGATAAAAGTATTATGTAGAGCCGCCGTCGTTCCCTCTAACTGCTCTCTGCCATCTCGCTCTCTCGGACCTCATTAGTGCGGCTCTTTGTTTCTAGCGATGAAAGCCCAGGTGCTGTTGTTCTCCTGCACGCGCTGCTCGGTCACTCAGACAAGAACCTCGGCGCTCACTAATCAGAGCGCTGGGCTCTGCGGCGGCGCTCGCAGGTAGAAACGCCTCAGCTCTGTTCATCTGATACCAGCGAGATCATTACCAGCTAATGAGAACAACTGTTAGTACATTTCCCTTTATGGTCACCAGTGAATGCTGCACTCATTTACTATTTGTTTTAATACGGCCAGAGTCGTCGGGTGTTTTGACAATTTCTACTTTTCTCCCCTCCCCCCCCTCACACATATTTGCTTCAATATTATCGCCTTAAATATCTGATGTGTTTTTTCTGTGTGCGTCATATTGAGCGCACTCAGCCTTTGGGAATGTCACCGCTCAGCCCTTTAACCGCTTTAATCATGTGCGTTCGATCAGCTTCCGGAAAAAAAGAATGGCAATGCTCCCAAAGCTGATTCCTAACACCGCACAGAGCGCGTTCACGTCAGGTCACCGGCAAGAACGCGGCACGTTCAAACTGAAACTGCATGTGCAACTTTTAGTTTTTTCTCGCCAACGGGCCCGACGACCTCGCAGAGTGTCAGTGGCAGAGCAGCATGCCCATCGATGACAATGCCACCCTCTCAAAGCGGGACGGCTCGTACCTTAAAGCCTGTGGCCCTGAAGCCAGAAGCTCCTGCATGTTGACCAGTTCATTCCTTCTCAGTGGACTTTAGTGGTGCGTGGTGCGAAGCCCAGAGGTCAAGTGCTCCGCTGACCCTGTAAACTGAAACTACAATTCCTTTCCAAAAGTCTCCCTGCGCAGCAGAAGCCATCAGCTTATTGTGGAAACACAAACAGGTTTGCTTTATTTATCTCATTTATCCCTACGTGTCTGATTATGTGCTGCCTCTCATTGTGTGTGTGTGTTACTGGTGGAGTAACTTTTAGTTAATGGGGAACATGAAGACGTCTTTGACTTGCTGATGGTGCTTCTTTCTTTCTGTCCTCGGATGACCAAATCAACAGCGAATGATCCAAACAGCTTACATGTGTCACCTTTTACTTGGACGGAGACGTGGACGTCTGTGACCGATGGGGGAAGTTTTTTGGGGGGAATTTGCCTGGAGTGAATTCTTAAAAGGAGAAATCTGGAAGAGGCGGTCAAACACACCGTACCTGAATTCCAGGTCTGTAGCAGGGCCCCTCGCTTTGAAATCCCCACCCTAACTCAAAGATGGAGGACGCCCGCTGTTCCTCACACTCTCTCTCAGGGCACGGTGTCATTCTGCATCGTCTTAAAATGCCGTCTTTAAGAAGGATTATCCCTCCCTCTGCAAACTTTGCTTAATCCCCGGGGAGCCCGGGGTTCGGGTAAAACACAGGTAGTGATAAATCTCACAACAGGCAAGCAGGTTCATCTGTGCATCACTCGACTTTGTCCTCATGAAACTGGATGAACACGTTGTAATTTATTCTGCGTAGTCGTATGAAGGCATTGACAGCGCAGTGCTCAGTCAAACCTGCTCCACGGAAACACACACTTACACACACCTGTAAATAATTTAAAGCAGCAGATGGGCACAGAGGCACCGACCGTCTGCAAAAAACAAAAATGCAGCGGTCACAAAGTCCCAAATGTTTTTTTTTTATCCCGTTCAACCAATCAACGTAATGCTTTTTATCTTAGTAAAGCAGATCACTGGAATCCACCAACAGTTGTTTGAGTGCATCCATGTGTTCAGTAGCGTCCTTTCACAGCCCTCGGCCTGCCAGTGTGAGCTGGCTCCAGACGCGACCTGCAAAGGTCAGCGTGTGTGTGTCCGTGTGCGTCTGTGTGTATGAAAGGCGACAACAGTGATCTGTATAATGGGTTTTTGTTGTTCCCAAAGCAGATGAAAACTGAGATTAGGCTTAAAAAGGACAGTGAATTTATCAGGCTTTCATTTCTGTTACAACCATAATCCCAGTGGAAGTAAAAGCTTTATTAGCTCATGAATTATCGCAGCTCGCCGGGCTGTTTGTCTGACATTATTTTTTCACCGGGACCTCAGAATAGTGACTGAAAGTACCAACGGACGGAATGTCCTCTTGACGACTCTCCTTTTCCAGTTGCTGTATAGCATTACAACAACCACAATGGGCCCCGTCTGTACGCTGGAAATGAAACCTCCCGTCTGGCCGGCAGGAAATACAGGTGCTCGTGTTCCTGCTCGCGTTTTATTATTGCTCGTGAGAATCACTTCAAATGCTCTCAAGGTATTTGTATTTAAGATTTCTTTAAAACATCCATTCGCCCTAAAAAATGCATTATTCTTTTTTTTTGCTGTGCCTCTGTGCCTATTTTGACAACCTTTAACCATAGTTTCTATTTAACTGAAATCTTTCTTGTCATTAAAGTAAATGGAAGGCCACGGAGGGAACGGGGATAAAGGATCAGGACTTAATGGGCTCCCTTGTAAAGTGGTTGTAAGTGACAACCTTCCTGTGGTCTGACACAGAAATCATTTAAAATCATTTTGCAAACCATCGGTGCCTTTAACTGACTACAGAGGAGAGTCCACAAGGGAGCAAGCTGGCATATCGGCTGCTGCACCTTCAAATTCTATACAAGTTTGCGCACACGTTGATGAAGAGGTGGACTGCATAGTGATGCACGGTGAGGAGGGGCACCACTTGCGTACTGCCGCCTGTTAGTGAGGCCGTGCATTTGGAGAAGAAGAAGAGGAGAAACATCCAACAACATATCTTCGAGGTAGTGAAGAGTGTGTCGGGCCGACGGGACAAAGCAATAACCTAAAAGATAACAAGATGAGAAGACGCAGAGACGCACTGAGGCCGACTCACGCGGGAGATACGCCAACTTTGTCAAGTAGGCTATAAAGATAAGTGTGAGGCACTGAGTGGCCAGTGAACTTTGCCCCGTCGGAAAGACACACCTTCCCGTTCCCATTTAGACTTCTAGAAGGATAAGTGCTTCCCATCTGTCTCCCCCCACGCCCTTCATCAGCATCCGTTGTTAAGCTCATGAGGTGTCCTCTGATCCCTCTCATCCAGCCACTCCACCTAATTGTGCCTCGCTCATCACAACCACCGTCGCTCACCTTTTCCAAACGACAACTTGTGGACAGCGGGAACTGGGTTCTGTCCCAACGTCCCCCGCTTAAAGAGTGAAACTTTTTATTCTATTTTTTATCTGCCCCAGTGGTGTTCTTCCAATGTCGAGGGCCAAGACTGATTGTGTGTACCTGACGATGTGAGCGGACCATCGGTTTCCCCACAAGCTGCACGACGACATTCTAGAAACATTCCTGGTTGGAGCGCAGGTCAAAACTGGTAGAACAAGAAAAGTACGACAGGTTACATTCTCTTCCTTAGAAGACCGGACATTCCTTTTGCTGCTGATATAAAAAACAAAACAAACAGCTGGATTAGTAAGCAGGAATTAAATGAGCAGACTATAAATACACACACCGGGACAGTCGTGCTCTATAGCAGTTTAATGAGTACAAAGATGCCTGCGTGGTACGCTGGTTCCCTAAACTCTGTGTGCGTGTGTGTGTGTGTGCGTGTAGAGAAAAATGTGTGTGTGTTGCATTAAGGAGAAATATTTTGACTGTGTTTTTCTCCGAGTGCAATCATTGGAGTTCAACAGGCTGGTTGCCGTAAGGCGGATTCTTTCTCACCCTCAATAGGTGACGTGGTTTTGAACTTTTAACCATTAGTCTTTGTTGCTCTGAAAGCTGTCGTTTTGGATTCAGAAAAGCTGCAAAATGTGAATGCTGCCTACTTACTTACTTACTCATTGTCCTCATGATGGTTGGATCATAGTTTATTTTACTCATATTCTGCTCATAATCCCCATTACTTTGTTGGTGTAACTGCCGGCTCTGATTGACACGGTTCATCTTCAGCTGAACTGCTCCTCCGATGAGATGAGCCCCGGGTGGCAAACACGAAGCAATAGGTGTCAGCCGAAGAGAAGAAAAAGTAAATCTAGCTGCTGATTCGTAATCAGCTGTGCAAAATGATGTTTTTAGCTATTGAGAAACGTATTTACGGGCCGCTCGCGGCCAAAGGGAAGAGAAGATATGTGAAGTCATTCTTCCTAATGGGACTGTGTGTGTCAGGCAAAGTGTTTTGACGGACGTCACTTCAATATGTCGGTTTGTTTTCCTCGTGTCTTGTTTGACTCGTCACGAGTAGACAATCGTCCCAAACGTATCTGCTGCACAAAGGAAACCTTCCATTCGTCGATGGATGGATACACGCCTTTAACGAATGCCTAGCTCTGTGTTCCTGTCGCCCCTGAGAGGGGACGATGTGTTGACGGGCTTTGGTTTGCTGTAAAGAGTCGGCGTTTGTTGCATCGCCACCTGCCAGTCCGACTCTCAGTCTCCCCGTCCTCGTTTCTTTGTTTACATAAGTTTAATCTGCGGTGGTCTTTCCCCTCACACTGTCCCCCTGCTGTGTCCTCCGCTCTCCAGGGAGCAGCCGATCTACACCACCAGGGCCCATGTCTTCCAAATTGACCCAACGACCAAGAAGAACTGGGTCCCTGCCAGCAAGCAGGCCGTCACCGTCTCCTATTTTTACGACAGCACACGCAACAGCTACCGCATCATCAGCGTGGATGGATCCAAGGTATGTGTGTGTGTGTGTGTGTGTGTAACCCGATGAGAAAGACATAATGGGAAACACTTGACTGCTCTCAGGAGAGACAGTGGCGGCTGAGGAAAATCACTGAAAGACGAAAGGAATTTAGGAATTAAAAAAGGGTATAAATTAGACACCTGTAGCTCCCACTGATCGACAACTTAACTGTGCAGCATTTGATATTTGTGTTGCTCCGCTGTTCCTCCACGGTCATCTACAGCTGCCCATTCTCGCCCCAAAATGTGGACTTTTTAGACCATTGGAGAAAGTGAATTCAATCAATAGGATGTTTAATAATTTTCAAACACCTCTAATGGTCAAACTGCTGTTGTGTTCGACCACCGTGCGTTACATGAGACTCGTATGTGTCAAAAGAGAAATCAACGCCTTTGTATCGTTCCAATGTGGGCGGTTTATGCAAAGGATACATTTCACCCGCCACTCAAAGTATACCAGATGACAGGAACACGTTGTCTTTGGTTTAACTGGTGTAGCAACTAATGATTACTGAGTATTTTAAGCATGTACTTGTCGCTGTGTACCCCAAAAGTCGTTCAAATGCAGAAGAATTATTGGCAGAGCAGCAAAACTGTAAAAACAAAAATATCAAGCATCTGCTGTATGCTTTGCTTCGACTACTAATGATAATGAACATGCTGAGACTTACACCCCAAACCTAATATCAAGTTTAATATCTCAGATTTTGAACACAGCCACACGTATTCATGTCCGGGCTCAGCGTCTCTTTAAATGTGATTCAGCCGGCTGCCTTCCCTGAATCCTGGCCTCTTGGGATGGATGTGCATTATGAGGCGTTGTGTGACACAGAAATATGTCAATAGTTCAGCAGAGGAAAGTAAGATGTGGGTTGAACTAAAAGTCTGAGCACGATCGAGCACCGCTCCAACAGATATACAGCCAAGAGCTGCACACCTGTTCAGTGTGACATCAACAATCGGCCCACGGTGCTCGTCCTTTGAGGACTGCAGAGCTTTCAAACTCCTTTTTGTTCCAGACAAAGTCTCGCCGCACTGATTTTGGGCCCAATTAGACGTTTTTCGTTTGAATTTAGTTTCAGCCATGAGTGCCGCTTGGTTTCATAGCGTAGCGCTGTATGTAAACATTCAGCTCATTTCCTTATATTTGATTGATCTTCACAGGGATCACGGATCCTTGGATAAAACATTATTTGATTCTGCCTCTGTACCGTATTCACACCTTCTTCCCCCGCTGAAAGAGTAGATTATGTGTTTCCATGGCGATCAGATACCTCCCTGTGTGTGAGAAAACCGGAGGAGGGTTATGACAGCGGCATCCCTCTGCAGACGTTGTCGTGCAATCACCTTTCGCACAATCTCAAATCCGACAGATTACCTGAGGAGCCACTTCAAACCCGGCGGGCTGACAAATGTTTTAATCCCTTTCTGATCCCATGGTCGGCCTTTTTACCATGCGCCTCTCTGTTTGGGTGAGGGGCCGGTTGAGATTTAGGATTACCATCCCGACAGCTGAAGGGTGGGTCTCTCAACATGGATGTATGTGAAATGTAGAGTATTTGCATAGCCAGCATTTCCTGCTGCTGCATACGACATAACTTCTCAACGGGGACAAATGGACTCAATCGACACACGAGATATCAGAATAGGTTCCCGTGCAAATTATTATTACATATAAAATAATTATTTCTCTATTCCTGCATAGCATTGTTGAGTCAAAATATATTAGCTTCAAAATAGCTCTCTTCCTACAGCGAGCAACCAGAGGCAAGACTCTAATCTGTTATGTCATCAAGCAGCACTTATGCAGGTTCAGCACTCACAACACTGCTTGCATCTTCCATCTAACAAAAATACCCTCCCTTCTTTGTATGATTTCTAAAACCTTTGTTCCCTCTTTACAGGGATGTACATGTTTGGAAATCCTCAAGGCGTCCTCTCCCTGCTCTTCTATTCACGTCACCCGTCATGTTCTCTTGTCTCTTTACTCAATTCGGCATGTGTGAGTGTAACAAGGACGTCGTTGTCAAAGCTGATCAAGTATAAATCCGATTCAAAAGAAAAAGGTTAAATTCATAAAATCAAGAAAAAGGCAGAAAATAATTAACTGTGTGTGGTGTGTGTTGTTGACACACACTCTCCTGTAACCTTGAGCAACAGTGCCGTGCGTGTCATTCAATGTCTGCATGCAGCAGCTATACGTGAGCTATGAAGATTGGCATGTATTGAATCAAATGTTACGTCGGTACAAGGGAGATGTCGGCATAAGCAAAGTGAATTACCGAGTCATGTCCAATGCATGTTACGCGTGGTTTGTGGTTTGTGGTTTGTGCGCTGGCTGCGAGGGAGACGCGTCCGTCCAGAAGAAGAGTCCGTGCACGGCTGACTGTGACGGACTGTCGGCTTACATTCGTCTCTCCGTGATATTCCGAGTAGAGAAGCACATCAGCACTTTTGACTCTTCCTTATCCTCAATCGCACTTTCCATACAGCGACGCAGCGCTGTGACAACGCAGTGAAAGGTTCTTGCTGTACTTTATGAATAATTCCAAGTGTGATTACTTTCCGAGCTAACGTAATATTTTCTGTGCTTTTTTCTTCACGTTTTCTATCTAGCATCTGGGTCTCCGGCTAACTAACTCTTTTCTCTTTTATTTGAGTCTTCTGCCAAGAACAAGAATTTAAATTCCTCTTTGTGAAGAGGAGCTCCAGACAATTCTCCTGTGTTCATCATCACCTCGCTGCCCTGTAAAAACAGGCTGCACCGCAACTACACCATACAGGTTCTCCACCTGTGTGTCATACTGCTTTATTCCCAACGGCATTGTTTCCACTCGTGATGAAAGGAAGACGTCCACCTTGTATAAATCCACCTTCATTGAAATTGGAATGTGCCGGTGCACACCCGACTCCTTCTAAGGTGACCCTCATCCGCCCTCAGACGCCAAACGTGCGTCATTGCCACCGGGGAGCAGCGTGTTTTTGCAGTGCCTAATATATGGTGTTAGATTTCAAGTCCATAAAGCGCTTCGCAGACACATAATAATATTTAACATTTTCATCTACATCACACCTCGGCTTGACGAGCAATCACAATTATCCATTTTGCTTTGCGCTTTGATACGAGAACGCGGAGACCGTCGTCTGGACGTAGTTTGGCTGCGTTCCAGTTATGACACCGCTGCCTCACACGCTGCATCCCCTCCATCACTCTGCATCCCCTCCATCACTCTGCATCCCCTCCATCACTCTGCCCATTGGTTACTGTTATCTCAATATATCCCTCACAAACCTGCTGCAACACACTGACTAAAATTATTTTCAAATCAGTGTGTAAAACAGTGACATATCACATGTTATGAGCAGTCACACGTTAACCGTGACTCTTAGGATAACAACGGTCTTTAAGTTTCCACCATCTTTTCTTCCTGCAATGCCTGAAGTCATTTGCTGCCTGCCAAGTGATGAAAGCGCTTTCCCTCCCACAGACTCCCCTTCAGCGCTCCACCGCCTTTTCTGTTTGACTAACTTTGCAGATTCTCAGCACAGACTCGTAAGCAGCCCAGGAAGATGTCTCCCCTTAACCTCCTGGCTGCCTCAATGCTCCGAACATTTCCTCAGGCCGTCGGCCAGCCCCGCCTCGCTCTGCGCCTCGCTCTGCGCCTCGCTCTGCGCCTCCTGTGCCACTTGATCCGCAGCTCGGCTCCACAGCTGCCAGCGTCACTCGGCTCTACCTCCCTCTTTCTCACCCTCCCACTCGCTCACTCATTGTGCACTCATAGATGACAGCATTGAGTCGCAGGGCCCACAAAGATGTGGGCGATCGGATAGTCTTGTACATCAACTCGCAGATGATTAGTTGGGATTCCACATCATTTGTGTCCGCCTGTTTCTGTTGATGCCCGCGTTGATATTCGTGCTCCTTCCCACGCTTCTGTAGGTGTGCAGCCACGATCCTGCAGGATGGTTGAATTCGATGTCAAGTTCAATTCATGTGATGTAACATTTGAAGGGATATGTCTAGTTTGTTCACACAACCTCTGTGTATGAAAAGTGGATCCGATGCAGGGTTTCCTTTACCTTCAATGTGATTGACAGATCGCTACCGCAGCGTTTTCTTGCGTGGGAGTCGTCCGTTGTGTTGTCATCTTAAAACTCACTTCATAAATATTTATTGTAACCTGTTGGTTTTCTAAAATATCTTGTCCACAATTCACCTCTATTTGTCTCCACACATTAAACAAACGAGATGGCGACGTCCACAATATGCCAAACAAGTCACAAACGAGTGATTAATCTACGTAATTTGGTTCCTCTCTACATCAATCAAGATTCTTTTATACATGTAAAATTAAAACTTTTGATTTCAATTCATTTGCAGCTCATGCATCTCGTTGTCCTGTTACGCGCCACAAACTGAGGGCAAACTCATTGCTGCTTTACTTTTATTCATTTACACCAAAAGCTCATTTACAGAAACTCACTGACCTGGTCTCATCTGACCAATTTCAGTCTTTTTTTTAAATTCCCCGTTTCTTTTCTTGTTTCAAAAGTCAGTCACACGGCATGAAATCTAACAAGGGACATGTTAACTACCTCAGCTCAATGTTAACCAACCTCAAGCTGCACTTCTGAACATATACATTTATAATAGAATACATCTAAGGGGAATCCTCAGTTTTTCGAAAAAGGAACCAATATGTTTTTTCTTGTTTTAAAAGGGCTGTTTCTTTGAGAACCGTCTGCATACCTCATTGGTTCCTTGTTTTCTTTTCTCCATTCTGCAGCAACGGCCCAGTTTCTTCACTATGGTCATTAAAGTTTCATCTAATCTTAACACTTCTCTTTGAGCCAACGCGACCAGCTGGGTTAAATATTCACACTGTTCAGGCTTTACTCAGGTTCCCTTTCGGGAGAAATGAGCCAATCTCTGTTTCGCCTCTAAAACCGTGATGATTTTTAATCCGATTGCCTCCTCTGTGGCTTTTTGCTACTGTCCTTTAAAAACCCTCGTGGGAATAAAGCCTTAATCAGGGGCTGTGGCTGTAAACCTGTAGTATATGACACCGATAATGCTGAATTCTGTGTACGTGCTGTTATCTCGCTCCTCTGGATCCATTAGCACCGCTCTGCACGTATTAGAATTCCTAAGAGGCCGTTGACTGTCCACCAGGGTCCTCGCCCGCTTTTCAGTTGACTCAGTCTCTGTGTCCGGTAATGATGCGGTGCAAAGTGTGGAGAAAAGATGGAGATGCAGCCGGAGGGGGTCTAGAAAAGGACACAAGTCTGTCAGCAATTGATGTTCTTGAATCCTGTGATCAGAGCCATGTTGCTATGAAACGAGGGCTCCACTGTGATTAAACTGTCTTCTATTGTGTCTTAATTGTCGGGGGGATTTGCGTGGCCTGTGTTTTTAGGTTCTCTTCTGTCTCGGTAGGGTCCTTAGGTCTCTGTACATGGGCAGAAGTAAAAAAAACTGCTTGTGTTCACACTCTCCGTATATTAATAAGACTTTCAACGATGAAGTTGATGCAGTCGGGTTCAGGTTGAAATGGTCTTTGGGAATCTGTTGCTTTCTACCGTTGCTGCCTCGTGCATTGGTTCCAATTTTAGAAATGCAGCAGATGTTTTCCACCAGCTGATTTCCTGCATAGCTGTGATGACAGGTGAACGTCTACTGCAGCCAGTGCAGAGGCTGTAATTTGACTTCTCAGAGGTTGTGTCTGACCATCTTTCTTTTCTTAAAGAGTAAATCTTCAGATGCCATTAGGGTACAAATTACATATCAACATAAATAATGTTTCTCAACATTATCAAGTTCTTGGCAGCTGTAAAATCTACAACTCCGTTAACAATTGTTCTGTGGCATTTAGTTAATTATTATTTGTCCATTAAAACAAAACCTTTGACACTAATGTATTAAAAAGCCTCCCAATGAATATGGTTGGCAGCTTCGAAGTAACACATTTGACACTATTTGTTAATGTAAAATCTTGAGCATACATTTCGTTACATAAAATGAGTTTAACACGTATACATTTGGAGTCTGTCGGTGTTTGTGGATTGAAGATGCTTTAAATGAAGACGTAGTGAGACACTCGCGATACAGCGCCACGGCTGGACTAGATCCAAAGATTGCTTTATGTAAACAATAGCTCTGTGTTACAGAAAGGTTCTCAAATGTTCATGAATCAGACGGTATTCATGAAGCAGATCGCTCTAAGAAAAGAGATATATATAAATACGGCAATTTACGAGGGAAGCTGAGCGTTGGCATGGTGAAACCCTTTTACTCTCTATGAATAAAGCTACAATAGAGGATTGTCCTTTGCTAAATCAATAGCACGGTTCATCCTGTCAATGCAGATGCTCGGGCTCCTCCTTTAATGTCTCGAATGAGACACTGAATTTTCACCAGCATCATCACATGGACCTGAGAGCCATGCTCGGCTTCTCTATTATTTACCAGAAGCATCTCCACCGGCGCTGGGATGTTATTGACGGGTTATCTTGTCCTTACAGGTGATCATCAACAGTACCATCACGCCCAACATGACGTTCACCAAGACGTCGCAGAAGTTCGGCCAGTGGGCAGACAGCAGAGCCAACACCGTGTTCGGCCTGGGCTTTTCATCGGAGCAGCAACTGGCCAAGGTGAGAGGAGGCATCTCTCTGCATCACATGAAGCCACAGGGACAAAGCCCACAGACAACTGAGCGCAACAGTGCACAGTTATGTCCTATAGACACCTGCAGGGGATATGAAGCAACCAGATGTCCTGTCTTGAATCCTCACGAGCACTAGATAATTGGCTCCCTTCTCTCAAAATGTTTTTAGATGAGCCACAGTTTGACATTGAGCAGTTTTCATTATCACCACAGCTCTTTCGTGCCTCTCTCAAATTTACAGTTTTCTGAGAAGTTCCAGGAGGTAAAAGAGGCAGCCAAGCTGGCAAGGGACAAATCTCAAGACAAGGTGGACACGTTGAGTAATCACTCTGAGGTAAACGAAATCTCTCTGCTGTCTGTTCACGTACTGTCTTCTTCCCAGCCATCGTTGGGCTCTAAGGAGAGAAACTTGTTACACTGAGAAGAAAGTAAGTAATTAAAAAATGTCACTTTGGTTACTTTCCTAAAAAAACACCACCAGCTGTTGTGTGTTTCTGATGGTGTGTTTCAAAGAAGCTTCTGGCATGATCGAGTATTCAAATAGATCAGTTTAAATAGTGTCCAAAATAAACTGTGTTAACACAACAGCAGTCATTTATCCTGAGATACTAATCACCACAGCAATCAGGGAAGCCAGCGAGCGCCACAGAGCAACACACCTTTCTCAGTCGAGTGAACGGCGCTGCTTGCAGGTAGATCCGCTCCCTCACGGACTCCGCTCCGAGACACGGGGCTGCCGGGCCAGACGACGTGATGAATGCTGGCGTCAGTTTTCCTCCACCCCTCTTCTGTCATAGCTGACGTGTCCATGGTGTTTTACCACGTTTGAGGGCTTCTTTCGGTGTCAGAGAGCCGCTCCTGCAGCCGGGGCGTGATTTATGAGACGCGGCGACGCGGTGGAGCCCTTCAGAGCTCTTGAGAAAGCTGCAGGTGGACGGAATCAAAAGCCGCCCTTAACCATACCACTGTCCCTCACCAGGAGTCTGGACATGAAACGCAGTCGACCCCCCAGGCATCCAGCATTAATGGAACAGATGATGAGAAAATCTCTCACGTCAGTCCGGAGGCTGCTGTGCTGCAAACCGAAAACGAACGTCTCAAGAGTGCGGTAGAAGAGAGGTAAGGGTTCCTTTCATGGAGACCTCAGAACGACCTCACGAAGGTGAATGCATCTAAGTGTATTTCCACCACGTAATCTCACATTACAGCAGCACTCCCTTCAAGGGCCATCACATCATTTCAACTCCCAGCAGCTCCTGATCTCTTTCATGCCATTTGTCTCTGCCCCAAACTGTGCCCGAATGTTCCCCCTCTCCATTCTATTGCTACTGGGACGATATCATGGCCCCTAAGGGCTCAGAAATCCTCTGATCCAATCTAAAGAGCCAGCTTCTATATTCAACTTCCATTTGGTTATAAGCCTTAATAATCCAGATGTATAAACCACTAAATGCAGGAAATACCAGATGGGATTGGAATGACCCGAGGGCATCGGAGTCAACTAAAACTACAGCAGCTACACTTCGACTGGATTGATACTGGAATGGAACTAAAGAAACTGACATATGTGATCCAGATGGGGGGGGGGGAGGCTTTATGGTTAAATATAAGTAGATAAAGAAAAGCCAAATCAGCAGACTTTTCCTGATAATACTTCAATTTCAGCTGAGTACATTTCTATCGACAACTAACTAAAGTCAAGCAACAGTCAGGGAACATTTTCTTTGAACGTCTCAAGGCACATTGTGCGACCCACAGATTGGCCACCGTTTCTTTGTTTTCCCCTTTTTTCGTGCCTTTCTGTAAATGTGCGACAGCAGTGAAACAGCCGAGGTCGGCAGGAGGCTGCGGCGCGTCCGTCCACATTTGACGGAGAGCAGCGCACCTCAAACCGGCCATGCACAAGGAAGGGAACAGCCATGCATACTAAATATACGTCGGAGCCTCTTTGACCTTATAGATGGGACAGAAATACACTCTGTGGTGTGGAAATAAAAAGTACTGTATGTTAGAGCAAGTCCGCAGCTCATTAGATCTTTGAGAGTTTCACCACTTATCTCTTGACAGCAGCATATACGTCACATGTAATTACATAACAACGACTGGAAGGATATTCTAGCATTATGTGTCACGCCGGTGGGCACAAGCCCCAGGAACCTCCGCTCTGACCTGTCTGCATTTTTCTTCCATTAATAACTCTCCTCCTGGATTTCTGTCTCCTGTCTGACAGCAACACCAACGCCAAGAAGTGGGAAACAGAGCTGCAGACGTTAAGAGAAAATAATGCCAGGCTGGTAGACGCACTGCAGGAGTCCTCGGCTAATGTCGAGAGCTGGAAGAAACAACTGGGCGCCTGCAAAGACGAGAGCGACACGCTCAGGGAAAAGGTAATGCAGAGAGGGAAGTTGAATAACGCCACCACAAAAAGACAGTTTGACAGTTGGCAATGCAGTTCTACAGCGTTTCTGACTCGGGACGAGTAGATTAAGGATTTTGAGTGACCGATTGATCTAACTAGGACTGATAGTTGAACAAGAATTTGATAAATCCAGTTTCTTTAATCTGAGTGAGTATTACACTCAAGTATTACAGATTTAATTAGTTTTCTTACAGAAAAAAACTTTGGTTGAACTGATAGGAGCCGTTGCTGCAGCTGGGCTGGTTTTGCAATTATTCATTTTGTAACGTGCTGCAAGTTCTCTAATTCAAGTATCATCTTTGTCTAATTGCAACTCTCAGTTTTGTAGTACGTTTAGGAATCTTAAATACAAATGAATACATATTATATGCAAACAAAATGGCAATACAATTTAAAGACACGTCTTCCACATTGACTACTTCTCCCAACAACAACAGGACATTTTTCCCCAGTAACTTCTCCTTTTTGGATTCTTTTTGCAGATCGCCGTGCTAGAAGCTCAGTGTAACGAAGCCGATCGGGAGAAGCAGCAGAACTGCCAGCTGTCTGTACGGGTGCAGGAGCTGGAGACCGAGCTGCAGGAAAAAGAGCAGGTAAGACGTCTGGGGCTCAATTGATAAGGTGGCTGGGGAACGTGGATAGCAGTGTTTTCTCTAACAGAAGTGGAAGATTAAGCATCTCTCTGTCATCATCACAATGAAAGTCCTAGTTTTCATGTCTCCTTACAGACTTTTCATTCCTGACTCCAGCATTTCAGTGTGTGTCTTCCGTGTACACAGCTCTGTTCTTACTCACCAGACTACGTCCGGAGGTTATTACACCTCCTCTACACTCTGAACTCTGCGAAAATAGAACGACCCGGGGGGGGGGGGTTTGACTTTGTCTGGAGTCAAAGCAGCAGGGAGTTTTGGCAGGAATGCCATTAGTCCCACGTGTGCTGCCTCGGTCAACTATAATCCAAACTAGCTGACTGTCAGCTGGGCCGGGCCTAATGTTATTTCTAATGAGGATGAGCCCCGCACGGACACACCGCCGTTTGACCTTTGCCTGCTGCTGGTTAAATGCTGCTTCTGTCTGCAGAACAATGAGGAGGACCTAATTGTGAGAGTCTGGCTGTCTTTTTTCTATAGTGACGCTGTCTCCCCATCAACGTCGTGAAAAGGAGACACCATCAGCTCCGTGTGTAGCAGGGGGACAAAGCCTATGAGCCAAATTGAGGCGTTGATTGAGGCGTTTAGATGTTTCTGTTTCAACAGCGAAATATATTGCTATATATGCTGTTTGCAGTGGTGTGGAACTATTGATTGCATATCTGGTTATTTTCAATATCTTCTTCAATCCAGAAAAAGTGACAGAGACCCGCAGGTTGTTAACTGGACACTGCGGCGGATGAAGCTTTACACTTTCACCAAAATTGATTTGATGTGTGTATCATTGACATTTCTAGGGCAAAAAACAGTTTGTCCCAATTTCCGGAAACCTGAGGCAACATTTTCATTTTCAATTCATCTGCTGAATATTTTTGTCAGTACATGTTATGTATGCAAAACACAAGGAAACAGAAATCAAATATGTTAGGTTTTATTCTTGATTCCACAAATATGTTATCTCAAAAATGAGTTTTGCTTGGTCCCCCCAAGCAAAAAGGACTTAAAGGGATTATCGATATTGGTTGCAGACTCATTGTTTTTTTTTCTGTTAATTGTCTATTTGACTAATCCTGTAGTTAGAGTTCGATGACGCTCAAGCTCTGCTGTGTTACGAGCTTTTTAAATGCTGGGAGGTAAACAGCGTGTCTGGGATCTTCTGGCTTAGCACCAGGCAGCCTGAGTATTAATAGAACATATACATCTTTCCTCGGGGGCTGTTTACCTTACACAACCGCAGGCAGGAAGTAGTTCAAAGAACAGGAGCCGACTTTGAAAGTTTAAGAGCAAGGAGTCCTTGAGGGGCTTCGGTGTTTCCACAGTCTGTGTATCAGCCACGTTGCTCTCAACAGTCCACACGGGCTCCTCTGCCGAGTGACTCATCAGCTCCTCCAATTAAGAAGGAGCCTATGAATTATTGAGCATCCACTGTGGCGATGACCCGAGCACTGGCCAGTTTTAAACTAGCAGAACAAAGCTGCTTGTGTGTGTGTGTGTGTGTGTGTGGGGGAGGAAACTTTCAGGGCAAAATAGATGTTTGTTTGAGAAGAAAACAGATATTTGCATAAGACATTGTCTGTTTTTCTTACTTGCGTTGTTCCTTACCTGCTTTGTGCTACTTCCATCCTTGTTTGTGTCAAAGAAGTGTTTCTTGTGCAGCTGCTGCAGAACATACGAGAGTTAGTTTGACATGAAAACTCGGCGTGTGGGTTAAATGCAAAGCTATTACCTTTCATTCTTGCTGAGAGTTGGTCAAACACATCACTACAGTACACGTGAAGCTGGAGGCATTCGGCCTCGCTAAGCGCGGCGAATGGAAACCCAACAGGCTGCCTTCAACAATCTGAACAAACTCTGCGAGAGAACAATAGTCTCCTAAAATATTGCATCATTTCTTGAACATTTGAAAATTTGATTAAATCAGCCGGATGCTGATGTTTATCTTTTGGCTTTTAAAATTTTTTTTATTAACATGTTTCTGTATCTGTTTTCCGCAGGAGTTGGAGAACCTGAGGACGCAGGCTGAGATAATCCCTCAACTCATGGCGGAGTGCGAGAGCATCACTGCAAAACTGCAGGTTTGTCCAAAAGTTGTGATTAACAGCAGGGTATAAAAGCCGGAGCCTGCAGCGCATGCGAATACATGAAGTCTGTCACAGTGAGGCAACGCGCCGGCTGTGAGGCGTGAGCAGCGCCTTCACACGGAGGAAGGGAAGGAGCGCTCCTAGTCACCGTTCTGCCCGAGGGCTGGTGACACAACATTCCCTTCACGTGTGCACCAACGCGCACTGTGGTTAATGCATCTATTGACAATGGTCCACCCCCAGCACTCCCCCAGTGGATTAAAGCCTCTTTCTGTGAGATACTACATCTCTGTCATGGCTAATTAGTTTCAGATGGAATCAGTTTTGCTGACTACTACAAGAGCAAAGGTAGTAGGGGAGCGTTTAATGTCTAAGTCTGTAACTCGGGTGTGGGTGTGTGGGGGTTGCTGGGTGTGAGAGTCGTCTGTTGCCATAAACAACAACTCACGCCCCTCCCGTCTTCCCTGCAACAAAGAGCACCTGTTCGGCCAGTCTGATTTTCTCATTGAGTAATATCAAACTTTGTGTGCCAGGCTCGCTGAATGACTTTACGCCACATTAGGGCCAAGTCTGACATGAGCGGCAGCGGTGGCGCCGCTCATCTCCCCCTTTTCTGACTGACTCGGAGCAGGATTTAATCACCCGAGCTGTCGCGCATGTGTTACGGTTCAAGCCGGGGCAGGAAGGAGAATAAAACCAACAGCGGCATGCCTGAAGTTCTCGTGCTTCAAAAAGCTCCACCGCCCGGCTTGTTTCTGCAACAGCCAGCTGGATGAATGGCAGTGACAACAAAGCTGGCTGAAGCAAAGAGTTTATTTAGCCAACTGAGCTGAAGCATAGACAACGGGAATGCCCCACATGGATAATCATCCACCAGGCCCAAAATGAAACCGCAGCCACAGTTCGTTCAGATAAAAGTTACCGGGTAAAGGGAAACCATGGCTCATCTCTATTTAAAGAGGACGCCCCACGTGGAGGTCAGGTTTCTGGAGTCCAGCAGAGGAGACAGTCGAACTTAGCACTCCTATTTTAAACCGCTCCTTTCGATAGTATCTTTAGCATCCGCGTGTCGATGGTGTCGTCTGCTAGTCTGAAACACTCGCTTGATCTCCATGGCGAGGAGGTGGAAGCGCTGAGTTGAACTATTTCAATCTCACTTTTGATGGTAGCTTTGGTTTGGCTGCACCTACATAGCATCTGGCATCCCTCAGAAGAACTGGATCTTCCGTGTGTCCACCAGCTGCTGTAATGTAACGCTTTTTGTTTTGTTCCCCTGATGTCCTCCACAGACCGCTGAGAGGAGGAACAAGGAGCTGGAGGGGAGAGTTGACGGTCTTCAGCTGGACATAGAAGACAGTCAACAAAAGCAGGGCAACATGAAGGGCGAGCTGAAGAAGTTCATGGACATGCTGGATGGAAAGATAGACGAGCTGCACGAGTTCAGGCAGGGGCTCTCCAAGCTCGGTGTTGATAACTAAGTGAAGTGGCACCGAGCTGAGGGGGTCAGAGGTCAGGTACGAAGGATTCACTACAGTGCGTCCTCAGAAACTATGTGGCACCCACCAAGGTGGTGTCCACTCAGACACTATCTGCTTCTAATAAACACCACCATGCGAGAGAGGGAGTGGGAGAGAGACTGGCAGGAGGAAGGCCGGCATGCTCCACCAAACGGCTCCATTTTGTGTCCTGCTATTCTAAACTAAATCAACAACATGAGCTTACTTATCTGTTTCTGTTTGGGTGGTGGGGGGTGTTCTTAGATTCTGGTCATCTGTGTGTGTTTATTATTTCTTTTAAGGGTGCAGCGCCTCTTCACCGGCAGCTCAGAGCAGAAGAGGGGACTTGAAAGGGCTAAAATGAGTAAAACAAAGACGATATTGATCAGCATCACTCTAATAATAATCAGTGGTAATCCTTGTGCCCCCCCCCTCCAAGAATGACAGATAATTTGTACCGAGCGTCCTCGCCGTGGCCTCTCGTCTATCTCAGGTGTGTCAGAAGACGGTTCTTCACTGATTAGCCCGTATGCACATACACGTGACACAAAGTGCCTCCAGGCGAGTCTAAACCCACCCGGCGAGGAGAACTGGCCAAGGGGTGACCATCAACAAAGTAATAACGCCCACTTCTAAAACGAGAGAAGAAGAAGAAGAAGAAGAAAAGCGCCAGTAGGCGAGCCCATCCCCAGGATGTTAATGGAAGTCAACGGGGCGAGAAGCTCAACGGACAAAAGAGGTGTTTGCACAAAAATCGAGTCTGAGGAAAGACCGCAGCAGGAAGCAATCAACTCTCTTGTGGGGGGGCTCCAGTGAAAACTCCTTTTTGACTATATTTTGCATGAAGGAGGAACGCGCTCTTGTTTTAGGAAACGTCCCAAAATGAATAATCGGTATCCCGTTCTCCTGTGACGTGTAGTGTCGTGCTCTGAGGACATGGTGTGTGCATTAGTCTTTCTGTCCATGTGCTGAACAAAGGCGTCTCCCGGGCTGTTGCTGTGCTTCTTACACACTAGTTTTTGTTATGGTGGCGGGGGGGGGGGTGCTGCTCGGTGCTGCTGGGTGCTGCTGGGTGGGTGAATAATGTGAAAAAGTACTTCACTGATGATATTTAGTTTGGCACCGCCGGACTCTTCTGTTTTACATATATATTTATTTTGGAGCCTGTCTGCAACTAGTGTGAAAACCTTCACCTGAAGTCCTGAGATGTACGATAATATATCAAATAAACCAAACTGTCAGGATTCACAGGTTTTATAGTTATTGAGGGTTTGTTGACCGTAGTTTCTAAGCTGCTTTTGGGAAAGTCTATTTTGAATCATGGCACATTTGAGATCAAAGGCATATGTGGTCGTGGCATATTTACTGGGTGATACTATGATGTTATAAGTCTCTATATTTTTTCAGCACTGTTTTGATCTACAAAGGGACATTTTGCTCCTCTGTCTGTTGAACCCCACCCCAAAGTATGACCCTTTCTTTTGAGGCCGTTGCCTCTTGTTCACTTTTGTGACTCCTGTTCAATATTGTACAATAGAAATGACAATTGTTAAAATTTAGTTTGATTACAATGCTGAGCCTGGTGTCGTCTTTTGAAGTTAGTGGAGCACTTTATTTGTCGAGAGCTCCGCAGAGAGGAGAGGTTTCCCTAATCCCCAATTACTCGCAAATCACCATTGTTAGCTCTGTGTAGGAAACCGAAATTCTGTCAAAGCCCACTAATATGCAGCAATTAAAGTCTTGAGGCGTTCGTTTCCTGGATGAGGATCCCAGAGAAGGAGGTGGGCTGAACCTACGGTGCCAGAGCTGCATCCCGGCACAGAAGCTTTGTCTCCACTGTTGATTTACACAGCACTAAATATAGATGTAAGCCGAACAGACATAACCAAGCAAAAGAAGTGGGATTTATCCAGTCAGTGGCACGTGCCGGATCAGAACAAATGAAGCGACACGCAGACATGAGCCTGTTTGAGAGATGGAAAATACAGCGTCACTGCAGCGCTGAGGACAGAGCTGCAGGGCTGGATCAGGGGACACGTTTCCGTGGCAACTTAATCCCTCTGGTTTTCTGTTGTGAACAACAGTTTGAATGATTGACAACGAAAAGTATAGATAGCAAGCAACTTTCCAACAATGAATCCCTTTGTTACACAAACAGTCCTCACTCTTGTTGATGTTGATCTTTCTAAAGGCACCGATTCGTATTCGTTTCCACTTGGAGATCAGCTGGACGCCACAGGTGCGTCGGGGGGGGGGATTTATTAAAATGCAGACTAAGCCCTCGTTTAGGGCTTAAATAATTGATGAAATGAAGTCAGCGGATGGAATTATTTTCACTAATAAACTAATCTGGCCGTCTATGTAAAAGTCTAAATCTAAAAAGAAAACATCCCCCTTGGACATATTGAAATTGCTTTTGTCTAAATCAACAATACAAATAGATCAATTATGGAAAAGAGAAAAGCTGCCGATATTCAGTGTTAGAATGTTTGCCATTTTTGCTTTGGCTGATTATTTCAGAACATATTCCGGTTCCAGCTTCCTCATTCTGGGGAGCTTCTCACATTGGAAGCTAAATCCCTGTACGGTGGATCCGTTTCTTTTGTTGATGGATGAATCAATTATTTTGATGATCAAATAAATCATGAAGATACTTTTCAAACGAAAATACCAAACTGTTTTCTGTTTTACTTGTAGGCAAACTAACATTTTCCAGATATCCAGATTTTCTTTTCATTGACTGAATCGCGAATTCATTTAATGAGAAATAAGCGAAAGCTGAAAAACAAAACAGAGACGGACAGTGGGGAAGCAGCAACAGCCGCATCTCTGCTCTTCATGCTGCGTCAAACTCTCTCAGCCGGGCTCATTGTGTGACCAGTGACGAGTGGGCGAGTTGGTGAAACATCATTAAGAGACTATGCTGCTCTTTGCATGCGTCCGAGAGAGAGAGAGAGAGAGAGAATGTACTGCGGGCCACTACAACTGAGACTTCCTGTTGCCATAGTAACAGGCTGCGGAATTTCATGTTGATGCTCCGCCGTCTGGTTTCTCTACATGCCTGACGTGTGTGTGACTTCCCCGAGGGGCGTGACTGGTGTTCTCCCCAGATCACCTGGATGATAAATCACACACACACACACACACACACACACACACACACACACACACACACACAAATAAATATGCTCACAAGTACTTGTGCGGGACGCTCCCCGTGACGATGCTTCGGGGGAGCGTGCATAACGAAACTCTGGCAGCAGCTTCCGCCGAGCTGAATGAACACAATCACAACCGGGCCGCGATGGACGTCACGTCGTGTTCCATTCATCGCCATAGTCGCCGTCATCAGGTGGCCGACGGAATGTGGCCCCGCCCCCGTCCTCCCACCGGAGTTCCACCGGCCCGAACCGGTGGAACACAACGAGCAAACCACAGGAAAACATCATCTTCCAACAGATGAATCACCAACAAACTGTTCATGAGCCAACGTGTCTTCATTTATTATTAAAACACAGCAGTTGAAGTGTGTTTCAGCCGCAGCGAACCGGATCAAGTTTCATATCTCAATACATCATAGCTTTGTCTCCTTGGTTAAGTGCTCTGTGTCGTATAAGTGTTATCAGGGAAAAAGAAACTTCACTTCATTTGTCACGGCATCACACAGGAAAACAAACAAACAACGGATGACGCATAAAATACGCCCCGAAAGAGCCTCACACATTCCCGTCATTCCAACACGAGGAGGAAAAACGGGACCAGGAGGACAGTGCATGAAACCTGTAACGCAAACAGTGACGTGGACTTTAAACGTGTTGCCTGCAAATCATTCACACCGCTGCACTTCAGGACACAACTCTTCTCTTTGTTTAGTAACAAAATGCAAAAAACTACAAAACTCAAAACTACAAAACGCGGTTGTGTAGCGCGATCGTCTCTCAGGCTGTGTGACTCTCACGAAAGGCCTTCAAATGGCGACTTTAAAGAAGTGGCATCTGTTCTACAGCAATGCTGCTTCTTCTCGATGAAGCGCTGGAGCGCCTCATGCGCACAGGTGGGGATTTTCGAGAAAAAAAAAACAGCCACGGATTTGGATGCGTTACAACTTCTCGGTGCTATTTTGAAGACTGCAATGTTTACGTGAGAAGAGGCGTAATCCCATCGCAGCAACCTAAGCTGACGCTCAGAAGCGTAAAAGATCATTCATTGCTGTGTGTATGTGGGGACAGGGAGGGGGAGGAGGGGTCCTCAGCTGTCCCAGTCTGTACTCTGCGTCTCGTCGTCTCCTCTGTCGTCTTCGTCGTCAGAATCCGCCGCCACCTTCTTCATCCTCATCATGGCGGCTTTGATGCTGCGCTCCAGCTCGTTGTCGCCGCTGCCGTGGAGTTCTGCCCGAGCGGGAACCATCTAGAACACGAGCAGAGTCCCGTCACTCCCGCTCAACATTGCACAGTGCTCTTAGATGTGTCTTTGATCTCTTCTCATGCGGTTATTTTAGACTTAATCGGAAAGCACAGGTGTAACTGATGAGAACATTCGTGGTGGCTCGGTTCCATGTAGGGCTGCACGCACAGCACGAGGAACACAAGCAGCTAAATGGATCACAGCCACAGTGTGATGAACACACAAAACAATTCTCCACTGAAACTTACTTGTTGGCTGAGAGACACACACACACACACACACACACACACACACACACACACACACACACACACTATCTGCTGCTCGTCAGGCAAGTCAATCGAGCTTTAGGCTGCTGCACGTTCTCGTGGATCATCTCACCTTCTTCAAGGCGACTCCCTGTCGGATAGCCGTCATCAGACTGGTCCTCGTGTCCCCGGCGGGGGGCGTGGCCCCGGGAGCGGGCGCCTTCCGAAGCTGAATCTGTCCTCGCTGCAATGAGGCCAACACCTTGTCCATCGTTCCTACGGCGATAACACAACGAAGGCAAAGGACAGAAGCTGCGTTAGTAAGAACAATGATGGAGCATCTTAAACATTTTCCCCACGCAAAGCAGATTCCACCTCCTTTTTTTTTTTTTACAACAGCTTCCCCGCGAATGACCTTCCTCTTACAAAAGCTCAGACAACATGGGTTGGACGTTGCAGTCTCCCTGCAGCGGAGAGCGAGCATCAGCAGGAACACAACTGAGGTAAAATGCCTCCTCCGGCCTCATGGGGCAAGATGGGAATTCAGGACAGAACACCATGTACGGACACACACACACACACACACGCACTAACATCACACACGCTCCTTCCCTGCAGTCTGACAGATCCACACATTTTTTCTAAATCCACCAGAAGGACAACAACATTCTTGTGTCTGTTTATCACGGGCAGATGAATGCGTTTCACCTATATTCTGCGTCAGCGTGTTCTTGGCTGGAAAAGGAGGGTCCTCTTTTTCTCTGAGAGGCATCGGTGAGTCTTTGGGGACAGGTGGGGGAGGCATGGCGGGAGGCATGGCGGGAGGCAGTGGTGGTGGAGGCGGCGGGGGAGGTGGTGGAGGGGGAGGCGGAGGTGCAGTAGGGCAGGTTGTTGTTGGAGGTGGCGTTGCAGAGAAGATGTGGACCGGGATGTCCTCAGGCTGCTGCTTTCTGGGCGTTTTGTTGCGTCTGGGTGCGGGACGGACGGAGGGCGGCGGCCCTTCAGGGGGGCCGAGGCTGATGATGGACAGCGGCTGGGAGGGACACGGCACTTCTGCAGGAGACATCTGCGAGTGAGTCTTCAGGATGAACTGGCCCGGTCGCTTCTTGAAATAGAGAAGAGGCAGAAAGTCGCTTTAAGGAATCTGACATCGTCTCGTCCAACGTTCTGAGTTAAAACGACGGGGACACATGAGGACACTCGCCCACTCTTTTGTGTCTTCTTTCGCTCCACATAAGTCTCACACTGTATTGAGTTTAACCAGAAGCGACAGAGAGAATGTGCACAAAATCCCAACCTCCTCCAGTTGGATTAATAATTCAAACATTATAAGTTGAAAGTTTTATGCAAAGGTGACGCTACATGAAAGCTTAAGGGAAAACCAGAGTCATCCCGGGGGGACCGGGACAGTCCGTACAGAATGTCTCCAAAGAGTTCGGATGAGATATTTCAAACCAAACCACAAAAGCCCCTGTTCCTAAACAAACAAACATTTTACCACCGTGTCGCTTTCCTCTCTGGTAAAACCCTCGTCCTGGTGAAAAGAAAGGCGGGAAAAGGGAGAAGAGACAGCAGGATGTGACAAGCAACACATGTCCTCATCAAAGCAGCGACATCACGGCTTTGTGGCACGCGCAGACGCGACCTTTCCCCCCTGAGTCCAGTAATTAACGAGTGAATTTTGATTTGAAAGCTGCTGAATTAAGCGTGCATAAAGCTGGGGGGTGGGGGGGAGAACGGGGGGTCTCTGGGGTCTTATTAGCAGAAAAAGCTGCAGTGGGAAGGTCGCGAGGAGCACAGCCAGCGAGCCTGACCTCTCTAAAGGAGCGTAATCTGCTCAGCGTCTTCTCCCGCTCCTCGTCCACCCACTGTTTCCTCCTCTGCTCCTCCTCCTTCCTCTTCTCCCGTTTCTGCAGACGACAGGGGGGGGAGACAGCCGAGGGCGTTAACAGTCGCAGAACTGGTTTCATTCGCGGCTCCTGCCCACCTTCGGAGTTGTCTCGTCGCCGTGGAGACCTACCAGGTGGACGTGATGATGCTGGTTGAAGAGGATGGAGCTCTGCTTGGCGGGAAGCTGCTTCTGCTCATTGGCCTCGATGCACTGATCCTAAACCCACAGATGTGACTTTATCAATACCTTAAAAACGTGTACAAAACCATTATGTGGCGGAGAGAGGCTCACCTTTTTGTTGCGGAGATAAGCGCGCCGGGCACAGATTCTGCCTCTCTTGGTCTCCAAAGCCTGCAGGCTTCTTTTGAGATGACTGACAGCCGGAGGGTCGGCTTGCTGAACACCGGTGTGGACCAAGCTCTGCAGCTCCTCCGCGTCCTCGCACACGTCGTAGTACACCACCTCGTCCTTCAACTCTGCCGCACAAAGCCACTCCGATCACTCAAAGCTCCCCAGAAGCTCTCGTGTCAGCTCAAACGAGTGCCCGTCTGACATCGCCACTTTCCATTCGCTATCCAACAGGGAGGACATGAAGCTTCGGGTGTTATTCTGGTATTGAATTCGGCGGGACGTCAACAAGGCTTTGGTGCTAGACTTGATTATGCAACCACATGTCAGCAGGAAGCCAGGTTTCCTTTTTGAGATTTCAAGTCGTTTTTCAAAGGTTTTGCATGACAGAGGAATTTCAGAGCAAGTACCGATGCAGCAGCATGATATTAACTGAATACCATTAAGTATTAAAGGAGAGACTTCATTATTGAACAGCTGTATTCAAATTGGAAACATCTCTTTCTTTTGTGAATATGGTTACATGAATACAATAGAGCAGGTGACCTGCATATTGACCTGTGTCGGTTGTGTGATAAAGTAATGAGATCTCGAAGAACATCATTTATATATTCCAACAAGGGCATTGGAAATAAACCTCGTCCAGGGGATCTAAGCGACAGTATAAACTTTGAACTATATTGAAAAGCTTGACACACTTCGCATTCGCCTTTGACGTGACACATCTCATATTATTTTCCCTCCTCCTGCTTTCTTTACCGAGCAGTTAAGAGGAAACCTTCCCCGCGCTTTGGTTGTGGAAATGAACCTTGAAAGAGGCAAAGCGACAGACACACAGCATGTACAGTACATACACACCACACCTCCCTGGTCCCAGGAGGCGCAATTAGGGGAATATTTACATGCACCAAATATTCCCCCAAAGTAAAGCCTGTGCACAAGTGACCAGAAAAACAGAAACCCCTGAATATCATAATGTAGCCGTATACATTGGTTGTGTGATGAGCACGTGAAACATGGTGGAACATGTGATATTTATCCCTAGCCGACACTGTTTCGGGGAGGTGTTGGTTCAACACTGTGTGATCGCAGGGCTTGTTTATGGCAAAGGTCAAAAGCTGCTGTGTTTACAATAACACACGTTCCCCCCCAGTGTTCAGGCACAGAAAGCACGTTTGTGATGGGATTCTGTGAACCGTCTCACAGTGTGAGGCGACCGTGAGCCTGTTTCCTATTTAACGGCGGGGTTTTGTATTTATAGCTTCTGGTGTTACACTTTCCTCCAAAGGAGGTGGTGTCACTCAGTGATTTGTGCATCTCCAAGTCGATGTCGCTACAGTGTTCTAAAGTGAACGGCGAGGACACCCCTTTCTCGGCGATCCCGTTTCCTGTGGAGCGGAAGCAGCGCACAGTTCTGCGCTCGGCGCCGTGTGTCTTGTACCTTTGATCTGCCGTCGCACCGTGTCGATCTGAGCCACCAGCAGCTGCTCCTCATTCCTCAGGACCTCGAACTTGGTGTCGTACAGCTCTAGTTGTGCTTCGTAGAATTTCAGCTCCAGCTCGTCCACCGTCTCCTGCTGCGGGCCGTCCTCACGCGCAGACCTGCAACCAGTTCCCTGGCTCCTGACTGCGGCAGAGAGGCCGCCCAGCTGCACCACAACAGACACATTTGAAAAGGATCACACTTTGCGTATTGCAGCCTAATGAGGGCGGGACTGTGCAGACTCATGGCTGACCTTCTGGTGAATACATGCCATACATTTGAATTGAATCAGCTGCTGCTTTCCATTCTTTCCTTCTCTTCCCTTGGGGTCGCGTGTGGGTCCGTGAGTGACCCTTTGAGTGCACCTTTGTGTCTGTCCACAGGTGAAATTTTTTTTGGAGTATTTGATACTCAGAGATTTGTTTGTTGCATTATCCCCCAATAATGCAAAAAACAAACCGAAGAGGGAAAAAGTGTTTACCGCGCCTCGCCGTAATTGTAGCAACCTCCTATCTCATACTGATGGACTTTGCCTTCTCTCAGATTATGGAGAAGAAACACATTATGCAAAGGACACCAACATCTACAGAACTATATCTCCAGGGGACTATAATCCCACACACGGGTTTAATGCGTTGAACAAATAAACACCTGGATGTGCCAGAACTTTCTTGACGGTCATCTGTCTGTATATGTAATCTAGGTGGCGTTGTGGATTTGGACTTTCTGAACAGCCATGTAGACCATTACAAAATCAGCCTACTATCACATAAGGAATATATCAAGGGTTACAGGATTTATGTCTCAACACTTTGGACTTTTTGGAAAAAACTTGTCCATGCATTCATCGTCAGTAGACTGGACTGCTGTAAAGGTGCGATCACATGTCGGTAAAACGAACGCTGCAGGTCGAGTCCTCACTAAGACCAGGAAAGTGGGTCACATCACTCCACTTCTGAGGTCTTTGGCTTCCTGTCCAACAAAGGATTGACTTTAAAATCCTGCCGTTTATAAAGCCCTGAATGGTTTAGGGCCAGAATACATGTCTGACCTTCTGCCGCCCCACGAACCCGTCCCGACCTCTCGGGTCGTCTGAGACATTCACAGAATCAGGACCAAAAATGGAGAAGCAGCCCGAGTTATTCTGCTGCACATATCCGGAACAAACGCCCAGACAGCTGCAGGTCTGCTGAGACTCTCAGCTGCTTCAAATTAAGACAGAAGACTTTTCTGTTTGCTGCTTCAATGCAACCAGATTCAAAGGCCTGTACTTCTGAAATGTACTACTGTCTATTTGATAAACTGCACTGCAACTTGTATTCTAAATGTGGGCTAAGCGTGGGGCTGAAGGCCTCTTTAACCCCCGACCAACTCCCGTCCAGCAGACCCCCGTTCTGACTGCTCCCGAGAGATCCGGCAGTTCAAAATAAGCGCTAATGTTTTGGTTTTAAAGCCGCGTTGAATGATCAAGGCTAAAAGTCAGGCAGCTGTCAAACTGAAACATGTTTAGTGGAAGCGATTAGTTCAGCGATTCTTATTTTCTGAGACGGATTTCTTGACACGATTGCTTGTGAGAGAAGAGTTCTCCAAACAATCTCTGTTTCCAATTAGCAGGTGAAGAGCAACGGATCAGTGCTGGATAACCTCTCCAGCCAGTGTTAATCTCTGCATGTTGGCTTTCACACTCTGATGAAATGTGCTGAAACTAACAGTCACCCGCAAGGTAGGACAGTAATGTTAAGTATGCCTGAAATGAAGTGAATGACCTTACTCATTCAAAGCAGACACGTCTCCTCAAAATCTCTCATGAAAATAGATCAAATGTGTATAAAATGCACACAAAGTGTGAATAGATTATATATACATATAGTGGTCTGGTTTGGATTTCACAGAGGTAGATGCCCTGTGCGTTTAGTCACGTGAATAATGCAGCCACATGGAGGTCAAAGTGCTGAGGTTCTCTCCCTTGTTTTACAACGCTACAAATGTTATTTGCTGCGGTTTACCCCAAATACCCCTCTGTCCCCACCCTCGTACTCAGAGGAATGCATCTGCAGCAGCTGACACGTTCAGAATATCTACGTATATAGACACGGACCCACTGACCCACGCAGCTTTTTTTAGGGCGTATCTCTGTTTTCACAGGCTTCATAAACAGATCAAAGGACCACAGCAGCCAGATATTAACGTCAGACTGGAATATAAGTGAAGGATCCACTGTGTCACGTCCCATCTGACTTAACACCATTACAAAAGCAGAGATAACGACTTATTAAACTAAACTAAAGCTGACTAAATACAGAACCACTAGAAAGGTTGGGGGGGGGGTAATAGAAACAAATAAAGCACACACCTTTTGTCTGATGCCTGCTTTCTTGCGGTTGAGGCACATCTCTGCAGCCCTCATGTGCTGCAGCGTCTCTTTGGCCAACAGGAAGCGCAGTTTCTCCAGTCTGGGAGCTGCAGACGCCCAGGCAGCAGCTCCGAAACGACCAGCATCCTCCTCCATCTGCTTCAACATGCCTGAACACACACACACACAAGGGCATTTCATCTATGTATGTGATTAAACACATGTATAAAACTAAACAAAATAGCCATGGATACTAATCTATTCAAGTCAGCCCAAAAAAAATGTACAATGTCTTTCATGGGCTTCTGCATAACATATATCATAAGTATGTTGTTAGTCTGCAGTTGAAAAACAGCGTGCGAGTCTACTGCATTTCCTGGAATGACAAATAAAACTATTTCAATAATTCATCAATGCACAAATAAGAGAAATAAACACAGTAACATCTACCAGCCAGAGCTTTCGATGTCTGTGCAAAGTAAGTGACGGTGATGTCCTGAATTGAGGCGACTGCATCGGCTGCTTTCATTCTCCACTCGTCTGCCTCCTTCTCCAGAGCTGCAATCCTCTTAGGACCCAAGTCCTCGAACTCCAAAGACTTCTGCAGAGACACAACGCAAGAAGAAAAACGGGGCCACTTAAACCCACAAATATTATACATTCAGCTTTTAGTCAAAGTTGTTAAGTGAGAAAATAAAACTGGACATTTTGCTTGAATGAGATGTAAAGATATTGAATTGTGGAAATCCCTCGATTGCCACGTGTGTAACAGTGTGATATTCCACAAGCCAATCCTTCCACTAACCAACCAGACTGTTAGAGATGCACAGGGGTACTTGGTCATAACGAGAATGTAGCATATGATACAGTGGGATGTTCTTTGGATACTTTGTTAAACATCACAATCTCTGATGAATATAGATTCAATATCAAGATGTCAAAAAGGTAGCTGCCAAAATGCATGTTTGTAATTACCAGGATCTCCATCTTGTAGAGGCAGGCCAGCTCTCTCATGTCTCTGAAAGGCTGCAGCAGGTACTGGAAGAAGGTGGTGGCCACGGTGACCAGGTCCTGGTAGGCCTCGTCCTCCTCCTCGTAGATGCTGAGCAGCGCGACCATTCGGTCTGCACTGCCATGACTCCGCAGGATCTGCAAACATGGAAGACATGCACACCTTTACCTGTATATTATATATTTACCATATATTTGTTTTTTCCAGAATGAAATGCACTAGGTTTAGACACCTTTAGACCACAGAACTTGTGTGCAGCTCAATCAATAACTGACATGCTGTCAGGTAGAGTAACGTTATGTATTTGAAGCGAGAAATAAGAAGGTTGAGATTTAATACATATTAAATACAATAATGCAACAAGCTATGGTGTCAAATCTGCTCTCTGACACGGTGTCAACAAAAGCATCACATGCTCTAATAGTTCTAACAGGTATTTATCTGATTGCATTAGCTCGTGGTGATGTACACATGGTGTTTATGTTTTACTTTCTCCAGTGTCTCAAATCTCTGGGCTTTAGAAATGGAGACGTTGGCTGTCATGATACCTGCAACGCACATCTCGCCAATATTTACTTGTGTTAGATAACAATAGATAGATAGATAGATAGATAGATAGATAGATAGATAGAAACGTTATTAATCCCCAAGGGGGAATATGTGCGCAATAGCAAGCCGAGCGTTTGCTGTGTCATAGTAGGCTCGATTCACCACCGCGTGGTGCTGTTCCTGCTACAGAGGTTTCCCAAACTTAACTGAATCCTCCATCCTTATTATTTCATTCAAGCAAAACTACGTGTGGTAATAATGCTCTGGCTTATGCAGGTTTGTGTTTGAGCACATCAAAGATAGAATTATGTTGTGTGTGCGTCTTGGCCCTGTGCGTTTGGCTGTGATGCACAACTAATGGTATTCTATCATCAAAACAAACATGGTCTTTGCTTTTATGGCATTTTTAGATCTATTCAGTACAGTATGTGTCAATAGTGCACACACACGACAAATAGTCCTGCTTTAAAAAGTCTACAAATTAAAAATGTAATATAGTAGTATTCGGTTGTGTCACACTAAGAGGTGTCTCTATATTGACAACGTATCAGTCTCCTGCAAGTATGATCACCACAAGTATTTGGTGCATGGCTGTTGTAGGTGTCTGCGTGTCTGTACATGACCCGGATGTGATCACCTGTGACCTGTGACCTGTCTCACCTGCCGCAGGAGGCCCTTCGCGCGGGACATCTCCTCCTGCAGGGTCTTCCTCTTGAACTCCTGCAGGTTTTCGAAGTACTCCTCCACGTCCCGCTCGTCCTGCGTGAACAGCGTGTCGAGCACGATCTCCCGCCCGCAGAGGTCGACGGCCGCGCTCAAGTATTTCTCCAGCTTCCGACACGGCGAGTCGAGGTCCCGCCGCTCGTCGTCCTCCGAAGCGGAACGCCGGTTCAGAAAGAGCACGTCCCAGATGTTTCCGTCCTCGAACTCCGACAGGTCCGGGAAGCAGCTCGCCAAGATGTCCGCCACGCACCGGAGCTGCTGGTGGACGTGTCGCAGGTCGCGCACGGAGAAGAGGCCGGCCCAGCTGGTCTGCGGGTCGCCGGGGACCCCGTCGGCCCCGTCGGCCCCGCGCTTCTTCCGCTGCAGCGTCCTGTTGTGGCAGGTGACGGCGAACTTACACTCGATGACGTTCCACTGCACGATGAAGCCCAGTTTAAACGCCTCGGCCTCCTCGAATAGGTTACTTCTGACGGCCACCCAGCCCTCCAGGCTGTCCGTCCGCTCGGTCTCCACGCTGTTCATCTTGAAAAGGAGTCTTTCACTTCGGCCAAAGGGAAGCTGCTGGCTGTGTTTACAACGTCCGCCATTGGCGTGACGTAAGCCGCCTTCACGGACCTCCGTTATGTTCAGAACTGTCAAAAGACGGATCGTCGCGTTGCGCTCTCGTTGTGCTGATTAGTTATTTAGTCAGGAAATGAACTAGAGCGCCACTCCTAATGCTTATTACACTACACGTATTGACATATTGTACTTGTTCTGTTCAGCAGGTCAGTGTTGATGTTGTGGAAAAGGCCCCGGCTGTTCTATTGCCGACTGACTGAAAAGCGACGGCTTCGCCCGCATAATTATTGAGCACACGGGCGTTTGAATCACTAGTTTACGAGGAGCCCCGAAGGCACCACAACGTCCCCCAGTGTTCAACTTTGACCTTTGAATCACATGTTTGGGGAATTCCACCTCCGTACAGCAATACATCAAAGCTGTAACTGGTTTCAAGGGTTACAGTGGTTATATAACTGATGCGTATGATTAGTATGAATTTTAGGCCTATGGCTTTCTTTTTTTAATCAATAAAATACTAACTTCCAACATTGATGTTCTGCATGCCATCGACATCTGAGCAAATCCGAGTCGCGTCTATTTGTGTCCCAGCTTGTGGGTGAGAGTTGGTCTGCTCGCAGACCCGGTTGGTCGGGACGTCACTGTTGGCCTGAAATGGCTGTTTAGAACCGACTCGCCTGCTGAATTATCGAGGTAAATTATGCTGCTGCTCGTTTATTATTGATAACTGAAGATAAAGATGATCAGCACACGCAAGTTGCTTGGTGGAAGGGTGCAGATTTGACATTTGACACCGTGATCATTCTGTTCCGTTGTTACTGAATGTAGTTTTTTTTTTAGAATTAGTGGTCTAAATGTTGATCTTCTGTTATTCTAGCGTTTGTGTCGGTCACTTGAATCCTAAATGGATTGTAAACCTCCCACAGAGCTTCTCCTCATGGACTTGCATGACATCAGAGGAGGCCGACTGGATGTGATCACAGAAGAAGCTGAGGAGTTGAGCAGAGAGTCGACCAACATGGCAGACGGGGGACTGAGGGCGGCCCGAGGAGTTTCCACCTTCCAGAGGTTTTCTGTTGACACCGACGAGTCCCTTTGTTTTGAGCCCTGCGAGGACGGCCTTCCGTCCCCCATCGGGGCAGAACGTGGACTTCATGGCGATGTGTTTGAAGTGGCAGAAGCTGAGGTGGGAACACCAACTTGGCTTTGGCCAATGATGAATGAGCTAAACTGTTTCTGTTAAAAGATAAATCACTTTTTTTTGGTGCAAAATAACGTCCTAGAATTTATTTTAAAATGCCTCAGTGACTCCCAAAATCTTCACAACCCTACATCCCAGCGTATCCCCAAAAATAAAAAAAAGGAAAAAATAGCTAAATCCCAGAGGATTAAGCTGTCCATGAAAGATATTTATTTTACCAAACCACAGATATGAGCAGAAAGAATTAAAAGTCAATTGTTTTCAGAGTGACGGCGTAACAATCAGGAAGCAGCTGCAAGGCAAAGTCACTGAGATGGAGAACTTTGCAAGTCATCTGGAGGAAATCTTTCTCACCGTGGAGGTAAATGTCATCAAAAGACTTTTGGTGTAATGTATTTTGACTGATTTATTATGTATGTATTCTCTCTCTAAGCTTTTAGGAATACTTCTTTTTATTATTCTTTTTGTTTTATTAAACTCAAAAACGGAAGAGCTTCAAGATGTCCGTTTTGTAAAGCCACGTGTGCCTCTGGGAGCTGCCTCCCTCGCCTCGTTCTTCCTTTCAATCCACGTATATATCGGATCGTATAAATGTGTGTGTGTGCGCAGGAGAATTTTGGCCGCCAGGAGCAGCACTTGGAGCAGCACTACAACGACGTGCTGCAGACGTTGTCTCAGCGGTGCGACGACCGGGCGGCGGGGCTGGAGGAGGAGAAGAAGGGCAAGCTGGAGGCCTTGTACAAGCAGCTGCTGGCTTGTGGTCAGGCGATGGACGTCTCCAAGGAGCTGATTGAGACGGCCCAGGAGGTCTACCGCTGCCCCGACGAGAGGCTGTTCCTCAAGGTGTCCCAGGCGCTCCTCCCGTGTGCTTCGGTGTCGCCTGCAGATTCCAGCCATGTACACGAAAAAAAACGCTTCCAGCGGGCGGTTTAGCCGTCACGCTCCTGTTTGTAGGGAAATAATTAAAAGACGGCGTATGGGATCTGGGGTAGGAAATATAGAGCGTTTCTTAGTTTATTGACTTTGTCCAATTATACCTTCTTTGATGTTTATTGACAGGCAGTTATGCCCACCATGAGAAGGTGAGTGTGGAGCTGCTCAGTGAGTATTCCTCATGGTGTGAGCCTGTGACTTCAAATGACTAACCACCAATGGCCCAGGGCTGTTTGTGTGCTCTTTTTGCCTTAATTTATATACTAATGCTATTAAAGTATACAGTTATAGCAGGAAAGTGAAGTGAAGGAAAGTTTGCAGTCTGTGCTGAATGTGCTCGTACTTGCTTTTTGCAGAGCATTGAGATTTTCCTTGTCAAACTACTGATGATATTTTGAGTGACTCCAGGTAATGAATCCAAAGTTTCGTTGTTCTTTTTCCTCATGTTCTGAACCAGAATCGAGGAGTTTGCCGAGGAGCAGGTTGACCTCACGCTGGCCACGAGTCTCGAGTTTAACACCCCGCTGGCCAACTTGCCTGATGTCAAAACCATGATGGACTCCATCAACATTGTCCCAGGTCTGGTTTACACACAAACAATAACTGCGATTCAAGGTTCATTTTCACGTTGATCATTATGGTCAGTTTCCCTGTTTGGTGTTCAGGAAAGTAAAAACACATTTGAATGAACAATACACCATATTTGTTTGACCCAAACAGCTCCGTCTGCCCCAGTGATCAACCCGCAGACGCCCAACTCGGCCACCCAGACGTCCCTGCGCGTGTGCTGGAGCTTGTTCTCCGACGACACGGTGGAGTACTACGAGCTTTACTACCGGCCGGTGCTGGAGGACACGCCGGCGGACAGCACCTGCGCACCACACGGTATAACACGGAGGCGCGCTGCATGACCACACCCTCTGCTGTTGAAACGCCACCCTGCTGATGTGGGTCTCGTCTGCTTTTCCTTCAGTGAGCAAGGTGAGGGTGAAGGAGACCCACTGCATGGTGACAGACCTGCTGCCGAACGCTCAGTACGAGCTCTGGGTGACGGCGACCAACACCACGGGCATCAGCCCGGCCAGCGAGAAGACCTTATACGTGACAGGTAACCCGCTCAGGGCGTCGCCATCGGAGCAGGTTCGCTCTCTCACGTTGATCGATGTTGGAGAGAAGATTTTTTGTGTCTCCCTCCCTCAAGTGCCGTCGCCTCCGGTGATCAAGCAGAGGGAGTGTGCCAGCTGTCCCGAGGCCGCTCTGATCCGCTGGGAGTCGGGGAACACCGACCCCGTGGACTCCTACACCGTGGAGCTCAGGGAGACGGGCACTGGCGCCCCAGAGAGCGCCATCGCCGAGTAGGAGCTGTGTTGTTGAGGGATTCATCGCGGAAACGGGCTCAACGTTTAATTGGGCGTTTCTTGAAATATGTCACGTTTTTCCAGAGGTAGACTAGAAATAGCTCCGATAGAAGCCAAACGCTCCGAGGGATTTTGCGAAGCTTCAAAGACGCAGCAGCGCGTGGTCTTCATCTTCCCTGGCCTGTCCTTTTTAATTAGGCCTGTGCTTCATCCATAAACAGGCCTGTGTTAGTGCTTGCCTGGTGTTTTTTTTCAGGTCCCGTGGTTATAGAGCGGCTGGATCAAGACACACTCCGTCCTAGAAAAAATCTATTATTAGCCTCAGCTCCTGCAGCACTGTTAGATCGTCACATTCGGGCTGTGCTTCATTTTTCATGTGGTCGAATCGGAGAACAGTTGAACGTTTTGTTCCTAATAGTTTGTGTTTTTGTGCACAGAGGAGGCTAAACTTTATTCTCTGAAATGAGACTTTGGTTAAAAAACAAAACACCCCATTTACAGTCGGGCAGGAGATATGACAATCCGAAAAGTTCCCACCATTGTGCGTCTCATTGGTTAATCCTTCAGGTCTGTAGTAGCAGTGCCCACCTGCCAGTGTCTGATCCAGCTGCAGGCGGGACGCCGCTACCTCATCTGTGTGCGAGCAGTGAACATCGGCGGGCCCAGCAGCAGGAGTGAAGTTATTTCTGTGTCCACAACAGGTGAGAGGCCTCGCGGATCAGCCCGTTCACGGAGTAAGATGCACGTTGAGCTTGAAGTGAACGTACTGTGTGGGTCCTGATTCACAGGTTGGGAACCACTGAAGTATCTTTAAGTCAAATATGTTATGCACAACTTTTCTATTTCTATTCAACATTATATGACTTATTCATGAGTTGTTCTTTCTTCTTTTTGAAACATAGTATTTTTCACATACTGCATATTTTAATACTTTTTTTTATCATACTACATTTTTTTCATTGACCATGCTATTTTTATGGAAACATGATATAGCGGTTCAATAATCGTATAAATAAAACCGCGCAGTACTTCAGTAACTTACACTCTCCTCCCATGATCACTTGCCTGTGCAGGTACGCTCTTCTCCCTCCTGGAGGACACTGCCCATCCTTGCCTGTGCATCTCCGAGGACGGCTTCACCATATTTTACGGAGAAGAGGAGCTGCCAATCAGCGCCATGGCCTTAGAGGACAACAACGCTTTCACGAGGTGAAGCGGCACAATGGCTGCTTGTGTGACTCCTCCTTAAGGCCGCGTGTCAGATATGTGCAACCAGAGACTCTTGTGGGTTCAGGTGTGTGGCTGTCCTGGGGGGTCTGATCCCAGTGAGAGGACGGCATTACTGGGAGGTCGAGGTGGACGACGGTACGGAATTTAGGATCGGCGTTGCGTCCGAGGACACGGAGAGGAACTCGTACCTCGGCGCCAACAACACGTCCTGGTGTATGAGACACATTCTCACTCCAGCCAGGTAACAAGGCACCAGCTGTGTGGACAGTAATGACCTTATTGTCGCGCTCGGGGTTCTGGAGACCCCGGCTGTGAAACATAGAGCATGAAAATCCTTTTTATTTATGCCTCCGACTGGTAGACTGCGCTACTGCTCCGTATCAGTCTACAGGAGGCTGAACCGACTGCAAACATAAACGTCTAGACGGGAGGAAATACTGATTTTGTAATTGTATTAACATATGGGGGCTTTTGGATATGAAACTGTGAATTTTCTGTCACTTGAAGTTCCATTTATTGTACAAACTGGGAAGAATGTTCACAGGAGCAAGTAGATGCAGATCTGTTACAATTACTACGCTGCTCCTCGAGGGGACGACTACTGCAGCACATGAAAACTGGGCCAAGAATTTATTTTTAGCCACGAGAAATGTTCCTTTCAAAATTGAGTGTGCATCCACGCCATGCAGCGCTAAGCCGGGAGTTTAATGTTATTTCACAAGCGTTATGACAACTTGAGAAAAAAAAAAAGCATGACAGTTGAACGGTCACATTTAGCTAATAATTCAGTGCGGCATATCACACAACCCGTGAATGCGTTTACTTTAGTGGGAATCTGTGATTCTGCCTCCACGTTTCTCATTTCCTTTCATCTGCAGCAGTTTGAAATCCCGATGTCGGCTCATCCAAGAGCATCTGTTTTACAAACGGCTGTCTCGAGTCAGGATGTGATCCTAACCGGATGAGGAAGAAGCCTTACACTTTGCTTCACACCATCATAACGCGTGCCTTCCTTCTGTTCAGGCATAAATATGAGTTTCTGCACAACGGCTGGAGTCCTGACCTGAGGATCACAGTGAACCCCGTGCGGATCGGAGTGGCGCTGGACTACGAGAGGGGGACTCTGTCCTTTTTTAATGTGGCTCTGGAACAGCACCTGCACACCTTCCAATGTCACTTCCAGAATCACGTCCAACCGTGCTTTGGGCTGGACAACCCCGGAGCGCTCACGGTACACACCGGCATCGAGGCGCCCAAGTATGCGTTTGCTTAACTTGGACTGAAGATCTGTTAATTCACAAAATCCTGATGACAGCCCCAATAAAAACTAAATTAATAGTAAAGCATGGGTAGTATTCAAGGACGAGGGCGTTTCAGGTGTTTTTATTATTGTATTCCATGGGAACAGGCCTACACCATTTTCCAAGATAAGAAAAACATTTCACAATATGTATTTATAGAGATATTATACAACTGTAGTTAACTCTTAAAAGGAAGAACCCACCCTGAATACTTATATGGGATTAGTTTGACACATTTAAGACATTAGTAAGTGCGTGATCTAAAGTCAGAAGCTTGCACGAACACAGGGGAGGAAAAGATTTGTTCCAGACTTTCCTAATTGGTTTTGTCATATGCTACAGATGCTTTATAAACGGCCATTGGTTTAAATTTCCCATCAGGTAAGGGGTTAAAGTAAAAAACAGAAGTGGACATGGCTAAAGCTACACTAGCATACAAAAATAAATCCTCTTAAGTTTCCAGGAAATCAATGGCGAGCAAAGACTACCCATGTTTTTATGTGTTAAGATCGACGCTGTATTGATTGTCAGCCTGACTGTGTGATGCTCGGTGATCAAGTGACACCAGAAATTTGTGAAAGGGTGTCTAAAAATGCCATTTGTTGATGAATGCAAAACATCTACTTGGATATACACGTCAAACTTTGCTCCGAGAATAGTCCGCAATAACACATTTGTTCTTTGAAATAAAGGGGCTTAAGCAGTAGGAAAACGTGAGGGTGGATTTGTCCTTTTAGGCTGTGTTTGAGCGCGGCGTGCTGTATTCAGAGCAGACGTTGGGGTTATGAATGATCAGCCTTACTGCTGCGTGTCCTCTCCTCCTCTTCATCGGAGGAATCCCCCCCGTATGGCACAAGCCCGGAAGCATCCTCTTCCACTTTAGACTTCTTCTCACTCACCTTGTCCTGAACACCTTTATGGGCACCATAATAATACAGAAGAAAAGAGAAAGAAAAAGTAGCGACGGGGCGAGAGGAGACAAAAGGGAAACCCATATCGGAGCCGCGTGTTGGCGTCGTTTTCGAGTTAGTTTTACCCACAGCCGGAGGGCAGGTATCAAATGAAACGGCAGCAGGTCCATGGACACATGTTGAGAGAGAAAACAAGGGAAAGACAAAGAACATAAAAAAAGAGCACGTCAGTTTGTTTCGTCGGTAGAGATTCACACAGGTCCTCACGCCTCAATGAGGGCAAGATGACATTCCATGCAACGGACATGTCTGAGTACTCCAGGATATCTGCAGATGGAAATGCATACCCATTGACACGGCATTGCCAGGCGGCCCTTCTGTCACCGGGTCTCTCGGCCTTTTGCGTGCGACGGGGCCCGGAGCCACGAAGAAAGGCGCCGGTGGCGGCATAAGAATCCTGAAGAGAAAAACAGTCAAAATCTACACCACGTTCACCACAAACAACATAGAAGGAACATGAGGTCTATTAACTGACCTTTGGATTACTTTCTCCTCGACAACACTGGAGGCAGGGAGAGCAGACTCCTGATGAGCGGGACGCTCTGGAGATCTGCTGGGAGGCTGGACAGGAAATGCACAAAACATTTAAGACGTTTCAAAACTTTATAATGAAACTGCAGATCCTCCAGTGATATGAACACGTGTTGCAGCTCACCGAGTCTTGCTTGGCCCCCTCCTGGAAATGACGCCTGGGACTTCCCGAGTCAAGAGGGGTGTTTAACGATCCTTCAGGGTCCACAGTCTCACTGAGGCCAGGATCCTTGAGTAGAGCAAAGCAAACACACACACACCAATGCAGCAGCAGCAGCAGCATTTTAAAAAGCGCCTCAAAGTGTCACGACAACATAATGACAGATTGTGTTTTTTGCGAGCAGATTAGACTGCTGACAAAAGTAGTAACAAGTCAATTGATTACCTAGTGGCCTAAATAAAGCCATTAAAAAAATAAATATTTTACCAGCGCCAATAGCTTTAAATAATGGAAGGTTAACCACTCAGTCGCCTGGTTTCATCTTTAATAAGGAGCTGCGTGTTTCAAAAAGCTGGAATATACAGTCGCAGGTCCAAATCCATGCAGAGAGCTCTGTATTTTTGCCTTTCAGTCTCAAAAGAGGACCTTCCCAGGTCTTTGAATAAAATAAGAAAGTTGCATAGTTGCATTTTACTAGTCTAAAATCAACACTAGAACCAATACATAAATGCGGTTATCAATAATTGAGGGCAGCCTCAATATTCGGCATTTACCTGGACGAGATACGGATGCGCTTTCCTAGGACACACCGGATACTGAACCATTGCCTGAGAAGATGGAGGGTTTGTCGACATGTTAGAATGACTTGGGGGACCATTTGCATTACTCCAATAACCACTGGCTCCTGAGTACGCTGAATAGCCTCCAGCATACCCATTTGCCGGGTAGTTATACCAGGACCCCTGGCTAGAGTAATTGCTATTAGGTGGAAATCCATGTGCTGCGTATGCTGAAATGAAAGTATAGAACGTGGAGTTAAAAGCATATATCACATGAATCAATAACGGTGTTTTAACAACTTTAAGGTGATAGTTCAACCTATTGTTTACCCACTAAAGACGTCAGGGGATGATTTACCACCACAAGAAGAATGCGGTAAGCTAGTTCCTGATATTTGGGCACCCTGTTGGAATTTTTTCAAGACATAAAAGAACACTTACGTTGTGTTGAGCCGGTGGCCGTGTACGTCGACACCATGCGGGCGCTTTCATCTCTCACCTGGAGAACCGGAGAAAACAGGAACTAGGTGAGCAGCTGGATCACGATCTAACACGAGTGATTTACTTGTTGAGGGTCAAGTTGTAATGTGGGTAGGTGCAGAGCACTCAAAACCTATCTCTGGAGATCAGGTGGTTCACGCTACCACGTTCACTTTAGGAGGTGGGTATCAGTGAAAGCTATACGCCTCAATAGCTTCACCTTCTTAAACCTCCTGTTGGGCTCTCATTTTATTCAGTTCAAACTCACTATTTTTTACGGGGATATCATGAACTTACAGTTTCCAGCAGACTCTCAGTGAGTTTCTTCGCTGAATCCAATCCAGCAGAATTTGGGTGGCTGCAACAAACAAGGTGTGATTGGTTGAACACTGAAACTGATGGAAAGATGTCCTGCATTCATATGCAAGCAAGGCTCTATACGATGAAGCAAAACTCAGACCAGTAACTTCTAAACAAAAAGAGTCAAGTGACAGTAATTAGTTTAGTAATTAGTTAATTAGTAGTGACAGTGCCAGTAATTAAAATGAATATTTTTGGAGTTTCCCTTTAAAGTAAACTTTTTTAAACCCAAAGCTTGTGTGAAAAAGTACCAAAAAAAGGTGGGCTTTTGGGAATGAACATACCTGATATAGACGTAAAGAGGCTCAAAAGACTCCCGTTTGGAAGCTTGTTCAATGTAGCCAGAGCCTTTTCCCCTGAGGAAGACTCGGGCCCCCGTCTCCGTCTGGATGTGACTCAGGTAGGAACCTCCCGGACCCTCGATCTTTTCGTTCACGTTGAAAAAGGGGAAAGTCTGGTCCAGGCCCACAAATATCTTTGTGTGCACAAAACTCTGCACAGGGGAAATACATGATCCATTATATGCCCTGCTTATTTAAGTTGTACATTAACATCCACAATAAAACGTAGAACAACTTTGTTAGCAGATGCAGAAATCCAAGGCTTTTCCCTTTTGACCAAGGACGTTCTTTCTGCTGCTTAATTTGGGAGGTGGGTATCAGTGAAGGCAACATGGTCTTCATTTGCCCCACTTTCTTAACCTCCATTGACAAAATCCCAACTCAAATTTCAGCACAAAAGACCCAAGCTGCGTTATGAATTGTATTTCTAGAAAATCATTTCATTTGCCAATCTTGCACATCTATTGAAAGATGTAATGGTGGAAGAGGCATTTCCCTGCTATGAGGCATATTGTAGAAATATTGGCAATGGTCACGTTTAGTAATGTAGTTTAGTTGTTTAGTAAAGTCCGCACTTGTGGAGAGGGGTGTACGCTATAGAAGTCATGGTCCTACCCCAGAATGAGGAGCGGATGGTCGATGTCCTGGCACGGAGTTGGTGTTGGGCGTCCGTGGCACGGCTGGGGTGTTGACGAGGCGAGGAGGCTGAGGGTAGAGTGTGAGCGGAGGCATGACAGGCGCCTGTTGTCCTGATGCTGCAGAGGCCCTCAGCAGGTCCTCCGTGATGATTTCCTTTATCCTCAGCACGGCCTCTAATGAAACAGTTAACACAGTTTGGACATCAGCTTACAATTTATTTAAATTACATTAGATAAAGAAAATGCCAAACAACTATTTAACTATCTAATCTTAAAAGTGCTACTTACTGTTGACCTGCTCCTGATTCTTGCCCTGGACATGTAAATACAAAGGTCTTTGTCTAAAAGAAAGCAGATCAGAAAAGTCAAGGACAATGGATGACTTTGTTCTCCAAACTATTTCTTCAGCTTGAGAATTTTCACGTTTGATAATTGTTTAGCTTGCGACTACCATTTAAAACTATGATAAAGAACATTTTTTCATTGAAACAAATTACTGATGTATTGTCTACCATCAAGTTAACCTTTTTATGTGTAATGTAAAACTATATGGATTATTACTTCCACAAGAACCATATCATGTATGAATAGATATGACTTATTTACTTAATTAGGGAAATATGAGTAGAAAATAGAACCATATTGATCCTATATGACATCAGTATGATCTCCTCATATAGCTTATTTCTGCGGCTGATGGCACATTTGTCTGCAAGACACGGAATAGGTAATAAAATAACACAAAGATCAGTATGATCTCCTATGGGATGAAGACAACGCTATATTTCAGTACATACCCTGCTTTTCCTTTTGTAGGATCAGGCATGTAATAACCTTTTGTTGAGCAGACCGCGCCGCTAAACTGTCGGATCTGAAAAATAAAAAATGGCAAGTTTAAAACATATAGATTATTTAAAGCCGTTAAGAGCTGCAAGATTGCAAGACTACCATGGCCACTGTCCACTTACCTCCTCCTGTGTTTTGCCTTTAGTAAGAAGGTCCCGGCAATTCAGCGGCACATTGTTAATGTCGACTTCTGTGACGGCCATTTCTTCTGTGGCTGATGGCACAGGCACATTTGGGGCAGTCTGCAAGACACGTGCAATGACATGGAATAGCTAATAAAATAACAAAGCAAAGATAAACTTGTTATTTCCTACAGTTTGAATCACATGTACCTTTGCAAGTAACGGTGGAGGAGTCAACAGCTTCCCCTTTGCCATTAACATGGCATTTATTTTAGCAGCCATGGCCGCTGCCATTTCAACTCCACCCAGAGGCGCTGGCTTCTCTCCTGTTTGTGGCGGCTGGGAAACTGGGCTGTTTGAACCAGCGGGGCTGGCAAGTCCTGGTACTGAGCGGCCCGCATTCTCACTGCTCCTCTGCTGCCGCACATCCACACTTTGTTTAGGCTGGGCTGTCTTATCCCATCGGCTGGTTAGGCACCTGAGAAATACAAGACAACAACATACAAACAAATGAAGAGAACTCAAAATCCCGATTAGCAAACTTTTTTAAAACAAAGCAGTAATGGACGTGTGGAATGTTTGATGAGTGGCAAAACCTCGTCAAGCGGCAACGTCTGTGCCTTTGCAGAGAAATACTTTATAAGAGGTAAAATGCTTAATTGATGAACGAGTAGTAATCGTAAAGATAGGACCGACTAAGTGTAGCTTAAGCACTGCGTTGTGGAAAATGAAGGAGCAAATTAACAACACATTATTTGTTTAAACTTGCACAGTTCGACAAACATCGTTGCACTCGAAATAGCTCCAAAACCGGATACAAAAACATTACAGACGACACTGCTAACGTGGTTGGCGTTTCATACCAGCCAGTCGTACAATGCTAATGTTAGCATGTGGCGTTAATAGTTTCAAAGCCCTTTTGACTACAAACCATTTGTGATTTGAAGAGCCCAACGCCATTTTTTACAAAGGGCCAAAATAAACCGGCGTTGTAACAGCGTAATGTTAAGAGTTTATAGCTAAGCTAACAATAGCCAAACTTAGCTAACGTTAGCCTTAACTAACGTTAATGCTAAAGGTAAGCCTGACGCAGCTAGCTAGCTAGCCAGCCAACGAACGCGCTGAGTTACGATCCTGTTTCGGGAAAATCATGTAAACAGAAAAAAAACATTAGATACAGTTATAGAGGCACCATAAAAGGCAAATATAGTTCGAAGTGTTTTGATACCATGCACTTCGGTTAGCCTCCTGGTAGTGCTCAAGTAATACCACGCAGACTAAAAACCAATAGCAGGCCGCAGCCATGAATGCTAGCTAGCGAGCTACTATTCAATGCAAATATGCAGTGTTTTTAACAGCGTATGTTCCTCCGGATACCTAATATATTCACACTCAACGGAACACTTACGGTGTATGTCCAGTCATTCCTGAAGACATAGCACCAATATGTGGTGAAATAAAAAGACTTTCTAATACAATAGTTGCCGCTGGAGGAAGGGAGCCATCGGTCTGCTCTCCTGGCGGCGACTTCTTCTGACGACTCGTCGCAAAGTCTGACTTGGCGGAAGTTAAACTGTTTTCATGTTACGCAAGACGATCTTCTTCTAGAGACCGGTCGGTCGTTCATCGACGTCATCAGATGACCCCGTTTGAGATTTCCACAGGGTTCCCATGCAATTGTTTTACAAATGTATGATTAAGTGTAGAAAATTGCAAACAGTTGTGGCACCATTTGAATGAGTGATGTGATCACATTACACTGCGAGAGCACGTGGGCCCCTAAAATACATTCACATAATCTACTCACAACTCCGGCAGATGCACGGCTCAGATTTAGTTTTTAATCCAACAATTTTGGTTAATTGACAATATTCTAAAAATATGAAACATTATTGTGGGTAACAACTTCAAGGACGATTGTTGTGCCTAATTTTTTTTTAACGACCTTCCAATTATCATTGGCTGTCTGATATTTGGATATTAGGAATAAAAACAAGAGTAAAACTAGCATTATTAGTAGAACATTACACTACTGGATTACAAACTGAGGCATCATCTTTAAAGATTGTTTAAAGTGTGTGATCACTTGTCTCAATATTTAAACATCACATCCCGTTTGTTATTCTTGATTGTGGTGCAATTTAGTTGGAAAGCCTCACTGGCTCAGACACATTTAACAATCCATGTCAATGGAGTGATCCAACAATGTTCACGCGGATATCATTAAGTGTTCCTTATGAACGAGCAAACACATTTTACACAAATTGGACTATATATTTATGAAAAAAGAGCCCATTTGTTTGTTAAAATGCTTAAAATATATTTTATTTAGATAACAAGGTGCTTAAACAGTAGTGGGAATTACGGATACTTTTTTGGAAGGAAGATATTTTGAAGTTGAATGACGTATTTTTTGTTTTGAAAGACCATGAAAGAGGAGTGAGAGGAAGACGGACGAGTCCACAAAGTGGTTTAGACATGGCAGACCATTACCAATTTTTAAATTCAATATACTGTTGTATAACTACGACCACAATTATTTCCTTATCTTGATCAAATAGTCTTTAAACCAAACAATGAACATTCCTTAATCTCAATTTAAAAGTGAACATATTTAATAGTCAACCTTTGAAAGAAACGAAACACAGTTACAAATTAAAAGTTGAATTCACAAACTATCCCTCAATTCAATACACACGGCATTCTGTTCTTTAAAAAAAGTTTTCAAATGATAAATAATGAGAGATAATGTGAGCTGCTCATACCACTTGTTACTGCTGAGATCAGGCATTCTTATGTGAACATTAGACTGCCTGGAATAAAAGAAATTTGTTTAATTTTGTTCTCATTTGCCCTTAAAAGGAGGTGCAGTTAGTGTCTGAATCAGCCGCCATGTAGTTTGAGATGCTGTACATCTTTCGTTTCTATTAAAAAAACTCAAACATGGTCCTTTCTGATCGCTCTAGTAACTAGTAAAACAAGTGATCTAACGAGGTAGTTAGATAGCAAGACAGACTCGGTGCAAATATCTAATATCTAATAAGGCATACAGTAGGCTAATAAAGAATGAGAGAAAAAAGACAAGGAATGAGGACAGTAAGGAGGACACAGGTTGAACCATTGCAGGAAATAAACTGCAAACTTATAAATTGAAATTATTTTATTTTTCATTGAATAGTTTCTATTTTTTTCCCCCCGTGCCTTCGGACCAAGACGTGAATCAGAAGAAACCAACAATCCCCCGATTGAGTGTACAGTTCTTTCATACGAGAGAAACAAAGATGACTGTGGTCAAAACTTCTCATTAACCATAATTTGCTTAATTGTTATGGCATTTATATACTGTTTAAAGAGGAAATATTCTTAACAAGCGAAAATCTTTAACATATATTAGTATCCAAACTGAAACCGCCCTTGAACATAAAGCCGTTCCCTGGGTCTGTGCATAAGGGTGTGGGACAAGTGGCCAAAATAGGATGGAGTTTGATCAGAATTCAATGCAAGCTGGTCTCTAGGAGACTGCTTAAAGACAGTGATAGACAACTCTGCGATCCACATCCTTCTTAACCATTTAGTTCTCTGTATACATGCTCAGTGTGACCATCCAATTCACAGGTATTCAGATAGCTATAATGGTTGATCTCATTTGCTGCAAATCCAGTGTAAAATTCATTGTCTATAAAAATATTGAGATTTACTTGAACATAACCTTCTGACTATGTCATAATAAAAACTCCAGATGTCCGTTGCAGTTGCACAGTGGGAAGTACTGTATAAATATTGTATAAAATAAGGCAGTCTTTTCAGTAGGATAAACCAGATACAAAAATTTCTGGGAGAAAAAAATGTTCAAGTCCAAAATGTTTTCACATATTTCTGCTGTTGTCAGATGTCAAGCGGTATACAGCATCAAACCAAGAGTAAGGGACTGTTGCAACAACGAATACGCCCACACCTATGACCCAAACGCACCCACATGAACACACACACACACACACACACACACACACACACACACACACACACACACACACACACACACACACACACACACACACACACACACACACACACACACACACACACACACACACACACACACACACAAACTCCTGATGATCAACAATGACAGCTTATTCTAAAATGCAACATCCCATCCCTGGACAAATCACTGAGACGTAGATATTTGTAATATTGTTTACAGTGCAATACAAAAGTGTTCAATCAAAACTGTACTTTACTTTTGATAAGAAAATAAAAATGTATATTATGGTAATGCTTCATATGAATAATAATTGTGTGTTTTTTTTAGAGCTATAGTAGTTTTTGTCTTCTTCAACTTTGGCTTTTCTCTCTCTTTCTGAAATAAATTTTGTTGTTATTTATTTATCAACTAATATGTTTGTGAATCTTAACAAAGAAAATATGGAACATCTAGTAAAAACAAACAAACCAAATCATCTGTAATTAGTTACCTATAATCACGATGTTGAGTCTTTCGTCTCTCAGCGGCGGCCTAAAGTAAAGATCGGCTCCCTCACCCACAGGGAAAGCGTTCCCCTACACGTGTGTTATGGAAGCGTTGTGTCAACGTGGATGGATTTCTGAAGGACACGTGAAAATATTGCCAAAAGAGGAGAAGTGGAGTGTTATTTCATGGTTTGGCCTCGAGGGGCAGAAGGAGCAGTCTTGTAAAGTTGTGAGCACAGGGATGGAGGTCAAAGGTGATTTATATGGCCTGACAAGAATTGGACACCTTCATATCCACCCACACCCCTCCAACGTTGCGCGCTCCGTCAGTAAACTACAAGTCTTTACTCAGAGAGCAACTTCACCGGCAGAAATGAGGGGATGGATGCTGGGCCACGAGGCCTGCAGGACCCTCTCTTAGTCACGTCACTTTACCAGCTACACCGCAAATGGCCGAGAGGCACGAGAAGTTTGCAAAGGATGCTGTGTGTCCACGTCCGTTTGTCACAGTTTCCATCTGAACGGGGTCGCGAAGCCGGCAGTGTCACCGCTGCAAACCGCCCGCCAGGAAGTCCCTCTGTGGTCTCCGTGTGGACGGACACGTGGATGCTCGGCGCTACAGAAGCAGGAGAGTGAAGGCGAGGAGGCCTTTTTTTTTGGCCGGCTGGCCGGCCTGGCAGGGAGAGAGACGCCCCAGCGGGAGAGAGGAGGGCTGCCCCGGACTCCAGGGTCCCAGGACCGAACGCAGCAGCGGCCTACTCCGGAGGCGGTCGCAGGCTGTGCAGCTTCCTGTCGTCCAGGCCTTTCCAGTACTTGAAGTTGTTGTCCAAGTGCTGCATGAGATTGGGGAGGTCTGCGAAAGCTGCAGAGACAACAAAAGGAGTTTTGTTTTTCAAATCAGCATCCACAGTGCCATCAGGTTGTCTTTGTGAACAACTTATGAATGAACCAAAGCTAGGTGAGTTGAGTATAAACGGTCAATACCTGGGGCCGGTATCAAATTGGTGTGGGTATGATGGTATGTCATTTAAAAGAGGATTTTTAATTCGGTTGTCTAATTTGACAGCGTTGTTTAACACTCAGAAAAAAGAAAGTTTGTCATTACTTATGAAGTGTTTTTAGCATTTTAACTTTTGATTTTGCGTGTTATTCTAATCACGTAGATTCAGAGCGGTTTGTGTATCTCTGGTGTGTTGCGCCATGTCTTACCGTCCCATGCGTCAAACATGTCCGTAATGAAGTAGTCGATGAAGGAAATCTGGGACTTTGGGATGCTACACGTGTTTCTGTCAAACACAGGCATGACCACCGGTAGGCCTTGTCTCTTCTCCTCGTCCGTCTGCACCGGAGACGACAGCATAAGTGATCATCACACTCAATGAATGCATCGATTACCAGAACCAAGAGCACTGTGTTATTCTCTCCTTCTCCGTACCTGTGCAAAGTACTCCTCTGAGATTCGTCCAGCCCATTCAATGCAGAGCTCCAGAGGCCTGCATGGATTGGAGATGTCTGCACACTTAATCAGCATCCGCTTGACGAGGATGCGATTCTCAGGCGATGTAAGAACGCTTTTGACAGATTCTTCATCGCCGTTTCCCTAAAAATAAAATAAAAAAAAGATGCACTTATAGCACAATGACAGTTATCCTTATTAGTGGCAATAGACCGCCCCTTATAGCGCACACACAGCAGCTGCACAACTTAAAAATAACTGACCGACTGTGTCTGTACATGAACCAAAAGGGGAAGTTGAAGTTGGCACTGACAGCTGATAAAGGTTTCCTTTATGGCGAGTCTGTATTCAGCACGTGGTCATTATGGACTCCTCCAACACTTACATGTAAAATAGTAGAGCACGGCTCCTGTAGTCACAGGATTTGCTGCCTTCTGTGAGTTTCACAATTGAATTCACTGACAATTATGTTAAACACAAGAACAGACGGTCCATTTAAGCCACGATGATTGAGTCTCTGTTTTATCGGAGTCTCGAGGTTAAACTGAAGGAAAGTATTTGACACAAGAACCAAAGAGCTTATTACTTCCCCCCTCAACTACACTTAAACTCCAATACAATTTAAATCAAACGCTTAAATGTTCTAAAAATGGCTTTATTAAGTATAAAATGATTGGGATCCAATCATTTATTCGGCTCATTCCTGCCTTTAAAGGGCAAGAAGACTTTTAAACGTCCTAGGCGAGCATTCCACACACACAGACGAGAAAGATGGTACCAAGTTGCAAAATTCTCTCCCTACAAAGATATCAGTGCTCCGGCGACAACCGGCCTCAGGTCCCCTGAACCCCGATCGCCATCTCTAATCTATTGTTGCTTGCATACTGTTGCAGTGCTCTGTAACCAAATGAGATTACAATAATTGTGTTTGTCTAGTGTCTGAATGCTCCTGTGTATCCTGCCTTCCCTGACAAACAACACTTGGCTATAAAAAGAAGACGCCAACATTAGAACTACTGTTTCTACATTTCACAGTAAATCTAATCTCACCCCATTCTCCTCCAGAGCAGCCAGGGGCTTGTTGATGCTGTTGACAAATTTGTTGACGTGTTCAAAGTGTTTGGTCATCTCGGTCGCGAGCACCATATCGATGATGGCCTGTCGAAGCGTTCGATATTCATTCCTAGAGGAAGAGAGAAACAGAGAGACAAAGCAGGGGGAGGCCGGGAGAGGAGGAGAGGAGAAAAGGGAGTGGGTGAGATGACAGTGTGGTAAGTAGCATGGAAACCCGTGTGAACAGTTTTCCCCTTCTCACTGCAGTGACAGTGGCGATGAATGGATGCTTTGTTCACCTCCCCCCATCCGAGGGGACCGGCACATGTGAGCTATTCTGCTTTGGGACTCAAATCACATTAATATCCCACCGCTGTCAACACACAGCGTACTGGTTTTATCTGCACATACGCACACTTAATTCATCCCCTTATGATACCTCAGATGATCACAGACCATTTCTATTTGAGGACACACAACACTAATTTATGTTATTAAAACTTATTGATTTGGACAAACATTTTTCTACTGTAGTTTGCAAAAAAATATTGATATGTCCAAACACAGAAGTGAGCAAATCCATCTAATTTGAGGATTTTTAAAATTTAAATCTCGACCTCGTCATGAAGTTACAGTGAATCGTTGGTCTTTTGACCACACGCTGCACTTTTTTAATGGATAGTTAGATTAGAGCACGTATTCGTTTCGATTGGCCTTTCAGGACTTCTAACGTCACGTGATTTAAATAGCTCAGGAGAAGGTCTACGTTGGGTTTCTTTGTTTGCTGGTCCAGAGAACAGGGCAGGAGGAGGTCACGACCACTTTTCCTCCTCTTTACTCTTCTAGTGAAATCTCATACCGTTCCATGTTCTTGAAGATGTTGCACTTGTCATCTCTGGTGGTGATCTGGAAGGCCAGCGCTGCGTGGTGGCTCTCTAGCACGGCGGTGTCGTTGTAGAGAATGGCCAGCTCGCTTCCCGCGTTGCACAGGAAGCTGTTGGTGCGTCCCGGGTGGTCCACGTCGTGCACAGTTGCAGCAATCAGAGCAGCCACCTCGTCGATGGGATCCAAACTTTGCTTTGGGGGGCAGATTGGATAAATTGTTGGGAATTAAAATGGAAAAGTCTGGTTTATTAACTCCTTGTTTTACGTTTCTGAATGAACAACTATCGGGCCAAAGCTGACCAAGTATAAACCTTCAACTACATTGTCACATTGAGTTGAACCGGGAAGTAGCTCTTCATTGTGGAAGATAGTCGTGATTCATAATTAGGATGATGCGAGTTACAAAACACGATGTAAAAGTGCACACTTGTATATATATATGCAAATGTATATGCAGCTACAATTAAGTGTTAGGTCAAGCAAATACCATAAAGTAATTGACATTAACCAAAATTTAAAAAAAAAAAAGTTTTGGTCCAGATTTTGAAGTCACATTTGTAAAATATTGACGTCCAATATTAAAATACATGATGAATAAAATTCATGAAACAATATATGTATAGAAAATATGACAACATCAAAATGATTTTGCATTTCTAAATCAATTTGCAACTGAGCAGACGGGCTAACCTCTCTGTAGACCTCTAGGGATTCATTAACCTTGGCTGATGTAACTTCACTGGCTAAGCCAATGAAAGATTCCTCCACTAAGATCACGAATAGACAGTTTGGTAATCAGCTTAGTCAGTGCAGAGTGCAACAAAAGGATGCAGCCTCTAACACACGCTAATGCTTAAAAATGTCGACTTCCTGGACAAAACAAAGAGCTGTAAAGGGTGTTCAGTGTGGCATACTTACCAAACACTGAAATCATATTTATGCATTTCAATGAATAAACAAAAGCCTCTTTAATAAAAGCTAATAACGATTAAAAAAGAAGTGGCTGCATTTAAGAATTGAATTCATCAGCAATCCATGCTGCAATCATTTATGTCATTGATTATGTAACAAAAATTTAAAAAAATCATCAAAAAACAAAAAAAGAAACAAGGAAATTCCAACGTCCCGTCTATGATGTGGTTGTTTTGTTCACTCATTTAAAAGAGGAATTATTTGCATGATTATCTGGTATTCCAATGAGTTGTTACCACTTGTTAGTTTACCTTGACCCTCTCCTTGCAGAGGAAGTATGCCGTTGCATGCAGGACATCCGCTGCATGAGAAGAGTTGTGGTAGGAGTTGCTGGAGTGGTAGTTGGCTTCAATCACTTGTAGCCAGGAGCGCATCGTGGCCTCGGGGCAGTTGAGGAACTCGCAGACCCCAAATCGGGAGAAGATCTTCATGCCCAAGTAAGTCAAAGGCCTGCGGGAGGATTCAGCATCGTTACAAATTGTTAGACGTCGTTCGTCTGGTAGTCCTCCGCCGCGTTGTGGCCTCACCTTTTCATGGTCGCAGCCTCCAAGTTGACAATGTCAAAATCCCACGAGTCCTCATTCTCCATGGTGGCGGCGATGCGAGGGGGGATGTCATTTAGAGACAGAGGAGTGGCCAGGTGACTGGGGATATGGTGGGCCTCTTTGAGAAAAAGGAAGATAAAGAGAGTCTCCGATAAAGAGAGCTGCTAAAACGTAGCACAGCACTTGTTGTCGTCCTCCCTGTGCTCTTCATGCATACTTACGTTTTGTGGACAAGATGTATTCATTTCCCGACAATCTGCGTAAACCATCCTGTGAAGAAGAAAGGCGGAACGTGTCATGGGGGAAAGCAAGACCTACAGCCCACATGAGGAGTTCAGCTCGAGTGTTAACTGCTCGTCGAAAAGCTGCAATGGTCTCCAAAATAATGTAGACAGTTAAAATGTTTGTCTGCTATGAGACATTTGCTCTCCTATCAGTGCTGGTACAAAAGTAGTCTGTGCTAGATTAAGCTGCTAGGAGCCCCAACACAGACACAAAGGTCAGCCTGGACTTTAGAGTGGAGAAAGCTAGAGGACACCAGTCACGTTACTGGGACTTCCACGTCATCAACCATCACTGCTATTCATTCACCCACTAAACATGCCAGGTAGAATTACTCCAAAAATAGATTAGATTAGAAAAAAGTAGAAAACTTTTGTAGCCCGTCGGAGCACGAGGCATACTTGAACAGATTGGGGTTTGTATCCAACTAAAAGCCTTGATCACTAACTGTGCCCTAATAGCTCAATCACTTTACCAGGAAAGAGAACAAATCTTATCTGTTGATCATATTACTGTGTGACTGAATTTGTTGTTGCTGCATTTTGAACAAAGTTGCAGAAGGAGCCCGAAGAAGTCCAGCGTGTAACAGATCACAACAGTGTCACAATAAGACCCAACAACCACACGGAGAGAGAGAGAGAGAAGCTTGTTAATGAAATCAATATGCAGTTTAAAAAATCATATTTATGAAGTGTAATAAGTTTGTCAGAAATGACATCAGAATAATTAATTTACATGCGAGACAATCGACAGCAAATTATTCAATTAAGACTTTGTGTCTTCCTCTGGGCGGTGCTGCATGCTGTGAAAGCAAACGGGGAGTAACACTTCATCGCCCCAAATAATCAAAAATGGTTTTTAGCGGCGTGGCTAAACGCGAGTGAAAATGTTTACTTTACAAGTGAAAAAGAGGAGGCGACATCTTTGACCCGAGCATTGTCTCATGTTGGCGCTGCCTCGTTACAGAGCGGTTATTTTAAGACTTTCTCTTAATTTCCAATGCCTCCTCTGAGCTCAGACGTCACTCTGACAAACACGTCACTCTGACAACCAGGCACCTCGTAAACCACTATGATTGTACACAAACCTCAACTCGCGCCTCATGGCTTTCTGGTTTCATCAGCTTTTATCACTTATGCAGAACAAGTCTTTCTGGAGGAGGACGGTGTGCGATGCCTCCCCGTCTCTGTGTGTCCAGAGAGTACACGTACAAGAAAAAGCCGCGCGTATTCGTGGGATCCAAAGAACAGGATGTTTCCATGCCTGTGGAATCAAGAGGACCGGCTTCACGCGAGTGTGTGCAGTGAGAGAACAAGGGTGGGGGGTTTAGAGAGAAAGAGAGGGCGGAGTAGGCTTTCCTCTCCAGCCTACAGGAGCACAAAGGACAATCTAACACTTCCTCTGGGGTTCTTGCCAAGACTGCCAACTTGGCACTCTTTCTACTTCTGTACTTCACCATTGCGTCTGTTAATATCTCCATCCGTCTTCCTCTCCCTTTCCTGAATATGTACAGAGATCCTCACAAAAGCAAAACCCATTACCACGGGCGTTCATGGGGAGGGAACGCTGACGTAGACACGCATGGGGAATCCTGCAAACGCTGGGACCAGTTATCATATGGGAGTCGATTCATTCGTAGCGGAAGGAAGCTATTTGGGTGTTACATGCTTCTGAAAGGACCCTCGTGCTCTACAAGGCCCGCTGCTCACCGTCATCAGCCCCCCCACGAGGTCATTCGTGTGGGGGTCTTCATCCTTGGTGCCCAGCTGTGGGGAGTAGAGCTCAGTTGTCCTCAGGATCTCCAGGACCCGATCCAAGGCCTCTGCCACGGGCATGGGACTGCTTTCCTGCGCTGCATTGATGATGTTGATTACCTGATGATGATACAAAGAGTGAGCCCATGCTTATTTACAAAGCACTTTTTAAAAAAGATCTACGATAAAGCAAACGGAAAACATAGAGCAGGTAATGAGATAGTTAATGTACCAGAGTGAACAGGCAAAGTTCTGATAACCTTTCACGAAAGGAATAAAGATTAAAATAGATATATGACCAGACATAAAAAGAGAAAAAAAGCATATTAGATAGGAATGAAAAAATAATATTTTTTAAAACATATTTTAAAATGTTTATTTAGAAAATATTTCTTGATGAACACACACACACACACACACACACACTTCCAGCGGTTGTATCAGTTCTTTATTCTGCAGAGGACGACGCCTACAGGGACTGACTCCACAGTCAAATGATACAGCAGTGGAACCGCTGCGTGTCATATGACCCATCCCTGGGGACTTTCTCTGTTTCCGACTATCCGGGCTGCATAAACCATTGAAACAGCGGGTCATCCTGGTCTTACATGCTTTCCTGTCTTATGCATGAAATGTGGCATTTTATCAGCCTATCTGCACTTGACGTGGTATGCGTGGCCTCCAGCCTTTGATGCTAGCAGCTGTACAAGGAGCGCTCGTGGCGTTAGTGGCAGTTTTATAACCCAAGAGTTCAGTCATGAGATACAAAACTTCAGTACAAGATGCTAATCATGTGATTGAGGCCGGGAGGGATGATTGGACCTCACCTTGGTGATGGGAGCTTCAATAGTCATGGAGTGGATTCGGGCCATTGAGGAGTGCCTTCGCTGTGAGCTCCCTGGTAGGAAGAAGAAAAAATATATATATACAGACGCAATAAGATAGACCCATATTGCAACTCAACAACTAATTAAGCTGCAGTTTTGCATTTCACGAGTGTGTTTGCGCGTGTATCCAATCAACAAGGTTTCACAAGGTGACGAGTTTTCCATCATGTATCTCCCTTCACTCTCACCGTCGCTCCCCCGAGACGTCGTGGATCTCACGTCCAGAGAGCCTTTCCTCCGGTCTTTGTGCTTACTGGATTGGATGTCTGGGGAAAATGAAAGCAGCTGACATTAACAGGCAAACAAAAACATGGCTCAAGTTTAGTGACAAATTGAGCTTTGGCCCGATCACAATATCTTTGGGAAGTGGAGATGTCTTTATCAGTCCAATCAGTTATCCTTTTTTGGCAAGTATAACTTAATTTGCAGTTGTTAAAAGTTAATTTTTAATCCAGTAAAGTTGTAATAATTGCAAAGTAACCAAAGGCACAACAGTGAGATTTATGACTCACACAAGTGAATTTTATTCATTATAAACATTCTCCATTGCATAGCTACTCACAATCCATCTATTTTGTGTTCTATAGTCAGATCTGTCCCATGTATTTAGAGGAAAAGGTTGATGTTATTATCTCTGCCAGCAGAATCATGCATGGGTGAGTGAGTAACTGTGCACCTCTGTCCACAGCTGGTGGGGACAAACTTTAAAGTAATAAAAATACAAAAAAGTAGTAGTGAGGAAATGTTTATTTGTTAGAGTAGGACCTACTGTGTATTTCAATAACATTTAAATGACAAAACACTCATTTGCCATTTTTAAATGCAGTTAATGTGATAGAAAACAATTATTACTCAAAGTAAATTAAAAAATCAAAATAAATTCTAAAACGCAGTCCTTTTGGGATACTCAAGAGAAGAAAAAGGAATGTTTAATACTTTTCTGAAAACAGCAAATGAGCCTGCTGACTGAACCCATCAGTAGCGTTGTACCATAACATTAGAAGCTTAGTCAACCTTCTGATCAGAATACCTAGAGGATGCAGCAGGGCTGCTATACAAGAGTGAAATATACTGTGCTGCAAGTCACTTCTTTTCAGTGAGCTGGGGAAATGACGTCAACGCAGGAGCGATACGATCCCTGTTTAGTTGGCCAGTCAGGAGCGTAGCTGCTGCATTTTGACATCAGTTACTGGGAATTGGCCTTACTGTTGATACCACAGTACAGTGAGGAACAATAGTCCAGTTTACAGGACAGGAACACTTGGATATAACATTTTCAAGGTCAACTAAATTCATTTATTTTGATGTATTTCTGACTCTATAAAGCAGGACAGAGTACTCTGTTAGTCTTCTCTTTGAATTTGGTTAATGATTTAAGAGAGCAATGGTTGTCTGGCACGGCTCAATACATTTTCTGACATGTTTCCAGAGATTCTGAGTTTACAAAAAGCAGGTTGCAAAATGTGTCTCCAGATGTCTTACAGATATTTGGTATTTGCAGTTAAAATCATCAGCGTAAAACTGTAACTAATGCGCTGCTCCTCGACAAAGACGCTGTTGGACCTCACATCCTCCAACCTGTGACAGATCACAAGTGACACCGTCGTTGAAAGAACATCCATCGCTAATGCAGCTAACTGCCCAGCAGAGAGATCCTGAACTACTCAAATCTGCAGGACTTTGGCATAATCCATCACCTGTAACGTTATTCTAAGAGTAAAGACCAAGCAGTCGTGCACCTAAAGTGGCCATTCCCAGCATGCATCCCTGCATGCATCCCAGCATGCATCTTACCTGTTTGAGACTCTGCCTGCACACGTTCAGTGGATTTATCAATCTGCATGGACAGAACAGAGGAGCACATTGATGCATGCCGGCCAGAAAACGTATTTCATTCATTGTTAAATAGTCAAAAGTAAAAACACATCTCACCTTATTATTATCGTTTAAAGGCCAGTTGATAGACACATAGTGTCTGATTTTTCTGTGAACGACAAACACCCTAATTAGATTTTAAAACACAGGACACGCAACACACAACCATCCAGTAAAACCATTCAGTCACTGGAAAGTTATTTTACATGAAGCAAGACTGAACAAGCCGGGCCTGAACATCCTGTCACTCACCCTCCCTGTCCAATTACAGGTGTGATCTTCACATTTTGCTGAATGCTCTCTCCATTCTTCTTTTTGGCATAATAAATCCCCTGCCACTCCTGGAACCCAAGGGGACAGAACCGAGAGAGAGAGAGAGGACATGAAACACACAGACACAAAATGTACAGAAACCATAATCGTAACAAGCGAGAACATCCAATAATTAGAATGATTTGATGGACTGGGTGCAGCGTGAGAGCGATTGTGGTGGTACGGGTTAGATGCTGAATAGAGGAGAGTGAGCGCATTATAGAGAGCAACAAGGTGCTTCAATGGATTTGGGTGCACGCTCCTGGAGTCCGGCGTGCTCGTTTCATGTCCCCCCCCCCCCCTCCTGCCCACAGACTGCTGTGGCAGCTTGAAAAGACTCGTCCCGCTGCTGGCCTGTCTGAGACTGACCTTCGCTCTCTGTGTAGTGAGATCACAGCGCCGCCATCAACCGCGTGAAACAGAGCTGCACAGTGGTGCACATTTACAGCACGCACGGATGAACGTGCACGCACGGGTTAAAAGGCCGATATCTGCAGAGTGATCCGATTGTGAAACGCTAGTTTTCATGTCAAAACGGTGTATGTGGGAGTATCAACAATCAGGGGAAGCTGATCCTTTATTTTTAGGAAGTGTACCTTGTAACCACGCTGAAAATTGTGTTGGAGCTGAAATGTATAGTCCAGGTGATTTGATAAATGCACTTTACCTTTCCTTTCCGTATGCAGGAATTTATTGTTTCAAGGAGATCAGGCTTATTCTTCTCACTTTTAGGCACTTCTTTGATTTCCTTCCCTATTAGCTCGCCTCGTTGGTAGCCCATTACGGACTCATAGGCAGGGTTCACATACTGCGAAGGAGAGGACACAACAGCGTTCACGCTCGATCTGAGATGACGGTTCATAAAATCAACAATGAGTTCACAAAGACTTAAGGTGACGACATTCCCCGAACATTACCGACCAAAACAATTCAGAGAAGCAAACACATCTTTTGTTTGTTTGTTTCAATGAGCTCGGAAACGTATGTTTCGTGATATTAATAACGCAACGACAGATCGCACTGCTTCGATGGTGACAAAAGGAGCCATTCAGGCGGACAGAGAGCTCAGCGAGCACTATTGAGATCTAGGATCACAAGACAGGAACAGCATCTAAAACGGCACAGTGATGAACTGTCACAATAAAAGCTACCAGAAGTTTATTAGAAACCCACCTGAATTACTTGATCTTCAGAAGTGATCTCAATGGCCTCTTGACTTTGTTCTAGAGCTGTGAAAATAGCATTTCCAGCCCTTTTGAAGGAGAAAACAAAAGTTGTTAACATATGCAACTAGCAGTGTCCCGCTAATGTTTATACTGATTCATACTTTGTAAAGACAGAGTTAATATTGGCAAGAAAAAGTGATATTGTTAAAAGCAGACACTCTGTCTGAGGCTTTGCTCCGAGCTCACGTTGATTAAAGTTCGTACTCTATGCGACTGATCGGGACTCTCAATGCAACACTGACACCACTCACCTTAGTTTGAACTGCGCCCGCACCTCTCCATGCTCCAGCTGTAGCAGCTCATTATAGCAGGCCATCATGTTGGCATTCTCTACATATCTCTGAGGGTCAGAGGGCAACATGGGTCAACCAAAGACAGATGAAATGAAACCCCTTTTCATGTCGGTGTAGCGGATTTAGTGGTAACAATGATTCGGGTAAATGGAACTCAATGCACACGTCTCCTGAGCAAACGGAGAGGATTTACAATCTGTATTCCTGCCTCACAGCGAGTGTTGACAGTAGGGATATAAAAAAAAAGCATTTGGAAAGAATAATACAAACACAGGCAGAAGAAGGCTCACACACACACACACACACACACACACACACACACACACACACACACACACACACACACACACACATATATATATACGTCCACATGAAACGATGCTCACCCTATTAAAGCCGGCATTGATCAGGGGCATCACAGAGGCTTCCTCTCTGTCTGGCCTTAAAAAGGAGAACACATCTTAGTACCCAAACATGTTGTCATGACAAACATAAGGCTTCATATGACCTAGAACACATCAACTGAGTGAGACGATTAAATACTCCCAATCATTAGGTACCTATGAACATAGACAGGGAGAAGGCCATGAAAGGGCAGACGGAGGCAGGAGGGGTCAGCGATTTGTACCTTACCTTTTCACAACGGCGACTATCACAGTGTTTTCTGAAGAGTTGACCGCTCTGATTGACCTGGAGGTAAACAGAGGGAGCCTTTAAGGCAGCGAGAAGACCAAATGGCATCAAAATCAAATGTATTTTTTTAGTTTTTCACGCTCCGATTCTCCCAGGCAGGCAGAGCCCAGCGGTGGAGCTCTGCCTGCCGGCCTCTGAAAGAATGCAGTGTACGGGGCCACTCATCCGTCTGTGGTTTCCCCCAGCCAGCGGTCATAAAGGCCCTTTAGTTCCCCATCGGAGCCTCTGCGTGTAAACTCAACATATGGATTGGCCAAAATGAATGGGGTTAACATACACGCTGGGCAGGGCAAATTAATGTTTGTAAATGTGTTTTTGGTTTGGGCCGAGGCTAAAGATAGAGGCTGGTGTGGGCAGGCACTCATTTCAGAATTGACATGACTCCATGGAGCAGAATGCGATGGAAGCTAGTGAGTCCAAAGTGAGCTGGCAGACTCAAACACACGTGCGAGTTAAACCTTCCTATCAAGATCTCCGAGTCTGGAATAGGTGTGTGGACTGGGATGACCGTCACTAACAGGATTTAATCCAAGTGTGTCGTCTACCAGAGGATATAAAAATAAAAACATTGTGGAGCAGCTCAAGTAATTAAATACAATGTCTTTATAATATATATATATATATATGTATATAATGACTCAGCCGTTGCACCTGAAAGGATGACGTCATTGAGAGTGTGATTGAGTGTGTGTGAAAACTACTGTAGTTACAAAGTGAGCAGACACGCCTAAAGAGGACACATTGTTCAAATAGTTTGCTAAAAGTTGAGAAATGGTGGAAATCATGAGGAAAATTGATAAAACAGGTTTAGGGAATAAAATGGTGAAAACCTCTCCAGGGTTAGTATGAATGCGTGACTTTACCTTCCTTACCATTGGCTGGAACTGTTGCATTTGTACATAATCAATAGTCTTAAGTAGCAACAATCTCAACTGAAATGTACCCATTTGGAACATGAGGTGTGATGAGGGTAACTAGAGTTCATTTGACAGGAATGTGGGGGAAGACAGAAAAAGGAGCTGGAGAAGGACTGTAGAAGTACAACATTAAGTACATATACTTTGATGCAGAGTGTGGGTGTGGCCTACCGGCATAGTGCTTCTGCATCGAAGTGTCTGGAATGTCTGTGGTCAATGATGACGAGATCATGATGCTTCTCCATGAAGCATTCGAGAGCCGACTCGGGTGTTCGTGCCGTGCTGCACCTGAAGTTGGCCTTCTCACATGCCCAGCAGAAGCCATTACTCTGACTGTCCTCTTTGGCAAAAACTAAAAGTACCTGCAAAAAGAGAGATGATTAAGAACATTTATATATAACTGAGGATTCTGTATTTCTAATCACCCTCTTGCAATGTCCTGCTACAACCACGAAAAAAAACATACATCGCAAATATTAAGGAGAAAAACATGTTATTGAAGAGTGGAAAAAAACAAGGCAGATTTAAAAACAAACTTGCATGCGAAGCAGTATTAAAAAGAGCGTTGAAATATGCAGTAAATCTGCTTGCATTAGCTCCTAAAGGTCAGCAATACTGAGGGTCCCAGCATGACTTTGAAACATAGACTGAGAGCTGCAAGTAACAATTAGTTTCATTTTGTGTCGATTCATTGTGTCGACCTTTGCCCGGAATTCAAAATGAACATTTAATGTCTAAAAAAAAGGCAGAATATAATAGAAACAACTGAGGAATAAAAAAATGGAAAAAAAGAAAAGAAAAAAAACCCCATTTTTTTATATTTTTGTTTGATATTTATTTATCTGATTTTTCACAATTACCCAGAAGCTCCAGTATTTAAAATCAGATGGAAATATTATCTATGATAAAACCTTCCAGATAGAGGACTAACCGATATATGTAGCAAACATCGGATGAGAAAAAACGACATCACTAATCACAAAGGGGCCGCCTCCTTTATCCGGGCTTACAGAATCCGTAGAGTACGAAACAAGAGAAGAATGTGGTTTCGATGCCTCAGTGTATCAACAGCTCTGAAGTCATCATTGGTGCATTCATGCTCATTTGCGCCCGTCGTGACCTCAGGCCGGCAGCAGACAGGCCCTGATTGATCAGGTCCAGCTCGTACTCGGGTGCGTCACACATTTTATTGTCCGCTGCCGTGATCTATGACACAATTAGCCGATGTGGCCTCGACTGGCCGCGGCCACTCCCACCGGTCCGCAAGGCCGTGGCAGAAAGCGCTGCTGCTACCGCCAACTTAGCCATTGAGAGTGCGCTCGCTCTCTCTCTCTCTCCCCCACTCTCCCTCTATCTCTCTCCACCAGCATACTTTTATGGAACCCCTTACTTGCGTAAATACTGGACTAGTGATTTAGCCCCCCCCGCCCCCCCCTCTCCAAGAGCAGTGCTGCACTAAGGGTAGATTCATGAGTCACGCTCTCAAACGGACGTCATCTCCAACTGTTGGCAGGGAGCAGGATGAACGTGAGGAAGGAGAAGTTTGTTATGCGCACTTGAGTTTGCATCACGCCTGTAAGATGTAGTTAGGACAAACAAGCCTTTACTCTGTTGGTCGAAAACTGCAGAGTAATGGTTGTTTTTATTCAGTGTGGCTTTATTTTAGTATGCAGTAAGCACAGAGCCTTTACGCCTGTGAGGGGCGTTGCTAATGCAAACCACATTCAGCATACGCACAGCGGCACGTCTCCGGGTCATAAGTACATCGCCACTGACTCCTGCAGCTCTGTCCAGTACACACAGGGAATTAGATCAGAATTCCACATTGGGATGTTGGTAGAAAAGTCAACATTCCCTACAGAGGTGGGGGTAGAGGGGGGTTGTATAGGCCGAGATAAGGTTTCTCCAGGTGTCCGTGCTCAGACCAGGCACCCAGGCTCAGTGACAGCGTGTTGGAGGGGGGGGGGGTCTGCTCGCTCGGTCTCGAGAACATCATTGTTGGAAACACAGAGGGCTCGGCCAGATCGTGTGAGCCGCGAGAAAAGAGGAGGAGTGCAGAGCAGGAGGGCATGTCAGGATCAGCTGTGAGTGACAAAAACAGGAAGGGGATATCTCTCTACCTCGCTTTCCTACCGGTGCCACACTGGAGCGCATCAGACAATAAAGCACAGCCCGTGGCAGTAAATTACAGGACATCTAGTGCATTGCTTTTCCTTTGACCATCATTGCGATGTTACGTTCGAGGCTTCTTAAAAATCGTAGTTTTCATGGTGAATGAAGGAGGCTTGGACCTCTAGGACTGTGCCTACAAGGCAGAGCAGCAAATCTTCACATTTGGGCAGCTGGTACCAACAAAAGTTTGTCATTGTAGTTTAAAAAAAGATGTACAAAACAGTTTATCAAAACAAAAATGAAATTTTGTAGGCTATCAAAATACATTTTATCTTTCAAAAGGCGTCTTTTTCCGAGACTCCAACTCTTGACTCAACGAGCAGTAGCGCATGCCAAAGGAACTAGCACAGTACCAAACTGCATAATGAACCATTGAACGTCAGAGAATGTCCTCTTTGCAGTGTGCAAACTGCTCCATGGATCCTCTGTGCCGTTCTTCCATAACGTGCATTGTTCATTATGGTATGTTCTTGGTCATAAATGTTTGGCCTTGTTGCCGGGACAACCCTGGGCTGCATAGCACACAATTCTTCCAGTAACATTTATTTTTCTTCCTCTTCTTTGAATGTTTGCACGGGTCCTTTTATCTCTCACTCAGGTGTGGTATCATTGAGAAATTCAAGATTAGTCTGAACTGCAAACACAAGTAGGTGACGTTTTTATATGCTAATAATGGAATATGCTACCAAATATTGACAGTCACACAAAGTTTAGCTCCACAGCGCGGTTAAAAGCCCCTAAATGATACGAGCATAAAAATTCCATGGAAAGCCTTAATGCATTCACACACACCACCACAATCAATCATTCCGATGGTTGGTATCGTTTTACAATACCTGAAGTGGGTCTTTAAATAACTTCATTGGTCCAAATTGCACCTCTGTTAATGTGGTCTGAAAGACAAGAAGAAGAATACAGTATTAGAAGAAAAGTTATTTCATATCTGAGTTTGATTCATTATTGTTCAGGTTGCATCAGACCCCACCGCTAACGTGCGTTATAGTAATATTAATAACAATAACAAAATCAGTTTCAGACAACATTTCAACACAGTATGTAAAAGCATGTAGTGAGCTTTGGGTTATTCACGAGCACACAAGTATCAATTCACAGAAATGTAAAGTATCCTAGCATGTTACACTCTATTAGTTAAGGTTCCACAGGACAGCATAGTGCGATTTGATCCACAAATTTCGGATCCCCGTACAAACAGTATGACGCTGCGTCTTGATTAGCGTTTAGAGCAGCCAGTTCTTTGAGCTGCACACGCACACGCCGTGAAGCCGGGCAGTGCTGCTGCAGCAGAGACTGTTTCTTCATTGTTGAGCAAGATACTGACGTACAAGTTTACTCTTTTCTGTCTGCAAATAATTTAGCCTCCTTCCTGCTAAATGCAACCCAGCTCAGGGGTTAGTTACCATAGCAACAAAGCCCCTCACGGACCGCCATCCCTCTAGAATTCCTCTTCTCCGTAAACAATCTACACATGTGAGGAGGAATACAGAGAGGAATTTTAGAGGAGAGGAGCGTGCCGAGCAGCAGTAAATCACTTCTTGCTAAATTGTAAGCCTTTTTGAAAGCTCCATTGAAACAACAAAAGGGGGGCGAGGGGGGAAAAAAGCTGATTAGTGCTCCGTTGTGTCCTAATTGACGTCATCATGACACTGGGCCGTTTGTTGCAGCTGTCCGCAAACAAGTAGTGTGGCATCAGGATGGCTACAAGCTGATGCTCTGTGATCATCTGATCCGTCGGAGACGCAAGGAGCTGGTCACATGACGGGCTCATGTGCCCTCTAGAGCCAGCATGCGTGTGTGTGTGTGCGCGCGCATGTGTGGTTATATAATAGGGACCAACATATGGAAATGCCACATTCTTTTCCGAAAGCGTTTGACCAAGCAAGACCCAGTTTTCCTGTTGTCGGATGTGATTTCAATGACTCGGACCACTTGTGTCAGAACAAATAACTCCGATACTCAGCTTTATTCATTCAAACCATCCCATCATTTTCCAATGGAGGTGAAGCCAAACTCATTAACGGACTACTGCTGGGTAAACGTCACAGATAGGGGCCGCACCAAACATGTACCGCACGGCGAAGTTTCCACTGCCATTTGTTTTTAGAGGTGAGCCAGTTCGAGGTCGGGTTCTCGACGTACGGCGTTTAGCCGCAGAGCCTCCAGCGAGCTGAGGCCCGGCTGTAGCAGCGCTCTGCCCCGACACGGCGAGACTTCCCTCTGTAACTGACACTGACACAACCAACGCAACTGCAGCTGAGGTTGTGTAACTAGAATAGCCTGCCTGCCTGCGCGCCACACACACACACACACACACACACACACGTGTGTGCACTCCTGAACCAGTCTGCCAGCCTCTTCGGGCGACGCACTCCTCTTGTACAGTAAACACACGCACACACAGAAATGAATCACTCAGCCAAGCATTTGCATCCCGCAAACCTTGTGCTGGCACTGGACCAGGGGCAAACAAAGCTGGGGAAGTGAGCATGTAGGCCGGCCGGGCGAGGAGTACGGACGTGGTGTGTATGCCTACGTAACCCTTGGCCCTCCCTCATGCTATGTGCTGCCGTGTTGTACCAGTCACACTGGGATCCCTCTTTGTTCACATGAGCCACTTACTAGCAGCAGGGCACAACGTCCAGAAGCCCAAGTTGAATGCGATGCTTTCTGGCATCATTTGTATCAGTGGCGCAAAGTTTAAAACATCATTATTTATAAAATTGTTGATTTATAACACAAACCACACGGCATCTTCAAAAGGGTCAAACTTCCCCATCTGTGGTACAAAAATGAGCCATAGTTGTGTTAGTTTTACTTACATAACAAACTTGCAAAAAGTCTACATATGTAGCCGTTACTTTAGAATAATTAGTTAGTGACCATTTGTCTGAAAGAAACCATAAATGAAACGTCTCAACTATGTTGTAACATTCTAAATGCTGACCCCATAAAGCTTAGTTGGTCCTAGAGCAACACTCAAGTGTCCCTAAATTCATAGAGCGGGACTTTGATTTCTTTTTTATGAAAATCTTTTCTTTTTCTCAAGTGTAAGTATTGTCAGAAAGGTTAATGTCATTGAGGTTGAAACAAGCTCACATGATCATCAAATCAACGATCCAGAGTTGTGAGCAGAAACATTTTACCAAACTTGAAATGCGTACATGCCAAATTTGTGAGAAACTCAACGAGTCGTAGCATTGAAGGGATGCTAAACACAGAGTCAATGGGCCAGTGTGATTACATAAATGTACCTGATAGCAGACACCTTGAATTTCAGAATGATTTTCAACTAGAACTCAATATAACAAGCCGCCCACGTCCACGCGGAAAGCCGGGGCCGCTACAGGTCTGGGGCCAGTTCCTGCTTTGCCTGGTTGGGAAACCAGTGAACATTCAATCATTTTAAACGCCGTAATTCAAAAAAACCTAAAAGCTTGTGCGTGACCTAATAAAAAAAATAAAAAAAACTCAAAAAGGTCAATCCGTGAGGTGACAGTTTCCAGGCTGACAGCTTCAAACGGTCTGATGTCATGTGATATTACCCCGCTGCTCCGGGCTCAGGCCAATGTGACCACATCAGAGCTGCTGGGTGTCTGGAGTCATCTGCAGCAGCATCCAGGACAGTCTGCAGCCTCCTGCTACTCTCATTCAATACACCTAATGCATTTACACAGCGGAGCTGCCTCGGAGCCCTTATCCTGCTCCAACTGCATCCGGCCCTATGGATCTCCTCCTCTTCTCCTCCAGCCGACCGGCCTTTCTGTCTCACGCTGAAACGAACCACACACACATGGGAGAGTGGCTTTCCACTAAAGTGAAAAACAGGAAATTGGATGACATTGTTCGGTGCGCAGACGTCAGCAGTGAGAGATAGAAAGCGTAAACAGCTTCCTCCACCCGAGAGCCGGGACCAGGATGCAGAGGATCTTGGGATGCCGGCTCCTGCTCCTTGGGAAAACGTGCATGGCGGTTCACCAACAAGATCCCTCACTCTCTGTCCACCTCCCACTCTCTGGTCCCACTTATTCCTCAGCTTGTCCCAACGTAGAACTTTTCCTCACGTGGTTAAGTGGAGTATTATATGCAGAGCTGATGACGCCGCAACAATGTTGCCGCGTGTTTGTGTTCCTGTCTAAAAGTGTAAATCAAATGGAGATGAATCAATGTTCTTCATTAGGTGTGATTAGAGGAGAGCGGCCACAGCCACAGGTGCGGACGCACACGGTGTACCAGACGGACGGAGTGACTCTCAGACACACCGAGCTCAGCGATGGGCTAAATGGCACCGAGTGACACATCGGCCTCACCACACGCTGAGCCACTCGGACAGCAGCGCGAGCTGCCCATGCTGTGTGTGTGACATCAAATGGAATGATTCACTTTCATGTGTGGCCACTTAGGTTTGCTGTCCGTGAAGCCGCGCCGAAACAATCGATAACAATGCGCTTTCAAACGTGCAACGTCCAGTCTGGAAAACACTCCACCAAATGTAGTTTACAACAAGGGGAAAATGATTTCCCCTGGTTTTGGATTAGCCTTCTAGACAAGAGTGTAAAATTATCATTTGAACATGTTTTGTGGGATAACCGTTATCTTGGACCACTAATTTATAATCTGTTCATGTTCCAAATTGCCAAAATTCCCTCAACATATTTTACAAAAACAAGTAGCTAACCCGTCCAGGATGCCTTTCACCCAATGCATGCTGGGATAGCAAACCTCCATCAAGCACAGCTATGTACTAATGTAGAAGACTATATCATAAATAAGTTATTCCTTTACGGTGGTCGTTACAGTAGTTCTCAGTTGGTGAATACTTACAGCAGACAAACATGCATTAAAAAATATTTTGATACAAAATACCTTTCAATCATGATGACAACTATGATTAACTTCAATTAAAATAAAATATGAAATAGTAGTGGCAGAAAATGTAACAAAATGAAATACAAGAATTTTGTTTTAAAAATATAGGACTTTTACAGGAATGCTTTTTTCTGGATCTTCCGTTTTCTCACAATTTGGTATTGCAGCATTCAGGTTTGGGCTTTAGGATTCACCAGAGCTCTTTGTACATTACACAGACGTCATGCTGGCCTACTTATTCCGCTCTGACATTGGCCAGTCTGGCGGGCCACATACTTACTAGATCACAGTGTTAAGTTTCTTTATGACATAATATGCCCATCTCTGTGTGTCTGTATAGTTTATGTGCAGTACATACTGTAAGCTACATTCCAGTCCTACACACAGAAGAGGACACCCGTCGCTGCAATACAAAATTTACAAAAGTACAACATGTTATTTTTTTTAGGCTAAACAAATCAGATGCATCATTATTTCATTATCTTCCAACCCTCATTTGGTTTTCAGCCCAGTGTGAAGCCAATGATGATTGAACGGAGTGACAATTATGTACTAGAATTTAGATCTGAATGTGCAGTTATTTTTAAAAAACCTCCTAGAAGGGGTTTAATAGCGTTACTCTTCAATGTAAATCCAAAGAATTGATCATTTAGAGCCTGGAGTAGAATGGATTTAATGTAATCCCAGTAGATGCATGAAACTGTTACGTTTACATCGTCAGTAATGAAGTTCAGACAGTAACACAACAACCCACGTCAGCGCTTCCTTTTCTTCAATATCTGCCCTCCGCGCTCTATATTACGCTCAAAGCCTTGCATTCATAGGCTTCTATCCGGTCTCATTATTCTGCAGTAAAGAACGGAAAGAAAAGAACACCATCCGCTACCTAAATAAAAATATATCTAACGTGTTGATGTGATTGCAGTCCATTTGTTTGGAAAAACGACCCTGTGTGTTCTGGCTCAGTTCTCATGTCTAATCCATGGAGACCAAGTTCACAGTCAGCCAG